AGAGGCAGATTTTGAACCAAAGTCCTGTTTCTTTACGGATGCAAAGTGCAGCATCAGACATTTTTAAACCTGGGGAATGCTCAAGGGGTCCACGGTCCTGGCGAGAAGGCACGGACAGGTTGACGACGTTACCAAAGGGTCACAGTGCATCGTAATCGACAGGGGTATCGGAGCAATCCAATATGTGGTATCTGTATCCGTACGGATATGCTGGACGAATAATAAGCGCAGGGTAGCACAACCGAGACTGTTATTGGCTGGAGATGTTAGGTTTGGCCATGGATCTAACGATCCGAGCAAACATGCTAAAATGGACAAATATCAGTTATCAATTATTGCTACTCGGTTAATGCCATTGACCAACATAATTTTTATACATTTACATCTCGCAATTGACAAGGCTGTCAACTCAATTCGACACCGTTGTGAGGTGGTTTTGCTGACAACGCCTGTGGGCCACAAGACGAGGAAAAAGAAAACCACAATATTTGATCTGCACTGCAACTCAACGCGTGGATGCGGGAGCGCAGCAGGGGACCCTTGGGTTCCGAGTGGACACGGAAGCAAGGCGCTCAACGATGTTGATTCACATTGTCATCATCGGCGAGTATACTTATACTGTATTCCGCAGGAAGTCGACGGTTGACATAGGTAAACTATGCCGTCTATAACAGCACTACCCTAGAACAATGGCCAGGTACTCTGAGTGAGTTTAGCAGTCCTTTTAGTAATGCTACTGCTCCCAATTTCGAAATGTCTCCGGGACATGTACAGACAGTATGACGATGAATGTATTTAGGTTAGCCATGCCGTCGAGCCAGGATCTCTACATGTCGGGACGCTGGATACGACACCTTGGCAGGGGAGACGTTGAGCATGGCTGCCAACGCTCGTTGCGCTCGTTCGACCAGTCTCTAGACCCCTGTGGGTCAGAGCAAATCACAGACGTCGCTATTACCGTGGAATTGCCTCTATAAGCCTCGCCAACAATCCGGATCGGAATTACATATGATGTACGAATATGACAGCAATTGAAAGAACGTCCAGAGTGCAGTACACGACATACCCCTGCTGTCTTTGATATACCGCTAAGGTCGGCACTAAGATTGCTACCAGGCCGCCCGTCATTCAGCTTGGGTCTGGCCCGTTGCATCTTATTCGGAGATCTTTCTCCCCGTGAATGAGACAGGCCTCGCCAAAGTGTTTACGGAGTAGAATATTGTCATATCGCACGAGGAACACTAGAGTCAAGGCCCCTGATGGTTGTTCCTGCACCCCACGACTCTCCAGGTCCCAGATTCCAGATTCCAGGGCCTAACACGGATCACAAGTTCTAGGCTTCGGCCGCCGGCAGGTCGAGTCTCGACCTGCAACTAGCCATTCCCTTGCTGGGCTCGCCTCCGCGACTTGGACTGATAGATTCGGCGATCCACACGGACCCAGCACCTTGGGAACAATTCGCTAATGTCACCGTATCCGAGTTGTCCATGTTGATGTCCATGTTAATGTCCATGTCAATGTCGATGGCGGGGGCCGCTCTCAGCTTCGCTGTTGTCGAGAGAGAAAGCGAGAGACATAATTCAGGGTCCAACTAACGTTAGGACGAACAAGCCTCTGCAGCCCTTTTCTTCTTTTATTGTCATGCCCTGGATGGACTTTAAGATCCGTGTGTACCTGATTGTCGACTGACTGACCTCTGACCTGCTGCTGGTGAAAGGTGGAAGAAGGGCAGCTGCCACGTTGTAAGCGTCCACTCACACGATCACTAGCAGACACACATCCTCACGAGTCACTCCGTTTAACAACGTCTTTTTTGACTGTGACTAGAGTGACAGGGACGGGATGGCAACCAACTTAAGCACCCCTTATTACCACCACCACCATCATCATCATCGGTATGCGTGATAAGTATCTTCTGCCTTTCTTCTTGGGACTTGGGACCACCAGGGGACGCCTTCCGGACGCCGTCCCCGTTGTGCACTCAACGCCTCCAGGGGTTTACAAGAGAACAAGAGAAGAAAACAAGCAGAGCCCAGCCGGTCGGATCCCGCCACTGCCACAGCCGGGATGCCAGGGTTTCAAAGACAGGCTACAGCCTTCTCCAAAGGCAGCCATGCCATGGGGGACATGACAAGCCCAAAAGCCTGCAAGTCTGCAAACCTGCAAGCCCAGCAGCAGCCAAAAGCGGCCGTGTCAGCCTGCAGCCGGGGATTGAATTTCGTTAAGTTGATGGATTGAGATTGTTTGTTTGGGAAAGCACAGGCTTTGAAGTCCAGAAGTTCACTAGCTTTTCTTTTTTCTTAGCCGAACTCGCGAGGACGAAATTGGTCTTTGCTTGAGTGACGAGTAGGGCAGTCGGCCAACAGCGAGAATGAGAGCGAGAGCAAGCAACAGAAGCAGATTCAACCAAAACAGATAAGGAGGGGGGTAAGACCGAAAAAAGACAAAAAAAAACAAAAAAAAAAAGAATGAGTGAAAATGGACGTCAAGCGATTTACGTGCCATGGCTCTCCCACCCCTGGTTCCCGATCTTACCCAAACTCTCAAGCTACGCAGCAAAAAGTAGGGGCGGGGATGGAGATCCCGTGTGCCAGAGCCCAGTAGACGGAAGATCAACAAGGCCAGACAGCCTCCAACGAAGGGGAAGTATTCCAGGATATGGTTCTGATCTGCCATGATTATTGAGAAATCTCGATTTTAATGCGAGATACACGGTGAGGGGCCAGCCAGCCTTGATCGCCATCCGTCTCAATCTCAATCTCAATCTCAATCTCAATCTCATTCTAAAATATCAACCCGAGAATTCAATTTCAGGTGCGCTGTCATTATCGTACCACCGCGGCTCGTAAGAAAGGATATCTAGTTAGAACGTTTCAACCCATGAGACGGAGCTGAGCTGAACCACCAAAAGCGAACTGAACTGTGCAGCACGCGTTCCCAGGGTGTCGTCGTCGCTCCGTAACTCGGAGAAAGGTAGGTTGTGAGCTTTTTTTCAGCTTATAGTGAGTGGTGAGTGGTACTTGAGTACTTGGTTTTGTGCAAATGGACCGAAATCAATTTAATTCTCGCTCTCCGTTCTCGTCCTCGTCCTTAACTTCGTCCTCGTTGCCTCTTGTCTCCTCCCCTCCCAGCTAGCATAACTTAGCACAATTGCTTGCTTTCCTCAGGACGCTGTTTGTGCCTTTGGATGAATGTCTCGTACCGTACGTACCCTAGGTACTGCATGCACACCTGCTACAAGGGCCAACACCCCCCTCACACCCCCATGTCATTCCTCCACCCCTGTTCCTCTTTTCCGGCTCCAGCTCCGGCCTACTGGTGGTGGTGGTACAGGACCAGTTAGTGCTGTTGGGTTTCCAGCTGCCAATGCATGAGGTGGTGGGCAGGCTCGTCTAGACAATATGACCCCAGATAAACAATAACTGTGCTGTGATGATGAAATTACTTTATGGTTGGAAATGATGAGATAGATGCCTCCTCAACATTGCAAGTTTACGTAGATGTACGCTCTCTGTCACAGGCTTGGTTTTATTATGACTCCTAGTAGCCGTCATCAATATTACAACTACGTAAGGCTATACTCCGTACCTTCTCATCATTCAGGTAATCCTGGGACCAACAACTGGTAGTTCTTTCAGCCCTCCCCCGCTAGTCAAGTTTAGTACTAGACGTACTGTCCTGAGGGATCCCGTCTCAGTCCGTACCTAGCATGGATATTGGAGTGAGAGGTGAGAGGTGCCAAAGCTAAACCCAGAAGGACGGGCACCAAAGCTACAGAGTTACGGCCTGGGAAATGGAGGGCCCCCCCCCTGTTGGCGCTCTCTGTGTCTAGTTCAGCTAGTCCCACTCTGGGCTGTCTGTTTTAGCTAGCCCAGCAAGCCTAGCTAACCCTCCACTGGCCTGTCTCTACCTCTACCTCTACCTCTCTGCGCTCATTCACCTCCATCCACTGTTACTTCACGATGAACACCCCCCGTCTGTCTAGACATGCCTGGTGCATCGAGACAGATGCCCCGACCAGATATACATATTACACCAGAGAACGCCAAAGCGCCACGCTGGGAAGAGAAACCTTATTGAAAGTCTGTGGGCTTCCCATTGACGACACCCCAAAAACCCCCAGTCGAACCCCATCATCCCATCCCCGATCCAAATCTCTAGAACATCGTGACTATTGATTAACTACCTACTGATCACTGATCACTCATTGACTGACTGACTGACTGACTGTCTGTCTGTCTGGTGCTGGGCTGTATCCGTACGTAGTTACTTCACTTTCAGCTAACGCCGAGCTCGGTAACTTCTTCATTCATCTACCTCGAGTCTCCTCCGTTTCTCAACTTACTTTCTTCCTCCTCTCCTCTTTCGTTTCTCAAACTCTGCCCCCTCAACCTTGTTTCGTTACGGCCTTTCACTGCCAGGCTGCCACTGTCATTTTGCTCTTTGTTGCCACCCGCGAGTATTCCTTTCGAGCTTGTTCGCTGGACCAAATCACGCCAACCTTGAGCCATTGCAAAGCACCGATTTGTTGCGTTGCAGGCTTTAGCTTCAGCTTCCCCTCTCTGATCCGGACAGCAAGTAAACAAGAGACTGGCCGATCACGACGTCCTAATCCAACCATTCGTCTTGCCCTGAAGCACGTTGACTATTTCACCCGATACAACTTCAATTTGGAAGGACCGACGACCTTCCACAGCACTGGCGGAGTAAAGTAATCATCAGCCCTTCCATTCTGATAAAAGTAACTTTCTGCCCAAGTTACTTCGACCAAATCTCCATCACCACAGCAAACCACTATCTCAGCTTCTATCTTTTCTGTCTGCCTGCAGCATTATAAGTACTGCGGCTCTCAGCCCTCATCTTTAGCTGCCGCCAAGTCCTGACAGAAAATTACTTGCCGCAACCGCAACCGCAACCACATCCACATCTGCAACCGCATCTGCCACCACAACCACCACTATAACCGCAACACCTGCGCTGGACGATTGACCAACATCCAAATGGATGGAGCTAGTTTCTCCTCGCGGCGTCCTGCTGCCAACTCCTTACCCGCCTTCTCTCTGCCACCGCCAAACGCAGACGTACCAAGTGAGACCCGATACCCTTACCCTCCTCTCCCAGAGCCTTTTCACAACTCTCGAGATATCGACTCGATTGGGTATTCCTACCCTTCGTCTTATCCCCATCCTGGTTCCTTTCCCGATCGCCGCGTCTCGTCTTCTCCCAGTATTCTGACCCCTTCGCCAGGAGCAAGCGACGGTCTGAGTCCCAGTCTTAGCGTCAACACCGGCAGTTCCCAAGGCTCCCAAGCCCCCAACGGTGTGTATTCGTATACATATCAGGGCTCATGGTCCGGACCAGGCAACTCCTCCTACACCGTCAGCTCCGCAACCCAGGCGCAGCCAACCCTTGGCCAACAACATTTCGGTGGGCGACATTCCTTATATAACCAAGGCCATGGAATCCATCAGTACAATCACCCACGAAGCTCCCAATCGCCAGCTACTGGACCCGACGGACTTCCGGCGCCTCCTTACGACGGTGTGCATCACCCTTTCCAGACTTCTGTCTCCGGTGGCGGCGGCCAGACCACTCCGCCGGGCTTATCGACATCCCATCAGCCTCAGAGCGCAATCTTGACTTCACAGAACCAGCCACCAACTCCCTCGAGCGCATCGGCACACGTCGACTCGTATACGCATACGAGACCGCCAACCACGCCAGGTTACTATACAGCCTCATCTTCTCAGCAGCCCAACTTTTCGACTTATCCTCCTCAACCTTCGCCGACCCAGCACTCCCCTCAGAACGGGGGCCCTGTACCCAGAGGTCTTGGGTCGCTCTCGGGGCAAGCGCAAGGCGCGGGGATGGCGCCTCCCGCCCCCTACCGGTCGTACCCCCATTATCAGCCACTTCCCACCATGGGGGGATCAGCCGTTATGTCCAACATCCACCAGCCTGGTGGTCAAATGTCGATGATTCCTGGAATGGGTGTGCCGCAGTATGGGCATCCTATGATGTATGGCGCAGGGCATGGTCAGGCTCCGCAGCAGTCCGAGAGACCCTTCAAGTGCGACCAGTGTGTCCAGTCTTTCAGCCGCAACCACGATCTCAAGAGACACAAACGAATCCATCTTGCGGTCAAGCCTTTCCCCTGCACATTTTGTAGCAAAAGCTTCTCTCGAAAGGATGCGTTGAAGGTAAGAGATCTCACTTCGGAGTCATTCCTGGGTTCCTAGACCCAGTCTGGCTTGTCGAGCACTTGCTAACTTGGATACAGAGGCACCGACTGGTTAAAGGTTGCGAGAACAAGGCCAACGAAAGCAGCAATGGCGACAGCAACGGAGCAGATCGAAGCGGAGAGGAGAACGATAGTCCCGACGTGAAGCGAGAACAGTAAATGCCTAGGGAAAGGAGTTTCGGTTTTTATGGCGCGATACCCCTGTTTCGAGACGACAACGTTGCCTTGTGGTTTTGAGGACAGGCAAGGAATTTTGAATATGATCACTGGAAGTGAACGACCGATACCTGACTTGAGGCTATATGCGACTATTCGTTGATGGGTTCAACAATTTGACTCTTTGTTATGTTATACAACACCTGCCCGGTTTGGCATGGCAGATGGGCGCTACGGAGGAAAGGAAGATTGGACTATTGGCGTCAAGGAACTGGAACCAGATCGGCCACCAAGGACTGATCCATCAACGACTCTGCGTTGATTGTGTGTGTGTGTGTATATTACTGAATAATGAATTGGTCAAGGGAACGGCCGGGGCATGGGAAATGGGAACGGACAAATTACACTGGTTTTGGAACAGGATCTGGGTTAAAACAGGACAATCGTGTTTCGGAAATCATGGTTGGGGGTTCAAATGGTTTACATTGGGATACGGACAAAGAATAGGGAAGCGGCGACTGCTCATAAGTTTGTTCAATCAATTCAAGTTTGAATTGTTAATACAATTTCTAGACTGTCGTATGGTGTTTGAAAGCGTGCATTAGAGGGCCATCATATCACATAATCTCCCTTCATCTTTAGATATAAGGGGCTCGAACATTCTGGAAAGATGATATGTAAATCAGCAAGAAGACATTAGCGTCTCTTGCAGCCGATTTCCAATAAGAATGCATGGCTTTGAATCGATTCAGCGTATGATTGTGAGGACTAACTCAGAGATCGATTCATCACAATTTGCCGGTTTTGATAGAAACTATTGGCGACGGGTTCCGGAGTGGGAATAGTTTGACCGAGAACTGGAGCAATATTCGGCACTGAGGTTCGGTCCAGCCAGCCACAGTAGACTTCCATTATGCCTATCAGGGACGAATGGGAGTGGAAACCATGTTGAGAGGCCCAATCCTGAAGCAACAAAATAAGGTGGTTGACCGGCCAGGCTCAAGCCTAACCGAGAGTCTATCTGCATAGTAGGTAGGTACTTGGTGATCCGATGTTTGGGCGATTGTGAAGGGGACGCCGAAGACTCGACTCGATGGGGACTGGGCCCAGCGATGGGATGGCTTTTGGTGATTTCCCCATTATGTTGATGATGCCCCAATGACCATGGTGTTTAAGCAATATTGGGCCATCGTAGATACGATAATTGTTCGGCGCTTTATGTTAGAGATTTTGGGGTTCGTGACATCAAGACTCTCAATGTCGCCGACATGTGCTGCTACTTGCACAATGAGAGGTCGCATCCGCCTCCTGAGGGTGAAATCTGGTATGTAATCCCGGAGGCTTTCTTCCATTCTATCTCTCTCTGTGCGTATCCAGAGTAGCGCACCAGTTGCACAGTCCAAACATGAGAGACAAAGCACAAGCTCGCTAGCTCCTCATTGGAACTGCAGAGCGAGTACCTGAGCCTACGTGCATATGTACAGATTTTTGCTTTTTCTTGTTGTTCTTTGTTGTTGGTGACGTGAGTACAGATACAGCAGAGCTCTCCCACTGAGGGGTTCTGTACATGGTGTGCCTATATGCTAAGTACTTACTCAGAGATGGATGCCATTCTTGTTCTTCTTTGTGAGCCTGAATTCACAGGGACGAGCAACAGGCCCAGATCTCTGCCGAAGCTGAGACCTCTCTTTTTTCCCTCAACGACTTTGGGGGCTTGACCATCGATAAAATGTCTTGGAAAACCGGAACAAGGCTGTGAGCCTTTCCCGCGCATGCATTATTGAAGCGAGCTGCACCAAACGTGGCGGCTGATGAGTGAAACGGAATTGGCGTCTACCCCCTGGGAATACCTAAAGATTCGTTGGATGCAGAATTAACGATAAATGGCGATGTTTCTGCTGGATAAAGCAACCACCCAAATCAATTTATGAAGCCAAAGTTCTAGTTTTGGCTGCAGAATGTTCTTACACAATATGGCCCCCATGTTAATACCCACGTAGGAATGAGACTCGCAGGGTTTACAAATAGCAAGACCATGCATGTATGGCTAATGGACACTCGGTGGTAATAAAAACAAACAACATCTTCTCTGTTGATGCCAAATCATACTGTTGTTGCTCTTTCGTATTCACGGAAAGTCTCGTCAAAACTGCGAATCCCCTCACACGTTACGTTACGGTCTCCTTCTTCCCACCCTCCACCCCAACGTGGATCACAACGCTTACAGCCGACAGAGCTTTTATGGCGCCTAAGCTTTGATGGGTCAAGCTGTCAGATGAGGCAGAAATGCCAAAGCTGCTAGTTCGAGGGGGACGGATACGAGGCGTTGTAGGGCGTGTGGCTGGATACGCGGGATGCTAGAACCTACTTGCCACTGCTGCACACACCGGGAATGGCTTAAGCTCAGCATGCCCTGACCATTGCCATGATCAGTCTCTTGGGGATATGCAAATCTTTCGTTCTACCGTGCGTCATAAACCACTTACAAGAGACGAGCGGGGCCGCGATAAGTGTTGATGCTGCGGCGTTTGAGTTGTACGGGGAAGTGCGCAAGTACAAAAAGAAGAATAGGGGAGGCGAGGGGAGGGGAAATATTCAAGGAGGGGGTACATAACTACCTTAAAGCCTGGAACGGCGCGCAATGAGAGGTCGCTAGTAGCGAAGGTGTAGAGTTGTAGCCTGTAGCTGCACAAATACGGAGTATGGAGTACGGGGGAGGCGATAAAAGGAGGCGTCTGCGAGTGAGCGGGAGTGGATGAGCCTGTGGAGGTGCCTGTGGAAGTTCCTGGTTCTCTACGGATACATGTGGCGTTTTATTTTATTTTATTCTATCTTGTATCATGGTCTGTGATCTCTGGAAGGAGAAACATCAGGGCGTGGCCTGATGACTAGACATTGAATGAGGCGATTCTGTTCTGGATAACCAGCCATGGACCTGGCCTGAGCGTCGAGGCACGAGGGTTGACTGTAGTTGGTAGTGAATCATCAGCAGGGTGAAGGAGACACAAGACTCCAAGTACAATCTGGACCACGTCTGCTAGAGCCTGGATGGTCAATGCATCTCATGACACGGACCTGGGTCTAACAGATATCACCAGCTCTGGTATGCTGATGGTTGACTACGGACAGGATCGTAGGCATCGAACGATTGCGAGTTGTTCTAAATAGGAATTAGATCCATGTAATCGGTTCCTGGCTTGGTCGTGGCTTAACATCAGCTGGGATTGAGGTCACGGTGTTTGTGCATTGGGAACTTGAGAAGGGGGCTTCCCTTGACACAGCACTCGACCTCTGAATTACCTCTATAGTGACAATTATTGCTTTCCTGCCTCTGCAGTGCGGGTGACTCGTGTTATGTTGGCCTCGGGACTTATTAATCCAGACAAACCTGAGAAGAGAGAACCAGGCTACGAACACTGGCCAACTCGTAGATGGGGGATAACGCACGCCAAAAGGGTTCTCTTCCGTTGTTTACGATGCTAGGTCGTACATCTTTCTCAACACTCCAACATATCGCTCTCAAAAAGCTGCTTGTTGTTCTGCATGTACCCTCAAGCTGATCTTAACAAGTTACTCCCGCCACCCTGTCTTCTGTCGTCGATCCTTATACTTCTGCATAGCTTCTGTGGTGTTGTAGGAGTGCGACCCTCCTTCTGTCTCCCTTGAACTATTTCCGATTGGGTGTCTCAGGAGCTGTTGTTTACTCTAGATGGATGGATGTGATTGTATCTTTGTCCAGCAAAGACGGCCACTCGCTCATATATCGCATATGACTTGAGGTGGTGGCCATGTTCATGGCAGTCGTACTTGATGTAACTACTGCTTAAGTGTTCATAAAAAGTAAGTCTATGATTATGATGCCAGTTTTCTTATGTTAATGGTTTGGTTCGGCGTGTAGTTCGAACCAGTTTTTGATGCATTCACTCTAAGAGACCACTCTCTAGCTTTCAATTCGAAGACAACTCTTCAACAAGTCAATACCCTTTCCATTTCATGTATCCAAGGTCGGGTTAAATTTCCGAGAGACAATTCTCCGTCGTCTCAACTGACATCTTGGTGGTAGAAATCCCGAGCCCTCCCGTCTGTAGGTTCCCGATCATGCTATATCAAGCTCAAGCCCTGAACTGTTCGTAAGTCTCCTGCATTCTGCCGTTGTTTAAGTGCACGTACAGCCGTTCAGCAGGAGAGAAGTTCTCGGTCTCGGCGCTCATGAGCTGAGCAATATCAGTAGGTGCTTGTGTAACATGACGGTCGAGTCCACGGTAAGAGGCATATGAGGGGGTGTCTAGATAGATTGTAGCTGCATCATACGGCGGAGACTATTAATGCAAGCCTCAAGGTGAAATAAAACATCAAATGCAGGACGAAAACTAAGACGACTTTAAATTATAAAATAAATATTTATCTAAAAGTATTTTACTTTTATATAAATATTAAAGTAATTACTAATTCTTAGTTATTTTAGTCTAATATTTAATAAATTCTTTTAAATATTTTTTAAACCTATAGTAATTATGGCACATAATAGTCTATATCTACTTGATTTCTTCTTACGTCTGAAGTCTTATTTCACCCCCTAGGCAAGTTGCTTATTGGAATTGTGTGCTTGTGTTACCTCGGTGTCAGGCTTCCTACATGTACTACCATACCTGGAGTTAGAGTACAGACCGTCAACTACACGCGCTCATTTGTGTAACTCTCATCAAGTCATGACTTGCAATAAGACATTCGCTATCGATTAATGGCCATACCGTCATCTCTTTGACAAATCAACGTAGAATTACAAATCACGGTCAGATGCCCACAGTATTTGGCTACCAAACTCTGATCGTTGAAAAAGAAAAGGGACTCCGTTTTATTGCACTTTAATGCCCAACTATAGCAATATAATAGCAAATGATATCATGACCCTAAACAGCAACGCGTGGATAAAGGCCTCCTTTATTCAATGCATACAATCGTGAAACGCTTCATCTCATTCAACATGCCCAATTTTGATTCCTTTCGCACACACTTAGCTCATAGCTTTGAGGCAGGGCTGGGCTGACCAGCTTGGGTAATTTCGTTGTACAGCAGTCTATGGAAGTAGTTAGTATGGTGGTCTAAACGCGTGTGTTGGATATGAGTGAACTTACGTTGTGAGGAAGTCGGCGTAGTCCTCGCCGGTGACTTGGCTGGAGAAGTATTGGGCAGCGAGGTGGAACTTATTGCCCTTGGGGCCAGAGGCAGACAGTTGGTCGGCTGTCTCCTTGAGAAGCTTCAGGGAGTAAGCCTTGTCAACTCGCTTGCCCTCGGCTGTGCTGACACCGTGCTTCACCCATTGCCAGAGCTGACTTCGGGAAACCTCAGCTGTAGCAGCATCCTCCATGAGGTAGTTGATGGGAACGCAGCCGACTCCTCGGATCCAGGCCTCCATATAGCCGAGGCCGATGTTCAGGTTCTTCTTGATGCCCTCCTCGGTGATGGTACCGGGGACGTTCATGTTGAGCAGGTCGTTCTGGCCAATGGTGACGTCTTCTCTTCGCACGAAAAGCTGGTTGGGCGTGGGCATGTGCTTGTTGAAGACCTCGAGGGCGATGCTGGCGAGAGCTGGATGGGCAACCCAGGTTCCGTCGTGTCCAGCACGGGCTTCACGGAGCTTGTCGGCGCGGACACCATCCATGGCCTTGTCGTTGGCTTCGGGGTCGTTCTTGATGGGGATCTGAGCTGCCATACCGCCCATGGCATGGACACCGCGCTTATGGCAGGTCTGGATGAGGAGCTTCACGTATGACTCCATGAAGGGGACGGTCATTGTGACGGCGGAACGGTCGGGGAGGACAAAGTTGGGGTTGTTGCGGAACTTCTTGATGACGCTGAAGATGTAGTCCCATCGACCACAGTTGAGACCAGAGCTGTGGTCACGGAGCTCGTAGATGATCTCGTCCATCTCAAAGGCAGCAAGGATGGTCTCAATCAGGACCGTGCCTCGGATGGTGCCCCTGGGCATTCCGATGTAGTCCTGGGCAAGGTTGAAGGCATCGTTCCAGAGGCGAGCCTCAAGGTGGCTCTCCATCTTGGGGAGGTAGAAGTAAGGACCGAAGCCCTGACGCTGCGTCTCAAAAGCGTTGTGGAAGAAGTAAAGACCGAAATCGAAGAGGGAGCCGGAGATGGCCTCGCCGTCAATAGTGACGTGCTTCTCCTCCAGGTGCCAGCCACGGGGACGGACAATAAGGGTAGGAAGCTTGCGGTCAGTGCGAAGCTTGTACTCTTTGGGGCCTTGCTTGAAGTCAACTTGACGACGGTTGGCGTCGTAGAGGTTGACTTGACCGTTGATCATGTTATCCCAAGTAGGGGCGCTGGAGTCTGGGGGTTTTCGTTAGTGAACTGAACTGTTTACTACTTCAAGCTCTAGAGACTTACCCTCGAAATCAGCCATGTAAGTATAGACATCAGAGTTGAGCGCGTTCACAACCATCTTCCGGTCAGTGGGGCCGGTGATCTCAACACGGCGGTCCACCAGACCCGGAGCCGGAGCGGCACCTTTCCATGTGGGGTTCTCTCGGATGTGCTTGGTCTCAGGGAGGAAGTCAGGAAGAACACCGCGGTCAAGCTCAGCCTGGCGAGCCTTGCGACGCTCAAGGAGGACCTTACGGCGCTCGTTGAAGGAGCGGTGCAGGAGGGCGAGAAAGGCGAGGGCCTCGGGGGTGAGGATCTTGCGGTGGATGTCGTCGACTTTGCCCGAGACGGACACGCCTTGGAGGACGGATTCGACAGAAGCCATTGTGAATTGTATTAGGGGGGTGAGAGATGAGAATTGATGACGATGAAGATGGAGAGTGAGGAGGGGTGATGAGAGGTTAATATATGGTATGTAGTATCCGGGCTTTCACGTGTCGAGATGGAAAGGGTGAAAGATGCCTATGATGGCGCTTGTAACTCTGGCGATCTCCGATGGATGTCAAGACTGGTATTTGTCTTTGATCAGGAGTGATGGAGTAGACGTGACACAGAGAATGAGATAATTAGTATAAATGGAAGAAGAGTAAGAATTGTAATGAGGTATCCGTAGTTATATAAATAATAAATAATAGAAGTAGAAGACCTTTAAAAGTGAAGCAGATGGCTCCGCACATCAAATTCCTAAAGGCGTAACGTGCCTCGGACGTGGTCCGAGGGTGTCTCCCCGCGTCACTTACTGCTCGCCGCCGGGCCTGGGGAAGATAAATATCCCTGCAGGTGACAGACGCTACATACGTAATTAATACCGAGATCAATTCGTACATTGAAGTCCGGGAGTTGACAATTGAATTGTGCTCTTCAATATCAGTATCAGACTTCTGTTGACAACATCTCATACAAGATGCGACTGCATTGTCTTGTCCACTGACCTCAGCTGCAATACAGAAGAACAATAATAACCTCAGAGTATCTCTCACTGACGCCTGTCATGAATTCATTCCACGGTCATCGTCCGTGTCATGCTCGGTAGCCATCGGCCTGGCTCGGGTGGATGGATGGGGGGAGTGAAGCTCATTCGAAACAGTCAAGATCTGAACTCAGTTCAAGGTGAAGAGCATAGCATGTGGAGACGGGGAGCAAAGGTGGTCAACTGCCGGGGATCCAATGAAAGGTACTTGTCTCTGGGGAAAGATACATTCATTTAGGCCGTCTACCACCTAAAATCCCACCAAATACCAGCTCGATCACGTCTTCTCCACTCTGGTCTAAGTACCTATAACTGGGCCGTATCACGATCTTACTTGCAGCCTCAACCACAACCTCATGCCAATGGCCACAACTCGGGGAAAGACCGAGAAACTGGGCATGATCTTTATTTTCCATCATTTTAAGCCGCTCAATCCATATCAATTCATCGTCTTTTAGACCTCGGCTGCCACAACGGTTGTTATTTCTGCGTCCGCATCAAACCATGTCAACCATACCAGCCTCTAATGCTATCAACTCAAGTCTAACTAATCTATCACCAGAAGACAACAGACCGTCAAGTACAAACATTTAAATATTATACAAGCTATACAACGTTGAGTACGTTGCTAATGATAACCAGTCCCATGCTTTTCTCTTTTCTCTAGATCCGATCCACCGAAACCAACCGAGGCAGCTTCGGATCAAGCTTCGGACAAACACCCCGAACCCGTCTCCACATTTTACGTCGCCGCTTCGGAGTTGCGTCCGACAACTACTCTGTACTAGGTATCTATTTTATCTTTCAACTATCAATTCACGCAGAAAAGTCTTCCTAGTCTTACTCGATAACCTTATGTAAATACCCAGACATGATCTCCACAGTTGAAATTCCGTAGCAGACTTGGGCTAAGATATGATGGTCGCTTTGGAGGGCCGATCTGGACATACATACATATAAAATTCACATCAATCGAAACATAAGCAAAAGTGAAAAACAACACCTTCATATGTTATTGTTGGGTCTATGACTACCCAGTTTTCAAAAAGCAACAAACGAGATACGGAAAGAAACCAGCTGAGAAAAACACAACCTGTGTTCCCAACTTCGGGGCTTTCTTCCTAATCCCTTTGCAAACAATAATATTCGCCAGTCCATGTTGATATAAGGAAATCACGCCTTTCCACCCCAGTCCTCAAAGCAGCACGAACCGAAAAAGCAATGGCTCATACATCCAACTCCTGCACGCAACGCTATATACATAACTCTTCACTAGCAAGCACAGCGATCCAACCAATAATATGAATGGCAAGATGCTGGTAACCAGCTTGCGACCGGTTTTCATTTTCCAGGAGCATATCTTGAAAAAAGAAGGATAAAAAGAAACCCCCTTTAAACTCGCAAACCTCTTCACCTTATGAGTTGAGCGTCTTGATCATCATCTTTTGCTTGCTCCTGTCGACTACGACCAAAGCCCGAGTCTCAAAGATCATGCTCATTGTGTCAACCACCCGGTGGAAGCTGCTTGCTGCTCCTCGCTCTTGTGTGAACCGTATGATGCTGAGTGGCTGTTTCTTACCATGCTCAATCACCGTCATCACCTCTGCTGCGAAGCATACTTCTTTCAGGTTCAAAACTAGGATTTATGTTAGCGCTTCACACCATCAAGCGTGTCGTACATAATACGCACAGTTCTTATCTGCAACCCGTGCGAAGACAATGTTCCTTTGCTTGTCCACCTGGATGTCCCGAATGCCGTACTTGCGCCACTCGCGCAGAAGGATAGTAACCTCTTGGCGCGCTTGTCTTCTCGAGGCTGTCATGCAGATGTAGTCTGTCGCTGGCTTGACTCTGAAAAGGCGTGCGAGCCAGTTCTGTTTGACCTCGATATTGCGTACTGGCCCGGAGCCAGACTCATGCCATCCGGATTGGGTCACCTTGGCGGAAGAATTCGTCTTACTCATGGCGTTGAAATCCACTGAAGGTCCGTTTTCTTTCTCTTCAGGCCCTAGCACCAATGTTAGACTACCAGCGACTTCTCGGTTCAACGGCTTGGTAGGCAACTCACCTGCGATAGACATAATCGAGTCTCTTTGCTTGTTACTCTTCCAGAAATTGAAGCTAAAAGTCTTCTTCTTGGCAGGAGCATCTGTTGAAGGAGTCTCACTGCGCTTACCGTCACTAGAGGTCAAGTACGAGTTGCAATCGTGCCATTCAACAGACTCTCGGCTAGGCTCAGACTCGGTTTTAGATGATCGTTTGAACCAAGACGTCTTCTTTTTCTTGTTAACTGCTTGAGAGTCGAGTTGTAAAGAGGGCTCCAGTGATGTTCCTGCAGTACTGCCATCCATGCTCTGTTGGAGGGTAGAATCCGGTTCCTGATATTGACTAATGGAAGATGTATTTCCTTGGTCGACTTCGGTGACTTTCTTCCTCACATTGAGCGGTTCGGGTATTTTGACAGGGCTCTGGTCACCCGGTGAATATACCACACGAATGCTGTTTTCGACTTGGCTAAGGTATTCAATGCCGCGGATTCTATCAATTCCTCTCTTTGTTGGTGTATGAGGAGGTGCTGACACGATACGCGCCTTGTCCCCGGACACTGCTCCCGTTTCATTGATAGGTGGTAGGGCGGCATTCCGTTTGTGCTTTTGAGTACAAACAGGAGCAGAGACAACCCGTCGTTCCGAGTGCCTGGTAAGCACTACTGGCTGGGCCAACTTGACCTGCTGTGCATGTAACTCTTCCAGATGCGAGTCTCCGGTTGTTGGCCGAGATCCAATTGGCGTTGGTGCCAGCGATCTGTCTTCGTAGCCTTGATTCGGAGTAGGAAGCGGTGGGAGAGGCCGGTTACTGAAAGACTTGTTCGTCATCTCACGAACGTCCGGGGCCGAATCATCAGGTGCGTCGATGGTAAAAGAGAAAGGCGTCGACTCGTTCATGGTCCGATCAAGGTCCGTCAATGAGCCGGCAATAGAATCTTCTTCCATCAATGAGCTCTTGAAAGCCTCGTCACAGTCCTTTGCAATGTTGCTACTGAAGTGTCGTAATTCCTCCTTGAAAATCTCCGATGCATATCGCGACCCAAGTGCTATTCGTAAGGCTTGCCCGGAAGAACGCTTGGTGTTTCCATGAGGCTCCTGTCTATCTGTAGGCTTTGGTAGCACACCGCTGGGTAGGCTAGGAAGTTCTGGCGTGGGCGATCGAGCCATCTCGATTTGATAAGTCGACCCTTGCTCCGTGACATATGGTGGCATAGAGCCACTCCTATTACGGCTCGTAGAAGTGGACCTCTTGCGTACATGAGTGAAATCAACTCCCCGTTTGTGTCGAAGACTGCGTGTATGAGGCGTACTCTGTCGGCTGCTGTGCATGGATGAAAGCGACCCTCGAGATGACTGAAGCCGTCCTGTAGTCGAGTTTCGAGTCGAGGTCCCGCGCCCACGACGTGCGCTCGACCCACTTCGAATTCTTCTGGGCTGCCCAGCAGAAGAGCTGCTCTCTGCGTAAGAATTCCGGTGCATGTTTGCCCTTGACTGGCCCCGTTGCGAACCACGAGAGTGCAACACACGGTCCCCTGTGAGGGGATCGCGACTTGACCCTCGTTCTGGGTCAGCGGCATTGGATATCACAGTGAACCGCGATATGGAACGTCCATGACCATTGCCACGCGACTGTGCAAATTCACATGTTGATATCCGTTTCTTCCATGTGCCGGGCTGCATATGGTGGTAATCACTCGTTGAGTGTGCGAGCTCGGGCTTAAAATCTTCGAGTTGTTGCTCACGGTAGTGATGCAATAGCCAATAGAAAGCTTTTTGGTCGTTGGGTCTAAAGACGATCAGCAATTGGGAGTTCAAAAACATAGTATGTTGTACAGGACTCACTCATCACATGTGAGCTTTAGCTTCAAGTCATTCTCACTAAACATGTGCCACATGGAACGCAACTGTCGGACCAGTTGAGAATCGACGTCCTTTGCAGGCACGGGGGTGTACTGAAACCCCTTGCGTATATCAGGAGGCTGACTGTTGAGGTCACTAAGATCGTCAAGATACGCGTACTTCCGAACCAGAGGATGGCGCCATATCTCCTTAAGAGTGATGCGTCTGTCGGGATTGACTTGCAGCATCCGTCTAATCAGATCCTCGGCCTCTGGACTGAGGAAACCCGGCATCTCGTATTGCCCCTTCTTTGTTCTAGCCATCATCACACGTAGGTCGGGGTCGTCAAAAGGCAGGGTGGCGGAGAGCATGGCAAAAAGGATAACGCCCATGCTCCAAATGTCTGCCCTGTCGCCTCTGTATTCTTTATTCTTGAGTAGCTCGGGTGCTGCATAATGAGGACTGCCGCAAGCTGTGGCAAGCTGATGAGTGTCCGTCTGGTGGAGAGCGGCCATGCCAAAGTCGGCAATTTTGATTTGGAGGTCGGCGCTGATCAAGATATTCTCAGGCTTCAAGTCTCGATGGCAAATGTTGAATGAATGGCAGTAAGATATGGCGCTGATAATTTGGCGGAAGAAGAAGACGGAAACTTCCTCACTGAGGCGCCCCTTCATGTTGATGAAGGTGAACAAATCACCATGATCGATGTATTCAAGAATTAAGTAACTAAACTGTCAGCATGTTTCGTAAGAAGGAATTCACAAGAACGACGTACACCTCTGAGCGGTTCTCCCAGATGTCGTATAGCTTCATGATATTTGGGTGCTCAATGAGCTTGAGAATCGCCACTTCTCGCTCAATAGCCATAGGAACACGCATCTCGCCATTGACCTGCTCTGGGAGATTATTATCCCACTTGCTAAGAGCGGCCAAACTGCTATCCTGTACAAGGTAGGCCATGCGTCTGTTGACGATTTTGACAGCAGCCAACTGATGGGTGACGGTGTGACGGCATAACCGTACACGTGCAGATGAGCCTTTGCCCAGCGTCTTGCCCAGTTGCCATGGGCCGATGTGCGTCTTGTAGTTCCTTTTGCTGCGACTACTGCCTGAGGAATCGTAAGAGGCCGCCGAATGCCGGCGGTCATCCTCCATCTCATGAGGGGGTTTCAAATCAGCCTGGCCTTGAGGTGTTGGGTTGATGGGCTGTGGTTGTGGTTGTGTAGGAGGAGGTCGGCCAGAAAAGTATGCAGCGGGATGCCCATAGCTCGCGCGTGAGGTACTAGTAACAGTCGATGGGTTGGTGCGATCGTAGCGTGGCTTGTAACGGTGAGATTCTTGAGTTGGATAGTTTGAGTTGATTCGGTTCGAAGCTTCGGATAGTGGTGAACGTATAGTCGAAACCATAGTATCGGCCATGGTAATTGCCGCCACTGTGGATCAGCGCATAATACTTGCAAGTCCCCAGTCTTAAGTCTTGTCCAAATATCAGGGAAATCAAAACAATGTCTGCGCGTAGTAGAAGTCACAGTAACTATGGCGAGTTATGTTGAAGTGACGACGGTAGGTAGGTATTAGTGTTGAGCAAACAGACCCTAAGACGGACGCGACAGTTGGAGGATCACAGGAGGAGGCGGTAGAAGAAAAGGCGAGAAACGAGTGCGTTAAGTGAGAGAGAGTAGCTCCAGCAGCGCGAGGTCTGATAGTCGTAGGGGGGAGAAACGAGAGACACAAGACCCAAAGTCAAGTTTGGAGGAAGAGAGGCAAGATTTCGAAGGTGGAATGCAATGTTTACAGTGGCAGATATGTTTGGCAAGGTCGGTACCTGTGGTTCCAAGGGAGAAAAGGCTGGAATATAATACTTGTAGTCGGCTGGCATTTGACTGGCATCTGCCACCTGCCTACACCTGCCAAATCTGCCACAACCAGACCACACACACTCGGCCTTCTGGTATGAAATGGTGGGGAATTGTGGTCAACAACAGCTGGTCAGAGCTGAGATGGAGGGGTTTTGCTTATATTCAAGGCATCGTGATGCATTCCAGTTCTTGATGCCGTTCGAGACCCATAGCCAATGGTATGAGCTTTTGGCAGCCTCCGCAGTCCTTGTAAAGCAGGGAGAGGGCAAAGGAAAAGCACAATAAACAAGCTGAATTGAAATGTCATATCAGTGGCCTGTCTGGTGTGGCACTATTCTCTTTGGAATATAATAAAGATGGTCGGTATCCTCGGGTGGTTGAGTATAGATCGAACATGGTAACTACCATATCGTGAAGGACTTCTATCAAGGGAAGCAAGTAACAATATCAAACATTCTCTTTGACTAGGCTCGCTTGGTAGTCGAGAGAACCAAATTCCTTCTGGCAAGCTACTCCTCTTTGCTCAAGACTTCTTTGAGCAGGACCTTGAGGTTGCACCATAGCCAAGAGATATCAAACAGGCCAAACGAATACTATGCCAGCACTGGCATCGGTATTGACTATCACTTTGTACCCAACTGGAGGCAGAAAAGGCAAACTTTTACCTCAACAAAGCGCCAGGCAATTGTTCCTCGGAGGAAATTTGAGATGGAATAATGAAGTCACCTGGCAGGGACTGGAATTCTAAAGGGTGAAGTTGTCTTGCTCCCTTTCAAAGGGGTTGCTTGGCGCACTACGTGACTAAGCTGACTTACATGCTGGAAGATTTCTTAGTATCTGGATACCTAAGTAGTCTGAACTCTGAATTAATTAGTACATTTGTATTGCTCTCTCCCAAAAGTAAATGCATGTAGATCGAGTGATAGATAAATACCTCGATTAATTGAGCACTGCTAGAATTCTTCTCATGGCTAAATGTCATCCGATTCAACCAGAGTGCTTGATAACAGGGGAAGTCGAGGAATGATGAATGTGCTTTTCAGCGTGTCAGAGTGGAACATGGTTACGCTAGGCATGACCCTTGGGCAGGCGATATAATTCAGTAAGTTCACTACTAATACCTTGACCTATTGAATATTTCACTATTGTATCTTAGTGACAATGTTTATTTAAACCTTTTAGGAGAAATTTGATATGGCCTCACAATATGGTAGTTGCCCAACCATGTCTGTAGTTCTCATATGGCCAAAGGTAGGTACCTAGTAGGTAGGAGGGACTGTCGATACCCCACCACTTTAAATAGATGGGCGCCACATTTGCAAGGCGCGCACTGTCGCGATTAGACGCGTTCCCTACGACGCACCTACCACTCTCTTTGTCTTCCAATCGTGATATCGATACGCCTTTCAACAAGCAAGTAGAAGACGCTTTTCGTCCCTTCAGGCCAAACTCTACACACCATTAACAGGGAATAATTCATCTCTCGCCCAGTATGGCACCGGCGTCGTCACGTCGCCGCCGGCGCTCTGACACCGACGATTCCGATAACGATGACGAAACTCGTTACGAAAACCGATCGCATGCCCACGATACTGGCTCCCCTAAGCGACCCAGACTTGATCATGATGCGAGCCTTGATGCTGCCGACCACGACACTCACGCGGGAGAAGTTAATGGCACCTCGAGCGGAAACAACATGGATAATGGGTTTCAACCAGGCGCTATCGTCAGAGTCAGCGTCGAGAACTTCGTTACCTACGAGAAAGCCGAGTTTCTGCCCGGGCCTCATCTCAACATGGTCGTTGGCCCAAACGGCACAGGAAAGAGCTCTTTGGTTTGCGCTATCTGTCTTGGTCTAGGCTACAGCCCCAAACACCTTGGACGTGCTGGCTCGGTCAAAGAGTTCGTCAAGCACGGAAAGGATACTGCCACGATTGAGATCGAACTCTTCAAGCGACCCAAAGATCGCAAGAACTTCGTCGTTAAGGTCCAGATCAGACGAGAACAAAACAACCAGAAATGGTGGCTGAACGGGAAGGAATCAACACACAAGCACGTGCAGTTTCTAATGCGCAAACTGAAAATCCAGGTAGACAATTTGTGCCAATTTCTTCCGCAGGATAGGGTTGTCGAATTCGCTGCCTGCACACCCGTGGATCTTTTGCGCGAAACTCTCCGTGCAGCTGCCCCAGAAGAAATGTTGGACTGGCAGAAACAGCTTCAAGATCTGGATAAGGACAAGAAAGAAATTGAGCAATCTACCCATGGCGACGTCGAGACTTTGAGGAATTTAGAGAATCGACAGCAGGGACTTCAAACAGATGTGGATAGGATCCGAGAGCGTGAGGAAATCAAAGAACATGTCAAGAACCTCAAATCGGCTTGCGTTTTTGCTCAATATTCCGAGGCTCGTTCAAGATACAAAGACGCCAAAGATCGAAAGAAACTCGCCGAAAGGTCTCTGAGGCGCCTAGAACACGATGCTGGTCCATCATTAGAAGCGGTGAATGCGAAGCAGCTCTATGCGCAACGGATCGACGAGGCAATCTCAGCAAGAACGACCGCATTGAAAGAAGCGGAAGACGTTACAAAGAAGCTGGTGCGCGACGCGAGTACCGCTTCTGATAATCTCAAAGAGTTCGAGAACGGACTTGTAACAGAGCGCAAAGGTTTTGATGCCAAACGAAAAGAGCTGGCTCAGTCTAAGTCGAAGATCACAGCTCTACAGGCCGATCTTAGAAACCGCCCAGAAGAGTTTAATCCTTCAGACTTCAATCAAAAGATTGTGAGGATCCTCTGAGTTTGATAGGTGATGACATATACTAATGCCGTGTCCAGCGAGGAGAAGAACATACTCTCAGAGAGTTAGAAGGAGAACAACGTGAAGTGTCTGGGCAGCGCGAGGAGATTAAAAACAAAGGCAAATCGCTCAACAACGATATTCGACAAGTGGAGAGCAATATCCAGTCCTTGGAAACTCAGCAGGGCCAGCAGCTCAACTTCATGCGAAAACACTTTCCCGAGTTGGCAACGGCCTGGGACTGGATTCAAGAGCATCGGCAGGACTTCGAGAAGGAGGTTTTCGGTCCGCCAATGATCAGTTGCTCCATCAAGGATGAACGTTACTCGGACCAGGTACAGTCTCTCCTACAAGGAGATGACTTTACATGTTTTACGGCACAAACCAAAGGCGATTACAAGAAATTGTCGGACCAGTTGTACCGCGTCCAAAGTTTGTCGGTGGTTATTCGATCTTGCGCTCAACCACTCAGTGCCTTCCAAAGACCAGTCAGTGCAGATGAAGCCAAGGGTCTGGGGCTTGACGGATTTGCCATCGACTTCCTTGAGGGCCCAGAGCCCGTTCTGGCCATGCTCTGTGCTGAGAAAAGAATTCATCAGTCAGGCGTTTCTTTGAGGGACCACAACGATGCCCAATACGATCAGCTAGTAAAAAGCGGCCGAGTCAACTCCTGGGCAGCTGGAAAGCAATCCTTCATAGTCAGACGACGTAAAGAGTATGGACCTCAGGCGATGACGGCCGTTACCAAAAGCATCCCACCAGGAAGGTTCTGGACATCACAGCCCATCGATGGACAAGAGAAGCAGGAGCTGAACAAGCGATTGACGGAGTTGAACGGCGAGAGAGACATTCTCAAAGAGCAATATCACGAGCTGCATGGCAAAGTCCAGACCATCGAGGATAAGAAGGCCACCATCCACGATACCATTGTAAGATCCCTTCAGTTCCTCGTGTTGTCTCGAGACGAACATATTGTGCTAACCAGCTTAGAAACAACTGAAAGCAGAGAAGAATACCCTTCAAAAGGAATACCAGAAATGGCAGACTCTGCCTGAAAAGATTGGTGAGTAGCTCGAGAACCACATCGAATGCAAGTTTGCTGACATGATGGCCTAGAATCTGAGGAGCGTTCGAAGACAGCTCATGAGCAGTCTTTAAGGGATGCCCGCAAAAGAATGGTCGAAATCCGATACGAATGGGATGAAGCAGTTCTCCGACGAGCTGAGCTTGTTCTTCGCCACAAAGAGGCGATTGAAAAGCTTCGGAAGGCACGCCAGGCTCTCCTCGAGGCGGAAATTCGCGGAATCGAGGCTCACTCTGACGTTGTTGGGCTGAAAGGGCGAAATTCGCATATTATGCAACGCCTTGACGCTGAGAAGGAGACGCTGCGCCAAGCCACGGAAGATGCCAGTCGAGCCCGAGAAGAAGGCAACCGTCTTTCTGAATCTGCGCAACAAGTCATCGACCGGGAGCCAGAGAAGCGTGACCTCTTCTCTGAGCTTTGCGAGGGAAGAGCATCTGGCGAGATACAGGAAGAAATCGGAGCAGAGGAAGCCAAGCTAGAGTGCATACACGTCCCCAATCCTAATGTGCTAAAGGAGTTCGAGAAGCGTGCCGAGGAGATTGCTCGACTTTCTCGGAAACTGGCGGGATCTACCGAAAAGCTTGAGGGCTTAACTGGAGAAATTCAAGACTTGAGATCGAAATGGGAACCGCGGCTCGACGAGCTGGTTTCGAAAATCAGCGACGCCTTTGCATACAACTTCGAACAGATCAGCTGTGCAGGCGAGGTTCGTGTACACAAGCCAGACGATTTTGACGCCTGGGCTTTGGACATCATGGTTCGTTTTCGGTATGGCTCTCCCCTTTCTTCGCTTCTCTACAACGCCCAACTAACACTTTCCAGCGAAAACGAAACTCTTCAGCAGCTTACTGCACATCGCCAATCCGGTGGCGAGCGCGCTGTTTCCACCATCTTTTTCCTCATGGCCCTTCAGTCTCTAGCTCAGTCACCATTCCGTGTCGTTGATGAGATCAACCAAGGTATGGACCCTCGCAACGAGCGAATGGTGCACGAGCGAATGGTCGAAATTGCATGCCGCGAGCATTCAAGCCAATACTTCCTCATTACACCAAAGCTCTTGACAGGCCTCAGATACGACCCCAAGATGCGTGTACTCTGCATTGCAAGTGGCGAGCACATGCCTCGCGAGGGTCGCAAGCTCGACTTCAAGCGATGCCTCAGGATACAGAAGGGGCTTATGACCGCTTCTGCGTGAGCCATGAAGTTGCTGCACTTTTTCTTTCTCTTCCTCTGTATTGTTACAACCAAAGCGAGGCTTGTGGAATATGGATAGATACATATTACGGCGAAAGGGGGTTAATGATACCATTAGGACGAGCGAAACAATTGTAACCTTGTAGACACATGTATGGTCCGTGATTCAAAATGCAGTTGCTGGTGACACATCTTGGAAGACTTTGAGTGAGGTAGCTTCGCCACCAAGGCCTTCCCAAGGATCAAGGCGTTCAGTAAACCAAAATTAGAGAGTACTCTCAGTCTAGTTGTATGTACCCAGACACTTATTCACGTACTTCAAAAAAGGAAAGCGTCCAAACTTGCACAGATAATACATCATTTATTCATTCACTCTCTCTCATACAAAGCATCAACCTCCCTGTAAACACTATACTCCCTCTAGAGCCACGATCTACATGTATCTCGAGTTGCCCCATCGAGCTTTTCCGCCTCTCCTCTGCTAGGTACTATAGAGTTAAAAACAAAACATAAAAGGTATGATCTTATACAACGTGTCCTTGAAAGCCAGGTGAAAAGAACAACTAGAACAAGAAATCCACCGACCCGGCTCTGATGAGTCGAGCAAGTATGAGGGAATTAGAATATGGCCGGCCCCCTTTCGATATGATTAAGTTTCAGGGATTCAAGCAAGTTGAAAAAGGGTAAAGAAGAGGAAAACGGCTGATTTCGAAAATAATAACATTGTCAATCAAGACAACTCAAACTCCATTCCACCTTTGCGAAGATCAGGATGTATAGACAATGATCATCGCCCATGTAAATCAAAACTAAGACGGTGGGTATATTTGCGTCATGAAAGCGTATCGGTATCCAGGAATTGCTTCGGATTAGGATTGTCGGGGTTTTTCTCCGTCACTGTGGTGATCCTCCGTATCAAGTCTCTTGCGCCAATCCGCCAGGCTCTCGCTGAGGCCAACCTCCGGAGCATTACCGTGGTCCTTCTTGGCCGCAGCAGCAGTCTCAAAATCGAAGTTGGTGCTCAGCCGATAATTCTTGTTCGTCGCCTCCCACTGACTTCGGAGTGTTTCGAGCTCGCTAGCAAGACTGTCCAGGGCCGCGCTGTTTCTAGCTTCCAAGCCACCTTTACCAGTTGCGCCAGCATTCTCACTTGCGCTTGGGTTGCCACTCGGAGGTCCATAGACACTCCCACTCTCAGAGCTCTCTTGTCTGGAATGTCCCAAGCCAAGACCATTGGCGCTAGCGGCCATCTCGGAGTTCATGCTGGGCACTTGTCGGCTGCGTCGGCGATAGTTGTCGACAGAATGTTCGACTTGGTCCAAAAGAAGAGCCACCTTCTGCTCGGCATCGCTTGCACGTTGCTCGAGAAGAGCATTCTCAGACTGCAGCTGCTCGAGATCCTTGCGATGGGTGGTCAGCTTCTGTGTGGCCTCTTCACTGTACTTCAAAGCTGCTTCCCGATGGTTGTTGGCATCCTGTATCTCGGTCTGAAGCACTAATAGGCGCTTCTCCATATGAGTAGAAGATTCTTGAAGTTCTTTCTCAAGCCCCTGGATTCTTGTCTGCAGTTGTGCCTTCTCGCTTTCCCAGCCAGGCGATGCAGATGCTCCTTGACTCTGAGCACGATCCTCAAGCTCCTCGATCTCCGTCTTCAAACGGCTGTTCTCGGTCTTGTATCGAGACAGTTGCTCTTTGAGTTGCTTGAGCATCTTCTCAGTGCCCTTGACATAGTGTACTGCTGACTGATAATCACTTTCCAGCTGCGACAATTTCTCCCGCCAGGCGGCTTCTGATTCTTGAATTTGGATGGCGAATGCTTGCTTAGTCTCTTCATGGGCGGCAGAAGAGTTGGCGAGTTGGGATTCGAGATTTCGAGCACGGTTCATGTCGGGTGAGTCAATTCGCTGGTTAGGTAGAGTACGAGCACGAATAGAAGTCGTAGGGCTTATGCCTCGTTCGCTGAGGATATCCTTGAGTGCGTTATGCTGAACCGACATAGCATTTGTCTCGAGTTGTTGAGCAGCCAATTGGTTCTTGAGATCGGTATTGGCTGCCTGTAGACTTTGCGTGTCACGCAGAGCAGACTGCAGCTGTCTCCTGATGGTGACACCTTCTCGACTTGACTGTTCTTGATACTGCTCAAGCCCGGCAATACGTTCTTCGGCACCACGCAATTTGTCAGCTGCTGCTTCCAACTCCTGCTGGTATTTCTTGACAAGTTCGTTCGAAGTAGCGAGCTGAGACTGTAGCACAGCAAGGCGCTCAGTGTCCGCCTTGCTAACCCCGGAGACGTCTCGAGCCGAGATCTTGTCAAGGCCTGCAAGAACGGCTTGGCGAGTTGTTCGAGCCTCAGCCGCATGTTTTTCCGAAAGTTCCTCCGCATCACGTAGTCGCTGAGTGGTAGCTACAAGTTCAGCAGTACGAGCCTCGTGTTCAAACTTGAGTTTGTTGAGCTGTGTCTCAATCTTCTCTCGTTGGGTTCGTTCTTCCGCAAGCTTGGATTCCAGAAGAGCTGTCGAGTCTTCGGATGCTACAATAGCAGCTCGAAGGGACCCGAACGTATCACTATGGTCCTTAGAGCTTCCGACGGCTTCTTGATACTTCTGCTCTATGTCGCTCTTTTCAATACTTAGGAGTTCAACAGCAGCCACGATCTCAGCCCGGGCAACTGAATGCTCCCGCGCGTCATGCTGTGCGAGGTGCAACTCGGCTTTGAGGCGCTCAACCTCTGTTGATGTTTGCTGCTTGTAGCTTTCAAGCTCTGCCATGCGCTTTTGAGCTGCGTTTGAGGTGTCATCAGCTAACTGCCTTGCCTTCTTCTCGGATTCGAGTTCGCTCTTAGCGGAATCAAGTCGAGACTGAAGATCTTTCTGAACATGCAATGCAGAAGCAAGCTTTCTGCTAAACTCGCCAGACCGACTATCATAATCATCTCTGGGGCCATCAAGCTGCGGTGTGCTTGCCGAGCTTCCACCTAAATGAGCAGCAAGCTTGGCCTTGGAATAAACAGCTTCCTGGATGGCCGCATCCCGTTGCTTCTCTGCTTCGGCGATTTGCTTCGCTGCAAGAACGGCTTGCTTGTCCACAGAATTCTGGACATTGGCAAGTTCTGTTCTCATTGCCAACAAAGCCTCAATAAGCGGCCGGTCCTCGTCATCGAAGGTTTCGGTGGCCTTGTTATCGAGCAGGATGCTAGACGAAGTGTTCGGGACGTATCCAGACTTGCGTGCAAGCTCTAACTCGGATGCGTACCATGCATTTCGATTTCGAGCAGAGTCCAGCTCCTTAAGAAGGACAACTGTTTGCGAATTCCTTCCCGACGCTCGTCTGGAAACCATGGGATTACTTGGCTGTCTTGTTGGGGCTGGTGGCGACGCAGGGCGAGGTGTTACTGTCGGTTTGGGCAAAGTTTCTGATGGCCCATCTGTTGAGGCTAGGATACGAGGTTGCTGAGGCTGCTTTGCCTTTGGTATGTCCCCGTTCACTTGGTCCTGTCTGGAACCAGCTCGTACCGGTGGTTGTACAGGTGTTCGTTGGCCGTTTGATATAGGACTTTCAATCTCATTAATCACTTCTCTTGTGATCGGCGAGCCGGAATGCATTGCTCTTGGAGAATTTGAAGAGCCGCTACGTTCTGCAGACTGTCCTCTGACTCGCGCAACAGCAGATACATCTACCGTGGGCCTAGCAGGCATTGGTCCTTGGGGAGGCGGCCCGGATGGAGGCATTGCTGAGGCTCTGGGAAGTTTACCGTTTGCAAGGGCAGATTGAGGACCTTCGACATCAGTGTTGTTAGGCGGTGATCGTTGTCCATTTGGTGGAGCAGAAGCTCCTCCTATAATCATCTTTCTTGAATCCGTCGGTCCGTTTGAACCATCTCGTGCAGGATACGGACGACTGCCGTCGCTCGCAGCACTGGGTCTGCGTGAGCCTTGAACTCGCGGCTGTGGCGCCTGCTGCGCATCATTTGGGTATCGGATCTTAGAGGTATCCAAGACATAAAGAAGGCCCAGATCGCTAACAGTTGTAGTTGCTGAACTTGGCTCTCCGCCAAGGACCACGATCGATTTGCCAACTGTTGTCATGCTATGTCCAGAGCGAGGGGAAGGGGAAGGCCCCATGTTTTGGAACGTATACCATCGTCTAGACGAAATCCTAAATGCTGCAAGGTCGCCAAGGTCCGTTCCTTCCTCAGTTCGTCCACCAAAGACGTACATGACATCGTCCACCAGAGCAGCAGCGTGGCCTTCGCGCGGCGCTGGGATATACCCAATGCAGTCGAATAGAGACCATTTGTTGGCTGCTGGGTCGTAGCACCAAACATCGTTAAACCACTGGAAACCATTTGTACCACCAAAACTAGAGTCGCGTCAGGAATTGTTCAACAGGGATTCGCTGTCGGCACTTACAGGTACATCTTGTCATTGTAAGTGATCATAGTGTGGTTAGTTCGGGGCGCGGGCATTTTGGGGCTTGTCTCGCCTTGGACAAGGATTTCCCAACGATTATTCGGCATTTGAAGCTGGTTAAGATCGAATGCAGATAGATCGTTCATAAACAAACCCTCCACTTGACCACCAAAAACATATATCTTAGACCCTAGAATATTGAGTGAATGACCGTATCGACCTGACGGCCTGGGCCCAGCAGGAAGCGCACGGGACCATTGTCTCGTTGCTAAGTTTCTGTCAGTAAGGAGAAATCGCTAAATCCCGAGAAGCTTACATGTGTTAAGAAGATAAAGTGTCTCATCGAGAGTATCAGACTCATCGATCTTGGTATCGCCTCCATAAACAATGAATGCGTTACCAACAAGCAGACTTGAATGTCCCACTCTCGGGCCAGGGCCTTCTGCTGTTGTTGCCAAGGGGTAGCATGCCATATTACCACCAGCTTCAATCATCCACAGATCGCCCTTGACGGTAGATCCGTTGATCAAGCCGCCCATTAAATATACGTCGCCTTCTTTAGAAGAAACAGAGTTAACTGCAGCGCCATACCGCGGGAATGGCGAAGGATGGGTAGAAGTGTAGGTTAATCGGCGCTGCGACCAAGGGTATAGCGACGCATTTGGGCCGCTCACTGGGGGGCCATTTCGAGCCTAAACGGCACCAGTTAGCATTTGCGACAGATCGAGAAGGTTTTCTCGCCATTGGCGACGCATGGAAAGCTTACGGCAACATCGCTTGATTGCTGGATTGGCTGGTCAGCACTTCCACCACGGCGACCATGTCCATGTGCATGTGCATGTCCTTGAACAGGGGCATTATCGGGGCTTGCATTGCTGCTCTCATGTTCGATCGAGTTCAGGCTTCCTGTAGGAGTTGCACGATGCCCTGTGGGAGTTCCGCGCTGTTGGACGGCATTCTTCTCAGCAACGCGAGTGCCTCCGCCGGTACTTTGTATAGACCCTTGAGAGCCAGAGCCTGCGTCACGGCTAGCGGGTTGCGACCTCTCTGGATGCTTCTTTGACTTGAAAAGGAAGGCCATGGTTTATCATGAAGCAGCCGCAGAGCGGCAGGAAATCGAATCGAGAGCAGTGTGTGGTAGGATGCGAGAGAAATGCGATGCGGATGCCGCGAGGGTAGGAGGTTGTCGTGCTGCAGTCGTCGCGTGTCAAGGATCGCCAGGTAGCGAAGCGAGATCAACTATAGAAAAGTTCCAGCCACAAAGATACAAGTAAAGTCGATATTCTGATTCGGCAATGGCTGGGCCAGCATCGGTGGACGTGCTGATGGAATCGCGGAAGGTTCTAAGAAATTTTGGGGCGTGGTCAACCTCCCGAATTACGGGGGAGTCGAGGGGAAGGGGCTGGCTTCGAGTCGGAGGATGCGCTGCCGCACGTTGAGGAATGAGACTTTGTTCTGTATCGTTTAGCGACCACGTAGTTGATTGAAACAGGCGTATAGATCGAGACGCACGAGAGGAGTGAAAGAGTGACGATGCGGCAGTTAAAAAGCCCCAAGTTGGGTTGGCGCAGAAACTGTCTAACAGTTGCGAGATAGGATGGATGGGATAGGAAAGAAAGTGGTGATGGTCAGGTACGAAATGAGCAGCCAAAGCCTGCGACAGCTGCAACGGAGCGGAAACAGGCAGCGTAACGATAGATGGGGCTTAACGTTAGTCCTTGCTCCCATTCACAGTGTGGGTGCTTACAGTGGCCTCAAAGGTCTTGAGCCTCCTATTGCTCGCTGTTGTTTGCTACAGGCCAGACTTGCACTCCAAGTCTTGGACTCACCGACCAATCAGACCGTGGTCTCCCCCTGAGCATATATCGCTGTAGCCCGGGGCAGCCCCAGCTTAAGTGGACGATGTTTAGGGGTTCCCATGCAAAGCGGCCTCGGGTACCTGTACGTACAGTGTCACTTTGCACGGGCTTGTATGGAGTGGAGATGGTCAACGGGAACTCTTAACTCGGGCATGGATAGAACTGTCCAAGTTCCCCTCTAGGTAGTCGAGTTTTTGCCAGTGCCAACCTGAGTCCTGCCGAAGAAAAACAGCTAACAATATAAACCGCCTCAAAATTTATGACAGGGGTTGGAGGATTAAGGTGCCATCCCATCTCCTTGGAGCACACGTTCCTGGTCCAGGGGGACATGCTATGGTACCTACAGGTTGTTACCACACTTCTCGACCTTTCGTCCTACGTTACAAAAGCACTACGACAGTGGCCGCCTGCTTGAGAAGAATGCATGCTATTTAAATGACATGCATACAATCAGCGGCTCAATAAAAATATACAGCATGGGGCCATGGGCACTCCTCTCTGCCTACAGTGCCTGGGGTCTCTTTGTTCTGTCTCTGCTGGATCGTCCTTGCATCCCAAGGTGGAGATACCCTGGTGGCCGGGACTCATCCAACGGAACCCGCTGCAGCTGGTGTGCCCCTTTCGTACTTCTTGTACCTGACAGAATGCGCTCTAATCATCAGCTACGATGCCAAGAACAGAACCTTGGGGACTAAGAAATCAGCTATAACAGCCAGGAGGGCTGCATATATTAATGGCCAGGAACTCTTGCAAAATCCATATTCGTGAACTATCATACAACCCTGGCTCAGTGGGTTTCGGGTTCTGTCAAATGAGTATTAGCCGAGGAACAAAATAGATCGATCTGTTCACTTTTGATACAGGTACTTTGTGGAAATATTGCAAGGATGTCTTGAAACGACATAAATAACTTGACGTCTGTGATCAGCCTCGAGATATCTGACATAATTCTGACGACTGCTGCATTCTCTAAAGACACAATGAGAAGCTAATGTGAATCATTAAGCAGCTCATCTTGGATCAAAGCTGAGAGTTTATTGGATTGTTGGGTTGGTCATATTCATCGTTTCATGTTTCTCGGGCGCTAACATGGTCAAACCCAACGGCCTACGCACGCCAAGACTTCACGGCTGATTACTCTTTTCCCCCTTCGATTAGCTCCACCAGAGAACGTTTCGTTTACCTGATTCGGTGATTAAAAAAGGGATACGAGACTAGTGTCTTGTGAACTACCTACCTAATTAACTAAGTGACTTGCTGACTCCATGAGAAGATGCAAATGGCAGTGTCTTAGTAGATTGAGACTTTGGCTGTCTTGTGAAGTGATATGCGGCAGATAACTACTGCATGTGGTGCGGTGTTCAAGTATCTTTTGTGGCGGCCCAGGAGAAATACATTATCCAAACAGCGTACCAATCAACTGGTTGATTTTGCCAAGTATCCAATAAGGCACTATATATTCAAGCCTGGAAGTTGCGATCAACGAGAACTAGGTACTCAGGAGAGCTATATCATATTTGGTGATATATTCATTCCACTCCAGTGATACGGAATATCTCAATGGTAGGGCATGGGGACATTCTCCGGACATAGGTAATCACAACCTGATAAGGTGTGAACGAGTTTTCCATATATGTATAAAGTATTGTTGGTAAGTCCTTTGCAAGTATGAAATTTTAGTAACCTTCAAGAAGGCCATTCATGTATTTTACGTTAAGCCAAATTGTGGACTTGACGTCTTCCAGTTGCTAGGGCATGTCTGGTTGGAACACGTCCCATCTACAAAGTTGCCCACAACTAAGGTTGTAGGTCTGAATAGCAGTTTCTACTATGGAATGCAACTGAGGGTCCAGTTAGGTCTGTATCCCAAAATTATTATTTCAAGTCTCGCAAGATACACACTTTACCAATTAAATACATCAGCGTCTTTCACAGTATCCTACCTGCTTAGTACATTTGTTGTGCGGTTTTTAAATTGAATGGATGGTAAAAAGTTACGGTCAGAATTTCGTATAATTTTTCAAACAGCCTAAGAATTCCATGTTATGGGCATTGTTTTCCGAGTACTATGTGTGTCAAATTTACGAGGGCCGTTAGTCGATGTGTAACAATCCAATTCTAGGTGGTTACTTAATCTATGAGTTCTAAGAAATCCCATTACACCACGTTAGCAGTAGTTACATGTAACTGATGAGAGTATAGAGTGCATAATATATGAGATAATAAGAACATACATCTCATTATCAAGGCTAAACCTTACAAGATCCTTCATGTTATACAGTTCAAATGTATTGGGTTTCAGGGAGTATAGGTTAGGCAAGGTCAAAATGGTTGACGACCAAGACACCACGTGCTAGGTCACGCGCAAGTCAATATTCGTTCCATTGTCAATCTTTACTATGTGCATCAAAGTTAGCTTTCCTAGCGCTCGTGGCTTGCATGCTGTTTTAGCTCAGTGGTGGTTGGCCAGGCGGTTTCCTTTTGGAGCGGGGACAACGCCTACCTAACGAATTGAAGCAGCGATCGGTACCTAATGGATCCTCCAGTACGGCAGCTGTTGATATGGCCGTATGGCTCTTAACAGTACTTGACATTGAAGGAAGTAAAATAACAATAATATACACAAGTTTGGGAATAGTAAGCACTATCAATGGATTGGTTATGTGACAAACAATATATCGCCATATGCAACCCAACTCTATATGTCATCAAGCTAGGAGTGGCCCGCGGGCGTGCTAGGAATTCCTAATTTCCATCTGCCTTTATCCTGGTCAGCCGCCTACAGACACCAAACCTGGGCCTCATATTTTGCTCCTCTCGCCCACTTCCAAAAAACTCGCCCAACTACTTACCATCGTAATCGACAACTGGGTTCAGTCTGGAATTCAGAGAAATACTCCCATCGCCCTTAATAGACCGGGCGACTGTTCGCAATGCCGGCTTGAGCTACACAGAAAGGCATGACAGTTGTGTCGCTATAATAGACGTCACTTCCTCCACATCTCTCCAGCCAGCCATACCCGCACCCGCTTCACTGCGAGCTCCTCCGCCAACGCAAAGCTCACGCAAACCCGCGCTCGTCACGACAACACGCGCTCCTCGGCTACCGCCAAACTACAGCGTCAATAGCGACACTCCGCCAGTGTTCAGCTGCCATGGCGCTGCGATCCGATATCAACGGTACCTCTGCGCCTACGGCCGAGTCGAATGGAGTCACCTCGGCAGCGCGACCTAGAGTAAACGGCCGCTCAACCTCGAATAGTGTTCCGGCGAGCGACGATGACGAACAGCGCCCTTTGAGTGCACCCAACCGGCGCAACGGGAGCATGAGTCTCGAGACGAAGGACGATATCGAGCACCACCAGCAAACGCGGCCCGTGAAGCCATTGCTGCTCCGGTCCAAGAGTGACTACGCGCATCGATCGATGGATGAACCCGAACCGGTAGAAGACAACATACCTGAATGGGGTGCTAGACATGGCTTCGAGGACCACTACCAGTCGGAGGATATTATATCTCAGCTGGCTAATGTGAGTTGTACCTCTAATTTATTCTTATGCGCTGGGCGGTCAGTTCGGGTATACCCCAGTTCCTGTATCATGCTCGACAGATGCAGGACAAAGCAACCCTAGTTGCGATATGTTGTGGCACGTGGAAACAAGCATCTTAGCCGTCTAAAGGCTTCGCTGTTTGATCTGTACCGCCCATTCTAGACTTTTTTTGTGCCATTTCCCAAGCAAACACCCTGCGAGCTTGAGGCTGAGCACAATGCATCTACATCACACACATCATCAAAGGTTACTAGGCTAACCGTGTACTGTAGAATTGGTATATGTACTATACAGATAAACGACACGAGACGACAGGCAAACCCAAACCACTACAGTATGAACTTCAAGATTGGCGACAAAGAGACAGGTTGAAGACGGTCTCTGCGGCTCTCGCGGTGTGTTTAAATATAGGTGTCGAACCTCCCGACCAGCTCAAGACCAGCCCAGGCGCGAAACTGGAAGCCTGGACAGATCCGACGGTTCCTCCTATCCAGAAAGCCCTCGAAAACATCGGCAAGTCGCTTCAGGCTCAGTATGAAACTCTCGCGATAAGAGCGCGATATAAACAGTACCTGGACCCGTCTGTCGAGGAGACAAAGAAGTTCTGCATCTCTTTGCGCAGAAATGCCAAGGATGAGCGTGTTCTGCTTCATTACAACGGACATGGTGTTCCCAAGCCAACTGCGTCGGGCGAGATTTGGGTTTTCAACAAGAATTACACTCAGTACATCCCCGTTTCGCTCTACGATTTACAACACTGGCTACAAGCTCCCACCATATTTGTCTGGGATTGTTCAGAGGCTGGTAATATCCTTAACAACTACCATAGATTTGTCGAGAAACATGAAGAGGAGGAGGAAGAGGCCGCAGAGCGTGACCCTAACTACACAAAGACCAATTTCCGACCCTATATACACTTGGCCGCCTGTGCAGTCAAGGAGAATCTTCCCACCAACCCTCTTCTACCCGCAGATCTCTTCACTGCTTGCCTCACAACCCCCATCGAGATGGCTCTGTGGTTCTTTGTCCTACAAAATCCCCTCAAAACCAACATCAGCCCAGAGCGGGCCAAGAAGCTACCTGGTAGACTCCAGGAGCGGCGAACACCATTAGGTGAACTTAATTGGATTTTTACTGCCATCACGGATAGCATTGCATGGACGACCTTGCCGCGCGATCTCTTCCGCAAGTTCTTCAGACAAGATCTTATGGTTGCAGCTCTGTTCCGTAACTTTCTTCTTGCTCAGCGTGTCATGACCGTTTACGGATGCCATCCTCAATCCTATCCAAAGCTTCCCGACACCCACCAGCATCCATTGTGGGAGACGTGGGATCTGGCGGTCGACATGGCATTGGCTCAGCTCCCCATGCTGGAGAAGAAGGAAAGCGAGGGCTTTGATTATGAGTACCAAAACTCAACCTTCTTCACAGAACAACTCACTGCGTTCGATGTTTACCTTACTAGGGGCGATGCGATGGCTCAGAAATCACCCGACCAGCTGCCTGTTGTGTTGCAGGTGCTGCTCAGCCAACAGCATCGAGTTCGTGCGCTTATTCTACTCGGTCGTTTTCTTGACCTTGGTCCGTGGTCTGTTCAGCTCGCTCTCAGTATCGGAATCTTCCCGTATGTTCTTAAGCTCTTGCAATCTGCTGCAGCTGAGTTGAAGCCGGTGATGGTCTTTATCTGGGCACGCCTCATCGCAGTGGATCTTTCATGTCAGCAAGATCTCATCAAAGACAGCGGTTACAGCTACTTTGCGCAGATTCTCAAGCCGTCTGAAGGATTACCTGTTGTTGACAGCGATGAGCACAAGGCGATGTGTGCCTTTATTCTCGCCATGCTTTGCAAAGACTATAAAAACGGCCAGATGGTCTGCAATCAGACAGATATCATGTCTTACTGCTTAACTCATCTTCAAAATGAAGAAAACCCTCTTCTGCGACAATGGGCATGCCTCTGTATAAGCCAACTTTGGCAAGACCTTCCCGAGGCAAAGTGGCGGGGTATCCGGGAGAATGCGTACGTCAAGTTGGCCTATCTGGTCAGAGACCCTTGTTGTGAGGTACGAGCGGCTATGGTGCATGCCATGACCACGTTCCTTGGCATTCCCGACCTGACAGAAGAAGTTGCCCGTATTGAGGAGTCAATTGCATGGACTATCCTTGATATGGGTAATGACGGAAGCCCGATGGTTCGCAAAGAGTTCGTTGTGTTCCTGTCGAGTTTTGCTGTTCGCTTTGAGAGTAAGTTCTTGGTTGCAGCATATGAACAACTGGTTGAGGAGAAGGAGTATCTCATGTTCCCTCCCCAAGACGATGGCCAGGAACACAAAATGGGGGTGCATTATGCAAGACCCGACAATCGCAACAAGGATGGCACCATTAAACCAATGGCCCATGGCTTGTCGCACAACACAGTCTACATGGCGTTGTGGAAGTTAGCTTTGGTACTCAGCGTCGACCCTCACCCTGAAGTACAACGTGAGGCTACAGTCGTAGTCGACTTCGTGCATCACGCGCTTTTCAGCTCAAAAGTTGGCGCCCAGACCCAACAGGTCATGGCTGAGATTCAAAAACGCGCGACAAAGCTAACACACAAGCACACACCGAACGCAAGCCAGCGTAGCAATGCTGCAGGACATGCCAACTCGCAGCCCTTACCTTCTCCTGGACTCTTGCGGCGAACTGCGAGCTTGCTATTTCCATCTTTGGTCACCAATGAAGATAAATCAAGACCGACAACACCGACTTTGCCTCGGTCGCCATCACTAAAACACACACCAAACCAGTTGCCTCCGCCAGAACAGAACGATCGAGCATCGTCACTGGGGCAGTACAACGTTGCGCATGAGCCCTACTCTGGTGCCTACAGAGAACGAGACTTGACAAAACCTGCCACACTCCCTATCAAGAGCAGATTCTTGGAATGGTCAATCGAATACTTCCGTGAACCGCAGATGAAGCCAAGTGAAGCAGATGAGCCAGGAAGCACTGAGTATAATGAGCGCCTCTGGCGGAGAGCTCGTAATGAAACTATCATTAGAGAGACACAGCCATTGAAACAACAAGCGGGAAGCCACAAGTGGAATAATCAGCTTGGAATTGTCAACAATGGTGCTCAACCGGCCAAAATGACTTTCCATCAGTTTGAGGATCATCTTGCTGTGGCAGATGATGGCAATACAGTTTACGTGTGGGACTGGAAGAAGCAAGGTCGGCTGAGTCGTTTCAGCAACGGAAATCCTGAAGACTCTAAGATCAGCGATATGAAGTTCATCAACGAGGACGATCAAGCAATGCTTCTCACAGGATCATCCGATGGTGTGATCAGAGTCTACCGCAATTACGAATCGGATAGAGAAATCGAGCTCGCATCTTCCTGGCGTGCCTTGACACACATGGTGCCAAGCAACGTCAACTCGGGTATGGTGTTCGACTGGCAGCAAGTTACAGGCCGAGTCCTCGTCGCTGGCGATGTTAGGGTAATCCGAGTGTGGTACGCTGCTTACGAGACATGCGTCATGGACATCCCAGCACGGTCAGGATCCTGCGTGACATCATTGACGTCTGATCAAATGACGGGTAACATGTTCGTTGCCGGCTTCGGAGATGGCGCCGTTCGGGTTTTCGACACAAGAAACCGTCCTCAGGAGTCAATGGTGCGCAAGTGGAAAGACGAGTCGGATCGCCAGTGGGTCAAGAGTGTTCATATGCAGCGTGGTGGACAGCGAGAGCTCGTGAGCGCTAGCAGGAATGGCAAGGTCAAGATCTGGGATATTCGCATGGATAAGCCTCTGCACTCCTTCCAGACAACGCGAGACACACTTCGCACCGCCAGCACGCATGAACACTTGCCGGTCTTTGCTGTGTAAGTACCAATCTATTACTGTGATATATGTATAAGGACAAGCAACTAACTTGAACGACAGAGGCACCTCCGCGCATACAGTCAAGGTGTTTAACCTTGATGGCCACCAGCTTTCGAACGTTGAGCCTTACTCAAGCTTCCTGCAACAGAATCGTAGCTCCCCTATCTCAGCAACAGCGTTCCACCCTCATCGACCAATCCTGGGATGCGCTGCTCAAGGTGATCATCACATTAACTTGTTCACTTGCGAGAAGTCTGAGTCTATGTACCCAAGTTAGCGTCCTTGGGGCAGCGGGCTTCACTTATAGCAACCCGTAGGAGAGGAAAGCGGGTGTTGCTTAATACCCAGATCAGGGAGATAGCAAGTCAACCAGATATGAACCATAGAGAGGCTCAAAGGGATGAGGACGTCGATAGGTTGCATGTCATATCATTTAGGATTCTTTTTCATTTTATGCAGGCGTTCAGGGGACAAGACTAGCGAGGTAACGGATGGATGGTGCGAACGGGAGGTTGTGTTCCTCGACGGATTTCCCCCCCAGATCCGTTCCATTTACGCGATATGTATCGGGAGTGAACTTGCTAGACTACAGGACGGAGCATTGGAGAGACGTATAGTAAACTTAATATGAATTGCTAATTCGAAGACCCAAAGCCATGGCATATAGGTTGTGACTCGTAGCTCTGGAAAGATATATTGTGGTTTGTCAGTATTTCTCTCCCCGTATGGAATTTGTGTCGATCAGCTCGTGTCCAGTTAGAAGTACATTGTCTGGTTGCACATGCTTCTGGAAGAGTATCCGACTTCGGCAACATACTACCCTGCTTCGACAAACAGGTTACTTGGCATCTTCCCAGGAATTGACAGCCACCACACTATTCTTGCTTGAACAATTCACGTTCTGGAAACATCTTCGTGTCCAGGCCACGTGGAATTACGCTCTTAAGGCGCAGCATTGACTTTAAGAGAGCGTATAGACTCATAGACTTCGGGTGATGCTATAGACCTTCAAGTCACAAGATCTTTCAGCTTGCTCATGCGAGCAGGGAATTTTCGCCGAACATCTCCAGAACCCCTGTTCTTGTCACCGCCAGATCCTTCCATCGAGTGGACAATGCATCCACGGTTCCAGGAACTCCAGAGGCACGAATGCATGTAGAGGTCGGTGATGTCGGCTTAGACCGGGTTGTTGCGTGGTATTTTAAACGTCCTAAGCGCGTGTTTAGCGAGCCATCATCTCCATCCGCCCTAGACTAGGAGGCTACTGCTTGATCGAGGCACAAGGATTCAGGGCTGGAAGTCCGGTACATGGGGCAGATGATCTAGAGCTGCAGTAGCTGGGCTCAGATAACATAGAAATAGTGGCTAGTGTACGGAATACAGGGGAATTGAGGGTAAAAATAGAATGGATATAAAGACTTAGTCTAGAGTGGGACTGTCATGGGTGATAAAGTAGAGTAGCCTGCCAACCTGCACACATCATGCAATCGACTTTTGTTAAAGCTTTAGCCGTAACTAGATGACGTTCTTGTGATTTGCATACATGTTGCAATATGACCCCGGTGACAAGGTACTGTAACTCTCACTTCTCACACCGGAGCTGGCCTCCGACCGAGCAATTGTACACAGCCACATAAGAAGCCACATACGTAAGTTAGTAGGTAAGCATAGCATGGCATATGCATGAAGAATACTTTCTGGGAATACAATTTTTCAGCTTTTGGAGCAAAGATAGCTTGGAGAGTTCTGACTGCTTGATTGGGTTAACACAGAAGCACAGGAACACACGCAGGCCCTTGAATAAGCTCAGTCCTGATTTGAGCAACGGCCTGGCTATCTGACTTACATTAGCCTCATATACACATACGTGTGTATGATGACTACTGCAGTCGAAAGAGACTCGAAATGACGGCATTGGGGTCTCACTATCTTTCCCTTCGCTGACTCAGTGGTCAAGGTATCTAACCACTGATGTTGGATGTCACGAGTAAGTGGGATGTTGAGTTCTGACAGGGAGTCGAAGTGGGAGAAGAGACAAGCTTGTATCGATGGGAGAGATCTGTGTAGACTGCATGCTTTGCTCCGGCAGGTGTGCAAGATCTAACCGTTCCCCATGCTGGACGACTTATACACGCCATGGTCAACGCTGCGCCCGTCTGGCGGTACCAAATTACCATGGAATCAGGTCCTGAAGCCGGTTTCCCGAGAAAAGGCGCTGGTATCCTCGTCTACGAGTCTGGGCACTGCACATCTCATGCACCAAGGGTCTAAGGATCCAGCCCCGGAGACGGGCGAGGCGGGTTTCGGCGGGGATGCATGAAGATTCATTTGGCTGTCATTGGTGGTTACGCCGACGTGCGTGTGCTGAGACTGTTTAACGATAAGCCAGTGAGCACCTAAACGGAGCAGTTTGTCTGTAGGCTATCACCCCCAAAGTGGCTGACTACTAGTCCTTGGCATATCATTTACGTGTAACGAAAGAGTTGCAAAAGAATGTATCGACGACTTGCAACACACCATTCCACAATTTTGGCTTATCGTCCCGTCACAATATCAGTGAGTACTACATGTAATCATGTTACCATCAGAGTTTGTGTGCATATTATTCCCCAAGTAAACCCATTAAAGCTTTCCCGCAGAGCATTAGGAGTGCTACGTGAGACAAGGGTGTTGGAAAGATAGAGCTTCGGCCGAGCCATGTGTAAGCTACCTCTAGCCCGAACGCCAGATACCGCCCGAATGAGAGCTCAGTATCAACTCGAAGAGATTTTTTTTCAATTGCAGGGTCTTTTTGGGGGCTTCCTCTTGAGTCTTGAGATTTGGAAGGGTCTTTTGCTTAAGCGGGCGACCAATGCGGGCGGGCGGCCGCCTAAGCAGAAAGTCGGATGGATGCACATGGAGCTAAGCTTGAGGTTGCTTTCTGCTGTATAACTATGGTGATGGTGAGCTGGAAGCAGGCTGAACCTTCTAACGTAGACCGAGGGGCGGGGTTACGTGATAAGATTTGAATAGGGCCGAACAAGCTACAGCAATTGGCCCTGTAAGGCTGCAATTGGGGGAGGGAACCTTGTGTACGTCTGTTGAGATGCTATCGTTGGTGTTGTTCCAGATTCCTGGTTAGACAGACAGTAGACAGACTATGGGTAACACGATCCATACTTGGCGGGCCCCATCCCCATTGCTTGCTCAATTAGGCTTGGCATAACGGCACCAGGAGAAAGGCGTATAATTGTATTCTTTGTCACTAGATCAGATATCTAGTTCTAGTAGGACGTATATCCCAGTCTACAGAGTAGTTACTAAGTTACTATCCACATGTTACAGACTGGATACCTATCTATCAAGCGCAGATCCCTTCATGCCCCTCCATGTGATTGAGAGACCCTTGCTTACCTACACGAAGATGACCCACCAGACCTTTGGGACCGAAAGAAGGAATAATGGGAGTAATGGAACGTCAAGGAGAATAACAAAATCAGAACTCAGAATCAGAGTCAGAGCCAGAACCAGGTAAGCTAACTCGTGTTGATTGTCTGTCAGATGTGCATTGCAACGGGCCCAGGGGTTCTCACTAGAGCCACATCTATTCTGTGGGGACAGTTGATGAGCGTATCAGGTTGATTCCCAGCTCTGAGGGTTTATTAATTATATCCTCTCAGCATATCCGTACATCGCCCGACTAACAACTCGACCTCACACTAGCAAAGCTGTTATTCAAATTGACAAAATTTACCGTATAACTTGGCCTTCTTCGACCAAAAAAGCTCACATATAAAAACGATTCCGTCAAGAGACAGCAAACACAATGATCTGCAGTATTTGAAGATTGCACCACTCCTACTTCTTCATCATCGCTGTTCAAGGTAGCCCTGCATGCAGAAAAGATACACTCCCCTAGCCATCCGACACGCAGACAATATCCACGAAGCCATTGGGCCTCCAGAGAGATAACTCAACAGCGCTGAGCTGGCGGATAAAAAGGCAAGGAAGCGAAGAAACACCAAAAAAATAGAGGGCGAATTAGGTGTCCAGCAACGTCGGCCGCCTTGCTGCAGCTCCCCCCATCGCAAGCCTCTCCTAGGCGACACTTTAGCTTCGAACGCGACATGGAACCCTTTCCGTGAGAAAATCAGCAAATCCCCTCTTCTCTTTGAGGCCCTTTCCCCCGTCTGATCTCCCGAAATCTTTCTGCCTTGGGAAGAAGTTGCCTGCGGTGCTTTGAGGTACGAGAGGCTCCACGATGGTTTTCTTCTTTTTTAAATTTTATATCAGACAAACCCTGGCGACTTAGACTTGCAACGGTCGATATGCACGTCAAAGGTAAATGCCGTGGTCCCGCCAATTAGATTGACACCAGTGCCTTGCCATATTCTCTCTAGATCGAACCAAGCTCTCGAGACTTGAGACTCAAGACTCCTCAGCCATTTCTTAAAAGGGCCCAGGCCCAACCTGTCGTTCCCGTTCTCCCCGTTCCCGTTCGTGAAACGAATTCCACGTTGGTCCATGCTTATTTTACTTTGTTAAGGCGACCTACCCTTTTCTACGGACACTCTACCTAGCCTCTACCTTCTAACCTCTAACCTCTAACCTCTAGCCTTCACCTTACTGAGACCGTCTACTTGTCTCCTTCCCTGTCATCTGTCTCACACCTTCACCTTGGTCTTGGCTGCCCTGCACCTGCACCCTGCACCACCTCCACTTGCACCTGCCGTCCATTTCCCCTCCACCTTCTCCCCCCCCGTCCCGTCCTTCCTCAACTTGTTCACCCGCGCCTCCCGCCTCTCGTACTGTAGTCAATTCATCCACCAACCTGCAGACTGGACAGACAAAGACCCATACAAGAACCCTTTTATCTTCTTCTACTTCAACCAAGGAACTTCCTCTCATCTCTCGCATCTTGAGTCTTTGAGTGGCATTGGCTTTGTCACGTACTGCACTCACACTCGCTGATTCTCAATTCATTTTGCCTCTTTTTTACCCGTTTTTTGGGGCTAGTCACTGCCATCAATCTACTCGACTCGCCTCGACTCGAACTCCACACGACTTTCTTCATTCACCCAACAACATTTACTGCCAGTTTCAGTTTTTCAAAGCTCACACAATGGATTTCACCGGGCAATACAACTTTGCCAACTCTCAGCCCTACCACCAATTTATGCCAATTCCTCCTCTGACACCGTCACACTCGCATTCCGCCGGCTCCGATGACTTCAATGCGTCCCCGCCTGTCAGTAACCTACCTTTCTCCGCGATCTCCCCCACTCCCCCAGGTCAAGGTGCAGCCCTGCCTTAGCGTTCTCTTACCTGAGCATTACTCTATCAACGTCGAGCCTCACAAGCACAACGTTTTCGGCTTCTTCAACGTCGTACCTGCATCTCGTTAATCTCATGGCATTAGCGTATCTGACTGAGCTGACGTTTCTTTTTGAACCTCATAGGAGACATACGACGCCTTGCCTACCAGCGCAACCGACCAGTTCCAGACTTTCGATTATGCTTCCGCCCAAGGCTTCAATACCAACCCTCATCAGCCGACCTCTGGGTTTCCCGGCCCCCCGACACCTCCTGGCCAGAATGTCTTTGCTTCGCAAGCTCATCAGCAGCAAGGAGGCTCAATGAGGAATGGCTCTCCTGACGAGCAGTCCATACTTCGTGGCGGCGGTGGAAGTGAGGAGGATGAGAATTTGACTCCTGCTCAGTCCCGGAGAAAGGCACAGAACCGCGCCGCGTACGTTAATCCCTGGATCTGATTAGATACCCCTACACTATGGCGAGGCTCCTTATTTTGCAACGCCCTCGTGGCTGTCAACCAGGGTCGCTAGTAACGGGTTGTTTTTGGTTCTCAGCTGACATATGTTTGTATAGACAACGTGCCTTCCGTGAGAGGAAAGAGAAGCACGTCAAAGACTTAGAGGCGAAGCTTGCAGGCCTTGAGGCTGCACAGCAGCAATCTTCCGTCGAAAACGAACGCTTGAAACGGGATCTCCAGAAAATGTCCACCGAGAATGAAATATTGCGGGCCACGTCGCGTATGAGCCATGGTTCGATTTCTCCAGAACCTGCAACCGGACCTCTTCGTTTCAAACCTACCGACTTTTATTCAAATGTCTTACAGAATCATACGAACAAGTCTCCCTCTCACCGCATTGTTACTTCAGATGAGGGCGAACGTCTTCTCGCTGCAGGGGCAACCTGGGACTTTATCATTTCTCACGAACTGTTCAAGAAAGGCTTGGTTGACATAGCCGACGTAAGTGAGCGCCTCAAGAACTGTGCTCGATGCGATGGCCAAGGTCCTGTTTTCTCAGAACGTTCTATTACCACTGCTATCGAACAAAGTGTCGCTAGCGGCACGGATGATCTTCTTTGAAAATAACCTGAAAATGCGCAAAGGAGGAAATACCTTATCATGATTGACGTATATCACACGAAGAAGTCAGCGGATGAACGATGATACCCCGCCCGTCGGGGCTTTATGGCGTGGCGTTTTGTATTCAGGTTTTAAGGTTCCGTTTATGAGGAAACTTGGACTTTCGTGAAAGACACTCAGTAATGTCTATATTTCACAATCTAGCTGCTAGGAGTTATTGAAGGGTATTGAGGATCATGGGCTTGAAAGAGATCTCGGGCTTGTCCCAACAGAGACATTTGAATCGACAAAGTTTGGAAAGACATCATTGAAACATTTCATCATTTACAACCCGTCCTGTGTAGTACATACGACGGTGGTTGCAGATATCTATTCGGACGGATAACAAATAATATCAATCGAATCTACAAGACAACACATTGCTTCAAATAGGATAGACAACGATCCTCCAAACCAAGATAGTGTATCTTGCAAATACCCAAAGTGCGCTGCAAAACTCCGAGGACAAAGAAATACACCCCTTGGTCATCCAAATCATACAAAACCCTCTCCTCTTTGACCCTACTCCGAAACAGACTTCTCAAGCCTTGATCTATATAGTAGTTGCGATAACCCCTTTTAGCCTTCTTTTAAATACAATAAACGTTTCTGCCACCCTGTTCCTGTTCTCTTGAATGGACTGTTCTTCCATTAATCCGTTTCTGACCCGAAACTCCCAAAGGCAGTCGGGTTTTCGTTCTTTCTGACAAAAGGATTGTGCTAAGCCATCTGATTGAACGATCAAGCTGTCGTAGCATAGACCATGCTTCAAAAACAACTTAGTCCTTCTTCGTGCCGTTAACCTGAAGGGCTTCACTCTCAACATAAGGGTGCTTAATGGTAAGGCACCAGATGTCAAGGTAATCACAGATGGTGACGATGACGTCAACAACAAAGCTTCCGTAAACACCAACGGCAGTTCCAAGCATCATGAACATGAAGGCGACTTGGTAAACACTGTCACCAAGAGCGCTGGGCCAACCGACACCGAAATATCGCTGGAAGACAGGGCCTAGAGAATCGATAACGCCGAAAGCCAGAGGCAGGCCAAGAACGTTCCAGTAGGGGAAACGCAGGTGAACGAGGTGGGCTGTAATCATCTGTCCGACGCTGTAGGCATTGACAAGGCCAGCAAACAGGGCAAATGGAATAAGATGGCACTCGCGGATTCTGGGCTGGAGGTAAAGGTAGGTAACGACCATGGCCCAGATGCTGAAGAAAGGCGCAAGGCCAAGAAGCGCACCACGAGAACGGTCGCCACGGGCACGGCGAGCGCGGATGACGTTGAGAGAAGACTCGACGGTGTTGAAGACCAGAACGATGCTACCTTGGACAAGATACCACTCGGTAAAGGTTAGGTTGTAAATGAAGGATGGGATGCCCACGGTAGAAGGAACGCCAATGGTCTGGAACATGCTCTGCTGCCAGAAGTGACCACCCCCAACATAACCAGTGAAGGCAAAGACCATAACAATAGTGAGAATACCCTCAACAGGTCCATTGACAATACCAAGGGTGAGAGTCTTGGTGTGATAAGTCTCCCAGGTTTGGACGTAGAAGGTCAAAAGAGCTAATAAGTCAGTATCAACAACCGTAGCAGGATGGCTGGGGCCGACCTACATGCGAAGAGAACAGCCACAGTCTGCCAGCTCTGTCCCATGTTCTGGGAAGCGGCGAAGAGAAGAACTTCAAGCGAGGTGTTACACGCATCCACTCCATGGTCAAAAAGCTCGCCGAGAGGTCCGGACTGTCGGGTTCGTCGTCTATTGTGCAAGTTAGCACAACCCGTCTTGACTACAAAGTAGCCGAGTCGTTTCGTAGATTTGACTTACGCTTGGCTTCCGTCAACAGCGTCAAATGTCTGATACAGGAACAATCCAACGGCCCAAGAATAATACACCCAAGAGGGGCAATCCTGGTCCAGAGTGGGAGTATACCACAGCAGAGTCAGGAAGTTTGCGACAACGAAACCAAAGCCCGTCAAAGTGATCAGGTTTGGTGCCATGCTCATGGGAAAGCACTTGATGACGAAATTTGTATAGAAGGGCTTCAACACATATTTGGAGAGTAGAGAATGGTCAACGCTGGAGTACTTGTACTCGCGGAGCGCGGGGAGCTCCTTTTGCCGGACGTAAACCATCGCGATAGCCTCAGTCGTTCACTTTCGGTGTCTCTGCTTTGGTGTTTGTGTGCTTCAGTCGGTTTGTAGGTCAATGGATCGATATCGTGGCTTTTTCTCGTGGGGTGGATAAAGTCTAAGTTTCTCCTCCGAGTCCGCTTGCGCTGGTATCCTCTCGCGTGCTTGGCCGTGGGGTAACGCGTCTCAACTCGAGTAATCGTAGCAATAAATGCGGCGGGGATGTACGACAGGCGAGTACAGTACAGTTGTCAAGGATTACGACTGATAGGCAAAGATATAAAACTAAGATGCAACGAAGAAACTGGAAAGTTGGCAAAAGCAAGAATGATGAGCAAAAGATGCCAGCAAGCCGAAAAAGTGGGTCAATCAAGGTCGGAGGCAGGAGGGGATCGATGAGGGTCTTAAGTGGAAAGAACAAGACAGATACGCTGTCGTAGGTATGTCGTCTGGTATCAACCAAACATTCGGACCAAGTCCCGTGAGCCAATGTAACCTATTTGAAACGACAGCCACAAGGCCACAGACAAGCACACTTTGATCTTCCTGTTTAATGGGAAATTACGGAGTAGGATGCTCGCTCTCTAAAGTCCAGCCCCTGATCAGACGTCATGGGTTCCCCACTCACACTTCCCTCCTCGCCAAGTCATTCTCATGAACTGTATCGCTGATCACTTGTTCCCCAACATGTCTAACATGTGCCATCAGGGCGGCCATGCCTCAAGCGTCAAATCAACAATATCCTGTGAAAATATATGTACAAATCATATCCAATCAAGTCACGTCTTTACCCGATGCTTAGAGCTAGGCTCTGCTTATATGAAACTGGAGAGAGGCTATCACACCAAAGTTCAAATCGCACCCATCTCTTGATGCCATAAAGATCAGATCAGCGAGTCGAAATAAGGTGTGATAATACAAAATCGTGTTGCAGTCGTATAGGTAGTTTCTACTTTGATCACAAACATGTCATCCGTTTATCACCGGCTTGTCAGACCCAGAGCAGCATGTAGTAATTCATTCTTTTCCATTCAAATGCCAGCTGACGACTATTTATATAGCCGTTTTTCCTATGCTACAAGTGTAGAGACCAGCTGAAATACATCTGTTTGACCCTTTGTGTCCTTTATGAGTATACACATTGCGGCCATATTGTGAACAGCTTCTGGTCAGAGTCCATTCCAAAACCCATCCAACCCTCCTGCCCATGGTCGGTAACGCGAGGTTTTTCCTGCACACTTCTTCCAGAAACTATCCCTCTACTATCATGCATAACGATGCATCATATACGGAAAAGTTCATACTGATGCCGAAGTTTCCTTTCCAACCGATAGTTCACTATTTGGTGGCAGCTTCAGCTTCATCGTTCTTCTTTTGCCACTCTTCATCGATAAACCGCTTCACGTTTACAAATGCCACGTTGAGTAATGGTTGGACGTGATCAGTCACTGGGATTTGATTGGCCTCTTCAATGGTAGCGGGGGGAGGAAATTCAGGCCCCTTCAACGGGCGTCCATCTCCAATTGCACCAAACCGTCCCTTTCCGTTGGGGGACCGCATCTTTAGGGCAATTTCATCCGAGGTAGCCATCAAGAACTCAGCTCCGTGATACCAGGCTCGGTTGAGCTTTTTACTATGTGCCTCTACATCCTTTGCTGTACGAATTCGAGGTCCCGATATGTATCGAGGCTGGCTTCGTTCCTGTGGTGATGCCCAGCAATTGGATGTCATGACCGGTGTCCCAATCCGAGACCATGCCGTCTTTCCTGTGTATTGGGAGGCATTTGTCAAGCAGTCGGCAGATGCGCCACCTCGGATAGTATCACTGCTGGAAGGCGAGTCTTCGGTGGCTCTGTTAGTTCTGTCGGGTGCAGAAAGGGCATCCTTAAGAGCGGATGGAGTCGACTCTTCAAAAGGGGACAAGTTCTGTGCCAGACCACTGGTACTAATACCCGCTTGTCGAAGGGTCTGGCGGGTAATGACAAGAACGTCATCGTCATCATCCTGGGAAGCATCCTGGCTTGGGGTGTTGGTATGGAGTGCCTTGAATGTGGATTCAAATGTAGATGGTCGATACTGACGTTGACCAGGAGGGCCGGCGGTCAGAGGCAGTGGCACGCCTGAGCCTGAGCCTGAGCCAACAGTGGCTGATCCCAGAGTACTAGCAGTACGAAAAGGGTTGCTACCAACTGCACGGTTGAAACCCTTGGAACTTCCAGGCAGGGTGCTGTGCAACTGATTGTCGTGTGGGTTCCAGAACGCGTCGTCGTGAGATCTACCGATTAGGGGCGTCTCAGTGAGGGTCGTATTAAATGGACTGTGGGAGCCAGTGTTATTATTGAGTGCATCTGTGAGACCAACTGGGCGAGGGAGCGGAGTAGACGGCTCGTCGCTGCGAGTAGTCATCTTCAATCCCAGAGCCGGCTTGAGTCCTCGAAGAAGGGCCTTTTGAGCTCGCTTCTGATTCGGGTTTGGGTAAGAAGCCAGGTTGTGGAGGGACTTTACTGGCATGCTCAACAACGGATCCATGCCAAGTTCACCTTCATCGTCGCTTTCGTCGCTCTGGTCGGCGTTGGTCAACGTGTCCTGTTCGACCTCAGAGAAGAGAGAGGCAAGCGGCGATGGAGTTGTCGAAGATCCCATACGGGGCACTTGAGTAGACATGTTGATGCATCTGTGGTCAGGTTCGTTCAGTGGACTGGATGCTCCGTCAAATTGGGCCCGGGGACTGTACTGATGGATAGATGAAGATCGAGTACCGGCTTTGAGCGGCAGAGTCGCAAGTACAGATTTGGGAAGCAGAGAAAGCCCAACTGCTGGGAGACCGGCAGGCCACTTGAGGGAACGACCTCGTCGAGCAGGTGGTTGCAGTGGCTGGGAAGTGCTGGGATTGTAGGGAGTGCCGGCCGTCGTGTAAGTGACTTTCGAGGCCGAAGTTGGTGCAGTTGTGGTATGCGAGCCGATGCTGCCGGGGGAGGATAGTTCCTCCATTGTTGACTCAGACTGGTATCCTGTTTGCCTGAGATGGTAAGGACGATCGAAATCCCTAAGATCTAAGGAAGGTGCCTGTTAGATTGGGCTGCTAGATCGTCCAAGTTGTCTGTGCATGTGGCACTCTGATCAAGCCGGTAGAAACGGAAGGGGAATAATTATTTTGTGGAATGAGAAAGACAGGTAAGGGTATGAATGTTGAGGTGGTGAATATGTGCAGTGCAAGATAAGGTGGTGCAAAGAACGACGGGGCTTCAGGTAGCTAGCATTGCTTCCATGGGACAATGAATTTGAGTCGTGAGAAGAGAATACGTCGATTATATCAGACGTGGAGGAAAATGTAAGGTAGGAAGAAAGGGATTGAAGACGGTACGCGGAGAAAGAAGTAAGTGAGGTGAGGTGCTGGTGGTGAAAGCGCATTGGGAAGGAACGGGGAGCAGGTGCCTTCTTCCTACCTCCGTGGGCCGCACTGCGCAACGCAAGAGAAGGGAAGGAAGGGGGTACCCTTCGACGGACAGAAACGGCAAGAGGCCAATGGGATATCAAGATCCAACTTACAATGAATGAAACGTTGATGTGATCCAAAAGTAGGTAGAAAACGAGAATATATTGGAAATGTAGATTGCCCCCTTTCTCTGCGTTTGAAAAAGGTAGATTAATTAATGGCGAAGCCGTGATGGTGCATTTTTGACAAGAATGTGAAGAAATAAATCCAGCTGCGCTAAGATGTATATAAGGTGTGAATAGAACTTCTCAAATGCCCAAGATTGGAAGTGAATGCAAACGCACATCTCACCTCCTTGCTCCAGGCTATTGGTGTCAGGTGCAAGACTGAGCGGTGTTTGCCAGTGTCAACGAGCAATATAATGATGCGATGCTTCATGACTAAGTGGTCTTTCGAACTTAACAGTCGGGGCTATAATGCTAAAGGTAATATGCATATCATACTTTGGTCAAGAAAGCTTCCAGGCTTCATCTTTAACTTTGGGTTTCGCTCCTTCCATGTTGAACCAATCCCATGTGCTTGCAGGAGTGCAAATAGTTAGTACTTCACTTGGTACCGTCAACTGGGGGACAGTTGCGGGCACAAGTTAGTAGATAATCACTGCCTAAGCACTATGCCGCATGGTTCTCAAACACAAACAAAGGAGGGACACAACCTTTCAACCGATGGAAGAGGCTTTACTAGGTACCGTGCGTATATATAAAGATAGCGGGAAGTTCGTTTGACGTTTTATTGTTCTTCTACTCTGCACAAATAGATGTTTACCTCTAAGGGGCAGACCCTAACGTCAAATACCAGGCTTCCAGCATTCATCTCAATCATTACACCTTTGGCGATCTCTTTGAACAGAGAAACTCGTAATCATAGTTGTTCTTCCTCGCCGTTCCATCAATTAGAATAGGCTCCTTCGTTGCAGTAACCCCACCCTCGACAACAACGCAAATTCCTTCTCACGCCGCGAGACGCCATATGTGATGCCATTTCCGCCACGGCGGCACCACGGAACTCCGCACTACATCCAAAGGAAAACCAAAGCGGAGAGGATAAGAAGAAATAATTCTTAACATAAAGGAAACAGGCTGTATGTGACTTCAAAAACCAGGAGCCAGGAACAGTATTGTAAGTTTTGGTGAAATAATGAAACAGCAAGCCACATGAGGTTGGGAACCAACGCAGTTAATACAGCTAGCCAACGAAGCGAAACATGACACTATATTAGTCTAAAAGACGAAGGTGTCTTTTGGGCAAGCAGGTCCCATGAAGAATAAGAAACTTAAACGCATATAAACACTGGCACTACATGTAGCCAGTCGGAGTAAATGAAGAAATTGCCCAACTCGAATGTGGGTAGAGACACAGAACCGGCACGGAAGCTTCCTTGGCATTTTCACTAGAAACCGCCTGGCGGGTATGCGCTTCCTGGTACCATACCAGGACCTCGCCCACTCCGTGCACTGGGCAGTTGGAAGTCAGGGGTATCTAGGAGCACATCTCGACGCTGTTGCTGCTGTTGTACTGGTCGTCGATGGGGAGGTCCCTGCTGGTATGGCATCGGTGGTGCGGGGTGGGGGTTCCAGCGGGGGTTAATGCCACGCTGAGAGATAGAGGTAAAAGTTGAGTGTTCGGATTCAGCAGGACTTCGAGCGCCGGCGTTGTTGGCATGGATATCCTCGTAGAGAGGCTCAATGGGAGGTGGCTGAAGATTGTTGTTTGCTGGTGGTATATCCGAGGCGAAACGAGGATCAACGTCCTCATAATAGTTGCTGGCGCCATTTGCTGGGGGCTGCTGTACAACAGGAGGTGTGTTTCTTCCTGGGACTTGAACAGTTGGACGGCCTGTCGCAAGGGGGGATGGGGCTCTTGGTGAGTTTCTGCCGTCGCCTTGATTCCAACCTGCACGAGGTGGAGCAAATTGTCTGTTGATCAAGTCAGCGTCTCGTCCATAAACAGGTTGTGGAATGCCATACTCATCAGTGCTATATTTACTGCCCTCGCTCATCAATGTGTCGTGTCGCAGTGGCCCTTGCCCCTGCTGAAGGCCGACCATGCCTGCCACATCCGCATCACTGTCCCTCAGCTGTCCGTAGTTTCCTGTTCCAGGGTGCTGAACTGCTGGAGATGCGTCCATCTCTACTGCTTGGCCACCTATGGTCGCAGGCATGGTTCCTGGTAGTGGAGGCGGGGATTCGGCTCGCGGAAATGTGGATTCAGGGGTGTAGGCAGTGTAATTGCTGACGCTAGGCATGGAAGGGTTTGCTGAGTTGTATCCATTGGACGGCTCTGATACTTGCCCATCGGGAGCATAGTTTTGGCCAGGTGATGGCCTTCGATCGTATGGGCCATTGTTGAACACTGGTGATGAATTCGGGCCTCCCCTCATGGCGCCTGCACCATAAGCACCTCGAGCCGGAAGGCCATATCCTCCTCGTCCTCCTCTCGGTCCATAGCTGCCTCTTCCAGGTTGGGCATATCCTCCACGACCTCGCATTGGAGCTCCATAGTCATCATAACCACCACGACCAGAGCCCCCTCTGCCACCGCGATACCCTCCCCCGCTTCCTCTACTTCGGTTGCTCATGCTTGGGGAAGGTCCTCTTCGAGTCGCATATGGGTCGCCGGGGACACCCACAATTGGGTTTCCAAACTGGTCACGAGAACCTTGCCTGTGAGGGGTTCTGTTGAAAGCCGCTACCTCACCAACGCTCGCCGCCTCGTTAAGGGGGGCTGGAGATTGGTTTGATGTGGCCCGGTGGGTAAGAGGAATAACTTCCTCGCTGGCTTGGTCGCTTCGGCTCTTCTGCTCGAAGGATGCAAATGCAGGAAGGTTGTCATGAACACCGTTGCCGCCACTCACGGTGGGTAGAGTCGGCTGCCTGGTAACTCCGGGCTGGGCATCGACTTTATCCTGACCATTCCTGTTGTAATAATTTTCGCCGCTCATCTCAGCGTTCTCTGCAATACGCCTTTGTCTGTCTTTCCTGCTGACAAGAGTGCGGCGCATCGCACATGTCACCAAACCACTCATGGCTACAAGAATAGTAGCAGCCAAAACAAGATAGGATCCCCATGCCAGGTGTGGCACAAATAGAAGCACATCGATCAAAAATGCCAAGAGGCAGACGAGGAAATCGATGAAGAGAAAGATAAACAAGATTAGTAGGTATTTTGTGGAATGGGATGGGCCATGCAAGTGAGACACAGCTGCCATGATGGTCATGACGAGGGTGATTAGTGCCGCGACTGGATGCACAATAAGAATAGCTGAGAGCGTGTCCCTAACACCAGACGGCAAGTCAAAAGCTTGGGCATTGTTCCCAGCTAGTTTGGCTACAAGTCATGTCAGTATAGTTCAAGGAGGGAAATGCCATCCGCATCACTTCAGACTGACCAGTGTCGTAGCCAACTCCGATACCGCTGCATCCCTTTCCATTTTGACAATAGCCAAAAACGCCGTAAGTAACGCCGCCAAAGTCACTTAGCGGAATAGCCTTTATGATTGGGGTCGATATAACGGCTAGAAGGAGTAAAGCAAAAGCCGCAAAAAGAAGCAACGTCAATGGTGTGCCGGGTCGTAACATCACGGCGATGCGCTAAGCGCCTGGTTGAAGAACGACAGAAACACGACAGAGCAAGCGGCCGACGTCGAGAGACGCGGGGACAGAAGAATACGAGAACTCAGCGTGTAGCTCTTTCGTGAGTCTTCTTTTCGATGGCAGCGTTGTTAGATAACATAGGTGAAGGACAGGTGAGAAGTCGTCGGCGGAATAATCGATCAACAGCAATGATAGCGAGCCTTGGGAGGTCCAATTCGTGACAGAGTCCGTTGTAAAACCGTGTTTGTCTCTTTCTCTATTTCCCTCGTCCTCGGTGAGATCTTGAATTCAATGTGCTGCCGGTTATGTCGGTGAATGTAACAGAATGCGGCGCAGTCGTCAGTCGAATTGTCGCCTGTCGCGCTTATAGGGTCACTGAAGCTGCTGGTCTTGGTGTTGTAAAGGACGGTAGCGAAGCAGTTCTGAAATAACTGATTAAAAATAGCGACGCGTTCCTCGATGGTTCACGCAGTCGTCGAAGCCTTTCGCAATGAGCTTCAAATTGACGAAGAAGCTGGAACGAATGAATGTGGTTGGAGATTGAGCAACGAACGAGGAGGGGGGATACGAGCATAGATTTGGGTGTAATCAGACATGGAAGACGCCCGTCCTCCAAAACGTGCTTTGGCCCTGCTTGGACTATCGAACTTCCATGGCTCCAAGAGGTTTAGCCCGGTGTTGGGGGAGCAGCATGCACTAGTCTCAGGTGGGCTAATGCGCTGGACTGGCTGGGTCCATGGTGCGCTGGTCCAGGCACAGTTACCTGCTAAGACAGGGGCCCTGGGGCTATCTTACTTGGGCCGATTCACTCGAGATGGAGACAATCTAGTAACAAGAGACGTCGCAGGATGCATAGAACTTAATTGTTAATATATCTGTGTTGTCTCCTCCACCAGAAAAGTTCAGTATATAGAGCTTGCTCGTTATGATACCACTACACAGTTGGTTGCCAATAAGACAATCTTAGCCGCAAGTCTAATTTCTCAATCATGTCGTGCTTATCCCTCCATAGCTAGCCCATGCTGCCATACCATGCCACACCTTATCACTGCATCTGTGTGAGCCGTGAAATGTAAGGTTAGCCCATGTGGGTCGATACCGTTGCAACAAGTCCGCCAATCCCACGCGTTGCGGGTGTCATTTTCGGACTCAGTCATACGAACCATCTAAGTTAGCTCTCGAGCGCCTCTGTTGTTCTGCCAGCTTTGAATTGACTTTCTCGTATGCGGCATGGCCGAGTGTCGAAAACCATAAACAACAACAATAACTAGAGTTTACGCGCATGCTTTTCCTTCTTCTCGGCTTCTCGAGTGTAAGTGTGAGTGTCATTGTGGCCTCAGCCCTCGCTATCGCTCGTTATCTCTCTACCTGAGACGACACTGGCAGGCCTGCGCACAGCACTGACTGATCAAATTTCACCAAGAAAAAAAAAGTCATTGAGGTGCGTGCGTGTTACTTTTCTCGGTCCGGGTTTGGTGCTGGCTGGAGGTAGTATTCCGTATGGTGTGGGAAATTTGACCTTCTACCCTCTTTGATACGCGCGGTCTGGGGTCTAGACCAAGTGGTTATGAAGTCGCAGCCTACGAAATGAAATGTGACACTACCTACTGGTTGGTTACCAGGTCGCGCCATACCAACGCTGTCTTCTCTCACAGCCCTGGATAAATCGGCCATTTATGCGCCTCAATCTGCGACGGACCGATATTCCCTATGAAGGTGGGCCATGAAGATCAGACTGGACAGGACTACGCCGTACCTTGCCTATCTTTAGCACGATCTCCAATAAGCTTTTTTTGTTGCGAAACAAACTGCATAATGCTCCATGTTTCGTTGTCTAGTGTCAAGTCTCACATTGACCCTTACATTGATCTTACATTGATCCTACATCCACTATGTATGAATTGCTTCATGGGTCCGTAACTGTATAGGTACGTGGTGCCCCTTATCATTAATCCAATAACCATGGGTCCAAGTCGAGTGTTCCGTATAAAAATGATGCCGCTTGCTGTTCATCGCTGGCATCAAAGTGCTTACCCTATAACAATAGGGTGTATTTGACAATAATGAAATGGCTAGCGGAAGTAAGCATCATCAAAGGCTGTTGTTTGGTCTACCATGAGTTGTACTCGTGTATGACGCAAAGGTTTATGTTGCGATGTTTGCACTTACAACCTGGCTGAAGTGAAGGGGTGCAAGATCAGATGATATGGATCCATCCAACAACGTCAATGACGCTCATATTCTTGTTCATGATACGAATAACCCCGAGAACCGTTGTCATCATCGTGAGCCCAAATATGATAATAAAGTGTACGAAAAACGATAGCTATTAGCACCTGATTTGACAATATCAAGATCGGTCTGATAGAGGACAATTCAACGAAGTCTTCGACACAACCCATGCTGCAACTCAGGACCCCGAGTCGGCAATCGGCGTGATTCTACCCCGATCTTTGGAAGGCGATCGCGTGCCCACCCATTCATTGCCCGAGCCGTCCCGGCGATAAGCCAAAGAAATGACCGGGAATTTTCCTCTCCGACGTCATCCATGACTCCGGCCGGACATAGGAAAGAACTATTTTAATTTGTCATATATTTTTTCGCTTCTTTATTTCGCTCATCGCAAAATTGCAACTATTTCAGTAATTGTCTGGCTCAAGTGTAATCCTTACACTCCTCATGCTGCCCTCCCGATAGTTAATCACGACCGACAACCTCCAGCATGATGCGCAACGTCGTGCTAGGCTCCTCGGCGCGCGCAGCTATGCGCTGCCGGACCAGGACGTCGCTGACGCCCGCATTCCGACGATTGCAATCAGGTGGTCCTTACCAGGCTATGCGACCGCCATCACCGGAGGAGCTTGGAGCCCCGAGGCGGGCAAAAGAATACAAACGGGGACGGCGCTGGGCGAGACGTTTGTTGATTATATCGGCCGTTGGGGGCGTCATATATCTCGGCGACCGTCAAATATATGCATCTGGCTTCGGGCGCTCACTGAAAACATTTGGGACTGGTCTTCTTGTGGCCCTTGACTACAAAGTCAACTTCCGACCACATCCTATCACAGGCGGGACTGTGCAGGACTTGCATAATCGAAATGCGGAGCGTTTATTCAATCTACTTCGGGCGAACGGTGGACTATATCTCAAGATTGGACAGGCCATCGCAATGCAGAGTGCCGTGCTCCCCCCTGAATTCCAGAAGATGTTCAGCCGTATGTTTGACGACGCACCGCAAGACGACTGGTCCGATATTGAAGCAGTGATACGGGAAGATTTTGGGAAGAGTGTTGAAGAGGTGTTTGGTGTGAGCTTTACCGGCAAAGAGGGTATGGGTCTGATGGAACGCAAGGCGCGGGCGAGTGCCAGCGTTGCTCAGGTGCATTGGGCAAGACTCCCAGATGGGCGTGAAGTGGCAGTTAAGATTCAAAAACGGGAGATTGCCAAGCAGATATCATGGGATCTGTGGGCATTCAAGTAAGTTAGACACACACCAAAACAAAACCCCCCACCTTGCTAACAGAGATAGAACCGTCTCATGGATCTACTCCAAGTGGTTTGATCTTCCGCTGTACAAGCTGGTTCCCTTCATCACCGAGCGACTCGAGTTGGAGACTGATTTCGTCAACGAGGCCAAGAATTCCGAAAAGATGCGAGAGCTTGTCAACGGAGAGAAGACTTTGAAAGGAAGAGTATATGTTCCTACAGTATATTCCGAATTTACGACAAGGCGAGTCATCGTGACCGAGTGGATCGAGGGTGTGAGGCTCTGGGATAAGAAAGCGATGACATCTAGATGGCTTGGAGGACATGGAAACGGCTCACCTGGCGCTGGAAGCCCGCTTCCCAAAATCGACCTCGAGGCTGCCCGGCGCGAGCTCCGCACGCGACCCTACCAAGAGAATCTCAAACCAGAACGTCAGGAATGGCGAGGTCGACGAGGTCGAGGTGGTCTAGGTTTGTCCACACGAGAAGTCATGACTACTATGGTGGACCTGTTCTCGGCACAGATATTCAAGTGGGGAGTTGTCCACTGTGACCCCCACCCAGGCAACATTTTTATTAGACGGATGCCCAACGGTCGGGCAGAACTTGTGCTTATCGACCATGGACTCTACGTATACATGTCGCCAAAGTTCAGACATGAGTACGGTACCTTCTGGAAGGCGTTGATGACGTTTGACAACAAGACGATAACTCAGGTCACGGATGCATGGGGCATCAAGGGAGCTGACCTCTTCGCAAGTGCGACACTACTGCGACCATACGAGGGTGGGGATAATCGTACACGCAATGGTATCATGAAAGGACTCGAGGGTGCAACTCCAGCCGAGCGCCACTACGCGATGCAGCAGCGAATGAAGCAGGGCATACGTGAGATGCTGGCAGACGAAGAGAAGTGGCCACAGGAGCTCATCTTTATCGGCCGCAACATGCGAATCGTGCAGGGCAACAACCAATATCTGGGCTCGCCCGTCAACCGCGTCAAGATGATGGGTGAATGGGCAAGCCGTAGTCTATTCGAGGATCCCCAGCTGCCCCTGAGCCAACGTCTCCAGAACCGCTGGCGCCACGTTATCTTCAAGACTGTCATGGCAGCTTCAGACGTGGCGTTTTATGTCTTCAAGTTGCGCCAGTGGTTGGGCTTAGGAGGAGGAATGGAGGATGAGATGGAGAAGAGAATGAAGGAGGTTGCTCAAGATTTCGGCGTTGAGCTCCAGCATGATGTATTTGATGGTTGAACAAGTGGACGGAAACTCACACTACCCCATGTACAACAAATCATTACGAATTTCCTTTGGGTATAAAAATGCTGTATGGGTTGGGCATTACTTCGTTTTAGCATAGGCGTCCACAGGATAGATGTAGAATCTCCCCCGTAACTGTTACTTGTTACTGGGATCGAACGACCTCAGTAGCATAAATGACAATAGAAACCACTCTTGATAGATTTTGTATCTGTAAGATTGTTTGCAGTTTCCTTTTCCTGTTGCATATCTTATACAATGTTTCCTGACTGGACACCTGGTGTGTTGCCTGCGGTTATATGCATTATACTTTACATGGTATCAAATACCGTCATTTACCTCCTCATGTCACCGTAGCATTTGGAGAAATGCCGAGCTGAGCATCGGTTCATATTATTATCCCAGCCAGGGGGAGATTCAAATACTTAGTAGGATTTTATAGTGAGAGATAGAAACTGGTTTACTATTAATCGGTCTTTCTAGTTGTTCTAAGGATATTTGGTCGTATATATAGACTACATAATGCAGGTCTGCCCTCCCATTGTCATGCGCAGATTACATTGAAGTCCTATGCTCGGAGATCTTCAAGGATAGACCGTAGAATAGAGGTAATATCCGACAACAAGCAGGTACGGATACTATGTTGAATGATCTGCAGTTCTGGTAGGATTCGCCCAAAGACTGTTCGGAATCAGTCTAGAAACGAACTAGCGGTAGGAAAGGATTTGTTTCTTCGGCTACATGCATCGAGTGACCTGTAATAAAAGCTGCTGCGTTTTACAGCCAGGGTGTGGCTGGCATCATTGTTTCTGTACGGAGTACGGATATTGGAGTTCAATTCCGGAGCATAGGGTCCACGTTACTGTGTAAGAGGAGACTTATTTCGAGTTAGACCAGGCTGTGGACAAATGCAGCTGGTGAGTGGCAGCCATTATTTAGGTGTCCGCATATGGATCAGGGCTTGATCTAAGACTTAATAAGTATGGACATCTACCTCAACTTACTCCATAACTTTAGTTGACAGCCATGTACCAACGCCGTGTACCTGCATCAGTGGGTCGATCCGATACAGGCTAAAAGAGTGACATTTGGACGGATAAAGCAAAAGTTAATGGAAGACATATGACCCCTAAGGTTGGACATTGTAAGGAGAAGAGATATTGTGACTGGCTAGTTGAGAGATATGCCAACGATTCATTGATAATCATGATTCTCACCAACTACTGAGTCGCGCAATTGAGTACGGTGCACAGTCAATTGAGGTAATTGGTCTAAGCTAACAGCACAGATTGATTAAAGTCTGAGCCCATGTGGCGTCAGATTGGCGGAACCATGTCTCCACTTTGACGTCTTGGGCTGAATCTCGCTATTTACTGAATCTACTGTGCCTGTGTCACCTGGGATGGGGCTGGTTACTCAGCCGTCCTGCAAGAGAAGCAAAGAATGGACTGAACTGAACATGCAGCGCGACTCTGTGCTTCACTGTCCCTTGAAGCCCAAATTATCATTATGCCATTTGTGTGCGGCTTTAAATTTGCTGGATAGTCCCCGTCTCTTATTAACGGAGGCAGGGCCCTTATCCAGATGCGGATGATTGGTGAGTATGCCGTATCCCCTCCCCCTCCCCTCCCCTAGCTCCCCTAATTCCCATCCATTCTGCCATTTCCCCTGGGCGTGGCAGCCCCATCCAGTCAGATTGTCTTGGACCCTGTCAAGCAGCACCTAGGCGCTCCACTGTGGAAGAAAGTTACAGTACCTCCACTTCCCTTAGCGAATCACTCCATTTTCAGGGTCTGCATCCGGGACTGTCTCAGACTAAGTGCTCTGAGGGATCGCGAAGCCTGACATCGATTGCATGTCATTTATAGTGTATGATGAGATGAAATCGCAAACGAAATCTAAATCACCGAAAAGAAAAGCAAAGCAAAAAAAAGGTCAAGAGGCAAGATTTGTGTCAGAAGCCTTGGCGCTGTTATTTGTTGCATACAGATGAAACGTGAAATGCATGTCCCCATGGTTGCTTGTTCAATTGTTTCGTAAACACACATTGCCTGACCTTTACCGCCACATGTAAAGACAGAGTGGTCATCCTGAATCCTTGGGGCCTTGGGCACGGTTTACTCAGTCTTTGTAACCTCTTGCTGGCGACCTATAGCACAGGGTTACACTCATGCTAAGTACATTTGGGCACATGTTCCGGCGTCTATACTCACTAAACCCATGCCTTTAATCTCGACTCCCATCAGTGCCGCTACTTCACCTTCCACAACTTAGACAGCGCCCATAGAACCCATAACGGCATAGCCAATCGACTACCTTGGCCTACTCGACTCGAAACGAGCTTGGTCCCCCCTGCAAGAAACCTCCTCCAACGCTGCCTCCCGCTCAATCATTTCAGTCAAGACGCGCAACAAACCTGTTTACTCCGTACATCTCGTCCCATCGACAAGGCGTACACAGCACGTTACAAATCTAAGCAAATAAACCACCAAAACCCCTTTTGCAAGATTGGAAACCACTCAAACCAAAAGCATGGACGTTTTTGTCACCCTCTCCACTGATCTCTGACATCCACTACCGATATTGGCGGCTCTCCAGACTCCACAGACGACTCAAGGTGTGCACGCGCTCTACTCTACTCTACTCTACTCTACTCTACTCTACTCTACTCTACCATATCCTTACCCTTTCTGCATTTCCCTTCACCCTGTTCTCCAGTTCCTTAATTGTTTGGATCCATTTGTGGCTGACAAGACGCCTAACAAGACGAACCAGGCTCTGTTTCATCGCTCCGTCATCCATCTATCTGCTCCAGCTGTTCTTTCACTATCATCAGGGACCACGCTTGGGCATTGCGACTAACGACCAAAAACCACCGACTGACTGACTGACTGACTATTGTACACCCACCCTCCTCCTTCTCACGTCCACGCTCCCGCTCCCGCTCCTCCACCTCGTTCTCGACTTCATTCCAAGTCATTTGGCTGTTACTGCCCCATCCTTTCCATCTTTAGTCCCCCGCCGCTTCCACGTGCTCCGCACCTCCTTCGCGCCGCCCGCTCATGACCTCCTGGGTTGCATCTTGGTCGCGACTCTTTTCCTTTTACATGACCCTTTCCTTCAGAGGATGAACAACGAGCAGCCTCGCCGTACAAGTTTCGGCATGTTGCTTCGACGCAGTAAGAGTGGCGATCTAGGCAAAGGCGGCCGTAAGGCGCAGGCCCATAGGGAGGCCGAGCTTGAACGACAACGCCAGGCCTCTACTCGCATCGCTCCCAAGTTACCTGAATTCGCAAACCATTCCGAACAGCTTTCCAAGTCCTTTGGCTCCGAGTTGCGACCCGAATCGCCAGCCAACGTTCCTCGATCCGTGGACTACTCCTCCATTCGACCCTCAGCCGAACACTCAAGAGGCTATGGGGCTCCTTCGCATGCCGTGTACCCAGTTCCGCCATTGCCCAACGGTGGTTTTGATCCGTATGCCAGAACTGAGAGCATGACAAACCGTGGCCGTTACAGCTATGCTAGTAGTGCTATCAGCACGGTCAACAGTCCACGTCGTGTTCGCAGAAGAAAGGATCCAACACCTATGAAGTAAGTTTCCTGTTCCCGTAGTTGCCTTGCACTTGAACCGCTTACTAACTATACAACCAGCATTCTAGTCATTGGCACTCGCAACTCTGGCAAAACCTCGTTCCTTGAGTTTCTCAAGACAGCGCTTGCTCTCCCACCCAAGAAGCGTATCAAGAAAGGAGAAGACGAGGTGTCCGAGAACCGCAATACTCCCTCTGGAAACTTTATTCCTCACTACCTCGAGACTGAGATTGATGGCGAACGCGTTGGCCTCACTATCTGGGACTCCGAAGGCCTTGAGAAGAATGTGGTCGACCTGCAGCTTAGAGAGATGTCAGCCTTCCTTGAGAGCAAGTTCGAGGAGACGTTTGCCGAAGAGATGAAGGTCGTTCGATCTCCTGGTGTACAAGATACCCACATCCACGCCACCTTCCTCGTTATGGATCCTTCTCGCCTTGATCGCAATATTGCATCCGCGAGGAACCCAGCCATAAACGGCCAGAACAATGGTCACCTCGGTGCACGTGTGCTAGGTAGTCTGGATGAAGATCTTGACCTGCAGGTCCTACGCACGCTCCAGGGCAAGACTACAGTCATTCCAGTTATCGCAAAGGCTGACACCATCACCACCAAGCATATGAATGTCCTGAAGAGAAGCGTATGGGACAGCATTAAGAAGTCTGGTCTGGATCCACTGGAAGCCCTTGGCCTAGACGAGGAAGACGAAAGCAGCATCTCATCTGGAAGGATTGCCGAGGAGGATGAGGATGAAGAAGAATTCGACCATGGCGTGCGTGATGGTGCTCAAACTCCGGAGAGCGAAGAGTTCCCCCTGCAAGGTCAAAGGGAAAGCCCAGCTGCTTCGCCAAGCTCCAAGAGACTTTCCACCAGCTCCATTCGACGACACAAAGCACAAGAGGAAGTTAAAGAAAAGGAGGACGAGATCCCTTTCTTGCCACTCTCAATTATTAGCCCTGATCTCTACGAGCCCGGTGTCATTGGCCGACAGTTTCCTTGGGGATTTGCTGATCCTTACAACGAGGAGCACTGCGATTTTCAGCGTCTCAAGGAGGCTGTCTTCACCGAATGGCGCGCTGAGCTGCGCGAAGCTAGTCGGGAGCAATGGTACGAGGGATGGAGAACAAACCGGCTTAAGCAGAGGGACACCTCTTTTCGCCACAGATAAATCATGTCGAAAGAGGGAAATCACCCATCTTTGCGACAAGGACTTATACCGTCATAGGAACACTATGGCATATTGTCAGCTAAAACATGTCTATGCTTGACGCGGCATGAACGCTCACTGCGACCATCTTTCATTACCCCTACAAATACTTTAACGTTATACCATTTCCCGGAAAACTGCAGCATACCCCTTTGTCATCTTATTATATCGATTTCTGAACTTATGGAGAGGAGCAATGTCCTCCAAGATAGACATTGCTTTTACTCGTCCTCACGGCTGATACCCCTGATGAGACCCTCGACCGTCTAAACCGCACTGTTCCTGATGATCGGACCATCGCACGAGCCGGCCTTGAAGGTTTCATCAACTACTTACGACATTTTTCTTCAATTCATTTTCTTCGAAAACTCTTTCGCAAAGGCGGCGTTCATGTCTCTGGTCTCAAGAACAAGAGTATGTTTTTGGACCTTCTACATGATGGCTACTCTGGCAGGCCTCTTACTTTCTTTCTCTTGGTCTCGCACTTCGGAAAGTGCCCATTGCTTTCACTCACAGGTTGAGGAGCTTCAAGAGTCAAACAATTTGTCTGGTATGGCCGAGGGCCTCCTGGCTAGGCATGACGAGGAAGTATGTCGAAGGACGGAGGAGAATACGTGCTGGCAGCGCTATGGACTTGGCACTGTCTGAAATTGTTGAGTTGTTTTCTTTAGTCAATTTTTTTCACTAGTAATTCATTGCAATGTGTGTTTTCACTAGAACAACTGGTTCATACTCTAAGCGCACATGTTTAAACTATGATCCTGTGCATTTTAAGAAAGTGGACTACGTTAGCTATAGTATCAACTGCTGTCTTGTAAACATGGTCCAAGTCGCCCATCTTCCGACTTATACTCCGTACCATAATCGATATTGCTCACTGATAATGAAATAAACACACATAACCCTGCCATTCGTCCGATGCCAAATCATCTCCCCCTCTTGCGCCCAAACTTAGAAAGGCGTAGACTCGACCAGCTCAGTATTGATGGGGTTACCCTGTTCATCAACATCCTCCTCCCTCCGGTTAGGGTTCTTCCCAGCAGCCTTGATCTTGATAATTTCTTTATTCGACAAAGCGACGCCGTCGAAATTGGGAGGCAGAGCCACATCAATAATGAGAAGCTCAGTCTTGACGTTGCGTGCTCTATCGCGGTAGGCCTGTTGATTGCGTGGGTATTCGAAAAGAGGCTCACCACGTGTTTCAATCGTAGACCAACGAACGCCATACTCTGCAATAAGATTAATGAGCACTTGGGAGTCGTGTTGACTCCATGGAACGCGCTGCTTTCCTCCTGATCGCTCTGAATCTGCCATACGTGCTTCTTTGGCCCTTTGAGAAGCGGCTTGTCTGATAGCATCAAAGTCGGGCATTGAGGAGGGCGGCTGCGATGATTCCTGCTGGAAACTGGAATATTCTGATCCTGAGGACTGTGGAGGATCGGGGACGTGCTTCTGAGAAGGTCGAGAGACACGGTGGGGGATAGGTGGCGGAGCCATGCGCCGCCTCAGCTCATCTCGTTTTGCTTGGTCGATAGGCCGATTGTCAGTCTCAAAGGAATCCCCACCGTCATCTTCTGCCACAGATCGTGGCCGCTTCTGGCCTCTTTCATGATTTGCGTTGCTCTTGTGGCCCAACTGCAAAGAGCTTGCAGGAGGGAATGGACTTCGCATGAGTTCGGCATTCGTATGTTGGTGGTAGTCGCGGGGAACTGCTGATCTAGAGGCTGCGCGCTGTTGATTGGAAGGAGGAGCATCAGGGAGACTCGTCCGCTTCCCACCTTGTAGGGCTCGGAGGGATGCCTTGTCAACAAACAGACTCGGTCTGACAAGTAAGTTAGTATTTCACTTTCAAAGTAGGAGGATGCTGCCTTACACTGCTTCCTGACTTCCCATACGGACAATTGATTGCGACTCTGACCCGAAATCGTCAGCTTGGCTATCGGCTACGCTCTGTTGGTACTCAACAATGGGTTCAGTAGCCGCCCTCACGCTCTCTTCGTCTGTCAAGATCTTGTATAAGCTTTCAAAGCACTTCTGAAGCTCGTCCACCAGGCTATGCAAGGGAAATCTCGTTCTGAGCTGGGCAATTCCACCATCCCTCTTGAGTTCCACAATCTCGGCAATGCGTGTTGAGCAGAGTTCATTAAGATCATGATCTTTGCCACCCAGTTCTCGAAAGTAGTTTCCAGAGAAGAGCACAGCATAATCGCTGGGATATTCTTCCTCGGCGTTGGTGCCCGAACGTTGCTGGTCTCTGCAAAACAAAGCGACAAGCAGATCCCGATAATCCATGTCTTGATTAGGTTGAGAGATGACCTCAACGAACAACCATGTGCGCAGATCTAGTGTGCATTCGGGTGCTTGGAACATCTCATCGGCAAGAATGAAGAATGAAGGCAGTGTTTCGTGGAGAGTTTGGAAGAACTCAAAGACATCTGATGCATCCCCCTCCTTGATATCGTGGAGCTTGTCATAAGCGCTGACCACATTGGCGCACGCAATCTGGGAGGATGTATAAACGTGATCCTTGGTGAAGTTCTGGGCGGCTAGAAATTGTGCAAAATCGATGAAAGGTGCCATATTATCCTGGTCGAGGATATCGTACTCGGCTCTGATATTATAGAAAGCGCGTCTCTTGATACCCAAGGATCCTCTGAAGATGTCTTGATCGGGGTCTTTTCGTCGAAGACACCTGAAAAGGCTGTCAGCGGCGCTGGCCAAGTCTGGGACGGTAAGCTCCAGAACCCTCCTCTGAGCAGAAGTGATCACAAGACCGGCTTGAGGTTGTTCACTGTATTCCGACTCCTCAGGCTGGACACCCACTTCTCCATCTTGTGCTTCACGGACGGTTTCGTCCTCCTTTCGTGTTACATTATCATCTTCATCTTCATCGTCGTAAAACTCAGTGTCGTCGTCAGGCCTTTGTGGGATAGACGGGATACTAGACTCTCGAAGGGCATATGCTGGAGGGCCACGTCGAGCAACGGGATGTCTCTCCAAAACATTCACTTGCGGGACAGACTCAGGCGGCTGTGAAATGCGAGTTACTTGGGGTGGTGGTGCGGATGTAGGTATGTTGTTCCTTTGAGTGCTTCTCGTCACTCTTTGAGGTTGCGCATCTGCTTCTGCGCGCCCTGAAGCGCCGCGAGTGTTCATTTTGGTGATAAAGTGAGGACGATGAGGAAATTGCGTGTTCTCTTCCGAGACGCGTTTGTTGATGATACATCTTTCATTGATACAGCCAATCAAGCTAACCCTAACCCTATTGGATTGGTTGACTATTTTGGAGTTTGGAGCATTGACCCACCTGGGAGCTACCCCGGCTTAGTAGGTACTAAACAAGGTACTATAGTCTGACAGTGACTATCACTGATTGAGGTGTCAGCCTGCAAGGTACCATGCATCACACACATACATTAGTATATATGTATATCGCATGCCTAGAGCAGCTGAAAGCTGTTCCTACTAATGCCGATGTTCCGGAACGATGCGATAACCCCAATTCTATAAGTTCTTCTTTGCAGCAACAGCTTTGACGTCATTGGAGCCGAGCAGCCCAGTAAGATAGGCTGTTCGGGTGAAGAAGAGGAACAACTAAAATTTACTGTGGTTAGACAATTTAGACGTTGAAGATGTGTTTGTTCTCGACTTACCGTCATACCAATGTTTCCCCAAGTTGTGGCGTTCCATTTGAGAGGACTCAACGACACATCCCAACCAAGCCCGTAGGAGGTAAACGCAAGATGACCAATATCTCCTAGCCACAAGGCAACGAGGTACGCCCGGACAACCTTGGGCTCACTGGTGGTAGACAGGATTGCGACTCCCATAAATGCCATTAACAAGTACAGGTTTCCAAGCTGCCACGTTACTATGATACTGTTATGGGAGGCCCTAATGCCATCATCTTGAGGGCTCTGTTCACCGATGAACCACGCCGGATCAATGACGACACCAATAAAACCGACAACTCTGTGAAGATGTGAGCAACTGTGTGATCGAAAATAAATTAGACAATTATTTCATACAAAGAAATTGGCTCGATAGTAGTAAATACTACACGTGGAAAGGTCGGGAGACAAGACGCCATGGTTGCTGTTTCACTTTGGAGTAGTAACTAGTGACAAGCGATACAAGTTGAGAAGTGCACCATGAGTCTAGGTTAGTACAGTATGAGCACGGATCTGATAAGGTGCCTTTTCCCTTTTCCCCAGAATCGACCTTCCGTGTTAGCTGCCGCGAGCCAATAGGAAGAGTCCAGCTCACTACCACTGAATTCCGGCGCTGCTCGGGATGGACCGGAGCGAGGCCGATATCGTTGCATCGTTGCCCGGTCAAGCATCACCGGCAAATAACCGGACAGTGTTGGACATTTTTTTCCGCCTTAGCAGTGCTTCCGGGGTCCAAGCTAAAGCTGAGCCGTTAAAATCCAACAGCCGAGCGCTGGAAGACAAGTATTTGGCCTTCTCTCCGATTGTTTGAGCCCTTTTGCAATTGTGCGACATTTCATTTCCGGCTTCTCTGCCCCGAAGAACCCTCCTGCCACCTCCAGCCAAGCCAAGCCGATTCAATTGGGCTACCCCAGCTTTCAGCTTTCGGAATAGCGTTTCGCCTTCGCCAGACCATCCATCATCATGCTTCGAACCGTCACGGGACGTGCTGCCGCCTCGGGCCTTGTCAGGTCAGCTCTGCCTCGGGTCTCCCAAGCAGCGGCTCCCACATGCTCGCTTGCCCCGCAGCTGCGACTTCAGAACCAGACTCGCGTTGCTGGTCTTCGATTCTCCAGAGCCATCCACAGCACTTCAGTCAGAATGTCCCAGACACGAACAGAGAGCGATGCCTTCGGCGAGGTCCAGGTCCCGGCCGACCGATACTGGGGAGCTCAGACCGAGCGATCCCTCGAGAACTTCCGTATCAACCAGCCTCAGGACCGTATGCCCCCGCCTATCGTCAAGGCCTTTGGTATTCTGAAGGGTGCTGCTGCTACTGTTAACATGAAGTTTGGTCTTGGTGAGTAGCAATTCGATCGATGGAGGGGTTTGTCTGGGAGGATACCAGCTCGGTTCATGCGGATGGGTTTGATTACTCGACTTACACCAATTCGCGGGGTCGAACTGCGACTTATGCACCGAGCTATTCAACCCCATTACAGACAAACACTTCCCTTTTAATGGTTTATAGCTAACGACTATCTTCTGTAGACCCCAAGATCGGTGAGGCTATCCAGCAAGCTGCCAAGGAGGTTGCCGATGGAAAGCTTCTTGACCACTTCCCCCTTGTCGTCTGGCAGACAGGTTCCGGAACCCAGTCCAACATGAACGCCAACGAGGTCATTTCCAACCGTGCTATTGAGATCCTCGGCGGCACAATGGGCAGCAAGAAGCCCGTCCACCCCAACGACCACGTCAACCGCAGTGCCTCCTCCAACGACACTTTCCCCACCGTTATGCACATCGCTGCCGTCCTCGACATTGAGGGTGAACTCCTGCCTTCTCTCCGCAGCCTGCGGGATGCTCTCCAGAAGAAGGTTGACGACTTCGAGGCCAAGAAGATCATCAAGATCGGCCGAACTCATCTCCAGGACGCTACCCCTCTTACTCTCGCCCAGGAGTTCTCCGGCTACGTTGCCCAGCTCGACTTCGGCATCAAGCGCGTTGAGAGCTCTCTGCCTGATCTGCGACTTCTCGCCCAGGGCGGTACCGCTGTTGGTACTGGCATCAACACCTTCGAGGGCTTCGCCGAAGCTATCGCTGAGGAGGTCACCAAGATGACTGGTACCGAGTTCAAGACCGCCCCTAACAAGTTTGAGGCTCTGGCTGCTCACGACGCCATTGTCCAGGCTCACGGCTCTCTCAACACCCTTGCTGCCTCTCTCACCAAGATTGCTCAGGATATCCGATACCTTGGCAGTGGCCCTCGCTGCGGTCTCGGTGAGCTGAACCTGCCCGAGAACGAGCCTGGTAGCAGCATCATGCCCGGCAAGGTCAACCCCACGCAGTGTGAGGCTCTGACTATGGTCTGCGCCCAGGTCATGGGTAACCACGTCGCCACCACCATTGGTGGTATGAATGGCCAGTTTGAGCTTAATGTTTACAAGCCTCTGGTCATCCGCAACCTTCTCCACAGCTCCCGCCTCCTGACTGATGGCATGCGCTCTTTCGAGAAGAACCTGGTTGCTGGTCTTGTCGCTAACGAGGAGAAGATTGCCAGCATCATGAAGGAGTCGTAAGTTTTATACTGCAATACGTTCTACGCACCAGCGCTAATTATTTTCATAGTCTTATGCTTGTCACTTGCCTCAACCCCAAGATCGGTTACGACATGGCTAGCAAGGTGGCCAAGAACGCTCACAAGAAGGGACTTACCCTGAAGGAGAGCGCCCTTGAGCTCAATGCGCTGACCGAGGAGGAGTTTGATACTCTGGTCAAGCCTGAGCTGATGGTTGGCCCCAGTCCTTACAAGGGTTAAAAAGTTTGAGAATATCTGAACAAAAGGATGTCTGATCTCATTTGTGATCGTAATTCCATGTACCAAAATCTAGAATCGCTTATAGATCGCGACAACCTAACGAATGCATGACGACTTTAACATCATTGTTCTGGAAGCTTGTGGCTGTTCTTTGGAGAACAAAAAAGTATAACAAAATCAACAATAACATTAAAACAATTGAATACACATGTATAATACAATTGTCGACCAGGCCATCGTTACGTGTGATGGGCATTGAGACATTGAGCAATCGTTGAGTACTAACCTAAAATAACATGTGAGAGGGACATTAGATTTTGTTGAAGGTTGGGCGGAATATTAACCGACCGGGAAGCGCCGGCATTGGCATTGACATTAGCAGCTCTTGCATCACTCAGGTGCAGGAAACACCCCCGCCTGCCCGACCTCTGCCAATCGAACGCTACAATATGTGGCGATTTCACGTGCTAGGCAGGTAGAGGCACTGTAATAGAGCGAGACGGCATAACAGACGGCCAGAGTGAGACCACATCAAGTCGTTCACGACCCAAACTCTTGTGAACTCCGGTTCTCCATTCTCAAACCTTAGTCAACATGGCGCTCTGAGTCCTTTGTCTCTTGCCAACGGCATATTCAACTCTTTTTTATCTCGTCTCCCTCTTCCCTCTTCCCTTTCCCCTCTGCTCTGCTGGCCCTCTTGTGGTCTGCCATCTCCGTTGCCGTTGACTTATACCCAATGCGCCAACCGACATTCGAGAGCCCATGATGGCCACAATCGAGCCGCGCTTGATTCACCTGCTCAACGAGCAAAGGAAACCGCAACTCAATCACGCCGATCTTCCCCCGCTCCATTCTCTTCCGTTTCCTACGGCCACGGACCGACCTTTGCCCCCGCTCGAGCCTGATACAAACCACCGCGGCGACAGGCCAGCGGCTGACGTGCAATTTGCTACCAACGCGGTTGGTTCAGTACATCCCATCAGCGGCGATGGCACTCTTGATTATCGCAAGGAGTTTAGTAGCCAGGATAGGACAATAGCGTCGGCTTCCAGACCGTTTTCATTACGTGGAACTCTGGGCGACATGGAAATACCGGAGTCTATCAATTCGATAAGCCGAATATTAGACGACGGCTCTGATGTTTTTGATGATGCTTCGACCAAGAAACGGCACCGAGGCCTCCATGTCAAGGACGACTTTGTACAGCTCCCGCAGCCTCTCAAAAAGCAGAGAGCTATTCAGGCAGCGCCAGTTATGCCACCAATTATTAATGGACTTCACGAGCCTCCGCCACACGCCGCTTTGTTTCCACCCATCTCCTCTGATTCGTTCGACAGCAAAGATGGGCTGCAGATGAATATACTGCTTGAGATTCCTCAGCCACCTCAAGAAGTTGCTGTGCCAGTATCCAGTTTCAACAAAGCACGAAAGCGGATTAGCAAACCAAGACGGAAATGGTCTGAGGAAGAGACAACCCATCTTTTGTTGGGCGTTGACAGACACGGAGTCGGCAAGTGGACGAGCATTCTTGAGGACACCGATTTCAAGTTCAATGATCGGACGGCTGGCGATCTCAAAGACCGATTTAGGACATGCTGCCCCGCCGAGCTTCGCAAGTCCAATGGTACCATTGATGCGGCATCGCCACCACTTTCTAGTCAAGGAACAAAACAGGATGGCAAGACAGATACTCACCTGGAGAAGATAATGGTAGATGGGAATTCTGCATCAGCAAAAGACACATCTTCCGCATCACAGGAAGAGGTTGAAAAGAGTCCAAAGCAGAAAAAGAGTAGGGCACATCGCAAGAAGATGGAGGACCTGGTAGAACTCGGTATCCATGGGCCTTTCAAAAAGTCTCATCGCCGCGAACGTCGACCTTTTACCGAACAAGATGATATCGAGATCCTTGAGGGATTGGATACTCATGGCCCTTCATGGACGAAGATCCAACGAGACCCGCGTTTCCATCTGTCCAGTAGACAGCCGACAGATTTGAGAGATCGGGTACGCAATAAGTATGCCGAAGTTTACCAGCGTATAGAGAAGGGAACTTTCCAACCCAAAGAGGCGGGTCGAGGCAACGATGTTGCAGAACAATCAGCGAGTACCCTGCCCCAAAACTCATTTCAGCCATCAAAGGCTGCGACGCTAGAGCCGCAAATGAAACAGCCACCGTCCCATGAGGATCTTCCTCGATGGCCAGTCCAACAGAGAATCGATATAGGCGAAGCAAATGGGACGGCTCAGGTATTTGAGTTTGGTGAGGCTGCAACACCTCAGTTTATGGGCGGCGAGATGGACATTTCACGCCTATTACTAGACGATGCCAAGCTCTCCCCGCTGGACTCACGGTTTGGTTTTGAAGGCATCCCTGGTCTTTCTCCACCAGCTAGCGCTTCGCAGAAAGGTCACAACGCGGATAGCAAGAATCTCTCAAGAAGATAGCATCAACTCTTGTGCAAGTAGTGACGCTATATTATGAACGACGGACTATTCTGCACTAATGTTTCTGAGGGTCCCGATGGGATAGGAGTTTGGAAAGTCGATTTGTAAAGGTATTGGGCGCACATAGATGGAGACCCGGGACGATCAAAAAACACACAGCACACGCTGCTTGACGGTCACTTATAGCAGTAAGATATAGCATGCTTTGGCGCTCAAAGGAAGGGAGAACGGGTTTCCTTACTGGTAAAGAAGGATTGTTAAAAAAAAAAGTTGGACGGTTATTGATTTCATTTGGCGCAAGACCACAAAGATAGTATCGATCTGATTAGAAACAAAGTCTGAATCCAAGCACATTTACAAACGAAGGTAAGAATAAATGTTATAATCGCCAAGATTCAAACTGTCTATTCAATCACATTGGCAATGCAACTCATACTTACATGTCTGCTCGGTCAGGTCGTCTCCACATTTAGGTCAGATGATCTGCCACGTGACCCACCGTCCAAAAATCTGTAGGGCACGAAACCCCCACTAGCGAAAAAAAAAAGAAGTGCGTGGTCAATCTCGTTCAGATTTGTTGGTGAAGCAGGTCCCTCGTCCATCCTCATCACCGTCGACATACCAGCCAACCGACACAATGGCCCGCGGAATGTGAGTAAACATAACGAGAAGACCGATCACTGCCGCGAATACCAAAGCGAACCATGATTTGCGCTTCTCTCCCGCCGTCTCGCTGCCAGGAAATCAGCATCTGACTGTCTGTATAGCAAGAAGCACCAGAAGCGCCTCAGCGCCCCCTCGCACTGGCTGCTTGACAAGCTGTCCGGCACCTACGCTCCCAAGCCTTCTGCCGGTCCTCACAAGCTCCGCGACTGCATGCCCTTGATCGTCTTCATCCGAAACCGCCTCAAGTATGCCCTCAACTACCGTGAGGTCAAGGCCATCCTGATGCAGCGACTTGTCAAGGTCGACGGCAAGGTCCGAACCGATTCCACCTTCCCCTCCGGCTTCATGGACGTCATCACCATCGAGAAGACTGGCGAGAACTTCCGTCTTGTCTACGATACCAAGGGCCGTTTCACCGTCCACCGAATTCAGACCGAGGAGGCTGAGTACAAGCTGGGCAAGGTCAAGCGTGTCCAGCTTGGTCGTGGTGGAATCCCATTCTTGGTCACGCACGATGCACGAACGTGAGTTCTGTCAGACATCATTCAGCCGTTGGATCAAGCTTTGGTCGATTCGATTCACCCGACAAGACACGAGCTTTATACAACGGTTGTATGTATACCCTAAAAGCCCCCATGCTAACATGAGTTTCTCAGCATCCGCTACCCTGATCCTTTGATCAAGGTCAACGACACCGTCAAGATTGAGCTTGCCACTGGCAAGATCACCGACTTCATCAAGTTCGATACCGGTGCCGTCGTTATGGTCACTGGTGGTCGTAACATGGGTCGTGTTGGTGTCATCACTCACCGTGAGCGCCACGACGGTGGTTTCAACATCGTCCACGTCAAGGATGCCATTGACAACAGCTTCGCCACCCGTGAGAGCAACGTTTTCGTCATTGGCCAGGACAAGCCCTGGATCTCTCTGCCCAAGGGCAAGGGTGTCAAGCTCACCATCGCTGAGGAGCGTGACCGCCGACGCGCTTACCAGATCTCTCACTAAGTTGTGGATTTGCGATAGTAACGGTAAAAAAGGCATGTGGACTGGAGTCTCGGATTTGACGTTTGCTTTGCGGCTTTAACTACCCTGGAGATAGCCAGCCCTCTACAAGGGTACGATAAAAGATGAATTTGAGCCCAATAAGAAGTGTCGATTCCAGACGAATGTTGCTTGTGTGCTGTGATTGAAAGTGAGGTGATAGGTCTATTATTGTTCCTCTAGGCGCATTAGGTGTTGTCTATTTGCTTCAATCGGATACGATTAGGTACATGGCTATGTACAAATTCATGTGACCTTTCTGCGTTGAGTTCTTTTCTTTCAACCGTTTCGAATATCTCTGCACATCATTGTACTACTTCTTCGAAGGGTGCTTACCCTATACCTACCCAAGAACTGAATTGGTATGGTTGCGAGACATCATGGATGGATGGATGCAATGTAACACTCGAACCAAAAGGGGTGTTTTTCTCTCACTACAAGGCAACATGCAGCGACTGTCAGTTGACTTCGTATTGTGTATATACAAGGTTTGTATGTATTACACTGCCCGTATTTGGATGGCTGGGGTGAGGTACAGAAACCGGACATAGGCGAGTTCCTACACCTCGTTCACCCCACGTTTGGCAGGAAGATGATCATCCAGTCGAATTGCTAAGTTGAGAAATGACAGAAAGAGAGTTGTTTCTCTCACCTTGGAATTCTTCCTATCCCCAACTTCTCCATCGAGCTAGCTACCTCAACCCACACCGAAGCTTTTGAACCCCCCAAACTGCAACAAACCAAGTGGACTCGCCTTATTCCCTCTATTTTCCTTCTCCACAACCCCCACGCTTTCCAAATCCGTGAAAGCTACTGAATCGGACAGGAAGTCGAGTCGAATTGAGTGCGGGGAAGATGATGCAGTTCTACAAAGTACGGATACAGAGTACCTAGGTAGGTTGCCGACAGGAGTCGTGTTTACACACGACGTTGGGAATGCATGACTAATTGGAACTGCAGCGCACAGCAAATAAAGCCCTTTGGCTCATATGCCGTGTCTGATGGCTGCACTTCTCTGCGCAGTGATTCGACAATGCGAGTCCCATGCGCTCTGTTCCTGTGATGTGCATGTAGGCGTAATGCGTGGGGAGCAGTCAAGTTGTCTGGCTGCGGCTTATTCATCTGCTTCCTACTACGGAGTATGTATTTGTTTACCATGTAATTATAGAGTAAGACCGCACACACACATGCACAACGATCGTGTGCCTACTCACCGTTTGTAGCACTTGGGCTCTGGCCCTGCTAGTACCGGTAAACTACCAAGTATAAACCAGCTATGGAAGAGCGAAGAGCCAGACTCCAGCGGCAACGCAACAGTAGGTATTGCATCAGCGAAACTAATGCTGAGAAGAGGAACCGAACGAACCCTTTGAGCTTAGGTTTCCCACTGCCCCACGTGCCCCGACGATGTTTGTCGACACTAGGTGCTTATAAGTGAGATCCGGCCCCATCGTGGGCGTTTCCTGTTGGGCGTAAGTAGCTTTCTCTCTCCCCTTCTCTTTATCTCTCGGTTGACTCGAATCGAAGGATTTTGCTTGTTCCCTTCTCTCTTTCACTTGTTTTCGGTTACTCGGTCCAGGCTCGCTTAGACACGGCAGATATTATTCTCATCTTGCCAAACACTACGATCAGAGTCATAAGCAACTGGAAATCGTTCAGTACGCTGTCAAAAGAGAGTTTGGGTAGAATATCTATATTGGTTCCACGGATAAAACCACGGGCCCGGAACGTCTTTATTCGGAATATTACCGTTGAAGAAATCGCTTCCAATGTTCGCCAGCAGAGCTTCAACTAGAGCCCTTTTGAGTCGTAATGCTCAGAGAGTGAGACCCAGGCGAGATTTCACTGTCTCCACTCGCTACTGTGCTATCGAGGCACATAGAATCGCCCAAGGCGGAAACCACAAGGCCTCAGGATGGTCTCAACCAAAGGTCTTGGCAGTTGCTGTTGGAGCTGGTGCTCTTGGATGGGGACTTGCCAGTTTCACTGGAGATAACGACTCCAAAAAGTCTATATGGGATCAGCCATCTGTACCTCGTTACGCTACGTTGCCCGAGATGGAGAAGGTAGGTTACCCGGGAGTATCACAGTGCCCTTATACTAACTCTGAAAATAGGCCATTCGACGAATTGAGAGTGAGGTTGGAATAGAAGGTTTCATCTCTACAGACCCGGAAGACCTACTTGCACATGGCTATTCTGAATGGTCAACCGTCAACCCGGATACCTTGCCTGTGGCTGTCGCATATCCCAGAACCACAGAACAGGTGTCTGCGATAGCTAGAATCTGCCATGAGCACAGCATTCCTATCATTCCTTATTCCGGGGGGTCAAGCTTAGAGGGTAACTTCTCTGCCCCTTACGGAGGAATTAGTGTGGATTTTGCCTATATGGACCAGATCATCGAGTTCAACAAGGACGATATGGATATTGTAGTTCAACCCAGTATTGGTTGGCAAGACCTAAACGCGAAGTTATTGAAAATGGAAAGTGGTCTATTCTTTCCGGTTGATCCTGGTAAGTAACTGTCGGATATGTGAGTTTCATGGTATTCGAAGGCTAACAAGTTTCTAGGCCCATCGGCAAAAATAGGAGGCATGATCGGAACGAACTGCTCTGGTACCAACGCTGTTAGATACGGTACGATGAAGGATTGGGTTATCAACTTGACCGTAGTCCTCTCAGACGGACGTATTATCAAAACCAGACGCAGACCGCGAAAGTCTTCTGCTGGATATAACTTGAACGGACTGTTTGTTGGCTCTGAGGGTACTCTGGGTATTGTCACAGAAGGTACGGAAAAATAACTGCTCCTGGGGAGCAGTAGTTTGATATCAGCTAACAATTACCTATAGCCACACTCAAGTTAGCCGTTATCCCAGAGCAGTATTCAGTTGCTGTAGTCACATTCCCCACCATCAGAGATGCAGCTGCAGCCGCGGCCGGCGTTATGCAGACCGGTATTCCTGTTGCAGCGATGGAGATAATGGACGAAGTTCAGATGAAAGTTATAAACCTTGGCGGTGCTACAAAGCCTCGAGTCTGGAAGGAATCGCCGACTCTGTTTTTCAAGTTTTCCGGGACCAAAGAGGGTGTGAAAGACAACATCAACAGGGTTCAAAAGATCGCGGCAGCTAATAAGGGTGGTAACTTTGAGTTTGCTCGGGATGCCGCTGAGCAGCAGCTGCTCTGGTCTGCTAGGAAAGAGTCTCTTTGGTCCATGCTCTCGCTGCGCAAGACCGGTGACGATGTTTGTGAGTATATCGCAGTGCCTCTAGAAACTCTTGACGTTTTCGTATTAGTCGCTAATCATCGTATCACGCTGCAGGGAGTACTGATGTCGCCGTTCCATTCAGCAGACTAGCTGACATTATAGAGGTCAGCAAGAAAGAGATGGACGAGCTTGGTCTTTTCGCCAGCATCCTCGGCCACGTTGGCGACGGCAACTTCCACGAGAGCATCATGTACAACAAAAATGTGCCTGGCGAACGCCAAAAGGTCGAAGCATGTGTCAAGAACATGGTGAAGCGCGCGCTCGACATGGAAGGTACTTGCACAGGAGAGCACTCTATCGGCTGGGGCAAAAAGGAGAGTTTGCTCTGGGAGGTTGGGCCAGAGACTCTGGCGGTCATGGCGTCAGTGAAGAAGGCATTCGATCCGAAATGGATCTTGAATCCCGGAAAGATTATAGATGTGCCGGGGGAGAACATTGTGTATCTTGGGGCCAGTGCAGCTGTGACGCCAAACAGAGTCGTGAGAGACTTGGTCCGACAGGGATGAACGTATACAACCTTTTGTATATGTAGCTTGGTAGAAGTTATTGGAGTTTTGTGTAGATTATTTACGGTTGCATGCATATATAACGACTTGATTGTCGTGTTGGGTTTTGACATAGCATCGTTGTTCTATCTTGACAAGTCCTCTCGTATTATAAGCACAACACCAAGGGTATGATTTGCTCGTTGTTCCCCCCTATCTGATTGTTCGTTTGACAAATCTACAGAATATGCATTGTATTATTTGTCAAGAAAAATAGTTTTCGATGCAATGCTCCACATGCCTTTGGTGTTTATTTGCATCAAACAATCTACCACTGTAACACAACCAAACACCAAACATCAAATAGACGGACAGCTGCAGCTGCTCTTCATTTCTTTCTCTCCTAACACTCACCTATTGAAGCTACTATATTTTCTCGGCGACTGCACTCTTTCCTTCAACCTCCTTTTTGCAGGCAGATTCAGCAACTCTAGAATTATCGCAGGCGCACCCCTAGATGAATCACTGCCACGTACCACTGCCTATTCATCTCGCACCACACGTTACCTACCTAATTGTTAACTTACCACTCTAAATCTTCCACTCTATTCGCGCCCTTTCATCCCATCCACTTACTCGTTCCATCGGACGAAAGACATCTTTTGGGTTAGATACTTGCATCATCCAAGACTAGAGCGGACCCATGCGCGACCGAATCAGCAAAGCACAAGGCATGTATATCTGTGAAATAATGATATCTATTTCGTATATCTACACCACGAGTAGTTCTAACTGAAGATGTTCTCCAGGTCGCATAGCCCACCAACAAACATGAGCTCAAAAGATTCATCCCTCGATCCCTCAAAAGGGCCGCGAGGTAATCCGAAGCACAAGAGCGTCTCGAAGAAAGGCCAGCCAGGTGCTAAGAAGAACACAAGAAACCAGTCACGTACACGCAATGCCGATAATATTGCTTCTCAGCTACAGGAGCCATGGCATGCATGGCCTGAACTCACAGTTCAATTGGAGGGATTGCCTACTTCAGTCACGACCGCAAATCTTTGGGATTGGTTTTCCCGTGAAGGGGAAATTGCATACATGGATATCTACGAGACGTCTAGAAGTCCTGGATCTATTAATGCCAAGATCAGATTTGAGCCACCACCGAAACGAGACTTTTGGTCCACAGGAACCTATCGTATTCGTCACCCACGACCTCTCGACATCACGATCAGCCTGGCAAAGCACATACCTCAACAGACGATTCGAAGTCCCGTATGCTATGACCGCTACCACCCTATCAAGACGACTCTCCATCCCGTGTCCTTTGACTTTGGGAGCATGTTGGGACACAAATCTATGAAGATCATGTATCCGATAGTTGGAACGATTCGCGAACGGAAGCTCAAGATTGAACTAAATCTCAAATTCCAGAGGCTGACGGCCTTCTTCCCCACTGAGATTGTAACACGAGGAGGAAGGATGGTCCGGCAGTATAAGGTTGTAATCGACTTCTCCAACATGAAAAGTATTTATCAAACAACAACTGCAGACAATCACTGTGCTCTTGTGATTCCACTCGAGACACCACCCCGGTACTATTGGAAGTCACCCAACATCCGGTCTACCTTCTCCGATGAAGTCAAAAACTGGAATTTCACGGAGAGCTGGAATCGTGCTACAGACGTTATTGAGGATGTTGGCCTTCCCATGAAAATTCCCATCACTCTACACGCTGACCACAAAGACTGCAACTTCGTTGATATCGGCCGCTGGACCACTCTTCGATTTGTTCTTAATGCTAGCACTGAAGAAGCCAGAGCAGCTAATGATCAGATCGTCAGTGCCCTGGATGACTTCAACATCACCACCCAAGTTCATGATGGCTTCCAATTCACCCATGGAGTACAGCCAGAGATGTGGAAACATCTCGAACGTCAGCTCCCCGTCGAGGGCCAAAAAGCGTCACAAATGCTTCACTACTCTCCAGACTTGGTTGTTCACCTCGATTTTGAGGTCCGGTATCAGCTCGAAGTCTGTATCTCTCGCGGATATCTCAATGAGCACACAATTACCAAGGAATTCCTAGACACCATTGCCAGCATGAAACCAATCAAAGCGAAGCTTCACCTCGAGTTCGTGGTCGACAAGGCACGCCGATTAGTGAACCCCATGAAACTCTTTGAAGAATATCGAGAGGAAGGGTCTGTTGCAATGCCGAGAATTCCTCCTTATTGTGGCCTTGTGCGAAAGGCGGTCATTACACCAACAACTATCCGTTACACCACACCCAACATAGAGATGTCCAATCGAGTAATGCGCAAATACAAGCATATCGAGGATCGCTTCCTTAGGATCCAATTTACCGAGGAACTTGAGAAGGGTAGAATTGCAGTGAACAAGGACCAGAATGACGAGATCTACAAGAGGGTGCTGCGTACCATGTACAAAGGCATCCGTATCGGCGATCGTGTTTATGAATTCCTCGCATTCGGCAACTCGCAACTCAGAGTGAACGGCGCATATTTCTTCTGCCCTACGGAACACACCTCATGCGACGATATCCGCAGATGGATGGGCCAGTTCAGTCACATAAAAGTTGTGGCAAAGTATGCCGCTCGGCTTGGTCAGTGTTTTTCTACTACTAGAGAGCTTCGTGGTATTTCCTCTCCAGAAACACGACAGATTCCCGATATTGAGAGAAACGGCTACTGCTTCACCGACGGGGTTGGCAAAATTTCCTCATTCCTAGCCCAGCTAATCGTGGAAGACATGACTCTCGATGTTTTTGCTAAGCCTTCTGCCTTCCAATTTCGCATGGGTGGTTGCAAAGGGGTACTTGCTGTTTGGCCGAACGATGCCAAAAGTATGGAAGTCCACGTCCGTGAATCTCAGAAGAAGTTCGAGTCTAACTCCAAGGGCCTGGAGATTATTCGCTGCGCCTCGCTAGCGACAGCAACTCTGAATAGACAAACCATCACCATTCTGGAAAGCCTCGGTGTACCTACCAGATCGTTCACCGACTTGCTTGACCAACAATTGAAGTCATATGAGCTGGCCATGCAAGACAATGATGTTGCGATTGACATGTTGACCAAGTTTACCGACGAGCAAAAGACTCACGTTCACCTTGCCAATCTTGTCAGGGCTGATTTCAGAACCAAAGATCTACAGGAGCCATTTGTTGTGAACGTTCTCAAGCTTTGGCGGGCATGGTCGCTCAAGATGCTCAAGGAGAAAGCAAGGATCCAGGTGCCGAGAAGTGCCTTTGTCCTTGGCTGTGTGGATGAGACCAGCACCCTCCGCGGACATTCCTCTGAAACAGAAGGGTCTGGGGAGAAAGACACCAGCAAGCTGCCACAGATCTTCCTACAGCTGAGTGACTCGGCGCACTACAGTAAGACTCATATCATCGTCGGAGTGTGCATCGTAGGGCGCAATCCGTCACTGCACCCGGGCGACATTCGCGTTGTTGAAGCAGTGGATTGCCCTGCTCTTCACGGACTAAAAGATGTCGTCGTGTTCCCAGCGACCGGAGATCGACCAGTGCCAAATATGCTCTCCGGCGGTGATCTTGATGGCGATGACTTCTTCATTATCTGGGAGCCGAGCTTGCTCCCGGGGATTTGGAATTATCCACCGATGAACTACTCAGCCCCCAGACCCATTGAGCTAGAGCGTGATGTCGATGTGAATGATCTCAGAAACTTCTTTGTCAAATATTTGAAGAACGATACACTCCCACTCATCGCAACATCGCACTTGGCCTCGTCTGACGAATTTGGTCCGATGTCACCAAAATGTGAGTTATAATTGGACCCCTTATTCAAGTATCTTGCTAATTTCGACACCCTCAGGTCTCGAACTTGCCGAACTGCACTCCAAAGCAGTCGACTATCCCAAGACTGGCGACCCGGCCATACTTAGGCGTGATCAGCAACCTCGGAGATGGCCTCATTTCATGGAGAAGAAAAATTCATACCATTCAAGAAAAGTTCTAGGAGTTATCTTTGATAAAGTGGTCCACAAAGCTGTTGAGTTCACTCCTATCTGGGATAGTCCGTTCGATCAGAGGATTACCAAGAAGTTCGAGCTCGACAACGAGACGCTCAGAGCTGCAAGAAAGATCAAGACACAGTACGATACATCCATGCGCCGGCTGCTTAGCCAACACGCCCTCAAGACTGAGTTCGAGCTTTGGACCGGCTTTGCCATGTCTAAACCTGCTGTTGGATCCGACTACAAGGTTCAAGAAGATCTTCGTAACGAATATTCCTCGCTCCGAGAGAAGTTCATTACCACCTGCATCGAAGCCGCGGGCGGGAAACAACCCGAGAAGCTTGAGAGATTTGTCGCAGCCATGTACACCGTTACCGAGGAGGAAACAAAGATTGCACTATTCGAACACCATCGGGGCCCGATCAACGACGCTGGCACCATTTTGCAACCTCGCAAGCTGGAGCCAAAGTCAATGCCGCTCATCAGCTTCCCCTGGATATTCCACCCGGAGCTGTGTCGCATTGCAACCGATGGCTTTGTCAGCCCGAAGCCATCAACCAGCGGGGGAGCTAACAAAGTAGGAACTCAACAATCCACCTCATGTCCTGAGGTAGCACCAGACGAGAGTTCAACACCTGCGATAGAAGTGGCTGTTGAAGGGTCTGCTCTGGCACCTGAGATCCACTCCCGCCTCCCTGACGGCACAGTCATTCACCGAGGAGAACCATTGTCAATTTTCCACCCCGAAGACGATGGAGAAATGGACGAAGATGCCCAAGATGCATCGGACTCGCACCAGGCTGATGAAGAGGAAGAAGATGATGCCATGGGCCGTTTATCTAGTTTGATCGGGCATCTCGATGTGGAATAAACATGGCTTTTAAGGGTAGACTGATAACAAGAGTTTTGGGGCGGACCAAAAAAGGGTGAGTCCCTCGGCGTTGAGAACCGGAGGTCAAAAGATGAGGCGTTTGGGCCAATATCTATGAAACTACACACTAAATGAGCCTATAGATCTATGAGGAAGGATGCTTGCTTCGATAAAGCTTGATAGAGGTCGGTAGCCAGTAGATTAGTGAATCAGATCAAAGTTCTGGCATTTAAAGGTCACCAAGTCGATCATGACTTTCATCGTCTGATGCAAAGATCCGTGCGGAGAACCCATTTCTCGCCATCGGTCACCTCTCGTCCTTCGTGCTGAAAGAGATATAGTAGTTAGCATCACGACGTGGAATTGGTACACCATGTCTGATGTTGGCGGGGACAGAGGATCTTACAAGAAGGCAGTCATCACCATGCTTGTGCAAAAGAAGCATGCCGGTCTCAAGAGGAACCACGATCTCTTCTCGAGCAGATCTACGGTCTCTTGGGTAGAAGACTGTCTCGCCTCCAACGCAGCCCTCGGAGGAGGATGTTAGGTAGAGTAGAAGGGTCCAGGTAGTTTTCACTGGCACTGGAGGATCTAATGGCAGAGTCAAGTTGTTGGAGTCGTCGTCTATATCGTTCCCAGTATACGAATTAGCCGACAAATAAGTAATGATTTCAAATGATTTATGAGATACTTTGTATTTTTGATAGGGGGCTTATGTACGGAAGGGATGGAGATGAGTGATTTGATAAAGGACACAAGTGGCAGCGCGATCATGACATGGAAAGATTACACGTACAATGACAGTCAAAGAACTGGCCCTTTGAATAACGATATATCCGAATATTGTAAGATAGACCAACGGGTTCACCACCCCTACGATATCAATTAACAATTTGATGATCCGTTATCAACTCGCATATACTATTCTCATTGGTGGTGAAATCAATACAAGATAGACTCACCATTGCTCATGATCACTATCCAACAAAACCTCTTTCAAGCCCGTCTGCTCCCATAACCGAGTAGCAAAGTCCTGGCTATCAACCTGAAAGCGATCGTTAACCCGGACTGCGTCGCCCCGCTTGGGACGACCAGGCGTTGTTTGCAGAGGTAAAGTCTCGAGGAAGGAAACATAATCTCGACAAAGAGACCGTGGAAAGAATGAAGGTATAAGAACCACGTTTGATGTCAATGGGTGTGGTACGGGGGAAAGGTCAACTATTGGCAGTGGAGGTTTGAAAGCTGGCCATGATGGAGGAGCTGGTGGCGGTTCTGCAGCTTCCAATTTGCCGGACTTGGATCCTTTGTTCTTTGGCTTGGGCATGGATATGATATTTTAAACAAAGATACTGGCTGGAAGATTTATTCAATTTTCAAAGAAAAATGTCATTCATTAACAGTGTGGTTAACAAGGCAGGCGGATACCTACAATGCGAAGTGAGATAGATATGCACGTACAAAAACGCGATGCAATAAGCGGGGTGCCGTTTTTCCGACGTTGAGAAACTACACCAGCACCTGAGGCAGTCAGGATCTCATATATTTTAGTAGTTTACTTATATATCCATTACACAAATTACGACACTATTCAAGCACTGAGAAGCACAAGAAAATGCCCATTATTGCTTCTCTAGTACGCTCATGGCTTGGCGTACCAGCCTCTGATAACGCAACCGCGCCCGAGGAAACTACCCCAGTGCCTCAAACTCTACCAACCCCTTCAGAAGCGTCAACTTCAGCAACTTCCTCTTCAACAATCTTACAACAAACATCACCAATAGTTACACGACCAGAACCATCATGGAACCGTTCATTGAAACAGTTCGGCCTGCTACTTAGTGGTGCAGGATTCCTCGCTGCATCTGTGGCTGTATCACGACGCTCAGTGCTACGCATGCGGCGTAGTTCCATGCCCAAATTCTACTCTTCAAACCGTCAGCTGGCCAAGTTCGACGCAGAAGACCGGTCTTTTCTTGCGGCTCAAGCCCTGGGACTTGCCACGCTCAACGTCATGAGTTTTGGCGTGTTGTTAGTCGGAGGGATCTCGTGGGCATATGATCTTTCGTCAATCGAGGAGTTGCAACAACGGACTCGGGCAGTCACACGCAGGCCTGGGGCAATGAATCCTGAGGAGGAGAAGGCAATGGAGGAGATGATGGAAGACCTCATGGGTAAGCTGGGAATGGAGAAGCCGCAGAAGCCTTCAGACGTTCCGAGCGAGGATGAAAAATAGAGCTATGCTTTTCCCATTTAATCAAGGACCGAATAACGGCCGATATGTAAGATACGATGTACGAGGTTGAGGCAAAGAAATGTATACTCCAATTATGAAGAGACTCCAATCGATTATAATTTAGTACCTTCCAGGAATAAGAGAGGTCTGGTATCTCGTTGTACCATGTTGCTCTTAACAGGGAGTAATAATAACATCTGCCCGTTAATTGTGGCTTTGATTACCACAAAAGCCTCCTTTTAAATCAAATACATATTCCAAACGCTGGCGAAAACCATCCATGTAATACCTCCGCCATCCATTATGCCGGTCACCCATGCCCACAACCCATTACAATAACCATACCCATATACCCTAGAACAATGCTTCAACGCCTCATCACCATGCTCCCACCCTGTGTATGTATCCTACATCTTGACCCCTCTGTCATACTTCTTGCTGCCTTTATAGGAATCCCTTGGTAAAGCTGGGAACCCTGCTAAGGCTGCTCTTCCGTCTAGGGACGTCGATCATGGACGCATCATCTCCTTCACTGACCCGCCAGGGGCCCATGCGACTGCGGACACTACCCATAACGCTGTTTGACCCCTTGTCGTTGCGCAGGTTCTTCAGCCCTGCCAGTTCACGTTCCAGTCGAATAATCCTCTCCTTCTCCTCCCTGCGTTCACGCTCAGCTCGTCGAGCCGACAACTGGCTGTTGGACTCAGACGACTGTAACTCCTCGATTGTCTGAAGAAGCTTCTCGACCTTGTCGCGCATCCTCGAGACATCATCGGAGAGCTGCATGTTTTGCTTGTCTTTGCGGTCAATCTGACCTTGCATATCCTTCACAATACGATCCACGTTTCGGACGGAGCGCTGAGACTTGCTACGTTCAGTCTCCTGATCTTCAAGTTGGGATTCGAGCTGAAAAATGTTAGCTTTGGTATAAAATTAGGCCATGGACAACCGCTTACCTCCTGGATGCGCTTGTGCAAGAACTTGACATCCTGGCTGGCACTCGAGTAACCCTTGGTCTCGAGGTCGACGAGCTTGAGCTGAGCCTCGTTTAGAATCTTCTCTAGCGAGGCCTTCTGTTGCTGCAGCTTGATGCTGTTTTCGCGCTCAACCATAACATCCTTTTGAATCTCGGTCACAAGAGCTTCAGCGCGGCGCATCTTCTCAAAAGCAGCAGCCGCAATGTCTTCTTGCTGAGCAAGGTTCGACTTGAGCTCCAAAATTTCCTTATCCATGTTGGCGGCGTTGCGCAAAGATGGACTCTCTCCCTTGACAAGATCCTCCAGGCCTTGCTTGGCCTCCTCGAGGCGGGCCTCAACATTTCGCTTTTCCCGGAGAAGGTGATCTCGCTCTCCAGTGATCTCATCCACAGAAGTGCGAAGAGTACGAACTTGTGACAAGAGGGAGACAACCTTGCCTTGTGCTTCGTTGTGTGCGTTGACTGCCTCATCACGAGAGGAAACAACATCTGCCAATGTTGACTCCAAGCGAGCCTTCTCCTTGGACCATGTCGAGCTGTTGAGAACTTCGTCATCCCATTTCGACCTCAACTCGTCGAGCTCCTCTCGAAGTCGAGCGATCTCGGCTTGCTTGTAAAGCTTCTCCTCGCGGGCAAGATCAAGCTCATTGGTCAGAGTAGCAAACTCAGCTTGATACTTCTTACGAGTCTGTTCCATGCTCGATTCCTTGTCCTCAATCTCCATAGCCCGTTGGTTTCGGTAGTCCTCTAGCTCATGCTGAAGTCGCTTTTTAGCCTGAGTAGCGGTCGCCAGGTCTGTTGAAATATCTTCCACCTTCTCCTCAAGGTGCTGGTTCTGGCGCTGGAGATCCTCAATGCTAGCATCCATCTTCTCACGCTCGGCCATGACCTCTATGTAGGTATCTTCAGCCTCCTTCGCTTGAGACCTGGCAAACTGCTCGGCACGGCTTGCCTTAAGGACGGCGATCTCAGCCTGTTCAAGCTTGCTGAAGTATTCATCGGATCGGCTCTTGTACATTTCCAAGCTGGAGACGACGTCGGCAAACTTTGAGGTCTCTGCGTCAAGTCGGATTTGCATGTCGGCAAACTCCTGGAGGAGTTGGTTACGGCTCTGCGCCTCCTGTTCTCTCGCCAAGGTCATCTCTTGTAGATCGGATTTAACATCGCGAAGTTCAACTTCTGCCTTTGCGCGGTCGTGGCGTAGTCTCTCAAAGTGACCCTTGATGTCGGTCAACTCCGCCACAGCATCCTTATGACTATGGACCAAGGCTCGTCGAGAATCCTCTTGGCTGTTGAGAACCTCCAAGATCTCTTCATGTGTTCGGGTCTGGACATCTCGAATCGAGAGCTGTCCAGATCGAATGGTGCGCTCAAGAGCAGACACCTTCTTGCTAGAGTCATCGAGCATCTCATGAAGACGGGTGTTGACCATTTCGAGCTTCTGAATACGGCGCAGAGATGGACTTTGATCGTCGTTGTTCTCTGGCGTAGGTGTACTTCGATCGATCTGGTTCTGAAGATGTCGATTTTGCATCTCCTTCAATTGAAGCTGGTTCTGAAGCTCCTCGACTTCCGCCTTCAAGTCCATACGACTGTTGAAGTTGAGAGTATCAACTGTTCGATCAGAACGTGTTGAGTCTTGGAGGTGGTCCACATCCTGGAAACGACGCGTGGGGGTTGAGGTATTGGAGTAGTTGCGAGCATGAAGCTTGGCCGCTCTCTTTTGAGTTGGTGATCCTTGGAAAGGTGCCTCATTAAGCTGGATTTCCTCGAGTTTGGGTCGGGTAGGAGATTCATTGCGTGTCGCTCTCATCTCCGTCAGTTGGTTCTCGGCGTTTGTTCGAGCAGCCGTCTGCACCCGCAGGTTCTGCTGAAGCTCTTCAACCTTTCGTACAAGGTCAAAGTTCTGGATAAGCATCTTCTCGTCTGACCCATCTGTCTGAGGCGGGATATGTACTTCGGGGTCGACGGTCCTCAGAACGTCGAGCATCTGTGCCCGCAGCTCATTGAGTTCCTTGTCTCGCGAATCCGCAGAGCTTTGCAACGTACGAACAGTTGTCTGAGCTTGAGTTCGAAGTTGTCGCTCTGACTCAATTGTGCGGTTAGCTTCAGCCAGCTGCGCGGTAAATGTAGAAGTTGCTTTCTCGGCATTCCTGCTTGACTTGACTTCGCGGGCAACCTCATGACTCAGGTCTTCTAAGTTGAGCTGGAGTTTCTCGGCTCTCTTTTCGAGTGACGCAATGGCGAGTTGAGAATCACCCAGTTGTTTGTTCAACTTCGTATTTTGTTCCTCCAGTCTCGCCTTTTCACGTTGAAGAGACAGAATCTGACCTCGAGATGCTTCACTTGCACGCGAACTTGAGCGAGCAATCTCCAAACCCTTCTGTTGCAGTTTGTTCAACAAGGCTCTGTTGTCGTTCTCCGATGCCGTTAGGCGGCTTTTGACTGTGCTCAATTCACGTTCGAGTCTTTCTTTGGCCTGGTCATTTTTCAAGCCAAATTCGCCCGACTCAAGAATCAGCTTGTTGAGGTCCTCAATCTGGTGGTTGAGCTTAGCACACTCTCCTTCGAACCACTGGAGCCGTTCCTGAGCTGCGTCAAGATCTTTGCGAAGACTGTTTTCGCGGTCCTGGGCAGCCTTGGAAGCTTGTCGCTCACCGGCGACTTCGGCTTGCATCCTTGCTTCTTCAGCCTGCGTCTTTGCCACTCGAAGGCGTCGGATTTCTTGCCTGGCCTCATCTCGTTCCTTTTCGGCAGTGGTTCGAGCTTCCATCGTTCTGCGAAGGGTGTCCTGCTGGGCATACAACTCCTTCTCGATAATGATCTTGGACTCATTGAGGCGATCGAATTCGTCCTTCAGCTCTTGATAACGGTGCTCGCCGAGGAGCTGAACATCATCTCGGGACTGGCGCTCTCGACTCAGCTCCATCTGTGTCTTGTATAGCTCATCCTTGAGATCCTTGATTTGCGACTCAATAACTTGCCGATTCTGGTCGGCTTGAGCATCCTCGGATAGTCGTGCTTCAAGCAGGTTCTTCGCATCTTCTGCCTCCCGCTCCAGTTGCGATTGTCGAGACTTCATTGCCACGAGTTCGGCTTGAGCTTCATGGTACTTCTCGGCATTCTTTTCTTTCTCCGCAGCTAAGGAGTTTCTCTGGTCCTCCAGAGAGTGGCGTTCACTTTCCAAGTTTTTATTGTCGGTTCGTAGAAGGGCAAGTTCACTCTCCTTCTGTCGTACAAGATCCTCATAATCAGCGCACGTCTTTGAGAGTTCGTTGAGTTGCTGCTGAATGTCTTCGTTATCTCGAGATAGTTGGCTTTCCCGAAGTTTGGTTAATTGAACTTCTTTCTGAGCAGCGTGAAGCTTCACCTCCAAATCTTGGTCAATCTTGACTAGCTTGGTCTCCAGGTCTTGGACCTTTCGTTCCTTCACTGCCAACTGACTATGAAGCATCTTGATTTCATCCTGAAGGGCCAGTTCCTGCTCGCTGCTCTCTGTTTGCTTTTGAGCCAAGTCAGAGATCGATTGTTCAAGCTCAGTCACCTTTGCGCCCAGAGTTTTCTTCTCTTCCTCAAGTTTGGCGATGAGAGTAGCAGCTTGCTCCAGCTGAGAGCGATATGTTTCCACATCCTTTTCGGCACGATTCTTGGCATCCAGGAGATCGTCAAGCTCGTCTTCTAGCCTCTCTTGGTCTTCAATCGCACCCGCGAGCTTTTCCTCAAGCTCTGCTTCTCGAAGCTGAAGTCGCTTGAAGATTTCCTCCTTGTCCAGAGCAAGCGCGCGCTCGCTCTCCAGGGTTTGCTGGATGCGAACCATTTCCGCGTGACAGTTGCGGCGCTCTTCCTCAAGCTTCGTGCGATTCTCGGACTCTAACCTCATCTTTTCGTTGAGATCCTTGATCATTTCGTCTCTCCGCTTGACTTCGGTGGCAGTACGAGTGGTACCAAGTAGGGGTTTCATCTTGACAACCAGCTGCCACCAAGGGTTTTCAGCCAAATCCAGGTAAACATTGAAGTTTCTCTGGATGATCCTGGTGGCTTCTGTTCGAAATAGTCTCTTATAGGCCGCCCGTCTCTGAATAAATCCCCGAGCGACAGATTGAAATCTGGACATAATCTCAGTGATAAGGGCATCGCGCTGCTCTTCAAGCTCGGCGAGAACACCAGCGCGGAAGAAGACCTTGGTCAAGCCAACTCGATACAAAGCGCGGTCAAGTCCGAGCTTTTCGAGCATGAGATTTGCGGCGGCCTGGCCCTCAAGATAGCCTTTAGGCATATTTTGGCAAAGGACTTCGTATCGCTGTCGGAACTCAGCAAAAGGAAGTCTGTTCGGGAAGCCCGTCCGTGCAATCCTGATACCTTCCAGCACACCATTACATCGAAGCTGGTCGAGAACCAGAAGGTTGTTGAATTGCTTTGGCTTCTTTTTGTGGTTAGGAAGAATACATCGGACGAAATGAGGATGTGTGGAGTGGAGCTGTGACATGAGACTATGAAGATGCTCTTTGTGTTTTTGGGCGACTGTGCGGAAGAGTCCTCTCTTGACTCGACCTCTGCCGGTGGCACGATCTTCCTCAGATTCAGCGCAATCAGAGAAGAGAGTCGCAACATGCTTGTTGGTGGAGGTGGCGAGAAGTCTGGTGATATTATCATTCAAGGGGTCCTTGTTCTTCTCGAGCCAACCTTCGGTAGAGTACTCTACTTCGGCTGCGTAGTGGGTGAGAATGAAGCCCTGCCCAAGGCGCGAAGGACGGTACTTGTTAGACTTCTTGTCCCAGAGAGAATTAAGCTTCTCAGTAAAGGACTTGTCTGTGGCTTTGGGCATAACACAATCTTCGTCAAGACAAGAAAAGACACCAATAGGGTTCGACAACTCGATCAGATCAATCGTTGGTTGCAGATCACGTCCAAAGTCGATGAACTTCCATTCGATTTGCTCACGTGCATACTCCTCCTGCTCCAAGACAAACATATGGTGGTTGAAGAATTGTTGCAGCTTTTCGTTGGTGTAGTTGATGCATAGCTGTTCGAAGCTGTTTTGTTCGAAAATCTCGAAACCGGCGATATCGAGTACTCCGATAAAGTGTGAATCGTCCATGCCCATGCCAGTCCGATCTAGTTGGCCATTGATACGGGTGACAAGATCACCAAAACCACGTTCATAGATACCTTTTGAGAGAGCGTCCAAGCTGAGACGAACTTGCTCAGGGGTCTGAACCTTCTCAACCCATTCACGGCCTGCTTTGACCTTGGGGTGGAGCAAGCCTTGGAGAAAAGGTTCTAGAGGTACACCAAGCAGCTTGCAGACTTTCGCAGCCTGAGCTTTCGCATCTGCTGCGAGTCGGGCCTGGTCTGCGGCTCGACTCTCCTTGACCACGCTGATGTTACCCAGATGCAACACAGCGGCCACGGTCCGCAAGATGGATTTCTGTTCATCATCGGAGAATCCCATTACATTGAATGCTTCCATGAGAGACTCCCACTCCGCTTGATCTGAAACACCCACGATTGTGTTGTGACCGTCTCGAGTATAATTGAAGTCCTCAACCGTAAGACCATCTATCAGAAACTCTTTCTTCAAACCAGGACTGGCGCCTTTCAGAAGTTGGTAAAATACATGATAGTTTCGTTCATGTGGGTTGATATGGACAACTCTAGACTTCTCAAGCAAGTACCAGTCGATATAGGCGCCACAAATGGCACCATTTCGCGTGAATTCGATACGTATGAACTTGCCAAATCGTGACGAGTTGTTGTTGCGGACGGTCTGGGCGTTTCCAAAGGCCTCCAGGATCGGATTGGCGCGCAGGATTTGTTGTGAGAGTGTGGAGTGTTGGGCCTTGTTCTTGACTGTCGAATCTGCTTGAGCAACAGCGGCGAGATACTGGATGACCTTCTTTGTGTTCTCAGTCTTTCCAGCACCAGATTCACCTGTAACCAAGATACTCTGGTTCTTGCCTTCCTCGACAAGGTTCCGGAAAGCTTCGTCCGCCATGGCAAAGATATGAGGTTTCGTATCCTCTCTGTTTCGTCCACGATACATGTTGATGTAATCGTTGCTGTATATAGGAATTGTCGCATAAGGATTGACAGTAACTAAGAAAAGACCCGAGTATGTGTATATTAAATCGGCTTGGTATCGCATGTGAAGATTATGGACGACGGATGCCTCGTTCAAGTGTGTCAATTCGGCCATATCGTTTGCCTTGTCGAACTTGGCAGGGTTTACTTTATCGACACTCTCAGAATCAACTTCTCTTTGCTGTAAAACAGTTAGACAACAGGGGGGTATCATCATTAGCCAACACATACAGTGCCATCGTCGCATTGAACGAGTATTTGGTCCCCTTCCAGCTCCTCCACAATCCACCCTCTCACAAACGCCGTTTGTGGATCTTTAAGCCAAACATAGCGTTTCCCGGAGAAGTCGTTCTCGCCTTCGATGCCTTTAACTGTATCATTGCTTCGGCTCATCTCCTCCGTTTTGATGAATGACGGTGCGAAAGTTGTTGACGTTGGGGTCCCGCTCTTAGAGTCACTACGATGCTGTCTTGTCACTGCACCAGGAACTCCTTGGGCTATTGTTGACATCGATCCGTTCGAATGTGTTCGATTGTGTGTGGAGAGGCCGGGAATGGATGATGAGGATGAAAAGATGGCGGATTTAGGTCGGAGACTGCCATTCGTAGATGGGGAGGCAGAAGCTGTTCTGGCAAAGGGATTACTGCGCCTATGCGCTGTGCCATTGGCGTTGAAAGACATCGTGGTGCGCCCGCATGAACAATTCGTAGTGCTGTGGTATCGTAGGTCATGTACTCAACTCCAGGTTGTGTGTTTGCGTAAGTAAACAAATTCAAGCGGGAAATAGAAATGATAAGGAAGAGCACTCTGTAGTCTTCTAGTCAAGCTTAGATGAAGATAACAAGAGGAATATGCGATGTGGGTTTCACCCTTTCATGGGCAGTGGTCATGAAGTAAGGCAATGCAATGCAAGTCTTGGAATCACCTATGGGTTCAGGCCTGACATCAACATCAGGGATCTGGTCAGCTCGTTGCTAGGGACAGTGACCGGGAGTAAACAAAGCGCTGACACGTGACTTAGCCGCCCAGATCGCGCTAATCCTCATGCGACTAGACGCGGTGCATGTCCCATGCGGAAGAACCCCATTGAATTTAATACTTTATTTCTTCGATATACGCCAGATCGCGTCTTGTGACGTCCATCGCTTTGTTCCTTTGACACTCGACATCAGCCAGTGCCTTGATACAAGCATAGTTCTGGATTACTCAAGCCGTCGACGACTCTTTTTTGCTCTACAGTAACCGGACTTTTGCGTGACGCGAATCGAAAAAACCGAAAGACTTTGCTTTTCCCTGGATCATCCACGCCACAGAACGACGCATCGATATCTCTGAGCGGCGAAGCTCAGGTCACAATACGACAGCGCATGCAAAGACCATCGTCAACTCGCGAAAAGTGCGTCCAGCGATAGCCATCAAATATGAGCCACTACGTGTATGATTATGGGGCTTCCGGCTACCAGCACTCACAACCATATACATACTCGACAAATCAGACCTACACCGAACCGCCTTCTAGCCAGAACGAGACGGCAAAGAGTCATGCTTATGGTCAGGGAGTTGAAGCGTACGAATACAATCAGACATCCATCCCAGGCTTAGGCATGGGGTTTTCTCACAATTCCACAAGTTGGCAGCCGACATCACCACAAAGCTTTCCTGTAATCCAGTCTGATCCTACTGGCGCAGCTGTAGATGGTCAGATGATGGGATTTGGCGAGAAAAGTGTACCGGGCAGCTTTTTGTCGCATGGCCAACGACCAGACGTTGAAAAGGCTGCGGATACAATGCAGGAGGGTGAGCTCAGTGAAGGTGAACTGGAAGATATTTATGAACCTGACGAAACAGTCCCTGGCGGGATTGGTAGATATGACGCCCAGCCATCAGGTTCTATGCTCCACCTCAGCCATCAAGACCACTCATCTCGGCTGCCTATTGGGTTGCAGTCTGGTCATAATGTCAATGAACGGGTTGGGAACTCAAAACAACCCGGCCGCGAGCGTTCTGGTTCATATTCGCCTTATCTCTCACCTCGCGAGATGCAATCGAATGAGATATCACATGCTCGTACGTATTCGTTCTTCTTTCAAACCCTCCTGACAATACTAACCTTGGACAGAATCCCCACACGGTGGTATTGACCCAACAACTGAGGAAGCCGTTGTGCTCGTGAAGAGTGTATATCCTTCTGACAGCAACGACTCATCGAGTCTAGAGATCATGAAACGAGATGCAGATGCAATTTTTTCAGAGTCAAAGAAGAAGGCTCAAGAGGCTATCCTGCGCCTCTGGCCACTGAACATCCGCTATCATAATTTCGTTGAAGAAGGTATCGATCGCTCACTGCTCGATGAGCTATTCACAGAATTGGGTCTCGATCTAGGGACCACTATTGCGAGCCAAGAACAGCCAGACACCTCGACAGGTTCGACTAGTACCAGCGCACTAAGCAATGCGCGCAATGCAGCGGTTCCATCCGCCTCATCAGATGTCGCCGTCGTACAGACAAAGACGACAGATCAGGTGAAGGATAAAGCCGAAGAACGAAAGGATCGGATAGCCCGGCTTTTAGCTGCAAAAGGGTCCAAGACCACAACAGTAGAAGCAGACGAGCACAAGCCTGCCACATCAGTATCCATTTTGACGAGTAACGCAAAATCAGAGAAGACTACAGCACAATCAGAAAAGTCGAAACTAATACAAAGGAAGATGGAAGCCCTAATGAAGGCGCGGGAGGCAAACGCAAAGGCTACGCCTCAAGTCCCTACATCTCAAGAGCCTCAATTATCTCAGCCAGCCCCTGAAAATAGCAGATCCCCCAGTCTTCCACCAGCTGTCTCAACCAGTGTCAATGAACAGCAAGATACAGCACCGGAAAACGCGGATCCGGCTGCGGCACCTCCGATCCCAGGGCTATTCCTGTCTTCCAATGCACCTTCTCCGACTCCTAATCAACGCAAACGACCTGTTGCGGCGGACTTGAATGAAAACTCCACACCAGCATCACAAAAGCGTCCATTCGGTCAAACACGGGAATCCCGCCCATTCCTGATCGACGTCAGTGATGACGAAGATGATGCCGAGATGGACATCGATCCCCCCGAACTGCACTCCTTTGCAACGCAGCGAGACCCAACGCCTGGCTCGAGAACGGCGTCGTTTCGCGAATATCCAACTTTGTCTGATAGCGCGTCTCGTCACGCAGTATCTAGCCCCAAAACTGTTGGAACTCCCACCTCAAGTGCTAATGGCGTGTACAATTTGGAGAGCATGAACAAAAAGATTGAGGAGATGAAGCGAAGAATTGCTGAAGCTGAAGCCCGTAAGAAGGCAAAACAGTCGGGCAATAATTCGCCTTTGCCCCAGTCTGAGCCTCAATCAAAGGAAGGCAGCGTGGATGCTTCGGTTCCATCTCCTCTGGCAACGCGTGCCGTATCAACAACAGCGACAGAGGTCCAGAACAGTTCCGCATCGAATGGATCCCGACCCTCTTCGCCGCATCTTGGTGCCAAGTTGCCTAAAGTCAGGGGGCAACCTCAACTGGCTAGACCTTCGCTCCGTGCTCGTGTTGCCAGTGAGCGTCTGCCAATTCTAGAAGCCCAGTTAAGAGAGCAAGCCGAGCAGCTAAAGCATTACGAATCCGAAGTTGCTAGAATCAAACTAGAGATGGAGAACAGCTTGGCTGAAGAGGAGCGTCTTCGGAAAGATGCTATACAGACTGAGCCAGCAGCACCGATGGAGGATGAGTCTGAGCCAGACACTGTCCAGAGAAAAACATCGGATTTGGAGACGCCGGGTATGAGACATCTCTCTTTCCGCATGGCTTTTCGTGCTAAAACATGTCTAGTCAACAATTCTCCGCGAGAGTCTGTTCCGGGTCACACTTTGAATGCGTCTACAGATAATCATAAAGTCACTACCTCCTACCATGATGTCGAACAGGATGCGTTGATGGATGAATCCTCAAGCACTGGGTCAACCGACGATCAAGAAACGAGTGAGCATTATCAAGACGCATCCCAATCACATGAGAAATACAGGGTGGGAGAGGGTAAAATCGTCGATGGCCACTCTTCATGGACAACACAGCCTCCATCGGTACACGATACAATTGACGCAGCTGGTGAGACTGCAGTCGATGATGTTGAAGATTCAGACGAAGATGTAGCCATGGAAGAAGCTGATACCTCCAGTGAAGAAGAGGATGTGGAAGAGGAGGCTGATTCTGACGACTATGAGCCAACAGATGCTATAGTTAATCTGCCAGACACGGAGTCCCCTGTTTGGCGACAATCTTTACCCCGTCAAGCACCGGTAGATAACACAGTGTTAGAGACAAGTGATACTGATCTCCAAGGCTTGTCAATGACAACACCGATCACTCAACCATTTTCGACAGGCGACGGCGATACAGATTCCGAATCCAATCGAGAAGTAGACGAACTTGGCCTCCGGGTGGAGTCCAGGGCTAACGATTATACAGGTCGAGATTCTAAAGACTTCGCAAGTTAGTGATGGTCCTGGAACATCATTTGTTCCATACCAAACGCCTCTCCAATATTTCAGATCTTACCGCTTTCATCCTCAGTATAACAACTCAGTGGCTGGGGGATTACGCTCCTTGACGTATAGCAACAAGATTGACGTATCGAGGGAAGTATGCCCTGACCAACTCACTCAAGGAGTCTGCTCCAAGGGCAGCGAGTGCCATTTCCAGCATTTCGAAAACATGCAGGTTCCGGGTACGTGCCATCATGATCCACCGTACACGGGCAAACAAACACAAGCCGAGGCGCATGCCAGTGGAGGGAACGCTAACATGCCGAGCGGCAATAGATGATCAAATTCTCCTTCAACTTGGTGCCTCGGGCAATTGCGAAGCAGGACAGCACGATCAGTATGTTTTAGGACTACGCAAATTGCTTGCAGACTTCCGCAACCAAAAGGTGAAGGACTTCGAAGCCATCAGCAAAGGCATCATCGAGTATCGTGCCAGCTTTCTCGGCGACAAAACGAAAATACTTCCATTGGGTGGTGTTACCCTTTAAAGCGATGCCAGAGATTCCTGTCTCTTTGTAGACGGCCTCAAATCTTTTTACCTAAGACTGGCCATGCCTCTTTTGAAATCATCATATTGGCCTCCATTGCACATCTGGCGGACCAACATTGATGAAGATTCGAATGCCACTAGGAAATTCAGTATTTCTGTGGTTGCATCATTGTACAACTGCAATCTCATTGACTGAAGCCAGCTTCCGTATTTGATTTGCGAGATTTGTTGTCCTTGAACAGAAAGGGTAAAAATACGACACGATTCTATTCGTTGCAGCGCCTCGGTAAGGCTGCTCTGGATTTGATAAGCAGGAAGCAGTAGGGGACGAGATACAGAGAGAAGATAAATTGGTAAATGGACCTAAAGAGGAGGAAATTATTTCATGGAAACGGACTGGGGCCAAGTTAATCGCTTGCCAACTTATAAGTGAGCCAGGCAGGTCTTGTGTAGTAAGATGGGGGTAGTAGTGTTTAATTGATACCAGCGAGCTATTTTCTGAAATATAATTCTTACCAATGAATCATGTTTGTCACAGTCTTCAGATGTTTAGGACTATATGTGTACTGTTTATTATATTCAACCGAGATTCATTCTGTAGCTGCTGGGTATCACATCTCTATCTACTCAACTTGGCTGACAAGCAATTGCTATCTTCGACTGAAGACGAAGAAGGAAAGGTCATATAAAATAAAAAGAGTTTATTTAGTATACTTTACATGACTTCTATAAAATTAAAAGCAAGAAAATTAGATATCAGTGCTATGTCCTCCAAGCCCACTGTAAATAGAACCCTTGTTCTGGTTGATTGATTCCACATCATCCCCGAAGATCGGCTCTGGCGTCGGCTCGCGAAAGCTCTGAGGCCAAGTCCTTCAATGATGTAATCTAATTCGTCAGTACTGAAGGAGTAGTGATTTGGTACTAGGATGACGACTGTCTGACGGGGCGGGGCTCTGCAGCACTACCCCACCTTAGCAATCGTCAAGCTCCATGAGACGCTGAAACGTCCAAAGGGCTTTCGAAAGCTCGGTGAGGTCGTGGAAGGATTGGTTGAGAAGCTCTGGTTGGACTTTGCAGTGGGCAATCGGAGGCCAAGGAAGGCCTGGTATCCGTACCTAGAGTGGCAGGACTGACAAAGAACGAACTGGTACTGTACTCCCTGGAGAGCTCAGAAGGTCGGGTGTCGCGCCGCTTCGGACCCCGACTCTTCCTCAAAACTCCCCTCTTCTCCCCTCTCCACTTGCATCATTCAATCTTCAACTGCTTTCTCTGATCCAATATCCCCAAAATCAAATCAAAAATCAAAAACCGTCAAAATGGTCAAGGCTGGTAAGTTGCCCCGACCTACATCTTGTCTCGGTCTCTGGAGAGGGCAGCTCTCTTTATAGACGCTTTCTTTCCCTGGGCCCCGCGCACCACCAGGAGAGGGTTCGAGCTGTTTTGAGCGAGTTTCTCAATTCTCGTCCAACGAGACGACGAATACCGTCAATGGTGTACCTTGATGAGCTTGTTCCTGCGCCAGTAGGGTGTCTCCAAACGCCAAATGATACCTGGCTCAATGTCCCTTGATGGACTCTCCCGCGTTTCCCGTCACACGCCTATCAAGGTTGGAGACCTGCTTCGTTCCTACAGGGCGTCAATCCAGAGATCCAACCCATTGCATCATAAAATTGCACCCTGAGTAACCGGCTAACACAATGCTTTGTAGTGAGCGTTCTCCGAGGTGACTCCAAGGTCTCCGGTACTGTCGTCTTCGAGCAGGAGTCCGAGTCTGCCCCTACTACCATCACCTGGGACATCACTGGCAACGATCCCAACGCCAAGCGAGGATTCCACATCCACACCTTCGGTGACAACACCAACGGCTGCACCTCCGCTGGCCCTCACTGTGAGTGTGTCCCTTGCATGACTAGCTAGTTCATCCTTCAGAGCTATGAACTAGGGATGGTGGTTCGAGAGTCCCCCTCGATACCAAGACCCTTACTTTTGCATTACTCTTATGGACACATTCTAATGAAATTCGACAACAGTTAACCCTCACAACAAGACCCACGGTGCTCCTTCTGACGAGACCCGCCATGTCGGTGACCTCGGAAACGTGGAGACTGATGGCCAGGGCAATGCCAAGGGCTCTGTCACTGACTCCCTGATCAAGCTTATTGGACCCCACAGCGTCATTGGCGTAAGGACCTGTTTCTGTTGTGTTCTGGAATATTGACTAACGATGATATAGCGAACCGTTGTTGTCCACGCCGGTACCGACGACCTTGGCAAGGGCGACTCCGAGGAGTCTCTCAAGACTGGTAACGCTGGTCCCCGACCTGCCTGTGGTATGTATAAGAATTACCCAGCCCCCAGTGACTTATTACTGACTGTTCTTAGGTGTCATTGGTATCTCCAACTAAGAAACCCAACAATATTGAGCTTGGTTGGTCAAATCCTTGTAACCACAATAAGTGGTTTAAGCTGAGCACATGCGTTTCTATACGTGTATGAAGTATCGCACAACATTTGATAGCAAACCAATTCAAGTCAAATTTGTAAAGCAATACTGAAAATTCCGGTGATATTGTCATTTGTACTCAAGAAAGGTCTATTATTGCCTAGGTATTGTACGAGTAAAGAGCTTAGTTTGTGACTCTGTTCGATTTTAGCTTGATGTATAAAACGGCATCATGGTATAGGGTATGCATTTTGGTCATGATAATGTCGCCACGCTGGAGGGGTCCTGCGCAGATCAGTCCATCCTGGTGCCAAAAGGTCTCAGGCCCTGCGATCAGCCCTAATTTCTCCATTTGTACACTAAATGATCTTTTATCGTAAGCTCAATTGAGATATTGATAGTACCAGAGGAGCTCTTGATGCATAATGTGTCCAATTGAAGCTCTTCCTACCATGATTGATAGCTTGCTTGATCATCAAGAGCTGTCAGAGCTCAGCTGTAGGGTCCTTTGCAGGTGCTGGTACCCCGCGGTCAGCTTTATTTAGGGGCATCCACACGCCGTAAACCCCTGAGCTGTGTCCCCACATTCGACCCTTTAGCGGCGAATTCGAGCTTGGGGCCACCTTTCCCTAAGGCACCTCACACGACCTTAACATCAAACTCCACATGCTTTGATGAAGCTCTTGCTTTCTTCTTTCTCTGTCTCCTCATTTTTAACTGCCCCTATTTAAGTTCAAACAGTTTATCATCAAGACTCAACCTAGATATAAGCACCATATCCCCTCCCATCCCAGGTACGTCATGTTGGAATATCTTAAACCTTTCAAATGCCATGTGGCGGTGTCGTTCGCTCAGGGGAGCTTGAAGCTCAACAGGTAGCCAGCTTTCGTAGCTTGGTATTCCACATGGAATTTGTGACGGGAACTGTTGCAGCTCCTCACAAAAGAGCATTGCCATAGCCTCATGGTGCACTTGCGAACATGGCAATCTGCATTTTGCACCTGTTCTATTTAGATTGCAGCATCATACTAACATGGCATTGTGCAATCAGGTCTCTCCGCTTCGTCTCACGGTCCCGCCATAATGTCCAAAACCTTCGTCGGCAACGTCAAGAGTGTACTTAGTGGTGACACTTTGGTATTGACTAGCCCGAACAACCCCAACGCCGAGCGAACTTTGTCTCTTGCATATGTCACAGCTCCTCATTTAAAGCGCGAGGGCGACGAGCCCTTCGCTTTCCAATCTCGAGAGTATCTCCGAAACCTCGCTGTTGGAAAACCCGTTCAGGCGACTGTTCTCTACACGATCCCTACTTCCGGTCGAGAATTTGGTACTGCCCAGCTCAAGGATGGCACCAACTTGCCTGATGAGCTTGTTAAGGCTGGTTGGCTGAAAGTTCGTGAGGACGCTGGCCGCAAGGAGGAATCGGACGAGGTTCTTGACCGTCTTGAGACTCTTCGCCAACTTGAGAACAAGGCCAAGGCCGAGGACAAGGGCCTTCATGTTGGAGTCGGTGGTATTATTGAGGTGCAAAATGATCTCGGTGGCCCTGAGTTCATGAAGGAGTGGAAGGGCAAGACTGTCGACGGTGTTGTGGAGCGAGTTCTCAGTGGTGACCGCCTGTTGGTACGACTTCTTCTTTCTGAGAAGAAGCACGTCCAGCCCATGACCTTGATTGCTGGTATCCGAACGCCATCCACAGAGCGAACACTCCCCTCAACTGGTACTACCCAGCCCGCCGAGGAGTATGGCAACGAGGCCAGGGCATTTGTCGAGTCAAGACTACTCCAGCGTCAAGTTAAGATTGAAATTGTCGGTGCAAGCCCTCAGGGTCAGTTGGTCGCTGCTGTTATCCACCCTCGTGGAAACATTGCCGAATTCCTGTTGCAAGAAGGCCTTGCACGATGCAACGATTTCCACTCTACCTTGCTGGGTGAGAAGATGGCTGCTCTTCGTGCTGCCGAAAAGCAGGCACAATCTAAGAAGCTTCGAATCCACAAGAACTACGTTGCTAAGACCGAAGGTGGAAACCAGGATGCGATCGTTTCCAAGATCATTGGTGCCGATACCATTCTGGTTAGAAACAAGGCTGGAACATCAGAAAAGCGCATTAACCTAAGCAGTGTCCGAGGACCCCGAACCACAGAGCCCTCCGAGAGCCCTTTCCGAGAAGAAGCCAAGGAGTTTCTCCGTCAGAAGCTTATTGGCAAGCACGTCCGTGTCAGTATCGATGGAAACAAACCTGCAACTGAGGGATTTGAGGCCCGAGAAGTCGCTACTGTTACCGAGAAGAATACCAACATCAACCTCCTCTTGGTTGAGAACGGGTGGGCCTCAGTTATCCGACATCGCAAAGATGACACTGACCGAGCTCCCAACTATGATGATCTCCTTGCTGCTCAGGAGAAGGCCAAGGAGGAGAACAAGGGCATGTGGTCTGGCAAGCCTCAGAAGGCCAAACAGTACACAGATCTCTCCGAGAGCACGCAAAAGGCCAAGATCATGCTGTCTACTCTGCAACGGCAAAAGAAGGTCCCCGCTATTGTCGACTTCTGCAAGGCAGGCTCCAGATACACAATCTTGATTCCCCGTGAAAATATCAAGCTCACTATGGTTCTGGGCGGAATTCGAGCTCCCCGAGCCCCCAGGGCCGATGGCGAAGGTGGTGAGCCTTTCGGAAAGGAGGCTCTTGAGCTTGCCAACCGCCGATGCAACCAGCGCGACTGTGAGGTGGATATCCATGACATGGATAAGGTTGGTGGTTTCATCGGTGAGCTTTATATCAACCGAGAAAACTTTGCCAAGGTTTTGGTCGAAGAAGGCCTTGCCTCTGTCCACGCCTACTCTGCCGAGAAGTCTGGTAACGCGGCCGAGCTGTTTACTGCCGAAAAGAAGGCCAAGGATGGCCGAAAGAACTTGTGGCAAGACTGGGACCCCTCGCAAGACGAGGAGTACGAGCAAGAGGAAGCCACAGAAGCTGCCCCTGAGACCGATGTGTCTATCGACAAGAAGCCTACTGACTACCGCGACGTGGTCCTCACCAACATTGACGCAAACGGCAAGATCAAGATCCAGGAGATTGGCAAGGGAACGGCCGCGCTTGAGAACCTGATGACTGAATTCCGAAAGTTCCACATCGACTCCAAGAACAACAACCCCCTTAAGGACGCACCCAAGACAGGAGAGTATGTATCGGCCAAGTTCTCTGCCGACGGCCAGTGGTACCGAGCGCGCGTGAGGGCCAACGACCGCACTGCAAAGATGTCCGAAGTTATGTACATCGACTACGGTAACAGCGAGAAAATCCCCTGGTCCAATCTGCGAGCCCTCGATCAGCCCAAGTTTGGTGCGCAAAAGTTGAAGGCCCAGGCTGTTGATGCCTCTCTATCCTTTGTCCAGCTTCCCACTGGCGCTGACTACTTTGAGGATGCTATTGGTCTCATCTACGAGCTCACTGAGAACAAGAAGCTTGTTGCGAGCTTCGACTTTGTCGATAACAAGGAGAATGTCAGCTATGTCACGCTGTATGACACGGGATCCTCGGGAGAACTCCCTGGGCCCGATGACTCCATCAACAAGGATGTGGTTGCCAGTGGATATGCTATGGTACCCAAGAAGCTCAAGGCTTGGGAGCGCAGCAAGGTCTTCGAGCCTACTCTAAAGCACCTCAAGGACGTCGAGAGTAAGGCAAAGGATGAGCGCCTGGGTATGTGGGAATATGGTGATATCACCGAGGATTGAGCAGCCTCTGCTTTAATGTTGATTATGTAACAACGGTATTGGTTACAAAGATGTTACAAATCTGTGTAGAGGAAGTTTCAAAACAGGGAAAAGTAAAACGCATGTATAGGTGTCAGGGGCGGTATTGGGATTGATAGTTGCGATATATTGTATGCTTTGAGAAATTACCAACAAGATTACGTTGCTTCGGGAGACTGTTTACATCAAGATATCACTCACTCTTCCTGAAGGTGACTAAGTTAAGCATAAGCAGTCTCTAATCCGTGTATTACTCGAACGCCAATAAGGAAGTAGTCTCGTCAGACTGAATAAGCATGTCAGGCGTTTCATGATTCTGCTGAAAGTTTTAGTTGTTTGTTTGCTCAAAGTTGAGCATCACGCGGTCAAACAATTGACTCAGCGATCTAAGAACGTGTGTGTTGACAGACGTTAAGGCTCGACTTGACCATGAGGCTTTCTTAAGGCGACATCGTGTTCATGCGAGCTTTCTGGTAGCGTCGGGTTTCTCCCCGCCGAGCGCATCGGCGACAGCGAATTCCAATGCCACGTGCTGGGCAGAGTGATTTAACAAGCGATATGACACCTCTACGGATATATTCCCAGGAGATGGCATTGGCTTAGTTAGGCTCAGCAGACACGCCTTGAGTGGTTTTAAAGGCGCGACTTTCGGAGAGATATTGTTGAGAACGAGCAGATACAGCACTGTCACGGATAATATCAGTGTGCTGCTTACTGGCGGAACATGACGCAGATCCAGTCGCAGGCAAAAACAAGCGGCTAAATATACATATCACCGTCCCCCAAGACACTGCTGCCCCCATGTACCTTACTTTAGCTATCCACGACATTCCATGTCCAATGTGCTAACGACATCATTGAGGGTCTCGGTGGACACGGCGAGGTCTCGCCGGGCGACTGAGCTCCTAAGAGGTGGGGGTTTGGCTGTCCGCTTGGACTGGGGTGACGGGGGTGGGCGGCGGTAGCGATTACCAAGACAAGCCATGGATAAGTGGTTTTGCCGATGTTGTTGACGAACTGTGCTGTGACGAGCAGTGTCGGAGGGATGAAAGATGACTGATGATGAAGGCATTGCCGGCAAAAAGACTAAGTGTCACGAGGAGCACTGAATTTGAAGCATCGTAGACGTCTTGTAGACGTAACAATTGCTCACAGCAATGGCTTCATGTACTAGGTAAGGTATTCTTCAGGTATTAGATACTCAATTCTAACGTTGCTGGCTGGCGCGGCTGTAACGGAGAGAGGCTTAAACTGAAGTGAGGTCAAGGTACCCAAGCCTAGACCACGACTTCCATGTTGGGAAGCGGGGCATCAGGCGTAGGGAATGTGAGGAGGGGCGACCCGGTCCTGACGAGACTGGGAAGGACGGGGAGGGGCGAAGATGAACAGCAAAGAAGGCGCCAGTCGTCGTGTGTACGTCAGGTCCCTTCCGACTTTCGGTGAGATCCCCAATCTTTTTTCTTGATACACTCTGCGATTTCCTCTCTCATTTCCTTCTTCCTTCCTTTTTCTTTTTCTTCCTCATTCATCATAACAACCCTTCAACTCAACTTCACACGACACGAATCAATATCATCCATCATGTCTACCTCTCTCGACCAGCTCAAGGCCACTGGCACTGTATGTCACCCCGCCATTACCCCTCCAGCTCATCCGTGATCGCGAACAACTGCGAGCAATCAAGCTCGGGTTAGGATCCAAACAATACCTTATGAGTAATTGGATCTGCTCACATTGATCGCCTTCGCGACGGGCTCTTTCTATTCCTACAACGACTTCATCTTTCCAGAAACGATGGCTGACCAATTGCTTGTTTACACTATAATAGACTGTTGTGTCTGACTCTGGTAATTACCGCACCTCCCAAATTTACCTCATGGTTATACTGACTTTGACTCATAGGTGACTTTGCTTGTTAGTATTCACCCCATTGCCTTGCATCCGAGCCCTCCTGCTTCCATTGCCCGTCCAAAATTTCACAACATCACTTATACGACCAATGCGGCAATGATAATCATGATATGACATGGCATGATATGACCAAGAGCGCATGAGCTAACCAGTCACAACAGCCATTGGCAAGTACAAGCCTCAGGATGCTACCACCAACCCTTCCCTTATTCTCGCTGCCTCTAAGAAGGCCGAGTACGCTAAGCTGATTGATGTTGCCGTCGACTACGCTAAGCAGAAGGGTGGCTCCATCGACCAGCAGGTCGACGATGCCCTCGACCGTCTTCTCGTTGAGTTCGGCAAGGAGATCCTTAAGATCATTCCCGGCAAGGTCTCTACTGAGGTTGACGCCCGCTACTCTTTCGACACCGAGGCTTCCGTCAACAAGGCCCTCCACCTTATTGAGGTAAGCAAACACAGCAATCTTACTACTTCCAAGGTACCAGTCCTAACTCTATCAACAGCTTTACGGCGAGCAGGGTATCTCCAAGGACCGCATCCTGATCAAGATCGCTGCTACCTGGGAGGGTATCAAGGCTGCCGAGATCCTTCAGCGCGACCACGGTATCAACACCAACCTTACCCTCATGTTCTCTATGGTCCAGGCCATCAGCGCTGCTGAGGCCGGCGCCTACCTCATCTCTCCCTTCGTTGGCCGCATTCTTGACTGGTTCAAGGCTTCCACCAAGAAGGAGTACACCAAGGAGGAGGACCCTGGTGTTCAGTCTGTCAAGCAGATCTTCAACTACTACAAGAAGTATGGTTACAACACCATCGTCATGGGTGCCTCTTTCCGAAACACTGGCGAGATCACCGAGCTTGCTGGCTGTGACTACCTGACCATCTCTGTACGTTCCCCACAAGCACACACAATAATTATAAGAAATAAGTGCTAACCTACTATTTACAGCCTAACCTGCTTGAGGACCTCCTTAACTCCAACGACTCTGTCCCCAAGAAGCTTGATGCTTCTCAGGCTGCTTCTCTGGACATCGAGAAGAAGTCTTACATCAAGGACGAGGCCCTCTTCCGATTCGACTTCAACGAGGACCAGATGGCCGTCGAGAAGCTCCGAGAGGGTATCAGCAAGTTCGCTGCTGACGCCGTCACCCTCAAGGGTATCCTCACAGAGAAGCTCTCCTAAATGCTTTCTCGCGCTCAATTGTCACGAAAATGATTTAAAAGTTAAAACAATATTGATATTGGGGAGGAAGCGTCGTCAAACTGATTGCAAACAACGCGCTTGGATCTCTCCACGATCTTGCTGAGGAGTTGTTGCTGATTATACCACAAACCTATTTATAACCTATATCCATTTAGCCTCTCAAGCGGAGGCGAAGTGGTAAACCGCGATCTGTAAGGGACATAAGATGTTCATACATGCAGATAGTGGTGACATAACGAAATGAGACGAAATGTTACGCCTAATCCAATGGTCATATCTTGAGGGTATCGTGAAAAGTAGTTGTCTTGATGTGTAAAAGATTCCGAGTCTATATCATAGAAAGGACCCGCCATCGCCATGATCCACCCAACGCCTTCCCAGTGAAATGCGCAACTCTCCCGCCTTTGTTCCTCAGCCAATAAAATTATAATAAGAACAGTGCTATGTCAACAGAAAGCTGAAAGACGCTACCACCACCTCTTTTTACACATGACTTGATGAGTCGAGTGTTTCCATCCCCCGTCCTCTTTGGCTTGAATAACCAACGCGGTGAGAGCATTGCCTTTGACACAACCTGAATCCAGACCAAATGTGTATGAATCCTCCTGGTAGCCCATCTTTGCATTGTGGCCATAGATGACAGAACGACGGTCGGGCCCGCGCAGCTTCTTCTGCTCGCTGTTCCATACATTGGTCCATGGTTCGCCCTCGTGACCGTTGATGGGGATCCATATATCGCGATCGGGATTCGTTCGTCCTGCTGAGGATAGGTCGGTCGATGATGCGGCAGTAGCGGAATCGGCGTTAATGGGCTCGGCGCGGGCGACGTGAGTATTTTCGTCGGGGATAAAATCACGTTGTTGGATCTTGGCTTGTGCTTCTTCCTTTGCTTTCTCCAACTCTTTCTGTCGCTGCTTCTCGGCCTGCTTGCGCTTCTTCTCAATCTCCTTCTTACGGAATTCTTCGCGGGGGAAGCGCAGAGTACGCATGTTCATGACAGCCCAGGCATCTTGTTGGGGCAGAGTAACGCCTGGGACGAGACCAGCGTGTACGATGTAAAGAGCCATAGTCTCGGCGGATATTATGACAGGAAGGTTCTTCAGCCATGTCATTTGCGATTCGGTCAGACTTCGAGCTGTCTTCAGATCCTCCTCTTCGCCTCGGTGCTTGGCGGCATGTTCGGAATCGAGGTAGGCTGCGACACCTTGCTGTGCGCTGAGGCCGCGCCATGCGAGAATCACGCGGTCTTCGTGGTTCCCACGCACGGCGCTTGCTTTGAGCTCCATGAGGCGGGCGACAACCTCAGAGGACTTGGGGCCTTTGTTTATCATGTCACCGGCGGCGATAAGGTGGTCTTTTTGCGGGTTGAATTCAATCTGCTTAAGTAATTTCTCGAAGGGGTCGAGCATGCCGTGGATATCGCCGATCACAACTACTCGTTTTCCATTCTTCGCCGTCGGGACATATTTGCTGGGTAAGTTCCTGATGAGGTCGATGCCATCATAGCTCGGTCTGTTATACATGCCGTAGGACATGGGATTGTCGGCCCTCAGCAATTCGACTTGGGGAACTGGGTCTACTTCTTCGACTTGTTTAGGTCCGACCGTTAGGGCTGCAAGACGAGAGCAGCAGTAAAAAACACTAAAGACGAAGAAGAATGTCGAAAGGAGAACGAGTAACCTCCGCTGTGGTGCGGTGATCATGATGGCCATCGTTGGTGGCGGAGCGGATCGGAGGGGAAGGATGGATGTAGGAGCGTAAGTAAACAGAAGCAGCTTCAGGGTTGAGGTGAGAGTGAAAGTACTATGACGACAGCGATGGTAGTGCGACGAATTGAGCGGATTGCCGGATTCGGCGAGGCGAGGCAAGGCGATGGATGGATATAGCTGACCCGATCTGGATAGATGCTGTGTGGATGAATATACGTAGAAAAGAGGCAGAAATAGAATCAATGATAGAGAAGGATTTCAAAGGCCAAGACTTTACACAAGGATGTAGGCGAACAACGTCTCAGGCCCGTTGTGGTGAGACCTTGGAGGAAACAAAAGATAGCGGACACTGTAATACCTATAGTAGATAAGGTAAGTACTAAGGCAAGGTAGAGCAGGGTAAGGTTTGCAGGCGGGAAACAATAGTAGTTTAGGAATTATGAGTTGAATTAAATCAAAAGGCCACCAACGTACCAAGGTCTGGCGCCCTCCAATGGGCGAGCCAAGCCCTTTTTGCGACTGCAGGATGAGGTTTCGAGGACGTGGTCTCGGATGCCAAGAGAAGAAGGAAGAGGGAAAAGAGGGCGGATGCACGCGGGCAATTTCCCACCCAAGCCAAGCCAGGCCAGACAGTGACTGTGTGAGACGAGTACGTACGCAGGTTATCGGGTTGTGGGGGATAGGTAGCCAACAGTGTAGGTATGGAATGGACCAATTGATAAGGGTGGTAACATTGGATATGTTATAAGGTACCTACCTAGATATATATATATGTAGCAAAGTTGGTGAATGTAGTATGGCTGTCGTTGTATAATGTGTAACGTAAAATGGCATGATAGGCAAGTAGCTATACATATATTGTACATGTTATGAGCTCAAAGTAGAGCCGAGCTGCACCTATCACGGTGCAGACTATGCAATTGACAGCTCTCCCGCTCTGCGCTTGAGTTCGATAGCCTCGATTCTGGCATGATGTTCATAATCGTAGCCACGGAGGTCCTGCATCGATATCCTCGTGGCGTTCTCATCCCAGAGCACCAGCCTTTCTCTTTACTTCTTCTGCTGCTGTTGCTGCTGTGCCATGGCCGCTTGTTCGGCCTTCCACTTCTCGTTCTCGACTTCTCTCCAATCCTGAGGAATAGGCTCGTTTCCGTCCGTCTTCTTGACACTGCCCGCAAAGGCCGGGCGGCCTGCGTAGAGCTGGTATCCGGTGCCCTCCTCGGCCTTTTCCATGGTCCGGTAGGCCACGGGCATGTTCCCGCGGAAGCGCTTGCGCATGTCGACCATACCGCGCTTGCACTCGCCGAAGCCCTTCTTCAGCTGGCGGCACTTGAGGGGTAGTTCGCTCGAGAGGGGTTCGCGGAGGCAGTCGGCGGCGCTGTTGCGTTGGACCATGACACAGTCTGATTCCTGGAGACACTGCGCGAGTGCCTCGCCTGCATAGAGAGGAAAGCAATCCAGTGTTAGAAAAGTGCTTCTGCGTTTGGGCTACAATGTAGGGTCAGTGAGTAGCTTACGCAGTTCTTTGCACGAGCTGGGCATTTTTCTTCTTTTTTGTCCTTTTTTTTGTTTTGGCTGGGATGAGCACAGCTTAGAAGAATCATGCAACACTATCCATCACCCAAAAAGTTCGCTAAGGCTTCAAAAGGGTAGTTTTGCGGTCGGCATGTGATTGGTTGGTCATGCCCCGGGAATAAGCATTTTCCGTTGTAGCCGCGGTCCGGAACCATCCTCTGGGCTCGTACAATACAATACCAGCACATCTAGGTTCGAATGATAGACATAACCTATCTGATACATGTTGTGACTCACTGGAAAGACAATACGAAAGTTTGGTAGTTTTTATAATAAGTGATACATTGGTCATCGTACAACAGAGAAGACATGTCTAAATATAGATTACACCACAACTGAGCCTCTCCGATAACCTTCAACAGTAACTCATCATACCCTCTGTCCTCCCACAAACCTCACGGTTTGCCTTTGGAACTCCCACATTGTCCCCTCAGTCCTCGAATGCTGCCCTGATTCTTCCCCTTTCAATATCCACAGCCGCCCATCTCTGCTCTCTTCCTGGCCTAACTCCCATCTTCCCCTCCCACACACCCATCTCATCCAACAACACCTCCATGGCCCATACCATCTTAACCTCATCCCCAGGACGATGCTGAGCTGCTACCTCGGCATCCTGTTTCGTCCTGGGGATCCTCGTACACAGTAGGTGAAGGTCCAGCAGCCGCGAGAACGCAAGTCCGTAGTTGGGTTTTGTGCGACGGGTGTTGTAGCCTGTTGATTGCGGCGGGTTGAAGATGGAGCGCAGTATTGGATCGACAGAGGTTTGCTTTGTAGGCGATACTGTGGCCGTGTTTGTGTTTGTGTTTACCGGGCCCGAGAAGGCTGACGATGTAGAGTTCAATAGAAGAATCAGAGGGCTGGACGGTAGATTGCGTGAGAGGTCGCGGACGTGGGCACCCAGGAGATGAAGGGTAGAATGTGCTGCTGATTTCTCGCGGTGGGCGAAGAGACTTGTAAGAAGAGAGGAGAAATGGGTTATCACAATAACTTCTGGGTGTTGTGATGTCCTGTCTGGCAGTTTCTCTGGTTGGGGCTGTTGTGAAGCTTCTTGTACTGGTGAGAATGCCTCCTCGTCGTCGTCCTGACTATCCTGAATTTCGTCAACCTGCACTGTTGTTGCATCTTGCCCCTCCGTTTCTTCTTGCTCCTGTTGTGAGTTGTTCTCCTCTGGTGGCCCACCTGGGTCCAGATCTGCCAACACCTCCGACAGACCATCCAGGTCAAAGACACAAGACAGCATCACCTTTTCCAGACACTGCCTCAGCTTTGCCTTCAAATCCCTATCATGACCTTTTGTCTCAAGCTCAGCCTTGATTGCGTCCCTCAAGCCAGCCAGCATCACACCTGCCGGCTTCGGCGTGATGAGTAGTCCGGTTGTGATGATCCCCTCGCAAAGCGAATGCGCCAGTATCTGGAGGCCAAGCTTTGGACATCACGCGTCAGCAAAAGGGATATTTCATTCATACGGGCCTTACCTGGACTCCTAGATCCTCGTCTTCGGCGCTGACACCCACGACACTTGAGCGTTCAAACCCACCCAGCAAGACATCCTCGTCCACGATTGCGCATCCTGTCTTGCAGGTCCCTAGCCTGGAGACCGCATCGCGTCTGTCAGCTTCGTTTTGAGCCAATGTTGAAGCTGAAACTGGCTCTAATGGAGGGCTAGAGCCCGCTTGTGGGGGAGGCGGCTGAAATGAGTCCATGGCAACAGCCTCGGGCTTTCTATTAAATTATATGAAATGTCCAAGTTAGGGACGGCTCCTAACGAGTTCAGACATTCATTGATGACACTATTGCCATCAACCTCTCATCACCACGATTGTCCATCTCAACAAACCTCTCTTATCAGCACTGCAAAAACATGTTTCTTCTTTCTTCCAAGTCAGGAATATTTTTATAGGCAAGCTCATAGCATACAGGCTCAACCAATGACATCACTTACGGAACCAAATCTCAGTATAACCCCATTTATACATACATTTCAAGCACATATACTTTGTCACGCACACGCCAGTGTAGTATTCTGTTTGGGTTTTATCGATGCTGTCGCAATTCAGACATCAAGTCCTGATATAAAAAATACAAAAAGGGCTCCATAGTAACCTCCCAGACCTCCGCAGACCCATGTCCTCCTGCCACTATAGCATTAACCGTTAATGGCCTATTCGACCCTTGGTGCTTCTGCCTTTGGAGGCCGGGCTTCGTTTAGTTCTCCAAAACAGAGCAAGTGGCCCTGTCCATGGGTCCGATTTCCTGTAACCCATGCTGCCATCCCATTCCAAACATAATAAGAAGAGATAAAAAGAGGAGAAACCTGATTGTGTTTGTATAGGTTGAGTAGATCTTATCTTTAAGCGCGGTTCATGCCGCTTCCCTCAACAAGTGCGCGTCTGGCCTAGACTCTGCGCTTGAGCCTCGTCAACGCCACAAAGCAGGGACTCGGTTTCTGGAACAGAGCTCCATGTGTGTATCGCACATTTCACTGTCTCTCTCGGCGCTGCATTTTCTTGGTCCCGTGTTGGTAGACTGTTAGTCCACACACTCTCGTTCACATTCTCGTTCTCGTCCTCAAAAAGGCTGTCCTGCCTCGAATGCCATCGCATTGGGGATCGGCTTGCGTCAAGCAGTCGCCCGGCACCTGTCCTCCACTAAACGGCCGTTCCGGGAACGCTGGGGCCGTTGCTAGGAATCTCTGGGCGAGTCTTTCGTCCCTTCAAGCTCTTCATTCGTCCCATCAGTCCCGAGGGCTTCGGTGGGGCATCTTCCAAGGCTGAGGGGGCATCTGTAGTGGCTCGTCGCTCGAGAATTGCTCCAGCAGAGGGGCGTCGGGCTCCAGGGGGGCTGTTGGATGTCATGGACCCATCTCGAGGCCTAACACTGATGTTTTCCTCCCCTTTGCCAAATTCAGTGAAAAAAGGGTTCCTGTCCGAGCCAGTACTAGCTGCTGTGGGATAGGCATCCGGTGTGATCCTAGAATAGTCGCCGTTGGCACGACCTGCCTGGTTGTAGTCGCGAGGACCCTTGTTAATGTGACGGATACGCTGTGCCAGCGACTTCTTGCGCTGAAGACCACTCTCAAGGTTCTCTTGGGCCTGTTCAGCCTGGTGACGCTGAATGGCACTTCGGGGGGCGGGGGCGCCCTCCAGGAATGTGGATGTTCCTAATCCAACCGACTCATCGCCGTGGACAATCTTATCCCGACCCGATGCATCAAAAATGGGCGGCTCCTTTCGAGCTTTAGTAGGGGCAGCGAAATCTCTGAAAGCCTCCTCTGTAGCATTTCCCATAAGAACCGAATGGTCGGCACGGGCGTTGAGCGGCCCTGCGCCTCCAAGTGAGTTGTTGAGCGAATCCTTAGGGAAGGCCTGCATTGGCGCACGTCTGGCGTTTTGACGATTTCGGTGCGGGTTCAGGGCATCAAAAGGCCCATCATGATGGAACACTGCATCTTATTAGTAAGTTGTCAAGGGAACAGGGTAGGATTATAGTGTAAAACGTACGTCCAGTCCCGTAAATGCTTGTGGCATCGAGTTGATCAATAATGTCCATCTTACGACTGGGACGGCTTGACTTGTCCTTGTCGCTACGTTCGCTGCGCTCGCCGCGTTCGCTACGCTCTCCGCGGTCACGACGTTCACGGTCGCGGTCGCTTCTATCGCTCCGTTCTTTCCCGTCTCCACGACGCTGTCGTTCGTATTCGCGTCGTCTGGCCGCCTCAATCATCTTCTTCTCTTCCTCTGTGATTGGGCGTGCATCAAAGTCTACTAAAGACGACTCCGAGTTTCGTCGAGGGCGTCGTGATGGGCCACGCCGTTGCGGTGAGCTTGGCTGTGGTCGGGGACCAGAACCCTGCATTCTTCGGGCGCGAATGGCTTCTTCCTGAGACCGTGTAGGTCGGTGGTTGCCATCCTTTGGTGGCGCATTTTCGTCACGCCGCGGAGGTGGGCCATTGGATGGTCGACGAGCGGCTTGTTGCCTCGCACGCTCGTTATTTTCGTCGAGAGTCATAGAGTTCTGTGATAGCTGGTTAGCTGGTTAATTAACGAAAGTCAACTTGAGAAATTGGGTAGATCTCGTCTGCAAGTTGCATTTTGAATGAGATTGCCCAAAGACGTGGACAGCATTTGGATACGTACAAAAATCTCCTCGGCAGAAAGAGACTTGGAGTCGGAGTGAGATGACATAGCGCCTGGTGACTTCAAAGGTTGTGACAATAAGTCGACGGGTTGGTCGAGGAAAGGATTCCGTGATAAGGGGCGTGCCGGAGGGTCGTCAAAAGGTGAGCCTGGTTTGTTGGGGAACAGAAGGTCGGCGCTGGCTGGAGATGGTGCGCGGTTGCGGAAGGGATTGTTGGAAGATAAGTTAAGTGTCAGTCCAGGAGAGTGGCCGGAATTAGAACTGGCGTGGCCTGCTTCCAAAGAAAACTATTAGTTGGCAGCCAAACAAACGGGCGCATGCATGCATGCAGTGACGACGACAGATGGACCAAGATGAAACAGATAATCTCCTAAGGATGATACAACATGGACGCCAGCCAAGTGGATCGGAAAGCAAGATGCTGATAAAATGTTCCGCCAAGTTGGCTTGCAATCCAGTCAATCCTATCTAGTCTCCTTTATTCAAGATTCCAAGCGCCGAGCTCTGGCAGCCATCGGGCGCGAATCCTGGCGAAAACTGAAGGGGAAACTTTGGGAATGGGGTGTTTGTCGCAGATCACATCAAAGCGAAATCAAGGGGTGGGCGCTTACCAGACTGGAAATACTGAGAAGTAGACATGATTGCAAAGGGGTCAAAGTCAAGCAAGCTTGGGCTTGTGTTTCTGATTTGAAGATCCAGGAGAGGATGCGGAGTCAATAAAGTAGGAAGAGAGCGGCAGGTTGTGGCCGTCGCGGTTGCAACGCAGAGTAGAACAATGCGTCACGGGTTGTTGTATGGCAATGAGCAATAAGGCCTATGCTTGCGCAAAACAAGAACAGGAGAGCGCGTCGAGAGATGAATTGCAAAGAGCTGGCTTTGATCAAATACGTAGCGTAGGATGTGTTAAATTCCTTTGGCCTACAAGCTCAGACCCAGCGTCATACCAAGTCGACAAGAATATTGTACGCCACTAAAAGTGCGAGTCAAACCCCCGTTCAATTCTGTTCAGGCACCGGGTGGGTCAAAGGCTTGGGGTGGTGGACTGGTCCTTGTGATGCCCAATGGCCAAGGGCTCGGAAAGGGGCTGGCTGGTGGGAGAGGGTAGTATGATCGACTGGGCGGTGGAACGGCCTTTGGGTTTAAGAGATTTGTTGATTGCTTGAAATCGGAAGCCGAGTAGCACGGTATTACCGAGTGCAAATGAAGGCTCGGGTCTTTGCAGGTTGTTTTGGACAAAGCCAAGAACAAGAACTTGGATTGGAAGCCGGCAACAACAGATGCCAGTGAAGGGGCGCTCAATTTGCGGGTGCCTGGCTCGACCTTTCAGGGTGGTTGTCTGGATATTAGCGGCGACTCGCAGCGGGGCAGGGACTGCTGAAAAGGCGGGACTGGCAGGGGCAGCGATGGAATTGAGCACTGGGCATCCGTACTCTGTAATTAGTAGGACGATGTGGCCCAACAGGGGTGCTGGATAAGACGAAGAGTAAATTCCAGGGTCCAGGTAGGTTCGATCGTTAAGGAGCTAATTTGTCTATAAGTCGAAAATCTTGCCAGAGCTTCCGAAAATATGATAAAGTGCCGAGTTGAGCTGCGGTGAAAATAAGTGTCAAGAGACTCCAGGGCGAAGACCGGACGTGTTGTTGGAGAAGGCAGTTGCTTCAGTGGCCGAGAATCCAGTTGCGTGTCATGCGGTCTGAAGTCAAAGTCGGGATGCTAAATGAATCCGGCCTTCAAGGCAATGAAGTGAAATAAGTAACAAGGCGAATGAAGAATAGTCTGGACGATGGATACTGCGTGAGCGATATGCTGTCGTAAATCGGTGTTGGTGTATGGCCAGGATACGTAAGATCCTCTGGATACTGTGATGAAGGAATGAACAGCAGCCAGTCCCAGGCACGGCGTTGACTGGGTACGCGTAGCTAAAGGACGAGAGGAGGAGTAAAAGGTGAATAAGAAAGGAGCGTTCAAGGGCAAGTTGAGCCACGAGCTAGAAAAAGCGAACGTCGTGGAGTTGAAGGTGGGAAAGGATCGAGGATCGAGAAATAACCAACGAAGAGGAAGAAAGATGGAAGCACGAGGACTACTCCAGACTAAAAAATGGGGAAATGGCCCTGGGGTAGGTTCCTGTCAAGCAAGGCCTGGAAGTCGGTGAATGGACGGGAAGGAGTCAGTTGTTGTGCATAGGTAGGTCGAGTTGGGGTAAGACTAAGGTAGGTTAGTTAGTACATATGATGGTAGGCGAGAAAAGCAACCTCAACGTGCTTATTATTAACGTGCTCAACTTGAACGCGGGCTGGACCTGGCTGGCTGGCTGGCTGGCTGAGCTGAATTGAGCTTGGTGCATCCTTTGACTCAATGGAAAGCCTTGGCTGGAGTCGAAATACATGTGCCTGTGCCTGTGTTTGCGACGGTACAGCCTTATTTCAACGCCATCTGGCGTGTACAACTGTTAGATATCTGCCGATATTGACCAAGTTGCTTCCATTTATTCTACTCCGGTCTCAAGAAGTAACTACCTATTGACCCAACAGTCGAGTTCTTTGCACCTGCAACTACTCTTCAAAGTCTCCTGTTCATTTCCCCGGCCTTTAAATCGTACCAAAGTCCCCGATCAATTCTGGTGGCAGCTGACTTTGATCCTGGAAGTACAGATAGAGGCTCCCACTAGTTAACTTTTCTAGACCAGGCCCATGGGTACCCCAGTTGGCAGTCCCCTGAGTGCCTCATACCGTCCAACCCGCCGCCATGGCTTGCTGAGAACGCCTCGACCCCCCTGGGCTCCATTCAGCCGCTTGCTCTTTTATCTCTTTTGTTTTGCGGACAAGAAAGTTGGGCAGTTCCATTATAAGCATTGGCCGGTGGAGAGTTGCAAGAGTATCAAAGAAATATTCAATATCCATATCCATCAACCCAACCATATCAACCCCAGGACACAAGTTGCAATCGTGAATATGAAAAGCCAGTCTCTGTAAATGTAAAAGTGACCTCCCCCCCCCCTGTTCACACCCCTACTCTAGGTGATCCCTGCCCCTTAAGATGGCTACCTACCGCTGAACCCAATGCAGCCATCCCCACACTACAGTATTTTACAGACGTAAATCCCCGATTTCTTTTGGAGATCGATCATAGCCCAAATCGACCTTTTTCCCCTTCTTTTTCTTTTCTTCTTCAGCCTTCTTTTGTCCACGCAGGGCCGGTCATCGGAAGCTTACGACGCTCATATCTGACAGATTGAGTACGCGGCCAAGACATTGTCTATCTGGTTACTGTAGATATCACCCCGATCCTTGCCATGCCAAGGTGCTTGCTCACACCAGAGGTGATGGTGAAGTCAATGCTCAAGTTACAGCTGCTGCAAAACCTCGTGTTTGGTTAATTGTGCTCCATTTCCGTAGTCTGGTTGAGTCGGAGCTGGGAATACATAGGCTATATAGAGCTTGGTCTAGACTGAACAGTTACATTCTAATTACAATACACGGACCACGTGCATCTGATGGGCCTGTCTATTCAACTGTATATCTGTAACCTGCCCTCAGAGTAGCATCAAAGAATGGTCAGTGCTATTCTAGCTACAGAACCATTTTAAGCAATCTATCCCGTCCCAGCAAGGGAAAGATGCGAACCTCGGCACGTATAGCAACATTCAACACACACTAACGTTAGAATGCAACGGCAAGTCTCTCTGTCTTTGTCCAAATACGCAACTCGCTAGTAGGACAACGACAATGACAACGCCTCTTATTAGCATGATGCCCTCTGCGGTCGATCCTAATCATATGAGAAAAGCGGAACCACTCACTTCCGCAAGCGTATCCGCAACATGGCACAGCTTCTTGATTTTTTTATAATGATCATAAGTTCGTAAATTAACGATCTGCCAAGCCAGGTTTAAGTCTTGCAACCAAGCCGGATGCAGTATCGTGACTTTGTTAGTTGAATTTAGGGGGACCCTGATCCCCCAACCCCACACTCGTCAATTTCACCATCCGTAGCAACTAACAAGCAACACGATAACTTCCACTTTGTATGGAGTAACTAGACGTTAACCTGTCTTGACAGGTTGAAATTGCGTTAATGTCCGGTCAGCAATCTTTACCCATCTGTTTCCAAGTCTCGATCTCTACAGAGTAATTATCGCCTCTCATCACATCAAGTCATCAACTTCGTTACTCGATTCCTTTACCAGGGCAGTTGGAGTGGTGTAGCCAGGCCTTTGCCGAGGACCACTTCAGCAGTTCCAATATCTCCTGGTAAAACAGACAGGTACCCATTAGCGGCCCATCGACAGATTGCGGCACGAACCATCTCGGGAGCGACTTACCCGGTCCTCTCGGTGCCCAGTACTCTCCCGTTTTGCTGATATCAAGCTTATCCGTCCACTCAATGAGGCTCGTGGCCGCCTTGTCTGGTGTCACCGCTGATTTATCAAGCTCTTGTTAGCAACCGTATTGCCTCGCGTGTATCCGTAGCCGGTGCTCGCGAAGTCTCACCTCCACCTTCATCCCAGAACTTGTCAAACCCAACACCCTTTGTCATCTCAGTCCGCATAAACCCGGGGTGCACAATGCTGACGATGACGCCTTGGTCATTGAGGTCTAAGCTTAGTAACTTGCCCACCATGTTGAGCGCAGCCTTGCTGGCGTGATGGGCATAGTTGCCGCCGCCCTCTTTGGGATGTCGTAGCGCGATGCTGCCAGACTCGGAGGACACAAGCACTACCTTGGCTCCCTTGCGCAAAAGGCCCTTGTGGACGAGCTGGTGAACGATGAAGACGGGTGCAATGGAGCTGGTTGTGTACATTCGCTGCTCTTGCTCCCAATTTGGGCCTTTGTCCGTGGTAAGATCTTCCGTAGCGAAGTAACCCGCAGTGATGATCTTTGCTTCTTTCTTAGCCTCGTGGACATGGACGTCGACTTGCTTCATGCGTAAGGAAATAACACTCACCACTATGTCGATCGGCTGGGAAGGGTCCAGGAGACCAGCAAGTTTGTCACCAACGTTGGACTGCGTGAGGTCAATATCTGAAAGCCATTTGACTTCTTCAGGAAAGCCTTTGGGACCCTCCGATGATCGGGTCGTTCCGTAGATGGTATTTCCGCCCTTTTCAGCGTATTGCTTGGTGATGCTGGCACCTAGGCCCCGGGTAGCTCCAACTACAAGGATGACTGCCATTATAAAGCAGGTTAGTCAGTTGCACGAGTCTACAGCTATACGGATAGCCTGGTTCGATTTGGTTGTTTGTTTAATGAAGGCGACCAGGTGGTTCTACACTTTCACTTTGACGCAAGTAAGAATTATCTCCTGCCACTCAATATCATCCAGTGGCTTCGGTGATGTAATGGAACGTGATAGCGGGGTGTGCCTTCTGTGACGCCATCTTCCGCATTTCTGGCTCATTTGTGATTCACGTATTTTGATTATTCATTATCAATTTCATCCAGAATCATAATAATATCAGCCTCCTTTTTTATCTTTGGCTTGTTCTTCTTCTACAATAAAGTGAGTTAATTGATGTCTCATACTTCGATTTATCTTGTTTCACCCTGTGCATGTCTTGTCTTACTCGCTGTGAAGCAAGGCAACATAACCGACCCTCGGGATAAAGCACTATAAGTGGGATTTCCTGTTAATTGGCGTTCTAGCTGGAATATTTATAATAATAATATGAAAAGAATAGGCTTTTAGGAAAAAACTTTAATAATACTTATAGTATATAATATTGGAAAGAAAATTTTCTATCTAGTATTATTATACTCAATTAAAGATATCATATAGTAGAGTCACTACCGGTGTTTTATTTCTCCCCCTAGCCGACTTGACAGGACAACACCAGTTAGCATTCCATGCCTCCTGGGCAGATTCCAGGTGGTGTTTCAGGATGTAGTTACGCATGATACAATCTATCATTGATATAGTTAGACTTCGTAAATACTAATAACGTCACCATACAAGACAGGGCAAAACGATCCTGAGATGGCGAACAACTTCAACTGAGATTTATCTGATGTTGCGAGACGTTGGCCAACAACTTCTGGTATTGAGACAACATAAATTTCCCATCAAGCTATATAAGGATCTTTACAAACATTCACCTGCTCGTCGCTGCCTACCTGTATTTAGGGTGGATTTTCACGCAGCGCCGATTCGCCGTTCCAATGGTCTAGCACACAAATTCATGCCCCAGGTTCCTCGATTCCTGCACAATACTAAGTCAGGTAGATATGACAGGCACGAGCAGCCATCAAATTTCTTTTCTTTTTTGTAGACCCATTTACAAAGCCGTCCACAAAGCCGTCTCTTATATGATATCCTTTGATTGTAGTTCTAACCTTCAAATTCCACCACCGCTGACCCCCCTGTTGATGCTGTAGAAGTCGCTGTACCAGCGCGCGGTCGACCGTCACTCGTATTAACATCGAGCAAGCTCGGCTCTTGAGACTTGGCTGATGCGCCTGCTTCTGCATCTGCCCCATCTAGTAGGTCCCTGTCAGAGCTCCTGACAGACCGTCCTTCCACATCTGTGCTGCTGGTAGAGGGTCCCTTCCTCACACCAACTTCAACTCCAAGGTCATCATCATCTTCATCATCGTCCTCGGGGCGTTGTCCAGGCAGGGCATTCTTCTCAAGTTCCTTCTGTGCCTCATCCATACGTCTTCTAACTTCGGTGGCGACACGCATTCCATCCGTAACAATATTGTCAAGCACGCCGCGCAGACCACGTCCTGCTCCAGGAGGGCCGACCGGCGAGGGAACAGGAGGTCTAGCCCCAAAGCCGAGACTGGAGAACGTTGTGAGGGAGTGCGCTGAGGGTGCCGCGTTGGGCAGTCCTTCAATGATATGGAAGGATGCAGGGAATGACGACTCGAAGAACTGCTCAAGCAACTCATCAGCCAACACTACCATGCGGAATGTTGGCAGAGTGAGATGCAGAGGGTGGGCAGGATCTAGCGCCGCATTTGCTGCCTCAGATTTGGCCTTTGACACCCTACGTCGTGAAACTGCTTCAGGGTCTCGCGGAGTATCTAAGGAACTTTCCGAAGAGAGACTGGGCTTCTTGGCCTTTGTTGGTGAACCGGTTGGAGACTCAAGACCCAAGAGATCTTCTTCGTCGTCATCGTCGTCTCCTATTGCAAATGCGTCGTCTTTTGAGGTTTCGTCGTCAGACACGGCAGAAGACTCGTCGTGTCCGCTAGCTGGGTCGGCGTACTCGAAACATCGACGTATGAAGGCGCTCACACTTCCCAAGAACCGCTCATTAGTCGAGATACCAGGAGCTAAGCTAGCCTGCGATTCCTGACCACTTGCTGAATCACTCTCTAGAGTGCTACTTGAGCCAGGACTCAACGTGCCTTCAAGACCCCTGCGTGAAAGGAACAACAAAGCTTCGGATATTCGCAGGATACCTTCGCGGTCAACCTTGCCATCGTCGTCATCGTCGTATAACTCGAAGAAGTATGTGATGGTGCCCATGATGTCGCGTCTCCCTTTGATCTTGGCCAAGCCTGTGACAACATTCTGTAGAGTCAAGGCAGAGGTACTATCTACGTCCCACTTCTTAAACAGGCGGTGCAGAAATTCGTGATCAGCAGGCTCAGGCCCATTGCCCCAAGGTGAGATGACCTCAGACGCTCGTCTAGCGCTATGAAACATGTTTTGTCGATCTTCGTAATTGCCGTATTTTGTTGCTCCTGGTGAGTCTGAGATAGCCCATTTCGACATACTGGCAAGGAATTCGCGGAACGCATCATAGTCCATAAGACTTGTGCTTGGTCCTAAACCCACTCGTCCCTTCTCGACTGCGTCGTGGTGGGTTGCGAATATCTCAGATGCCCGCATTCTACTTGTCTTGGCCTTTCGTATTTTGTCTTGTTGAATCATATGATCCCGTTGTTGGCGTTCGTACAGAATACTGTAAAAACGATCATACAATGCACCGAGCTCGTCGGTACCTAGCAGTTTGCTTTCGGGGCCCAGATTGCGAATAGCTGTCCGCTTGGCAAAATTCTCAATGTTACTGAGAACGGCATCCTTGTTCTTCAAGCGTAGCTCTGTGATGCTACTGTGCGTAATTCCGGCAAATTCCTTAAAAGCCACGACCATAAGTTCCTGGAAACGCGTCACAGCGCGCAGCTTGGGGTTTTCTGACTTGGGATGAGCCGATTCATCTAAGCGGGAGAAGTATGCCTTCAGAACGGAGATGAAGGCCCCATCGTCTGTCGCATCCAACAACTCCTCTCCATTGATTCGGAGGATTGCCAGTCCGACCTGGAACAATACCTTTGGCCCCTCGACAAAGAATACGTCCAGGACACGGAAGGCGAAGACAAGGGGCATCGAGTTAATATATAGTGACAGGAACCAAGGAAGCGAGACAACAGACAGCTGTACATCGCTTTTGACAAGGTGGTCCCAAAGGATAGGCATCGTTCTCTCCACCAGGGATTCAAATACTTTCTGATCAAGCAGTGTACCATACATAGTCGTGGAGTAATATCCGGGGGCGAGTCTGTCACAAAGGGTGGAGAGAAGAAAGAAAGCTTGTGATTCAGACATGTAAATCAACAACGCAGCCACCACGATGTTCATAGCCTGGCAGTATCCTACATCAGCATTAACCCAGCTGTAGGCGGTCAAAACTCGTCGTAGGCGGTTGATGCCATCCTCGCTTTGGAAACCTGGATACTCTGGGAGACTTCGGTTGAGGTCCTTTTCGATCTCGTCAATAGCAAGCGACTCCTGGCCCTCGAACTTGGCTAGAGTGTCAGTAAAAAGCGCTGGGTTTTCCAGACGCAGATAAATTGAGCCAGACGTGAGCTCCCAGATCTCGCCCCTCAGCCGGTTGGGCAAACCAACACGAATGAGTTTATGGAAGGTCGGTTGACGAATCAACGTAAAGTTCCTGCCATTGTCGCGCAGATACTCGGCCCAAAGGCGCATTTTCGCCCTGTCGCGGAGCTTCTTGGGATCACCCGGATACCGAAAAAGCATTCCTAGACCAGCATCTGGCGGGGGGACGTTCTTCCTATCTTCTGTTCTCAGGAGATGCTCGGAGTAACATTCAGCAGCGACTCGTCGTAGTTTGGCAACCTGCCCGACACCTGCCCTCAAGCCCTTCTTGAGGCCATCACAAAAGCGTTCGCATGACTGCCTGGTTCCTGCGAGATGGATCGTGATGCGTTGTTCTCGGGGGTCCTTCTTATCTTTTGGGTCTCTATCTTTCGGGGTCTCAGCGTGAAGACCATTCCAAGTAGTCAAGGCGAGCGCGAACTAGAACAGGGTATGTCAGATTATCTATTACACATGGGCCTCTAATTCGTATCTCTCGCGTACCTGAAAGTTCTGACTATTCAATCGCTCGACTCTTCGTATAGCACAGAGGGGAAATGTGAAGCCATTGCCGCTGGGTCCTCCACCGTGTGTCTGTCCAGTAAACGCGGCTGATGTTGAAGTACTGGCGGATTGGACAAAACTAGTAGGAGTTGTCGAGAAGCACATGTAGTGCTCAGACAGGTGCAGCTTTCCAGCATAATGCCATCCTCGATCATGGTCTTTATCGCCGTGGGTAGCGTTGGAAGGTGGGATGGTAAGCTCGGCATTGATCTCGTAGAGGGGCGTTTGAGAAGCGGGCAGACGGAATTGACTTTGGAATAGAGACGACTTGGACGGATTACGATCGGAACTGGATAGATTGAGGCCCTGTGTAGGATCGATAAGCTGCTGAGCTTTCTGAACGATGTTGGACAAGTTGGAGAACATGATTTCGATCAGCGGCGCATGACGAGGGGGATGCGGTCCAGCAAGGAGGTTGCGGCTGAGTTGGAGGAGGTGAAGGGGAAAAGATGAAGAGAGCGTGAGAGCGTGAGAGCGTGAGAGGCGGAGCCGTTTTCAACCGGAGCTGAACGAGTAGAAGAGGCAATGAGAGGAAGTATGGAACAGACGGTGGAAATGCAGTATCAAAAAGGTTGAATACAGGATAAAGACAAGTTAGGTATGGAGGAATCCTTAAGGTCAGTGGAGATAGAGTGGAGTGAAGGTTAAGCTGCCTCCCAGATACGGGAGTTGGGCCATCGACTACTGGCCAGACAGACAGGCTGTCGCGGGGGGAACAGGGCATTCCTCCCCCAAGAGCCGCTGCTAGTAGCTCTCTAGGGCTGCTTACCAGCGTTCCAACACAGTGAGGTGAGGCGTAGCTTGACGTGGCTGAACCTGAAGCTGTGGCTCGAGCTAAATGTCGATGGTAGCTATCATGACCTGACCACCATCAATCAACTCCCCGCTATTTCATAGTATACTATAAATTGCAAAGAATTTATTGATAGAGATGGGAATTGTGTGAGATAAAAACATATGGGCATCTTACTTCCAGGACAAAGGTAGACAAGGCTCTATTGACTCCTTTAGAAAAGCTCGCTTAATAACACTGCATGTCTTGAAAACAACCATAAAGCAATCGTCTACCATTGGTAGGCCGTTTAGACTCAAGCAAATGTCTTGTGTGTAATTCGTGACCGTTCTCTGATGCAAGCAGATTTTCTTGCTATGATTCGCTCAGTAGAAACTCATATACATAGACTTGTGTCTATCCGTCGATATTATGTTGTGTTGCTTCTTAGGTTCACATAGACGAGACAAAAGTGACTTGATTGGTATAATATTCGTTCTACATCTCGGTAACTCCTATATCCTATACAGTTCTGGCAGTAAGTAATGGCCTCATGATAGGAAAGGCTCTCGTTTTAAAGAAGGTCATACTATCTAAAATAGAGACTGCTCAATACACTATACCCAAAGAGATGAACAAAATCATGGAACGATCTGAATAATAACCAAGTGCTATCGTTATGTCTCACATCCTCATACTCTTAGTAAGTATGAATGCTATCTCTATGAGCTTAAAATGTAGAGATAGTATATAATTTCATGCAAGCCAGATGAAGTACGTGACCTACCTACTTTTTACGGAGGAAAGCTATGTCTACCAATTTTCATTGACCGGTACACCTACCGGAATGAGAAAATTCTAGATGTATTCTGGGAATAGATCATTGCACTAATGTAGTAACTCAGTCTTGAGGGTGGTTGTAGTATGGATGCCATGTATTTAAAGCCATCGCCAGGCCTAAAAGTTTTAAATCCACCAGATTTCTCTACACCTTCTAATGTTCAATGAGTAGAAAACGGTTCCTAATCTTTCAAAAGACCTAGAAAATAAATAGTATCAAGGCTGATACGCGCTATTATTACAGCCACCAGTTGTCATTTAACAGTTAGCATGGAGTCTAGTGCCACATTTTCTAACGCCGTTTACCAACACGACGGACTCGAGTCATTGTTTCACTGCATTTTGATGGCACGGGTGCTGCTTGGCGATGCTGCCGACACATCCAGAATATTCCGTTATTTCCCGCGGCTGAAATCTCACATACATGGGTACGCAGTGCAGAAGGTAACACTAGAGAAGGAAAACGATCATCATGGCTTCCTTGATGCATGGGTTGGCCTGGTTGGCAGATGGAATGGCATCCATGCAATGTGATGGACGAAGCGTGGGGTTACCATCGGATTGGGAGGGGATCCCGCAAGAGTATAGTTTCTACTTCAATCAAAAGCCTCTGATGGTTCTTATCATATAGATCATGAGTTCATATAACCCAGATATGCCTTTGATGTGTAATGCTGAATGCATATTGTATCCTATAGGGTTGGTATGTTTTGCCGTGACATTCATTATGAGACATCAGAGATCTAGTTTCAGGATTCGGCAGGTCGTAGTACAAGCCGGCATATAATCTAAATCAATACGAGTATGTATTCTGTCTGTGACGTATGGATGTTGCAGAGTTGATAAGCCTGACATCCGTATCAGTCGGTGTTGGTGTTGGTGTTGGTGTTGGTGGTGGACTTACACCAATATGCAGGTATATCAGGCATGGATGTTTCGAGATGCCAATCTTCCTTGTCCTAAATATCTTCTACTCCTGGCGGTAATTGAAATAGTCAACTGCCGAAAGATTAACGGACATGCTTCCCGGGTAAATTTCATAATCTCAATGCAGTAACTGACAACTTACTGATTACTAAGCTAAGGGTGTTTATCACTGGTCTCTGGACAACCTTTCAGGCTACATAGTCCCTGTTCTGCGTCATAACCCAGCCTACTCCGTAGACCCCGTCGAGTTCCCTCTTGAGCCCACTTTAAACCCCCACCTCACTGTAACTGTGCATAGTCAATTAATGGCAGCGTCTATCCGTAGTAAGGTTGAGTTGAGGCCTACGAGGTACTTTGCAGATGCAATGTATTGCTAGGTAAGTACTAATGTTGACCTTTGGTGTTTTGTTTTTTGAAGATGGCAATTCTCGGTTGAATGTGATTGATCTTTTAAGGCAACAACTCCCTAAACAAAATCCTTATTCTCTATATTTCAGGAGGCCCTTTCCCCTCGCCTCCTTCGTCGAGTATCTTCGTCGAGTATCATGCTGTTGGCCCTTCTTCGGCCGCCAGCCGACATATGACATCCGATGGCCACTCTCTCTCACTCACCGTTTCATAGGATGTCCTCGTCTTATCCTGAATAGGCACATTGGAGACCTTAAGGTACTGACCATACTGGCCTAGCTCATGGGACTAGGCAAGGCACCTAGCATAACGTCAAGGCCCAGCCTGTAGGTAGTTTACATTAGCCTCATCCTGAACCCCATCTTCATCATCGTCTTGCGCGCATCGCCTTCCTTCCGCCGCTTTTTCGTCTTCACATTATTTCCAATCGCCCGCCCCTCCCTTCCTCCCTCTCTCCTCCTCCACCTCCTCCTCCTCAGCCTTCCCTTGAGTACTCATCAAACAACCTCATCTCACACATTGATTGTCCTCTGGTGCCAAAGCAATCCATCGCTTCTGCTACTCGAGATACCTAACATCGCCCAGGGCCCGTTGTTAATTGACTCCGCATCGCCAGGAGAAGCGAGCCAGACCTGCTCTAGAACGGCCCAATTGACCGCGTGACAAAAGCACAACCGCCTGGTTCAGCTTGTATTGGATGGAATCTCACTCGTATTTTCGGATCATCTTCTCCTCTCTTATTGTCTATCAGACAACTTCCTGACAGCGCTGGTTTCCAGTCCAATTATTATGGGCTTGCGCCTAAACCCCAGTCAACAACAATCAACTCACATCTTCGCCTCTCATCTTTGTTCCTAAAATCTACCGCCGCAACTATAGCCATTACAGAAACCACACCATGGCTGCGACCGTTGCGCCTTCACATGCGGGTGGCCTGCCATCGTCATCGGGCATTTCTGCGCCGTCGCATTCCGCAACCTCGCATTCTCACTCACAAGACGTTTCGGGCACATTAACACCCTCCACACCAAGCTCGTTACCACAGACTCGTAAGCTCAATCTTCGAGACTTTAGACGAGTTCGTACACTAGGGACCGGTATGCCTATGTCTCACATACCAGATGCTATCTATTCCGTCGCTGACTCTTTCGATAAGGAACCTTTGCCCGTGTCTGTCTTGTCCGTCCCGCCACAACCGCGCATATCCCCCTCGATCACCAGCTCAACCCCGAAGTCTATGCCCTCAAGATCCTCCGAAAACCTGAAGTCATTCGTCTCAAACAGGTCGATCATGTCCGCCACGAACGTGCTATCCTTGCCGACGTTGCTGGCCACCCCTTCATCACCAATCTAATCGCCTCCTTTTCCGACCAAGATTCACTCTACATGTTGCTCGACTACGTCCCCGGCGGAGAATTATTCACATACCTGAGGAAGTTGCGTCGCTTTGAGGAGCCCGTCGCTCAGTTCTATGCCGCTGAAATTGTTCTCGTTCTGGAGTATCTGCACGAACAGCAAGGTGGCATCGCTTACCGAGACCTCAAGCCTGAGAACCTGCTTCTGGATCAGGAGGGTCACATTAAGCTTGTCGACTTTGGCTTTGCTAAGCGACTCGGTTACCAAGAAGACAACCGTCCCGTCGAGACATATACACTCTGTGGAACACCCGAGTACCTCGCCCCTGAGGTAATCCAAAATAAGGGTCACACTGGCGCAGTCGATTGGTGGGCATTGGGTATCTTGATATATGAATTCTTGACGGGGTATCCGCCATTCTGGCACCAGAACCCCATCGAGATTTACAAACAGTGAGTAGAGGGTCCTTAAAAACGTTACTATAAGGATACTTGGCTTACCATTTTCTTGCAGAATTCTAGAAAAGCCCGTTGTCTTTCCCCAAGATCCCCCTTTATCAGAGGAGGCCAAGGACATAATTCGGTCCTTTTGTACAGTCGATCGTTCTCGGCGCCTGGGTAACATCAGTGGCGGTGCGGCTCGAGTGAAATCTCACCCCTTCTTCCATGATACCAATTGGGATGACACATTCAACCGCCGACACAGGGGTCCAATCCAGCCCCCAATACGATACCCGGGCGATGCACAATGTTTTGATGTCTATCCCGAGGACGACGGTTCCCGTGAGCCATATGGTCGCGATATGGCGGAGAAATACGACCCCTACTTCGCCGATTTCTAATGGTCCGTTTGCCATACAGATCAGCCATCTGCTTCACGAGAATTATCGCGCAGATGAGAGATATACTCTGCCTGCAATTGTACATTTCCTGCGCGCCAAACCACAAATTCAACATATCAGTTTTCTTTCGCAGTCGAGATGTCATCCAAAACACCTAGTCAACAGACAAGGATTTCATACGACGACATGAAAAGGAACGACCAAAGACGAGCCGACTTTCCATACGGGTTTCTTTAGTGAATCATCCATGTTAAAGTAACTGGATTATAACGTTTCATCACGAATTATGACTACACATTGAGAGCATGGTTTCGCTCCATAGCATCTGATATTTGCTCGAGCTCTTTTTTACTTTATTCGTATTCTCTCATGCTCTCTCCAGGCCGAGGGGTAAATTGGCTTAGAAACAACAGTCGCACAGGTAGTCAAACCATTTGGAATATGGTAGCCATTTACCAATGCATTGACTAGTGGTGTCCCAGACTCGTGTGTGATACTTGTTGAAAATCCTGGTAAAAGCTTCACCTTCGAGACATGACTCCTCTTATATTGAGTGATTATACTTATTATCATCAACCGCCTGTGCTAATAAATAGCAGCTAATACAAGATGTAGTGGATATTTGCATACATGGTGCATGGCCGCTTCACATGCTGCCATGGATCGTCTATATAACATGATCGGAGAAAATGTAGTGAGTGATAGGCAATAACCAAGGTTTCCATAAGTGCAAAAAGCACAAAAAGCGTAATTAGCAACTTAGCTCCAAAGTCTTGCCAGTCGCATAACATGTATAACAGCATGGTCTCAACTCCGCCAATTTCAAGACAAAGTGGACATATCAGATACATGGACTCAAAACAGCTGATACAACCAATAAACGCCAACGCCAAAAGCGAACATTGTGGCCAGGATGCAGGCACCCTCCTTTGTACTCCAGAGGTACATGCTCCAGCCAGCCATGACCTCTTTACGGCGTGCAGCTGCGCGGCGCTCCCAGGCCTCTGGGTCGATCTCCACGGGGAGTCGGGCTCGAGGGTCCTTGCTCGTATCAGGGTCCAGACCCGATGGCGGGGCCATCTCGTTCGGCGCAATGAGGGGCACATCGACTCGAAGGAAGACAGGGCGATGGTCGCTCATGCGCAGGACCGGAAGACAGTCGTAAGCACGCACATTGAGCTTGGGATCTTGGTTGTTTCCCTTCTTCAGCCACGAAGGTACATCAAGAAACAGGACTCGATCTGTCCATCCAGGGTACCGATGGGTCGCAAATTTCCAAGGCACGTCAAGCTCAGGCTCTTGCGTGCCAGGTCGTGCTGGCAATACGTCATACTTGTACGTCGGTGGGAAGCGCACCTCGTGCTCCGATAGACCATGTAGAGTGCGACCAGCGTTGCGCTCGCGTGTAAGCTGATCGAGACGGAAGAAGTCTGGGTAGTAGTTCTCTGACTCCGGATCAGTACTGGGGAACACGGCGGATGGAGGTGGAGATGTGGTTGATATTCTGTAGTTCAAGTCTCCAGCCACGAAAAGATTCGAGGTTGGTCTGTAGACAGAGATGTTGTGTAGTTGTTGCTGGAGGCGCGAGTGCTGTTCGTCGTGTTCGTCGGCTAGAAGACGCACCCGCTCAGGCTGGTCTTCGGCGGGTGGTGTCGAGGTCGGGGATGGGGTAACAGAGGTTTTGTAGCTATTCACAACAACTTCCGGGTTCTCAAAAGCCATACCACGCATAATAGCAGCCCAATTGGCGTTGCGCCTGGGCAAGTTCCATTCCATGGCCGCCAAATGCGTGGCGACAAAAGTCAGCTCAGACGAGCCATCATCTCCTTCATAAAGCATGCGCAGTCCAACAGCGCCCTTGTTACCTATTTCAGCCGCCCCGAACCCAACCTCCGCCTCTTGTATGTTCTTTATTCGTGAAGGATCGCGCGAAAAGAGCATGATGGCGGTGTAGCCAACATTGTTGCCTCGTACGAGAGTGTATGGCTTCGATGGGCGGGTCGTGGGTGTGACTGTGACAACGTTGCTATCTGGACTCGATATGTCGTCAAGAACATGCTGGGCGGCAACGTTGACGGCTTGTTCGAATCGTGAGAGGTATGGTTTCAAAAAGTAACCGCCAATGAAGGAATGGGCTAAGGGTGCCACCTCTTGCAAGGAGCTGCGAACAGAAGATAAATCAGTACCGTGCTCCCTTGGGGATAACTTGAGTTTTTTCTCTTTCTGTCATGTTCATTCCAGTCGTGTTTCGTAGCTCATGATTGTTCATGGCAAGAGTAATATCGTGGATGTTGACTATGGTCGGCTTCGTAAGGGACCAAGAGAACCAGCGGCTTACAGAACAACAACCTGCGGTAAATCGGTTGCATTTTGACGAAAAGCAGTTTTCAGATGGGCGCTGAAGACGGGAACATCGAGTATGCTCTTGCCGCAGTTGAACGTTAGGTATAATAAGTCAACAGAGGCAGCAGAAGAGGGCGTCATCGTGGATAAGGTGGACGAATTCGAGGTCTTGGACTGGGCTGTTGACGATGACGTTGTGGACTTAGATGATGTTGGAGTTGAAGCTTGTACCGTCATGACAGTCGCTAGAATATCCAAGTCAAGGGCACAGCCGTACGTAACGAAGTTAAAGAGCGAGAAGAGCAAAATATCCAATACCAAGAAACTGGAAAGAGAGAGACTGCCCGGAGACGATGAAAGAGGGAACAACCTACCTAGGGTCCCACTAATACAAGTCTAAACTGAATGCAAGGAAAATGTGGGGTTGATGCTTGGTACTGTCGATCACCATCGTCTTTTAGTTCATCTTGGCTTTGTTTTGTGGGTGTCGACATGGAAACATGATCACTTAAGATCTAATGGTCATGATCTCGTGCACAACATTTTCTCCAAATTACAGAGTGACCCTGTAGATCTCAGTTGTGGTTGGTCTAGAATTGCACCAATGTTTTGCTTCTACTCTATACTATTCTACTCAATCCCCGTATAGGTTTACCTGATAAAACTGGGCATCACCATCCAGTCTTCCCTACCTCACTCAGCCTTTATTACGTATTCTGCATTAGTCCCCAGCTGCAGACCAGCATCTCCATTGCAAAAGAACTGTAACAACATATACTCTATATAGCCTCATGGAGATTACAAAATGGACGGATACGACTCCACGCTAAATAAGTGAGGATTCTTTAGCCTGATAACCAGGCAATTTCAACCTCGCTGCGGCACAGGCACAGGCACATGTTAAATAGATACTAACAAGGCTCGTGTCTTAAATGTACTACATGTGACCAACAACTTCAAGCGATTATCGTTTTCTATGCGCCCGCTCGAGGCTGTGCCTTCAACTAAACTCGATGGCCTGAGTGCCCCTCTTTTGTGCCCGCCTCCTCCATTTAGTCGTCCTTTAAGCCGCAGGCGTCGCTTAGGCAAGTAATTACCAGAAGAAAGCCTCGACATCTGCCTCGACCTAGCCGCAAGCTCAACCCAGCGAAGCCTCTCGTGTATACCGGTACAAAGTACGTGGCGGGACATACTTTTATCACGACACAGGACGGAAACCACAAAGTAAGAAAAGACACAATGTATAGACTACCTGAGGTACAATCAAGAAACGAAAGAATGAATGGATGAGTGTAGATGAGATGCATGGCCTATGCACACGGTTGTCTATCTTGACTTGTCAACCATGTGCCCAATCCTCTCTTTACCAGGACATAAAATGCGTTTTAAGTGTCTGGCCCCGGAGGCTATGACCAGCTTGTAGCCCCAACATCAAGGCATGATCTGATGAATGGTTGATCAACCAAGTTCGACAGCCCGTCGACTTGCCTGATGTCGCACACTGAAGCCGAGGGAGTAAAACCGGTGCTGACCTTGACTCTGACCGGAGTTTCCACTTCTCCCTCTGCTGCCACACTAACATCTCCTTCGCCATCATCAACCGTCGCTCCGACCTGCTTCCAATCACCCGGTAAACGTCGAGAACAATCTCGCAAGCAACTTCATCCCCAAACGTCGTCCCCTACTTCCTCCCCAGAAGCTAGCCCCAGCAGGCAGGAGCAAACTCAAAGTCCAAAGCAAAAGTCCGTGCAAATTAATAAAGAGCAAAAGAAAACATGAATGAAATGCCTGCCAAACGGGGTGGAAGCTGTACCGCATCGACGAAATAAAGTGCCATTGCGTATTGTTGGCTCATATTCAGCTTAAGGGCAATTGTACGGGCGGCCACGGTATCCGGCATTCCAAGTCGTGAAGCTATTTGATAGCAGCACAACCACGAGCCCACAGGTCTGGTACACCTAGCCAGGAGGAGTACCGGACATGCCGTTCAGGAAAGTCTCCCGAAGGCGAAGAGGTTGCTCAAAGAATAATACCGAGAAGGCTTATCCATTGCACAACACTCTCCGCTGAGGAGCTAACCCGAGCCACACATAAAGTCATAACCCTAAAACATACATCGAAGAACAAGATAGAGCAAATGCGTAGGAAAGAGGCGTAATCGAATAGCGTCCCAACGATCGAAAGCGGTCAATGAGCAGAATGATGGTCAGCAGAATCATCCAGCTGTTCAAAAGACTTGCATCCGGGTGTCGATGTTGGTTTTTCTATCGCCAGTGTCGGTCGCCATTAGAGGATCACAAAAAAAGAGCGGAGTAATCGGTTTCGAATCATTTCGGCCGATAACTGCCCGAGGCATATCCCGCTCCCTTCGAAGCTGAGCGAAGCCTGTTTATCGTCCACTGAGTCAGCCATAGTTGTCAGCAAATCTCCTTTTGGTCGGCGGTATAAAAGCAGACTACACGCATCAAGGAAAACAAATTGCCTAGAAGGGGCAAGAGAAAATGGGCTTTACTTATAACTCACATCCTGTCGCTTCCACCGATGGCACGGTTGGTGTCGGGGGTGTCGACGCCAGCGCCAGAGCCTCGCTCGAGCATCTTGCGGCGAGTGCTGGGGATGGCGTTGGGCTTGGCAGTAGACTGGCCGGCGGTAGCCGCGTTGGTGCGGCTGGCACGGGCCTTCTCATCGTCCTCGGGGTTGGCCTGGCCAGCAGCCTGGGCAATAGCCTGGGCGTTCTTCTGGTACTTGTAGACAGTCCAGTCGAAGACGTAATCATACTGGAAACCTTCACGAACGAAAAGGTCCCGGAAGATCTTGCGGAGGTAGCTGTAGTCGGGCTTGTCGTCGAATCGGAGGGATCGGGTGTAATTCAGGTAAATAGCGAACTCGTTGGGGAAGCCACGGCAGAGGACCTCGGTAGGGGTGGTCATCTTCTTCTCCATGATGCGGTCGTACTTCTGCTTCTTGGTGGCAGCCTTCAGTCCCTGCCAGGGGAGCGAACCACGGCAAAAGTACAGCATGACGTAACCGAGGGATTCCATGTCGTCACGACGAGACTGCTCAACACCCAGATGAGTGTTAATAGAGGCGTAGCGAGCAGTACCAGTCAGGTTCTTGTTCTCTCTGTAGGGAATGTGGAAGTGAGTCTTAGGGTCTCGGTACTTCTTGGCAAGACCGAAATCGATAACGTTGACCTGGTTGCCACGCTTGCCGATGCCCATGAGGAAGTTGTCAGGCTTGATATCTCGGTGGATAAAAGACTTTGCGTGAATGTACTCGATTCTGGAGATGAGCTGGTCGGCGAGAAGAAGAACAGTCTTCAGAGAGAACTTTCGGTTACAGAAGTTGAAGAGATCTTCCAAACTGGGACCAAGAAGGTCGAGAACCATGGCATTGTAATCACACTCGGTACCGAACCAGCGGACGAAGGGAATTCCGACACCGCCGGCAAGAGACTTGTAGACACGAGCCTCATATTCCAGCTGGGGGTGCTTGGCCTTGACGGACTCAAGCTTGATGGCGATCTCCTCACCGGAGATGATGTTGGTGCCGAGGTAGATATCACCGAAAGAACCTGAACCGATCTTTCGACCGATGCGGTACTTATTACCGACGCGAAGATCCTATCGTCATGGTTAGTCAGTGATTCAACGATGCATGTTTTCACAACTCAAGCTTTGGCAGAGTAAAGCTGGAAGCGCAGGCTACCATGACGGATCTAGATGCGCATTCAGACGCCTGGCAGCTTCCCTCTTTGCACTGTTTCTTGCTGAAGCTTGACTTGGGATCGTGATTGCGAGCGTACCATAGTCGTCATGATGAAAGTTGGTGTTGTTCCGTTCCGTAGGAATGGAAACGAATAAAATGGAGGTGTAAAAGTTTGCGGTGATCTGCGAGCCTATGTTGGCTACAAGTTCAGGTTAGCATCAGCTGTATCTAAATAAAAAGTGGATGAATGAAAGAATAAAAGGAGAAGAGAAAAAGGCGGCGATGCGTGCATTTGAGAGGGGCAAAATTGGGTCGGGGAAGAATCAGGCTCAAGAGCGGTGGACAACGCCACAAGGCAAATCCGACGTAACTCGACGTAATAACGAGTCGCCGACAAAGCCTCAGAAGGTGACATAAAAAAGCCCGCGTGTTTGGGGAGTCGGGGTATCCGAAAGCAGATAATAAAGAAAGAGAAAGCACGAAAATCCAAGTAAAATCGAATTTCGCTCTGTGATTAACGAATTATACACATACCTGCAAGTGAAGTGTGAGAGTTTGAGGCGGTCAAAACGCGTGGAGAGCTGAGCTTTTGAGTGCCGTGACAGCGTTGGGTGAAAGGTTATCGAGGATCTTTGGGCGAGTTAAAAACCCGGACAATGGCTCCCAGGAACTATGCAGCTCTGGTGATACGTGAGAGATTCTGGTAGAAGCTGAGAAAGAGTAGAGATCCTCAGCAGCTGTGACAGACGTAAACTCGTGAGGTCGTCGTCGAAATGGTAGTGGGTGTAGGTAAGTAGATGTTAGGAGGAGGATGGCAGGCCGAGAGGAGAAAAGGGAATGGAAGTGGAAGGGGGGCGGGTAGGGAAAGTAAGTCAGTGAGAAAAGTGGAGGTCAAGTGAAGGACCAGCCCCAGCCCAGCCCAGCATTAAGGAAAGCTCTGGGATGGGGAAGGGGTAGGACTGGAAGGAAGGGATTTGGAAGGGCGGGTGCGCCCAGCACCAAAAAAAAAGGCGCCCACCAGCCAGCCCAGCCTACCAGCACCCAGCACCAACAAGCCGCCCGCGCCCTTCGACCGCCGTGTTGGGCGCTTCTTCCTGAGTCAGTCACCACTTAGCATCCGTTTACAGGGGACTCGGCGCCTACTTGACAAGCGCACTGCGCACTCTTGTCCCCCAACGCAATGGAAACGCTTGTGGTTCACATTCACAGGCATTCACTCTCACCTCCATTCACTGTCTAGCCCAAGGGCCGCCCTTGCTCCGGGGATCTGAATGCGGCCCAAAGTGGGGGATGAGGCAACAATCGACAGGCCAAGACAGCGCCAGGGAGGTAAGACGAATTACAAACAGGCGGCAGGGCTCAGATGTAGAAGTGCATTGAAAATGCAAAAAAGTGTCGCTAATAATGGTAGGTACAGGTACGAGAAGTGTTTCATGATGAATCAACCAAAGCTGTTTGCTCCTCTGTTGCTGTTTGCATGACCTCGGTACCGCAGGACCTTGAGTCAATCACCGAGAACTTAACACAGCTTGAGTCAAATATGACACAAATATAGGTTTATAAAATCTCGCTGGCTTCAGCAAACAGCGACTTTGTCCCTCGATCCGGCTGACTCTCAAGTCGTGTTGCAATCGGGTCTGCCTTCTTTTCCCAACGTTGGAGTTAGGACTATCCGTAATATCATGTCAGTTGTCGCCCTTGTAAGGACGGCCTGGACAATAGCATGTCGATCACTCCGCGGCCCGATATTTCGGGCATATTTTGCAGACCACTCCTCCGTATATATGTGCCGCTTCAAATACGGGCATCCCGAGGTTGGAGTGCAAGTCTCCTAGCCGTTGACCAATGCTCGGCAGCTTGGGGGCATTCCGAGCATACGCATACGCATACGCATACGCTTGACTCCCTGAAAGTGGAGTTATGGAAGAATATGAAATGTTCCATGGATCTAATATATGAACTCTATCTTGTACCATCTATTACCGTTACTATGCCGGTTGACGCCCGCTTTGCCTTGGAACTTGTGTTCGCGGTCAATGATGACAACAAGGCGGCACAAGACTCTACTTGCCCAATCCTCATGGTCCGCGTATTCCGTTGCGATTTGTTTGCTTATTCTATGAGGCCTCAATTGTCTGCCTTGAAAGCCTGATATCTAGATAAAAACGACGAATTGCACCGCGCCGGCTCAGCCTCCCCGGTGAGGGGTGCAAGCAAGAGAGTTGTAACTGGGCGGTAAGAGAGGAGACAATATCTCAGCTAATAATCAGAAATCATAGGAAATGAGCATGGGTCCCTTTGTTGCATCAAGATCGTTGTATTGTAACAGATTCAGTTCTCGTTGTTCTATTCACCATCACGCTATATCCATAAAGAAAGAGGCTATTCGGAGCAAGCCGATAGATCCAGGAAGCTCAGTTTAAAATGGATGGCAAACGGCATCTCCGTTGGATTCGACGACTCCTTCTAGCGCTGGATCTACTAGTCACAACTGAGGAAGCTTACCTAGAATAGAGAGAGAAACAAACTATCTTGTTACACAAATTTGATGCGGTATTATTGATTGTCAGACAACAAGATTATCAGTGGAATACGTAGCTGAATGTGCGGTGCTTTTCTTACTAAACTAGTTGAGACTTCTTTAGAGACATGGATGGAGTTTGATTCAATGTTGTACCTTAGTACCTAGTAGGAGGTAGGTAAACTGAGGTGAGCCTTTTTATTTCCACCCCTGAACAGTCCGCCGCTACTTCTCGGAGCCGACGCCTTTTGTTAGCTTAGGTAGTAGCGAGAAAAACTCACCGACTCGTTCTGTCAAATCACTAGCACTGAATCGATGCTTTATTACCTATACTTTCTTTTTGTCATCAACTTTCAAGGTTTCCTGCATTAGAGAGCCCGTCACGAGGCCCGGCTGCAGTGCCCCCAATGTAGTGCATCAAATCACAGCGAGTTAGTATATTCCATCACTCCTCTGTAGTATAGACCAAGGCTCGGCTGATGGCAATAGTACGAGTCTCAAAAAACACAAAACGCCAGTCGATGGACCAGGTCGTGTAACCTCATTTATCAGGTGACAAGTGACACGCCGTCAGGTAGATGCAACATCGAGATGCAAGGATCCGAGATGGCTTGCAGAGTGTCAGTGAGCTGAAAATAGCTGCCATGCCCCCGGTGCATGTATATGTATATGTACATGTACATGTAGGTATTGCAGGATTGAAAACTCCGTACGGAGTACTCCATTAGTAGTCCATAAACCCCCTGCGTCAATCATATCCTTTGAATTTAGAGCTTGTCCTTTGCGACATGCACGACTGCACGACTCACGTTTGCTTTCCCAAATACTGCCACGATCCTTGATACAACCACTTATTAATTGCGGTTGATAATTGGTGAAACACATCACGGCCCTGCAGAAACGATGTCTAAGCGGCCGCTGAGCTAAGTCGACACCGCCAAATAGCTAAGCTGCCTACTCCATGCATCATTTGGTTTCCAGCACCGCTGCGTTTCAGGGAAATAACCTTTATCAGCCATACCGCCCTGCAATGTTGAATAAAGTCGGAAAGAGGCGCATTTACGCATGATTAACAATTAACAAACCTAGAACTCTCGGTCTGCCCAGAACAATGCCAAGCAGATTCTCTCAACTTGGCAAGCGGTGACAAAGACCGAACATCTGAACTAACCAGTTCCAGCTAGCTATCATTGTGGATTAAGGGGTCCTAGAGCTAGTCCTCGAGGTCTCGAACCCAACACTCCTTTCACCGTCATAAGTCAAGCAAAATGCCATTCATGGATCAAAGACATGAATTATCGGGGTAGCCTTGAGAAACGGCTCTTTAGCGACTAACCTCCCTCCATCATGAGGAGCATGCCCAACCTAGAACTGAGTACATTTTTAGTAACACACCATCCCTGGTCTCATGATGTAATGCCTGTCAGCAACTCATGATGATGTCAACACCATCATGAAATCTTCCCTTCAGGCAATTTTGGTCAAAACTCGCGACAGTACTTGCCCGCCTGCCTACCGTCATGAATCAAATCTAGTCTAGGGATCTATAGACAAGTCAATCTCGAAGCTCTGATACTGTCGCTGTATTTGTTGTTTCCACAGATGGAGTCGAAAGCTGATAGGCCATTTCGATTGGCTACCTATATACTTCATCTAACAACTCATCAACTCTTCAACTTTTTATTGTTTGAAGAAGTTATTTTACATTTTTGCGGCTATTGGTAACCAAGTTTTGTCAGCAGTAGAACGTAGTTTGGTTCGTTTACTACCTGGTAGGTATTTTGTAACACAGCGTAGGTATGCTCAAAGAGACATTTCCCTCCCCAGCCAGATCTCCATAGCTAGCAGGCCGTTATATGAATTGAAACTTCGGACCTTGGTCAAGGACTGGCTTTGATATTGTGACATTGTGACAAGAATAGATCTCAAACTCTACAAGTTCTATGGCTTATAGTAGCTGTTAACTAGACGTTCTATCGATACAGCTTTACAACGCTATACCATGTATTATGTGGATAGTAATGAACGTATATCCTGAACTTACTCTTCTCTTCATGAGTAAAATCTATCGGTTATTAGCAGATCTCTAACCCCAGTGACATGCACTTGCATTACAAGAGCAATTTGATACAGAAGCAAACTCTAGTGATAATAAATTAAGTAAATTTTATTAGATGTTCAAGTACATAAAGCCTGAGGGCTGGTGAATCCAACAAGTAACAATGTTCTGGTCATAGAAACCTCCAACCTTATGATGCACCAGGCCCATGAGGCGAGGGCCCAGATTCTTGGTTACCCCTAAACTGTGGTGCTAGATGAGGTGCGTGAAAATGGTTTCCTTGAGGGGGGTAGGCTCCCAGAACTTGATGTACCGGTTGCCCCTGCTGCCCTTGTGGACCGTTTGTCCCTGGACGATACGATGTAGATTGTCCTTGTAGATATGGTGCCAGCGTGCTCTCTAACGCCTGCCCTGTCTTCCTCAACCACTTGTCAGCGGAGCTGCTACCAAATATCTTTCCTCCGCCGCCCGAAAGTTTTCCCAGACCGGGTCGCGGTGGCAATGCAGGAGGAGGTGAAAAATAAGTTTGAGGTGGACGCGGGTAGTTAGATGGGTTGTAGCCAGTTGGGCCAGCACCAAAGCCAGACGGGGCGAACCCTTGTGATGAAGAAGGTCGAGGGGGGAGCGCAGGGGGCTGAAGACTATGTGTTGACTGGCCCTGTAGAGGGGGACTCATTGCCGGTGCGTATGTCGGCTGGGTTGGATATTGGGTCTGCGAAGGGTAAGCACCGACCGGAGGCGGTCGGTACATCATATGAGTGTTCTGTACTACAGGCTGCGTTCCAGCTCCCATACCAGTGTCTTGGATTGCATAAGGAGGAGGCGGTGGTGATTGTGAGCTTGCTGGTGGTGCTGGTGTGCCGTATGACTGTGTATTTGACTGCTGTGGATGCGATTGCTGCATCGCAAGACCTACATGAGCAGCTTGGTGGTAAGGAGCAGACTGGTGAGGGGAAGGGAGGTTGAAGCCGCCTGGCGTTGGATTTGCTGTTGTTTGTCCTTGTGTCGGTGCATATGTCGGTTGCGGAATATTATAACTATTCTGAGCCATCGGCTGAGGCGAGTTGTAGGCCGGGCTAGATACAACTGGCGACTGAAGCTGTGAAGGGGCTGCCGCCGATGTGCTCGGGGCCGTGAACGCCTGGCTTGGTCCGTAGTTGTGTGCCTGAACTGGAGCAGCATACTGTAGTTGACTATATGGTATTCCAGCGTTGACTGAAGGTGCTGCCGATACTGCTGGTGAAGATGACACAGCGCCTGGCGTGGATGTCTGGGCATAATTTGGGCCGGCGGCGTGAGCAGTATACTGTGGTTGGGTGAAAGGGACGCCTGCATTCAGAGCAGGGGTTGCTGGTGAAGGAGCAACTGCTGAGGCTGGCTGAGCTGAAGGAGTCATGGGAGAAGGAAGATATGTAGACACGGATGAAGGTACTGATTGTACTGGAGCGGCGTTAGGAATTCCATGCTGCTGTTGTGGTGATGGCAACGTCTGTCCTTGAGGACCAGGTGAGGTAGGAAGACTAGTAAATGGTTTTGGCGACACTATGGCATCTGAAGCCCGTGGATCTGCAGATTGAACCGGTGGTATCGGTTGGAAGTGATGAGGAGCCGTGCCCAAAGATTGCTGCTGGGAAGCCGCTGGGGGAGATGCTAGGAGACCACTCTGTGGAGGAGATGCGGTAGCAGGGCGAGCATTAGGAGGATGCACAGAGTCACCAGAAGGAGGCTGAGGCGAATGCGGTCGGTAGGGTCGGTATGAGTTTGAGACTACCGGTGACTGAGAATTGGTTCTATCAGGGCGACCCAAAGGTTTGGGCTGTAAGTCCGATGCATCCTGTGAGGTCGGCGGAGCATATGGCTTGAAGGTTGGAGGTGTTGTTGCCTTGGCAGGGCGATGGGCAAGTTTAAGCGGTGCAGGATAGTAGACGTTTTCATCGCTTTGATTGTCTGAATACGAAAAGTTGCCAGATGGTCGTGTGCTGTAGGGGACCTCTGGTTGATTTGGTTCGCTATTGCCAGAATACGGTTTGTATATTGGCTCTGAGGGCCGGCGGTCGTCAATATGGGGCCGTTGCGGCTGTTGAGATGTACTATCTGAAGGTTCGGGTCCAAAATATGCCCAGGGATTGGCCATGGCAGATTGAGACGCGGCAGACGGGTCCTTGCTTGGCTTATCCTTGGCCTCTTCCTGGTGCGTTGGCTTGGACATTCCGGGAGTTTGAAGAGGCGATGGCCACTGGTTGGAGGGACTTGACTGGTCCATATCATGATGCTGCTGCTGTTCCGCGAGCACTGGCTCGCCGCTCATCTCGAATACAGGTGCACCATCAGGCCTGTGGTGGGATGGAGCGTCACCGGGACGTCCAGGCTGGCTGTCAAGCTCGGCGACGAATAGGGGCGGCGGACGATTACCGCCGTAGTAAGGAGTTTGAGCCATAGTTCCAGCGGCAATAGATATTGATATTGTCTTATCCAAAGCGTCTGTGTGTGTGGATGTAATGGGACAACGTGGTCCTCTCGAAGTTGAAAGAGAAGAAAGGACCTGACGTTAATCTAGTGGAGGTAAACGGAATGCACTAGGTAACGCCTCGCGGCCTGCCTTAGATGATGAACGAGGGTGCGTGACTGCCTTGCCTTGCCTTGCAAGTTGAGTTGCAGACGCACTTGCCTGAAAAGGACATGGTTCTCCCGAGTCCATTTCCCTTCCCTTCCCTTCCCTATTTCGCTTTTCCAACTTCCAGGCCAGCGGCAAGGGCCTTAGAAAACGGTAGTACGGCACTAAAATTATCGACCTGCATTCCAGTGACATTCCTACTTGCTTCAGCTGAACACACACTTTGTGGCTCAAAGGAAGCTAAGCCACTTTTGCTGTCAGGGGTGGCTTGTCAAGCTTCGGGCTTGACAGGCCGGGATAAAGCTTCTAAAGCTTAAGCTGCCTGCCTGTTGGTTCCTGGTGAGTAAGTGCCTGACTTCTAACAAGATGACTTACAGAGTACCTAATCCGTATATCAAGTTAGCATACAGCGATGCATTTCCCACGTAAACGTCGAAATACGGCTAAGGCGTTTAACTAATGCCTGGATATGTGCAACTCATAAAAGCTGTTGGTTGAACAAAAATGCTATAAACGAATGCACATCACGAAAATAGCAAAAATATGTGGATAAAGACAATTGCATTTTATCTTCTAATAATACGTGCTTCATATTGCCATCAGGACGCACAGTTACGAAGCAGCAGTTTTTAATCAAATCACTAACAATAACCCTTCCCTGTTTAATTCTTTCCGTTCCAATATGTAATTAGCTCATCTGTAAACTAAGCTCCAGCTACTACTGGAAGTCGACCAGAACACACCTCCTCTTCCGACGTCAACGTCGACAGCTGATTGCGTTCGTATCACGAGTCCCTATATCAGGCATATAACTCGCGTTCCAACATTAATATACAGGAGCTGCTGAATCTCCAAGTAGTAAAAGGCTCCGGCATCAACGAAACAAAAGCTTGCCCGAGGAGCTGACAATGTGAGTTGAGAAACAAATTTGAATGCAAGTAAACATCGTGCAACCGTTACCACAAAATGGACAAAATTGGGGTAATAAATAAAGAGAAGGCACCTCCACTAGATGCCGTCGCAGAATGGTATCGTTGAATGTCAGACGTGAGCAATGAGACAACCAATCTCTAATGTCGATGATGCAGATGGTGATGATCAAACAAAAACAAAAGTCGAGTACTTCAGTTTAGGGCTCGCCAGGGACATAAATAGCATGCAATGAGTCAGTCGGCCAGTCGCTTTTACTCATCGTCCTTCTTCTCCCCACGTCGCATGCGCTCATTCCAGCGCCTCTTGCCAACGCGAGTTTCAAAGTGAGGAGCAACGGTCTTGACGTCTTGCATGGCGCTCTCGATAGCCGCCCGCGTCTTGTTGCGGTAGCAGTCCACTAGATATCAAGTTAGTCATGATCACATGGCGGGAGGTGGCTTATAACTTACAAGCTCGTTGCAGGAAGACGGTCCGGCCCGCAAATACTCGGCTCTGCAGCCAAGCCATGCGATAGCCAAGGTCGTTAAGGCGAACCTCTTTACCCCGGGTGGACTTCCTCATTCGGGGGATGGCAATCTCGCCTGAGGATTCGCCCATGGGAACCTTGACCATCTCCTTGCCAGTTCTGTTGACTCCGCGTCGGCTAGACTCCCGGCCTTCAGTTTCTTCGATACCATCATCATCTTGGTCAGCACCGAAGAAACGAGAGCCTGTTGCGCTTGGGGGAGGGCTCTGCATCTCCCGGGGAAAGTAGCTACGAGGGAAGACACTAGAACCCTTGCGGAAGCTGTCAGGGATCTCATTGGTATCAACACCCTCCAGGGTTACCCTGACCCGGAGACGAGATCCGCGGACGTTGTCCTCTACAAGGATAAACTTTCGTTTCTTGGCTTCAGGGATATCAGGAAATAGATCGTCAGGCTCATCAGCGTTGGCCTTGCTGTGGCGTTTAGCGGGAACAGCGCCTCCAGAATGAGGAGCCATATGAGACATTGGCGCACTAGTGGGATAAGGCTGGTTGTTGTATCCTGTGAAGACGTGGGCAGGTCTGACGTCGTCGTTATTTGAAGGGTTCTGAGCAGTGGGAGCCTGGTGGTGATGGTGTTCGTACGAATGGCCATCGCCTAACAACAGTTTAGGTTAGCTTATCTCCTTATGAGGTTTCAATCTTTGATGAGTGCTTATGATGGATGAACAGGTGTGGATAAGGTGAGGAGAGCAAGAAGTGGCTGCAAACGCAAAACATAACCAAACTCAAAGTGTCTAGCTTCAGGGATCGAAGCAAAACAACAAAGGAATGGGGCTCTGTAGGGTCCATCTCAGAGAGACCGACTAAAAGCGAACGGTAAAGACAACTTTTAAAGCCAAAAGGCAAATTGAACTCGTCTAAGAGTCGGGCAGCAAATCAAACAACTAACAGTAGCAACAGCAACTGTGCCAGCGCGACTTTATGGTAATGTACAGAACTGTGCCAATCAACAAAACAAAGAGTTTCCTCATAACCCCTAGAGCCACTGCGGCATGCTGTATAGATATAAGTGACGACCGCCTATGTCGTCCTTGACAGGCGTTCAAAGACAAAGAAAGGAGATAACAAACCCAGTCCCCAAATATTTGAATCGCGCACCGAAACAGAGATAGCAAAGACTGAGGTACAGCCGTTGCGGCAAGGGAATAAATTTTGTAAGACAGGAAGGAAAGACAAAGTGCGTTTGGTATCAATTAATCAACACAAATTTGGTCAAGCAGTGCATTTTGTGAAGTGCAATGAGTTAAAGGGCAGTGAAGGATCGGGATATATGGGGAAGCAATAGCCAAACGGCCTTGCAAATACCGATGAGGGGTTTTTAAATCAATCACATCTGGTGAAACATACCAACTTCATCTCCACCTTGTCCTGTTCCGTCGGGGTGAGCTCCTGGTTGATGATGGTGCATCGGTTGACCCATGCTACCTAAGCTGGGCTTGCCCATCGATGCGGGACTAGGTCCCATGGGTCCTGGACCGCCAGGCATCCCTGAAGGTCCGCTAGGTCCTGGCATGTGAGCCGCACCGGGATGCGGAGAAGCTTGAACCTGCTTTCGCTGGTTCATCTTTGCCATGCGTCGCACACGTCGGCTTCGGAGACGGGGATCTTGGTTACTGTTGCGCCAGCTGTCAACGGCTCGCTGGATAAGACCTCGCTTGCCTCGGAGGGGAATGTTGAGCTCGGCCAAAGCCCACCCAACACGGTTGCAGTCCGTCTCATACATCAGACGGTTACCGCGATATTGATCCTTGGGGCAGCATGCTCGGGGATAGACGCAGTTCTCCTGTTTGAACTCGGGGGACAACTCATCGATGTTGACAGACTCGACATCACAGCGGATGGTGTACTCCATCTTGACCCTGTCCCTAGAATACTCGAAGGCGATCCACTGCACACCGTTGCCATCTTGTCGGACCACGAGAGGGGTAGTGGCAGGAATAGGCCCAGGGGCCGCACTAGGGTTGACACCGGGTGTGGTGTTTCCAGGGCTCTGCAGTTGTCCGCCATTTTGAGGATGGTGAGCCTGCTGCATAGGGGATGATTGGGGCTTCTGGAGTTGAAGAGGCACTTGAGGCTCAATCTTGGGCCTAGGGCTTCCAGTCATGCCGGCATGTGCGTGCTGCGCAGCATGCTGGGCCATCTGGTTCTGAGGTGCAGTTTGAGACATCATCATGGCCGGCTGGGAGGTCATTGATTGTTGAGGGTGCGGCGCGTGTTGCGCATAGGGCGATGCTGTGGGCTGGGGGGGCATTGTCTGATACTGGTTCTGCGGCTGGTAGTACATAGATTGCTGGAGATGCTGCGATGGCGGTTGTCCGTAGATGCTTCTATGCTGGTCATGTTGGGAAGGAGATGCGACAGAAGCTGGAGAGTTGGATTGAGGCGTATGGTAGGACATAGGAGGATAGGGAGGTCTCGGCATTTGTGCTGCGGCCATCATGTCGGAGGTATCTGGGGCGCGCATTGTTAGCATCTTTATCGCGACATGCCTTTTGAGATGGGAAGCTCTCAGCCAGGCTACAGAGAAATAAAGAAGAGACTTACCTGCGGATGTGTATCCGCTTGTGGCACCTGGTGTGCTGTAAGGACTTGGATGGTTGTAGTAGTTGAGATTATCCTGGTTGTTGGGTGCTTGGGCACTTGTTTGGTATCCTTGAGGCAGCGAATGCGTCGATGAATACGCGCTCTGGTGTTGCTGTTGAGGCGGCTGGTGAGCCTGCGCGTGGTGCTGCTGGTGAACTACACTCGGGGGTCGCGAGTGTTGCAGGTGTTGGGAAGGCGGGTGACCCTGTTGCTGGTGCTGTGAGTGATGCTGCATAGAGAGAAGACCCATTAGTCAGACATGGACGTGACGATTAGAAGTTGAAGCTGTGAGGCAAGGCCAAAGAAAAGAAAATAGTATAAAGTCAAGGACGCGTTGGTGTTTTATTTTCCCCTTGCCAGTACCCAGGTCTGGGGAGCTGGTTTAAGTGGATGTCCCCTGGTGAGGACTGGGATTGCACGGGTGAGGCGGGCTAGGCTCGGAGAGGTAATGATGATAAAGCAACCCGGTTCTCGCGGACTACTGCGAAAAACACGGGGGGAGGAAGCAGGGGGGGTGGCTATACCGCTTGGCCAGATGTGGTTGGCAACAGAAGATGGTAGCAGTGCCTCCAGAATGTCTTCGTCTCGAAGGTTAAATCTCGTGTGCAAGGGACAACGACAAGAGAACAGGCCTTTGGAGCGCCAGAAGACAAGATCGATCGGAGGAAGGGTGTGCTGGAAGGGGGGCGACGGGGGGGAGACGAAGGGGCAGGGGAGCGGGTATTTGAACCAAGATTGCAGTATGGGGATGCGAACAAGGTATGATCTCAAGTGGATAGCAGGAAAATGGACAATTGGGCCATGGGTAATGAGCTGGTGGACGGGATGGCAGACCAGGTAGTTGCTTGAACCAGATGTTACCCTCGAGCCAGCGGATGGGAACCAGGAGTACGAGGCTTGTCTGGCAGTTGGGCGGGCGCGACCAGGCCAGAGCTCTGCTAGAGCAAGATGTTGTCGAGAGGGAGGGGTTTGGGGGGTAACAGACATGGATGATATGAGAGTGCTGCAAGTGTGCGATTCCGCGACGATACCCCTGTCGCAAGTGTTCCAGGTGCATAGATTGATACTTGGGGACAAATGGCGGATCGGTGGGCGGCGGCGGTCAAACGCCCTAGAAGAGCGTTGACAAGCTTCCGCAGCAGGGAGAATTGAGCATTCTCAGTCAATTTGTAGGCCGCCGGCAGTAGCAGCACGAAAGGGAGGGGTGTAGATAAGCTCAAGTGAGAGACTGAACGGCGAAAGACGGATCCAAGTGGGGTGCAAAGCTCAAAGCCACCTTGAAGAACCAGAACCAGAAAAGAACACACCATCCAAGAACCCACCCAGTCAGACCTCTCGACCCATCCCATCAAACACAGAGAGGAAATAGGGGACAGAGGGGTGACAACGCGCTTGAAGTTGTGGGTGAGTTTGGTGGTGAGGACATTATTGGACCTCTGTACCCGCAAGTCGAGGTACTGACTGTTGCGTAGCGTTTGTCGGTAGACCAAGTAGATGTCTCCGGGGATGACAACGCATGGAAGAAACGTGACAGGGGTCGCCTGGGTTTAATTAAGTGGCCAATGGTCGCCTCACCAAGGCGCCCAGAAAGGAGCAGCTACCCAATGGGGGGAAGCAGAGCCGGGGCTAGTCGGCGGCCCATGAATACGCCGGGATTGGCTTTTCCTGGTGATCCTATTTTGGCCACAGGCGGTGTGGGTAATCTCCTCTCAACCGTTGTCTTTCATGGGCCCATCTTAAAGTCCCTGGTCACTAGCGGTAACCCGCCCCCAAAGGAACCAGCCAGACACTTGAGTTTCCACGCGCAACGGCCACTGACAGCATGAGCGGTGGTGTAAAGGATTCTATCCGGCTCCAGGTACCTGCAGAGTACCGCGCATCAATGTGTAGAATCTCGCGTGAACTCGACTTCTTCCAGATGAACTGAATCCCCGAGTATGCAGCTGCGGATGTTGGAACCTGCTCCTTCAAGCTGTGTGTCTTTTTCTTCTCACTCGAGATCCGCGCAATACGTCACCACCTGTGTCTCAACGTTGATGCTCGTAAGAAAAGGACCAAGTAGGTATGGCTGAGGTGAGGCAGGGCGTTCCGTCGTTCACGTCACGTCCCGTCCCTTCTGTCCATCGATACTTGTCACCACTCCCTGGATTCTGAATCAGAGGGGCAGCCCAGTATCTGCAGCCCAGCGCCCCACTGGGGGAGCAGCAGCGATACACTCGTCCTTACCGACCAAGAATAGTGCGGTCAGGGTTTGCCAAGCTTTCACGGTTCTGATGTCTTTGGGTCGCGTATTTTTCTCCCAAAAATAAGACGTTTCTCAGCTGAGTTAAGCGTCCTTCTCGGCGTCTTTGTCAGGCATCATCCACCGGCTAGGATTCCGCGCACCCGGCGCGTTGTTGACGAGATTTGTCTCGTTTGGTGTGGTGGACTTTTGACATTCGCACTCTGCGCCGCCAGCCTCGCGACCGTTGAGTGGATGCCAGCCAACCTTTGCCTTGGTGGCGTTTCTGCGGCACCCCGAAACCCAAGAGTCTGTGTTCCGCAATAACTGGTGGAAAGCCGTTGTCGCTGCGTCTGCGCGCTCCCGCCATCGCATCCAAAGCAGCTTTATCCGCAATTGTGGTTCTTGCAAACCGGTGTGGCTAGTGCAGCTAGCGCTTCTCTCAACTCAAAAGGCTGAAGAAAGTGCACCTCAGCCTGCTCTGCCACTCCAGTTTTCGCGGTTGGCATGAGCATCTTGTCCAGGTCGCTGTTCACCCCTCCCCTGTCCCCTGCGGGCGCCCCGGTCGTGGTGAAACAACAGATACCCTGTTGAGCCCACCTCGAGACTCCTGTCCTGGTCAAGCTTGCGACAGGTGTAGGGATTACGCGGGACGCATCTCAGAAATTTTACTATTCCCGGACTTTGCTAGCAATCCACTCCAGCATTCACTTGAGGCTGAGGCTAGGTCTGCCAGGCGCGTTTGTAGCCGCGACGCGATCGATATTGATCCAGCTTGGTATTTGGTTGCGCTTCAATGACAGGTTTCCTCTTGTTGAAGAAATCGCTTTCGAGGATTCGCACGATGATGGTAAGGAGAAAGACAAAGAAGAGAACAATACTTACAGGATGTACTCCAGATTCCTGCTTGAAGCCGCCCGTAATATGGCGATTCGCTGACATATTGATGGTCATAGGGAAGATGCAAATACGTCGAGTGCTCCTTTTACCATTGACAATTAGCAACCAATTGTAGACAGCAAAAACGCAGTCTGTGCTAGCCAGGCCAATACACAGCACTTGCTGTGTTCTACCGGGATCTTCGTTGTAGAACAGAGCCAAAGTGGCGTGATTCTCGATCGCATATCAGCACTCGGTGCTTCAGAAGAACAGCTCCTCGTCCAGGATGTAACTTCTAGGATCCGTGTGCTGCAATGGCGAGGAAGGTTTGGGGCAAAGAGATAACTTACCCGTCTGATGAGTTTCAATAATGGATGTCAGACGCAAAGTTGTTGATTAACTTGACCGTATGAGATTCACCAGAGAACTAATGTACACAGAGCTTTTTGAAACAGCGATACCAGCAGTTGTCTGTACGCAAAAGGAGTCAGTTTGGTGAATTGTGACGGGATGCGATCGTGTTTCTGCTTTCTCAAACAACATGGCTTAGGAAAATATACGTAAAAGAAGTCTCCTGGGCAAATGGCAGGAGGCCACTAGTACATAATAAATCCAGTGGGCCTCAATTTGATATGAAGAAAACACAGCTTCATATCCAAATACAAAGCAAAGTCTCGACTGAGCTTCTTTATCACCAGATAAACGATCGGGGAACGTCTGTTTTTAACGTACCTTGATGATAGTGGTTGAAGTATACAACAGTTTACCAGCAATTGCAGTAATTCCCCGTTGGTGGCACACGAGTAGTCGAGCAAATTTGTTGGTAACGCGCTTCCACGTGCTAGTCCCGGAAATCTGGATCCTTGTCAAACTTTCGAATTTGACCAACAAAAAAGATTGTAGCGCGTGCTGATATATCGGTTTGAGGTGACAGGCAGTGTGAATGAGGAATTGAAATCCAGTTTGACTGCTATTGCCTATTCATCCTGTCAGTCCGGGCCTCGCGGTTTGCTTTCAAGGTATTACGCGCAAGCCTTTGCAGACATGCCGCACACATACCTATGTTTGTACAGGGACACCGAACAAGGATGAGTCTCGAGGTGGGAAGACCCTTCACCTTCGGCTAGAGATACAGGTGTTCGTAGGAAACTGTTCTGGCAACTGTCAGAACGGGCCAGAGCTTTTGCTGGGATAAGGTGTTCAAGAGAATAACAACGAGAGGTCAAAGTAGCGCGGCCCTACAAGATATACTGCCCCAGCCCTGGGCGCCAGACATCTCTGTGGCTTTAGTCATACCCAGGCCTTGGTCAATGACAAGCGCCAAATATGATACTGGGGCTTTGTTACTCACTAGACCATCAACTGGGCATCAACCACGTTAAGCGAGCGGGGATACGGTACAGTGACGCGAAATAGGAGGGACTGGTTATTAAACTGCAATGATGGATGGTTTCGAGGACTGGTGATGAGGATGTGCATGCCCCAGTCCAAGATTGGGAAGCAAGACAAGACCAAGACCAAGACCAAGACCCAGATGGCAGCCATGTGTGGGCAGGGGGCGGGGAGCTGCACCGCAGTGGTGGCTAGCTTACCTTAGTTCCCCAACTGAGCGGACCGTTGACACAACGAGACGCCGTGAGCCTGGACGATGATTGTGGTGGGTGGAACCGTTGCCTGTCAATGAGATTGGGGTCAGCGCTAACTCAAGCCGGTCTGTGCGGTAAATGGATGAAGCAGGGACTGTCTTAGCCTAGGGTAACAACGCAAAGAAAAGAGGCTTCGTCGGTTGACGAACATGATGTACGCAGAATGAGTAAAATAACATACTTTCTGGTGACGAGGTGTTTGACAATTTCATTGCAAACTCGAAACTAACGTTAGCTGGGAAGTCTGTACACACGTGCTTGTTTGGTGGTGGGTTTAATCTGAATCTAAATGCCTCCGATCAGAATGTGACTAGGTACCTAGGTGGACAAAATGATTAGACGGCTAGACTGCAGTAGCTCAGTTCATAGGGTCTAGCAATTCGGTGTTTCTACTCCGTAATGCTTCTATCGAGGTTGATCCCGTTCCTTGTTGATGATCTCGTGGAATCCAGTAGCCGTGCAAGACTCGAAGCACAAGTTGAATCCCCAAGTTTGACCCGATGCTAGGGGGGCAGCACAAGCCTCTACAGCAGGTATTCGAGGACAGGGGCTCCAACCGCGCATGTGTCACGTCGCAGGGTACCGTGGCTGTGTGGGCTACTGCAGATTGATGATCTGTAGATGGTTGCACAGCTACCGGAATCGACTATGTATTAGGATGGTCAGTATGCAGAGCATGAACGGATGCCTCCGGAAGTATATGCGTATATGGAGTGCAATGCAATGTAGGGGGGATGTAGTTGTTGAATTGGTGTCAATGGCAGTCTTTTCGTTTGTAAGAAATCTCTTAGTACCTATGAGTAAGGTATCTATCGTTACTGCCTTCTATTTCACTGCGAGGGACTCCATACTGAGTTCCTGTGTTGAAGTCTGGCAGGTGCGTGGTTGGCGGTACAGGGCAGGGACGACAAGGTAAATGCAGGTACAGTAAAGACAGGTCCGGGAATAAACATAATCCTGGTATAAAACATGTTCTTTCTCTGTATGCCCCTACAAAGCACCAATTCTAGAAGTTTCCCCCCCTGCCCGACCTTACTCACTCGATGGAATTTTACCCATGGCGTCAGGGTCCTCACTAATTTAGGCTCTAGCAAAAACATAATAAGTGCGCGTGGCTGGCGCTCCTTTACTCTCCTAAGCGGTCAAGACAATATCGATTCATCCACAGCCCACATCCCATCATTATGTCGATCAAGGTAAAATAGAACAGTACATAATTATCAATCCGTGCAATAATCATTTATCACTCTGCTGCATATGAGCCGGGGGAGGCTTGCAATTATCCTGCGGCCCATACGATAAGCTTGATATAGCCATATCAACTGTTGGTGCATACTCAGTTTCGCATTCTAGAGTCGTTCTCTCCATATTCTTTGAAGGGGTCAGGGGTACCTGGTCGCCACCCTGCGTGCTAGGGAGTGCCAGACATGGCTACTCGCGGGAGTACGTGCAGATGACAAGCCGCCCAAGACCAGCTAAGGATGTACAAGGGTATTCAGGAACTAAACCGGCTGGTGGTTTAACATAGGGTAAGCGGCGCTGGTTTTAATGAGAATCGAAATAAATTCAATAGGCTGTTCATGAAATTGATGTTATCTCGTAGTAATACTAATTTGTGATAGTGAGAGGTCCACAGGGTTAGAAATATTGTACGATTGAAATGAAATTGCGTTAACCGAGACGCATACTGATACAGAGCGAGATATCTTTCAATGTCAATGAGTAATTCAACAACCTCTTACATATCCGCGGGAGGCCCCGAATTAAGCTTCAACGGTCAACGGTCAATCTCAAAACACCGTCATCGTCAAACCTGGCATTCTGACCTGGATGTTAGGAGCGGGAGACCAGGGTAGCGACGGGTGGTCCGCCAATTCGGTGTTGTGGAGTTGGGAACTTGGAGGGAGGGCAGAGGCATGCTAGCTGGAGGCATGGTCAAGGGAGGCCCCCTTGCCTGAGCCCACGGCAATGGGTAGCCCATGACAATTTAACCGGCCCAGCAGGGAAGACGTACATGTGGTAGTATGTAAGTTAGCTTAAAGAATGGTTATCATGTGGTACTGAAAAGGGACCAATTATTTGGGGCATGAGAGTCTCTATCAGTAAGCATCTAATGACGGAGGTCACCATACGGAACGGATAGTGATTACTTCATTTCGCGGTAGGACTTGCGCGTCGTAAGCAAGCGCCAAACAAAATTGAATGGACGGAAAATTTATTCAAAACGAAATAGAAATATTTAAGCGACGTTACGAAATACAAACACGAGGGCCACCAAGTACCTCGATACCCACTTGGACACCGACCATGATGAATTAGGGAACCGCCATAATAATGGCTATCCTCGCCCTAGAAAGGTATATTGTATTTCCAATCCTGGCATAGATCACACTGACGGTAAATCCTAAACAAGAATAGCATTCTGTCGGTAGCAGTTTTCGAGTGTTGCACGCTGTATACTGCACGTTGCACTGGACTCGCCGCGATTAATGAATGTACTGCTACAGTCAAGAGCACAGCATGTACGAAGCCTGTGTAATGAGATCGCACATGATTCTCATCACTAACGGGTACCTACGCACCTACAATCATGATATGAAATGACAGCGGTGAAAGATTTTGCACGTACCAGGCAGGTACTAAGGTATCAGGTACTTATGGGTACTTCTTGAAAGGAAGCACTTAAGTGTCGTAGCCCACTTAGTACTTACCTACGAAGAACTGAGTTAGACACGCTCCAAGATCCCGCCCTACGAAAAGGATAACGCCTGAAGGTGCCTGCCAAATCTCAAGTGAGTTTGATGGCTTCGATGGCGTTGACTGGTGGCTCTTTCCTTTGACAACGGCTTAATTTCAAGGAAGGGACCCCCCACCCAGGGCAAAGTGGTGGCTTGAACATGTGCCGCACTTGGACAGCCTCCCGCGCCTTGTTCCTGACTCAAACATCAAGGTTTGCCCGACGTCAACAACATCATCATAGTCAAACTTGGCATTGGTTTCTAGGTCAGCCTTGTACGCTTGTGGCAGATAGCCAAAGTCGGCTGTAATAAGAGACTTGCAAACACACGCGCTATGATAATAACCTCAACACGTGCAGTTCCACGCGAACGCGACTCTGCCGTATGCCTCTGCTTGCCTTGGAGCTTGTCCTCTCGTACTCTGCCATCGCATTTCGCCAGATGTCAACGCTCAGCGCCATGTGTGCTATGACACTAGCCGTCCCGATACTTTATGCCGTGCAAGTGGGGAGTGGTGCAAGTCCTGAGGGACTTCTGGGATGATGGTGTGTGTAAAGTACGTATTCGATCCACAGGAGCTGCTATCCTAACTTGGGTTCTAGTTAATTTTAGGACGCTGCCTAGTCGACCCATCACCAAACTCGTTGACATTCATTTCCCGTCTCATGCACGGCTGACAACCTGCTGTCACCAACCTCGGTCATCGTTGCAAGTTCCACGTCGAACCAGCTGGGCGCAGGGACCTTCTCCCTTTGATCTAGTGGCACTTCCTACGTCGTTTTCGAGGTTGCAATTGCACTGATTTGTGACAGACTTCATGTTCTGTGTGGTGTAAGTCCATCAAGGCCATGCCCAGGAGTAATATGATTCCTCCTGCGTCGCACCTTATGATTGGGAAATCGATAAACAACGCATCGACATCACCGCAACAAGCCGTGTTCCCCGCTGCGCTCCGAGGCACAGCCGAAGCATATGATAATGCCGTCGAATGCATGTTGGCTTGACATTGAGTGCTCATCTCGAAATCGGAGGTTGATCATGTACATTCACAGTATCTAATTACGCACAGTAATTACGAGTTATGTGCTCAGAGCAGGAAAGACTTATTGCCCGTGCCCGCATGCTACTCGGTCCTCGAATGTAGCCTTAGAAAGTCGAGGTCTTGTTTGCTGTCGTTTCCAGATCTTACCAGGGCCTTATACAGATCCACGATCTCTTCGCAGTCATTCATCATGGGCGTCTGGCCGATGAACAAGGGCATGACCACCACCTGTCAAGATGCACAAGCCTGTCATAGACCCTGACCCGGCACTGGCATCCATGATGTGAGCGATATCATGGGCTGTGTCTACTCGTCACCCAAGCCGACCCACGAACCTCTTGACGATGTTTAGAATCATCCTCGCAGCCCTACCGTTGAAGATCTACCTGGGCTCAAGGCTTAAACAATATCCTGGCATAGTCTCTCGGGATTTTACAACCCAGAATCTGGACACCATGTTCATTGTGTGAGTGTCAGGATACTCATATGCTAGGGTAGAGACAGCCACAGTACAGTGGCAAGTACCCCGTACTCCGTATATCACTGCGAATATGAACTGGAATACAACACCTTCCAGATTGTCACATAGCCCAGATTGTTATCACACGCCACATAATAATCGGCAGTCGTATTCACCCCCTCTGTTCCTACAATCTTCCATCTCGGAATCGTATACGACCAGGCCAACAACCGCGTTGCACTCTAACGACCCTATCTGACGAGTCTCTGTGCCTCCAATTTCTCTGACTGCAGCAACATCCTTCGCTTGGTTCCTACTGACCCACCCTTGGAATGTCGGTCAGGGATGTGAGCCCACACGCAACTCCTAGTGACGGCCAAACGTTGTGGAACACTGCGTGTGTCCCGGCCGGACCAGGGCCCGCCATTTCCAGGCACAGCCAGGATGCGAAGAAGGGGTGCGGCCGCCATCCCCGGACAAGGGGGTTGTGTGTTCCAAAGACTAATTGGGACGACATGGCCGACAAGAGGGGGTTCTGTGTGTTCGCGACGCAACTGGCGCATAGAAACTGGCCATGAGACTCAGAACTTTGCGACAGAAGCTTTGAAGTTTGAACACTCTTCAATGCAGGTGAGCTGATATCCAACCTCCAGGCCCTCTTCCTATTCATCAACTTAACTGCCGGCCTTGTGAGAGGATCCACCCAACTCAAAAAAAAGGAAATTGCCCGTGCTTTGATTGATATCCGTCCGAGAAAACGGAACGCAACCAGTTCGCCTCGGTTTAGCACCACCAGTCTCATGTTAGTTAGTTCCCTCAATTGGTACGTAATCGTCCCTCAATTATTCATGAGTGAGTGAATGTTTCTGTGACAAAAGCTTCTAGCAACGCAGATACTGAGATGAGAGCATGGACCATACTCGAACTCGCCGGCTGAAGTTCATCCCGCTTTGTTCCAAACGGTACTTCGTTGAGTTAATCGACCATGACAACTAGGAAGGTATGGCATGCTGCTACCTAACAATGCATTATAAGCGTTTCCTGTCCGCCGGGCAGCTTATGTGTCGTTAGAAGAGGTTGGAGGCTTTACACAATGCGGAAAAAACATTGGCCTAATATCATAATCTCTAAATGATGATATTGTGTTTGATATCTGCATTGCAAAGCTATATTGGCTTAAAGCTTCAACCTCAAGGCAATACGGACACTAGCCAATGCCCGCACATTAGAAGCTGAGAAGCAGCGATCTATCCTGGACGCCTTGCGGCATGTCATTGAAATCGAATAAAACGTCGTTTATGAAGTACTTTATAGATGTTTGACGAACAGATCTCAGAGCCAGAGGGGCCTACAGTTCCGCGTGAATAGATATCCAAAGAAGCCCAAAAGCTTTGTCGTTGGTAAAGTCGACTTGCCCACGAGGTCTACGTGTGCCACAAACGACCTATCATAATCTTTGCTAATCCGTGGGAGAAGCTCAGGTCAGTCTTGATATCTGCGAGGCATCCATACCCCCCAACAAGCTCTTTGAGAACTTGTTGTGATGACACATGGCTATAGACAAAACTGCTTTACTCAACGCCTTCTACGGTGGTTTGGGACTATCGATTCACGCAATACGGCAGTTCGCGTTATAGCCTGCGAGTTATGTATCCGTATGGGCGTGCCAAAGCCTTTTCTGAACACGAATGAGCCCCTGTCCTTCTAAATAAATCCCGTGAGGTCCCTAATATGCTACCAGCTGCCTATTCCCCACATGACTGGCATTTAAACACAGATTTGAACCCATTGTCTTTGATGTCGGAAAGAAGCAGAGACAACTTCAGCGGAATGTCTCCGGGACACTCTTGAAAGCTGAGACATTTTACATACTACCACAGATACTGTGACCAACTACAACATGGCCTCGCTGGCTGGCTGGAGTCATTGCCAGCCACGCAGCGAAGGAGATGGTGAAAAGGGGCGCATCGACATGGACTTGTTGTGGGCTGCCATACACATACAGTAAAGGTATTGTTACAGTTTTACAGTTCACATCATTTCCGAGGATGTGGAGTTACTGTTCCAGACGTGTCTCTATCGCCCGCCACAATCAAGCCAGAGATCGGCGGTTGGGCGTCACTCCCCTCTTAGACTCAGACGTGGCTGTTCCGAGTTACTATTCTTGGGACATGGTGCGAGCAAACCACAAAAAAGAGAGTTGACTTCGCCGTGCCTTGAATTGGGCTGGTCTCGTTGTCCTATGCCAGCCTGGAACGCTCAGCTCAACGTTAGTCTTAGAATCGTGACACAATAGTTGATCGGTGAGTCTAGCATACTTTGGATAAAAACTGACATCCCACCATAGCCGAAATCTATCAAATGAAACGTATTTATTCTTGCCTACGACTTTTAATCGTCCCTTTTTGGTCTCAATATCACACGCGATATGACAACAATTCCCGTACTGTTATTACTACTGTCTTCACACGATGCAGCGAGCAGAGTCTAAACCCCCTCCTCATCAAACTTTATATGTATTCCATGTCTAGCACTGTCCGTTTCATATAAATGGCGTTCCTTTCCATTTGACGCAATTGGGTCACAGATCATCTCAAGCTACGGATTGCAGCCCATGTCCCATTTCCGTATCCCGAGTGTACGTTATAGCTTCAAGCGAGCAAGAACAGGCGCGGCAAGTTTCTCAAGTCTGCGTTAGAGGAAAGGGTGGGAGGCTTGGGCTCGATTTGAATACATTCCTGAACTGCTTCTACCCGTGATACTAACGATATCAGGATGTTGATGCATGATATCACATTCACATCTCCGCAGCCTGTATCTGTCGGTGATGTATCAAACAAACCACGGGTGCCGGCCTTTGAGCGCTAGATTGAGTCGTCGTACGACATGTCGACAATGAGAGGAATCGGTCAAGGCCTGGGCAGAGTGTCTAGACGCTGAGAGGAATGGAAACTACGGGAGACAGCATGCGGAGGACCAAGAAGCTTCCCGTGTTAGCCAATACCTCTTTCATCTCGATACTGCGGGCGCTGGCATAGCTCATGACCCTACTCACAAAGTTTCTGTACACATAAGAGGAGGGTGGGCACCTGTCTGGTTTCAACTCCGCGGCCTACTACATGAAAGTCACTGGCGCGTCTTGTTGATACTGAGATTTGGCTCTCTCATCCGTAGTATTGGGTGAGATATGAGCTGGATCTGAATACTAAGAGTGTGCATATATGCGTGTGTGGTTATTCCATTGCATTGTGGGTAGAAGTATCACCGGCAATTGATCATGGTAATATATGGATAATAAGGGCAACCAAGACACCATCTTCGACTCCGTTCAAGCTAATAATGACCTCGAACGTAGTAGCCCTACAAACTTCCTGGCCATAGTAGGGGACTAAGTCCTGACTAGCATGTCCTAATGCAAACTGAACAGTCTGGACATCCTCGACCTCCCCATCACAATATCTTAGTTCCCTTTCACACCAGTTTGCCACCATAGACGCCCAACACGAAATGTCGCTACCCAAGTCGTGACGTGTTCTCACCATTCACTAGCCTTTTCTCTCAAGCTTCAAACTCAAAGGAATCTTCGGGCCGTTCCTTCAAGATCCTTCCGGTTCAAGATTGTTCAGAATTTGCAAGTCTCGACCCCATTTCCTCACGCCTGGACATTCATTGTAGCACTGCAGTTATGAAAAGGAGAGCAGCATATAGAACATATTATCTGAATCAGATTTGAATATATTTTGTTTTTATCTTTTGTGTATCCAGAATGCCTCGCTAAATCGCCCAGTTCATGCTTGTTGATATATGATGTAAAATTTATAAACCCAGGAATATGAAAACCTCCCAATAAAGTCATTTGATAAAACGCTTGGACACTTCAAAAAAGGATTCGATGATAATGATAGACTGCTTTGATCGCTCGCTCGCTCGCTAAACTAAGCTTCAAGAACAGGTTCGCGCTCTCGGTGGCTTCGGTGGTGATGGTGATGATGGTCCTGATCCCTTGAGCGGGTGTCGTAGTCTTCATCGTCTCGGTGACGCCTGCGTCGGTCACGCTCACGCTCGCGGTCACGGTCCTTGCCTTCGTAGTCAGAGGAATCGTCGTCTTCCCGATGACGGCGATGGCGGTGGTGTCTTTTCCTGTCATCATCGTCCCGTCCACGATCCCGATCAGTGTCACCACCATCCTCATCTCGACGGCGTCTCTCTATATTGATAGTCAGTACATACCTAAACAAGTCCGAGAAGTCCAAGCCTTGAACCTACCTCGCAAAACTTGTGTTGCTGATGCATATGCCTGGATCTCTTCCTTGCTGAGTACCCGCAATACAATGACGAAGTCATCTCTGACCTCGAACCTCTCCTTGCCAATAGTCAAAGCCTCAGGGTTAACCACCTTGCGGCTGATTTTGGTCCATTTTGCGCCAGCGGGTGCTTCTCTGGCCTTCTTGTCTTCCTTGTGGGGAGCAACGCCTTCACGAACAGCAACTGGCTCCTCGGGGAAGCTGACCTTGGGTTGCTTCAAGATGCCCTTGAGGGGCTTTTCGTCCTTCTTGTCGCGAGGAGGTGACACCACACGGACTTGTTTGTCATCTAGGAGAGTCTGTTGAGATTCACGACCACGGTTTTCTTCTCCAGGAGGACTCGAAGGCTTAGAATCGGGAGGAGAACGGTGATCTCTGGATGGTCTGGTTTCTATCGAACTTCGAGATTCTCTGGCAGGCGACACAGAGCGTGGCTTGCTTTCAACCACAACCGGCTCCTTTTCCTTCTCCCTGTCAGTTGTTTTCATGGCTGCAAGTTGATCCTTGAGTTGTTTCAAGTCAGAAGTGTCGTTGGGGTTGAAAGCCTTTGAGTCGCGAAGTCTTCTTGTCGACTTCTTGGCTTCGTCTGAGTCAGAAGCTGAGACAACGGCTTCTCCGCTCTTGCGAGGCTCTTCCTTTCGACGGCTTGTTTCTTTGGAATCACGATCCGGATCGCGTTGTCTCGACGTGTCTCGCTGTCTCGATGCGTCACGTTGTCTCGATGGATCACGCTGTCTGGATGGGTCTGGCTGCCTTGACGTGTCTCGTTGTCGTGATCGATCTCGCTCCAGTATTCTTGGACGTTCTCCCTTCACAACTGAGTCTCTCCGTCTATCATGGTCTCGGTCACGTTCGCGCTCGTCATCAGAGCCTTTACGTCTGCTGGGCTCCTTCTCGCGCTTATCGTCATCCTTGATGGCAGGAACAAGTCCTACAGCAGTCGCAGCAATACCCAGACCAGCTGCCACTTTGTCACGGAATCGAGTACGCTCTTTTTCATCATCGTCACTCCCCTTCTTACTCTCACGTCTCTCACGGCGGGGTTCCTTAGATTCGAGCCGACCTCGGCGTCGATCGTCACGTTCGTACTCGGAAGGCAAATCCTCATCCGATCGCTTCTTAGGCTCCTGGCGACGTTCACGGCGGTCTTCGTGCTCGTCAGCAAGGTCAGTTCGAATACCAAAGCCACGAGATGTGACTCTGTCGTCCTGGAAATACGAAGGGTCGTAGGCGGCACGCTCAGGCTCATAAGTACGTTCGGGTTCTGGCTGGTCACGAAATTCTCGCATTTTTCTCTCATCCTCTCGGCTGCGATAGTAGTCATCGTGATGCGAGGAACGTGGTGGCCCCTCTTGATATAGGGACACTGGCCGAGGCCGCCTCGTCGTCTCTGTAGTCGCAACGAGAGGAATCTCCTGTTTTGCCAAGGTGGGCTCAGGTGTCTTGGAGGGAACTGGAGCAAAATCCCGTGGGCTGTCATACGCCCGAATTTTATCAAATCCACGAGTGCTAGGTGGAGGGCCTCCTCGGTTATCGTATTGCCGATTGCTCGGGGAGCTGGTTGTGTTTGTTGTTATGTAGTTGCGACTCAGATCGGGGCTGGTATCAACATTGAAGGTCCGCTGGTCCGTGTTGTAGTTGATGTTGGGGCGGTAGTAACCTCGGTCAAGGCTTTCACGCCTCCGAGGCCTTGCAGGGCCCGAATGATCAAGATCATAGCGAACAAGCTCACCAGCATTGGTGTACTGGTATCCGTCATCCCCGTAATCGACGGCGCTGGAGCTTTGGCGTGGGTTGGCCTGGTATACAGCAGAATGGCGGCTGTTGCGGTAGGGGTCGTCGCGCACCAAGCTATTGCTGCGGTCCCTGCTGCTGCGAGCATAGTTGTCGGTCCCTGGCTGATCGGCATAGGGGCGAGCTGTGCTGCGTGAACGTATGGATGAGGCAGGCTGTGAGTAGAACTGCCCATCGCTCGACCGGTAGTCATCCCGCAGGGGACTTGCAGGACGAGCGTTAGAAGAGTGAGAAGCGGTACCATTCTTCTGTGTGGTCATGACAATTACCGGGGGCCGGCTGGTGGAATCGAGGGTGGAAGACCTCTGGCCACGAGTGACATCTCGGGTTGTTGGCCTATGCGAGCGAGGGTCTTGGGTAACGGCATAGGTGCGGGTGGTGGTACTCGGGGTTGGGGTCGTGGATGTCGTCGTAACATATGGCCGTGGTGTTGTTGAAACAGGCGGCGGCTGACGGGTGGAAGTCGGCATGACGTGCATATCGCCAGCGTATAGAGAAGTATAACCGATGCTCGACGGTAAGGAAGTTCTCGCGTGGTTTGCAAAAGTGGCTGCTCGCCCCGAAGATGGGTAGCTGCGATAACGGTCCGTCATGATGATGATGACGTAGGGCTAGCCAGGATCGAGAAGCTGGAAGGGTGACTCAGTCGTCGAAAGTATGCGTGCTGCTGAGAGCCGACTGCAGGTTAAATTGCAGAGACACAAAATGGGACTTCGAGTCGTGAGGAACGTTGGACAAAGTGTGACCAGGACGCCAGGCGTTGAAGCTGAGGCGTGGTGAGTGGAGGGCAGCCGTGGCGTATTGTAGTGTAAGTACGGATACTCCTTAGGTAAAAGCAAGGGAATGACGGCAATCTACTTTAGCCCAGGCCACGTGAGGAGGGGTCAAACTTGGGACCTTGTCAGCGCCGGCTCAACAGCAGGATTAATTTCTGGTGAAGTGACAAAGCGTCCGGGGTTTGTTTGGTAGTCAAGTAATAGCTCCGGCGTGAATACCCAATACCCAATGTCGATCAATACAGCCCTTAATATTGCTGCTGGTCTCAGTACCTGCGGCGTTGAGATCGGATGACAGTGGTCGGGATGTTGAGATGTTACCAAAGAGCCAGACAAAAGTAACACTGCGTCTTAAATATGGTGATTGTCAAAGGATAGAGAGAGATAATGAGAGACAAGGGCAATCCTGCGGTGTAAGGTGGTGATTGACTCGCTCGCCCTTTGGTTGGTCAAAGGGTTTTGGGTATGTCTAATAAAGAGAACCAGCGGACGTTGATTCTGTCTCGTTGCTTGATAATCTCTTAGTTCGGTCAACCGAATAAGGGCAGAACCCATAATATGCAGGAAATACTCACAAATTCCTGATGCCAACAGAGTTGAAATAAGAAGACGTCCTTGGCATCCGACCTTTCTTCAAGTCTTTCTTTCTTTGTTCCACTCTGTGTGTGTGTGGTCCACCACCTTTTGGTGGGGTGAGGGGTGAGGGGTGATATCAGAGGAGAAGAGGGCAAGTAATTATGGAGAGATTTCGAAGACGTGCAGAAGAAGAGAAGAGAAGAGAGGAGAAGATGGAAGAAGACGAGGCAATTGGGGATATTTTGTCGTCTTCCGAAACAAAGCCCCAGGGCGCCAGGCAGTTTGGAGGGGAGAAAAGGTAAGGTAGGTAGGTTAGTAGCTTGGGTAGCAAAGTACCTTAGCTAACGTACCTTAGTAGTAAGTATCGTGGTGATCCGTTCTGGCAGTTACCTTACTATAACTTTAGTGGTTGATGTGCCCCCCAGTTGTGAACCCAACGTTTGTTCTTTCTTTCTGTACTTCTTTTTCGTGCAGTACTGTAGCAACAGTTTGAGGTAGTGGGAATGCCGATGACGATCGATGCGGTGGCGTGGAGAAACGGAGACTTGCAGATTGGAATCTCGAAGTGCAGGCGCAGGCTAAAAACTGGCGTCAGCCAAAGAAGTCACCATGAAACCGTTTGTTCTTTTTTAAAACAATGACTGATTTGGGAAGAACGTCACCCACCCAAGATATGTAGTGTCAGCGCCAAGCGTGCAACCGAACAGAACAGAACAGACCTCGATTTCTGTCCCTGTCTGCGGGCAAGGCTAGCTGTGAAATGATATATTCGATGCTTGACTGAAGCCCTGTCGGCTATTCGGTTCAGCCTGGTCCTTGCTTTGTCTAATTGCACGTTTGATTACCAAACACTCTTCCGTATCCGCTGTTGTCGTCTCAACTCAGCACACGCCAGATATTGAAATGTGCCCTTGGAGAGTCAAAGAGCCAAGAGCCCAGAGCCAAAAGCCAAGGATATCTCGCCGTGTCTGAGCGGAGTTGAGTGGCTCTGGCTTAGCCTCGCTAGGCTTTCCACCAGGCTCCTTGAACTCAATCAAGTGAGTTTGTATTTTGTATTTTCTGCGAAACGTAACAACGAGGGCGACGGTGGCGGCCGAACGATCGGGATGGGCTTTTCGAGCCCAAAAACCTAGAAACCCAACCTAGACCTAGACCCTGGAGGCAACTCGGGCTCGGACGGCTCCACTGCTGTCAGGCTTTGATGTGAACCCTTGAACTTGAGGTGACGTACTACGTAGTAGCCCAAAAACCCAAAAACGGTCGTTGTCAGACCTGAGCTAGAACAGTCAATCGAGGCTCGAGCTGGTTCCTGAATCATGAGGCTCTGCGACCATGTGCTTCTTGTTATTTTGTCTCAGACAAAACCTGCCAAAGGTTTTGTACTTTTTACTTTTGGCGAGGAAAGTGCGAAAATTTTCATAATAAGGAAATCCACGGGAAAGACAGAGAAGTTCTCACGACAGGGAAATCCACGGGAAAGATAGAGAGAAGACTCTAAAATATATTAAGCAATTAACAATACTATTTCCATTACTGATATGACCCGTTCATATGTGAAGAATTCCCCTACGTAAGAATTACTTGCTCCAGGAACTACCAGACACAATACGTTTAAATGTCAAGCTATTGGATATTATTCTTGGTGGTTGAACTCCAGTAAATGTAGTATCAACTATTGGGATACTAAAATCATGAGAAATAATAGGCTTGCTGTTTCCAGTCCAGTTGTAATAAAGAATTGGTTTGGATAGAAGGGAAGGGCCTTTTGATTGTGTTTGACTTGGTAGAGTAGCTGGGATTGTTTTCCCAACTTGCTCCCATTCGTGGAAGATTTTGCTTGCGACTGGTAGTGCCGACTGCTGAAGGAAGCATTGGGGGGATATGTCTATCGCAGAGAGGTTTGCAAGATGCCGCGTTAGAAAAGCAATTGGCCGCATACTGAAAACAGGCTGAGCGATCCATATTGATATGGTGAGTTTCTGTGCATTGGTGTTCTGGGTTGATGCAACTACGCCAATTGCAGAGGTGAGAGACCTCGTTCGCGGAGGTCACGAGTCCCTGGAACTCTTGTTTAGTATGCTCAACCAGGCTAGAGGGTGAAATAAGAGTTCGGACGTGAGAAATCAGGCAATAGATATAGACTAACATATACTATAATTACTATAATCAGCTTTGAGAAATTAGTAGAGATTATTAAAGATTAGACTAAGACTTAGTAATTATAATATAAAAGTAGAATAATTTTATTTAAATATTCTTTTTCTGGCATAAAGTCGTCTCATTTTTCGTCCCGTGTCTGATGTTTTATTTCACCCCGAGGCCAAGGTATAGAAACCCTTTTTGAAGCGCTTCCAAGTGCGTTGTAACGTTTTGCCGTTGGTGGTTTGACGAGCGATGACGTCGGTCTCGGCTATGGAGCTCTTTCTATTCTTGAGCCTCGTTTATGTTTCTGTGGCAAATGCTAACGAAACTGCCTACTGTGCCTACCTATAAAAGCCGATAACGGCTGACAATGACGAAGCCAACAGGACACTACGTGGGATCTGCGTCCGAACCTCTTGTTCCTGAGGATAAAATCTTGGGTAAATTGTCGATTTTGGGGTTGCAGATTAATCAGGCTGATCTATCTGAAACGTAATTTGGAATATGGATGGAATCAACAACAAATTGGGACGAGAACAAGAACTAGGTAAATGGGCAGTATGTTGCAAAATCAACAGTGTTGATTTTATTGACGGTTTGTCTTCACTTGGTTCATGCTATATCGTTTCTTTCACAGGGTAGTGGATAAACAGTATATATGAAAAACCATGAACGTTTCACCTTTGCTGGTGTTGGGCAGCAAAGGAGACACATCCAGCCAAGTGGACTCGACCGCATTACACGTTGAACAGCCAATTCTATTTCTAGATCGATATTCGTACTCCAACTCAAAATGCTAATATGTATGGCCGGTCTACTTTGTTTGAGGCGCTTGGTTGACACGAAGGATATGAATTGTCGTGATATCTGAAACCATATTCGAACAACACCAACGAATAGACCCTCCACGTTTCGAGATGCTTCTGACACCGATTTTCAAAATTACAATGACAACCGTCGTTACATCACTCCTTTCTTATGCCATGACTGACCGGTATCCTCGTGACTCACCTTGATCCAGCCAATTGCCTATGAACAACTTGCAGCGACCTTGAACAGACCAACCACGAAGAGTGTCACTCTGCCCTGGACCTATCTCACGGACCCCAGGACTCTCTTGTCTGTGTTATCACCTAAGTAACGGGCCGTCCTCAGACAGACAGCTTGATTTTATTTGACAGATGCCCAGGAAAAGTCAGCTTGGGGCGCCTCGAAACTACATGATAGGGCGGTTGTGCTGTGAAGGGGGCGGAAGGCCATACACGGTGACCTTTACACGTACAGACCACCAATCAGACAAACGATTACATCCAAATTCACATGATTCAAGAGCGGCTGTTGTGTTATGCCGTCATTGTAGTTCTGACTTCTCCGTACCCTCTCCCGTGCATGCTGTGTTACCATTATCAGAATTTTCAAGTGCCCGGTTGACGAGTGACAGCAACAGTGACAGTGACAGGTAACAGCATGGATCTAGATAGCCTCATCTTTCAAACATCGACTGACAGTGGCCCCTCTCCTCTCCGCTGCCGGGTTGTTTAGACCATCCGAGGCCATCTCGCTTACAAGCTTTGATCCCATTGCGGGCCTGCCTTGATGAAGATGTCTCGGCCAACTCGAAGCCGAGCATTGACACTTTCTCTCAAATCGATTTGTATCCGTATATCGTACCTATGCTCAGCAATAACCACTCATCGCCGGCCTCATCGGCTGCCTGGAGTTCAACATCCCTTGTCCCTGACAAACGTCTAAACGTGACCTCCACCACCCAGAGATCCGAGCGATTATACCGCTCAGATCCACAAACTCCATCCGGAGAATAGCTTTCGAAAAGAAACTTGATTTCTTCTTTTGCCGGGGGGAGGCCATTATGGGAAAGCTTAGCATGGACAGCTAGCTCGGCGATTAACTAGGGGCTATCCCAGCTCGGGCACGCAAGGTATATCCTCGTAGCTTTGCATCTGACGGAATCACGAAGAGAGCCGTTGAACGTTGAACCGCTGCGGGTATGTAAGATGCTAAGGTTAGCTAACTAGTCAGGCGTGATGAGCTGGCACTTTTGCTCGCGCTCCGAAACCGAGTACGGATAAGCCATGGCCTTCTTCAAGATGCTCATGTGTTGGTTGTCACAGGTGTATGTTTCTTTGCCCTCCTCCGAGTCCCATAAACCAAACATGTCGAATTACAAATAAGCTCGGATGGGTACTCGGTACTTTCTCCGCAATACGACGCCCAAGATCGGTTCCAGAAAATAATTGTGTTTTTCGAACAGGGAGGGCTTGGGCATCGATCTCGCCAAACAGCGCTGATCTTTCTTTACACGTTGTTGATCCGCGAGGGGTGGAAAAGAGCAGCGTGACACCTTAGCCTACAGCAAAGGCTAGACTGGGAATAGTTCGCCATTCCGTCGGTTCGTCCAGAGGCCGTCGGGAAGAGCGGTATACAGATGCTGCGTGGGACGGTATAGGCCTTGCGTGCGGGTTAGAGTGTAAGAGTGTTAGAGCGTTAGATATACGACCAATCTGCGTAAAGCATCAAGAGCTGGGGGTCAAAACAAAATGTTGATTGTTACAAATAAGTCCATAATATTTAGCGGTGAAGTTGGGCCGCTCTTTGCGACGTATGTACTTCCTATGTCATTCTCGTGATCCTCATGTTAGGTCATAAACTGTATCTCATTGCCCAAGCCTCCGACCGCTTGTCCTGTCTTGAATCGAGCCTACAGTTGGTCCGCAGATAGCCCAACTTAACATCATTGCAAGAAGTTGAGGCTCTGGATACGACCACTGAGGGCGTTCGACACATGTAGCTTGGGTTTATCCTCCCGCAGCCGTCAATTCCACATAAACGCTTTAACACGTAATCTCGTTGTAGAATAACCCAGTAGTATGTATATATGCATGGCTGGAACATTTGCTTAGGCCAGCGCGCCCATAGGGTCCCATGGAGGAAGGACAATGGCTTCTTTCTTGAGAACATCCCTTACCTCCTTCGTGCAGAACTGTGGGTTTACGACAGCTTGATAAACAAACTCATCGAGCCAGGCATCGCTCATGACAAACCATCCCTTATCACCAGCAGCAGTTCCCCAGCTGTTCTGTACTCTCCAACGAACGGGTTTCCCTGTCTCCTCATCGAGGTGGACTGCTGTTAGGACCATTGCATGTGTCATCTGACTTTCCTTGGTCGTGAGTCGCTGTGCCTTGCTCATGCCGAGTAAACTTGTGTTGAAGCCTAGCTCGTAGTTGTAGAGATCAAGATCCATGATGCCGGACTTGGAATCGCTGAACTTGCCTACGTCGCTGCCGAAGAACACGGGCAGACCGGCCTTGAGCATCTTGATACAAGCCACCTTGAGGGTGTTGATGTCGACGTTGACGTAGCTCACTCCACGACCACCAACGATGTTACCAAGACGTGAGACTGAGAGGAGAGACATGGGCTTATGGCGAGGGTCGTGCACAAGTGAGATCATGGTCTCTATGGTGCTGGATGTGATGCGGAAATCGGAGCTGTATATGTTCTTTGCGAATTCCTTGGGTGTAGCCTTGAGCTCGTGTGCCTTTCCCTTCTTGTCGTTGTACTGCCAAGTGAAGGCCTCCTCGGGGCTTGGTGGTGGTCCTAGGAGGAGAGTCATGATAAGAGAAATCTCACGCAACATCTTTTCCTTTGCGGATGAAACTGAGGCAGCAGAGACACCTTTCTCGGAGTTGATCATTCCTCGTAGCTTGAGGGCAAATTCTCGGAGCTTGGTCTTGATAACATTGTTGAGAATACCTGAGCTCTGGGCATTCCAAGTATCAGGGTACAACGTCTGAGGCACAAGACCGTACTTCTCAACAAGGTTGTACACCATATCCCACTGGCCACCGTCCGAGACGATATCACCAAGGAGGTTCTGGACAAGACGTCCTTCAAGGTCTTCTCCAGAAGTGTCAATGATCTGTTCCAAGAACCAGTTGGACTTCTCGAGCTTGTCCCAGTAGAAGAGATATTGCTGCGAGAGCTCAAAACTCTCGAGGTTATATCGCTTCATGAGAGCGACTCGGAAGACATTTGTGGACGCAAAGAGCCAGCAGCGGCCGCTTGAGCGTTGGTTTGTGATAGGGTCGCCCTCGAAGGGGATTTTGACATTGTAGATCTGCTGGTCTGCGATTTCGGTCGGCAGTGAAGAGAGAACCTGCCTTGGGTCGGCAGAGCTCAGTGCTGTAAGGGCAAGTCTTTGTCCAGGTTAGCTTTTATGGTGTTGCATAGTAGTAGTAAAATAACGGAAAGTCTCACTTGTTCTTGGGATCTTTGAGGACAGCAGCCTGCCATGACTCAAGCTCATGGACCGAGAGGCCTTGGGCATCGCGAATCAACGGTCCCAAAGGAGCCTTTTCGGCATCGGTACTGATCTCGACATATTCATCATCGTCTTGAACCCTGAGGTTCTGGAGGATCTCAAGGACGGCCTTTTCATGAAGTGTCGGCTTTGACTGTTGAGCACCCATGATGACTTGTCGATATGAGTATTGAACAAGTTACGTATGGATATGTATGTGCAAGTATTTAGATACGAAATGATAAGAATGAGCAAGGGAGAAAGAAAGGAAATAAGATAAGAGGAACATGCTCTCAATAAGGTCTTTCAGGTGACCGACATTCGTCACGCACTCTCTTATCCATCATGAGCTGGCGGTCGGTATCCGCCTTGGGCTAAGTTTAGCTCGCGCGGGGAAAGCCAACACCTTGATGATGAAACGTGTAAGAGCAAGGGTGTGGACGGCAGTTTGGCCGATGAAGAATTAAAAGAATATGGTCAAAAGGTAGTTAGAAAGTGGTTATATACTGCCTAAGAACGAAGGCAAATTTAAAAATTGAACATGTAGAATATTACAATGAAATATCATCTTTTGAACATCATGAACATCAGATCAGTCAGATAGCGCCGAAGCTGCCAACATCTCGGAATGGACATGCCGGTAGGAACCCTGGTAATACTAAGAGGATAATAACAGCGCGTCGCGTGTCGCATGTCGCATCACAAAAAGGCAAAGAGAAATAGACACCATACTTTATGTAGATGCGGAATCAATTGTCAATTACTACTGTCCATGTACAGAACTTCCCCATCTACGAAAAAGACTCCAATGTTTCCAGCTAACCAATATGATTGAACCAATCTCGACAAACAAACTTAACCATCTTGACAAAACAAATCCCCAAAAAAACTTGACATTATACAGGCGAGCTCCGAGGCAGCCCAAGCTCTCTCCTCAAAGCAGAGGTGAGCCTGGTAGCGCAGCCACTTTGCTCAATGGGGTATTGAGAAAGTCACATTACAAACGGCTTCACGTATTCGAAAAACAGTGAAGACGCTTACAGGCGGGAGCCGTGAATGACCTTCATGTCAACGGCGAGCTCACGGCCACCGTCGTTGAGGACGAGGACACGGACGGAGCCACGGCCAGACTCGAAAGCGCTGTGGAGGCGAGAGTAGAGGTTGGACTGGTCAATGACAGGGAGACCCTGCTTGACGTCGCCAGTCTCGGTCATGGCAACGATCTGACCCTCCTGCATGTCGAGGACGCGGTACTGCTTGAAGACAGGACCGAGCATGGACTGGACAACAACGCTGGGGGCAGGGTTGGAGATGAAAGAAGACTCCTCGTGGAGCTGCTTGGTGAAGAGATCGACACCAAGGTAGCGGTACTGACCAGTGGCAGAGGAGGTGGAGATGCGGATAACCTGGCAGGGGCGGCCCTGGAGCATCAGGAAATCACCAAGGCGGATATGGTGGCAGGGGATGCTGACGGTGTTCTGGGAGCAGCCGCCAGCACTAGGGCCATCGTTGATGTTGACCTCAATCTCAGGGCGGCCGGCGCTGCGGTCACCGAGCTTGTGGGCGCCGGAGCGGAAAGAGTTGTAGCGACCTGCTGTGAACGTTAGCCTTGACTGTCTTGTACTGACCAGAAGCGCGGTGGCTCTGTTGAAATGGCGATGCTGTCTTACCGTCGTCGTCGTAGTAACCCATCTTGGACTTTTTGTCGGACTTGGAAGTTTCGACGGTTTCTTCAGTGAATCTCACGTCCTTCTTGTTAGATGGACGAGAAACGGGAGTGTCAACGGTGAACTTGTTGACCTGGGTTGTCTTGGTGTCTCGGTACTGAGGCTGGGAAGAACGGCCGTCAACAGTGAAATTGTTGATTTCAGTCTTCTCAGAGATGTTGTACTGAGGGCGAGAAGAGCGTCCGTCAACGGTGAAGTTGTTGATTTCTGTCTCCTTGGATTGGTACTGAGGTCGGGAAGATTGGCCGTCGACAGTGAAGTCGTTGAACTGAGTCTTCTCGGTGTGGTTGTACTGAGGCTGAGAGGAGCGTCCGTCAACAGTGAAGTTGTTGATTTCTGTCTTCTCCGAATGGAATTGGGGAGCGGGTCGGCCTTCAACGGTGTAGTTGTTGGCTTGGAAGTTGTCTTGAGAGTTGTGGTGGTGGTGGTGAGAGTGAGGGTGAGAGTGGGAAGAAGGGTCTTCGGTGGAAAAGGCTTGGGCAGGGCGGTAACGCTGGCGGTATTCACGTTCAGCGAGGTCGACGGGGGTGGAGTAGTAGGGATGACGGTGGGTATCGATCTCTACGTGTGTGTGGGAAGTTTGGTATTGAGTAGCAGGAGGCTGGTGCTGGTGCTGAGGAGGTTGGTATGGGGAAGGTTTGAACTGAGAGGGTTGGTATTGAGAAGGAGGTTGAGGTCTAGATTTGACTGGGTTAGCTGATGGATGTCTATAGTAATTCGCTTGCGTATCATATGGCAACGGGAGGCGGGCGGCCCCTGAGGTAGCTCCACCGCCTTGCTCAGGCCAGCAGGCTTGAGAGCGCTAGTGGACCGGGGATGTGAACCAAAAGCAAATTGGGTATCCAGCCAAGCTGAGGTGGGTTGGCATGGTAGCGGCCCAGGGGGGGTGGGTGTGTGGAAAGCGGTGCGGTGTGTGAAAAGATGAGATGTGATGGATGAGATGGCTGGGGGACTTTGATGTTCGCTGATGTGCGCGTACCAAGTGGGTAATGGGAAAGGCTGGGCAGCCGTAAAGTGAAAGTGAATAGCCGAGGGCGGGAGAGAAGCTCAGGGGGACGGCAATTGCTTCTGTCGGATCATGAAGGGGACTGTTTTCTTGTGATTATTGTCTGTTGTTCTTGACATAACCCCATGGCTGAGGATCTGCGCCAGCCGAGAGAACAGGCCAGCTTTGAAGAGCAAGCCTTTCTCTCTCGGACGATTGCAATTGTGTCTCGTACAATCGACAAAAATCAAGCGTGAAAACAGGTGATTGGAAATGCGGAAACCAAATTGTAAATTCGAACGTACCGTTGAGCTTCTTCTCGGATGGTGAAGTGCTCTTCTTCGTGCTTGAATTCCTGGACACCGGGACGGTGGTAATGTTCTTCTTCACGCGTGATACGGACCTCTTCTTCGGTCAAGCGTTGCTCGCCGTGAGGAGGGACCTGTTCGGTGGTGACAGAGACAGAAGAGTATTGACCTTCCCGTCCGGCTTCGGGCTGGGGCTTGATCTCAACCTCTTCGTGGGTTTTGGTTTCGGTAACGGTCTGAGTATGGGACTCGGCTTCCCGATATGTCGATGGGAAGATGCTGAAGGGAACGGGGACGCGAGCCTCAAAGTCCAGATTTGCGACTTTTGCTGGCGCGAGAGAAGCTTCTCATTCAACCTTCCGAAATTCGAAGGGTTGACAAGAAGTTCTCTGGCTCTTGTTCCTAAAAAACAAAAGTCGAAGAGAATGGAAAAGAATCGGGAGATGGCGAGCGAGGGCCTTCAGTCGTTCTTTTCTTCTTGTCTGGATGAGGTTGTGTTTTGACGACGTCGATGTGGATGGCGATAATTGGAGGGAGTAGGAGGACAAGAGGGACCGGACAGGACACAGAACGAAACTGGGCTTTTGAAGACGGGGGCAGGATTGGACGACTTGTGCCAAAGTGAGTGGTTGTGTTGTGTTACTCCCTCGGCAGCGCTGTCTACTGTTGATCCGTCCGTTGTGTCCTGGACTGGACTGGACTGGACTGTCCTGCCCAGTTCTCTCCCACGTTGAATTCTGCCCTTGTGGCCTTGCTGCCATATCTCACCCCCTCTGGGCGTGTCGATTGTCTCTGCTTGTTGATGTTGATGGCTTGTTTACCACTCGTCTTGTTTACATAGCAGGGGTCTCACATGTAGCTCTATTTACCTCTTGCCGGAATAAGCATAGATCCACAGCCGAAACCCCGTATGTGACGGCCCCACCACACTCTCCGTTATTATTGCAGCCCCGTTTTCACCTCGGCGGGCTAGACGGGCCACTTTCACCCTTCCTCCTGCGTCTCAATTAGAGACATTCAGCCAGCCAGCAAAAGCTCTCGAAGCTCTTTGCCTGAAATCGACTAGTTTGTGATTTAGCTTTGGGCTTTAGCCAGTCATCAGCCGGGCAGCTACCTAGCTTTCCGCGTCAGCCAGCACCAGGCCAGGCCAGCTATCCGCTCATCCTCCTGTTGTGGTTACGGATGCAGACAGTTCCAGTAGTTCCCGTTCCACGCAATTCCTCTCAGCTCCAGCCTCCAGCCTCCAAGCTGCCCTGAGATGCTCCCTCGTAACATGGCCCATGCCATCGACAAGGCTCCTAAACAGCCATTGAAGGTTAACATGAAGTGGGGACTTAAAAAAGCATTGTTCTGTCACCGCTCAATGCCGAGATTCGCGTCATTTAGGCCTGTTCTGTTGTTCTGTTCGGTACGATAATTTTGGGTGCTAAGATCTCTCCCAGAGCTGAGCATTTGATCTCAAGCTGTCCCCGTATTCTTGGTCCGTTCCTGACTGCCTGGCGCGCCCGCGCCATTGAGCGAACGCACCAAATCTTACCTCGCCCAAGCTCTGTCCAGTGATAACTTCCCTGGCACACCACCATCAGCCCCTGCTAATCAGGGGGTGGGGCCGGGCTGCAGCTAGGTAGGAGCGCTACCCGACCACATCATGTTATCCCCAACCACTTATTTTGTTGTTGTTGTTTCTTCGCCAGATGTTCAGATCCCCAAGATCTCGGTTTCATCCAGCTGATTGATGGAAAGTCGATTGCAATTGTCGACCGTGCTCAACTGTGCTACTCAGCTCAGCCGCGGCAGTCAAAAAATACAGCGAAAACAATGGCTGGGGCCGCTGGGTCAGAGCGGCAACAAGATCGGGTTTTAAGTGATGGCTGGGCCACAGTTTGCTGAGACCACCATAATGGACTCATGCAGGTGGTGCCCTCTCTCCCATTGGCTCTCATGTGAAATCCCCAACCTCTCCAATTTCAATGACTCTCGAATAGTTCCAAGCTCGGCACACCAACAAGCTTCATTCAGCTGCACTGCTGCAGCAAAAGCGGCTGATCAGGCATAAATCAACCTGCAATGAACATGTGCAAGACTGCAAGTGATATCGTGGAGGCCTGCCATTGGATCCTATTGTATCTTTATGCAAGTGCATTATTTAGTGCCAGTAACGTCAGCCATGGCTTGTATCTAAAAAGCGAGCAGTCACTGATCGGATTGCTCAGTCAGTGCGTTGGGTTGCTTCTCCTGGCATTGGCCTTAGATCGGGACGTGTTTAGGTCAGAAAGATCGTATTGGGTGGCCTCGGTACTTCCGCCAGCCAAAAGCCAGACTCTGCTAATATTAGCTATGAATTGCTTTTGACACTGGTTGGATTCGGCGTCGTCATCGTGCCCGTTGGCTGCAGCGAGGCTTTCTCTCGGCTCCTTGTTACTTTTGCTCAACCAATTGATCACATGTTGTGTTTGATAATCGTTTCCATGGCTTCCTATCACATTGTACCATGTTCCGTGTCAGATAATAATCCTCAAATCAATAGTATACCGATAGGCCAGACTACCAGGAGCACTACTCCACCAAGCTCAGATCAATCATCAAGTCTCGGCTCTGTGTCTCTGTGTCTCTGTGTCACTGTGACAACTGGGCAGCATTTGAACCAATTTGCTGACTATGGATCCTCCGAGGTGGTAATTTGCGATTTTATGTCAGACTAGCTTCTGTCATAGATCCATAGTTATGCCACGGTTCGATATTTGTACCGTGCGAAACGCTGGTTGCGATTGTTTATTTCTCGAGTAGCAAATTGACCACGTTGGTCTGACCCTCGGTCCAACGGCATCCGTTGATTTGTTGTCATATGCATCCTCGCGTTAACGTGAGCGGCTGCGGCTGGAAGCTTCGTGTGCCTTCATCGGTATCTGAGACAAATCTGGGGTAATTCCGTGCATGTTAACGTCTGCATACATCATAAAACACATACTCGTAGCTAGCAGCACCACCACGCTGGCATTCCGGCTGGGGAAACCTCTCTTTTGGGCTAATGCAAGTCTGATGCGCATTGGGGTCTGCTTCGTACAGTAGCCGTACTGCTCAAGGGTAGCTAATGGCTTTCAAATGGTGCTACAATGCGGGTCTGAAGTAGATGGCCTAGATTTTGGGGTTCAACGTCTCAAAAACATGCTTATTCGAGAAAACTCTACGTATATGGACACAATAGTCGTTGATTCTTTGAGATGTGTGGTTGCTGAAAAGCCGACCATGAATTAACCATTTAACCAGCATACGAGATAAGGCCGGTGCATTTCATTTTGATGTCCGTCGTCCACCATAGGGTAGGTGTGTTGCAAGTGAAGCTTCGAGTGAAATCTCAAAGTCACGTGCTATATGAGGTGATGTCAGCATCGGTACCCCTCCAACTACCCCACGATGGGATTGTCTTGCCCAGCGATGATGTAGTGTAGAGCTCAGTTTTTTCAAGTTTTGTATCACCAATCTGAGAAGTACACTTCAATATGAAGCAAAGATTCTCGTCTTTGGATGTCAAGGTGGGTATTGCGTCAAAGTCCTTCCTTACAATATTGTCCTAACCGTCGAACAAAGATAATTGCACATGAGCTCCAGGAACGCCTGGTGTCTCTTCGACTCTCCAATGTGTACGACCTGTCGTCCAAGATTCTCCTCCTCAAGTTCGCCAAACCAGACAACAAAAAGCAGCTTGTAATCGATACTGGATTTCGTTGCCACCTGACAAAGTTCGCCCGTACAACCGCCGCAGCCCCATCCGTTTTTGTTGCGCGCCTTCGAAAGTTTCTCAAGACCAGACGGTTGACGTCAGTTAGACAAGTGGGCACCGACCGAGTCCTCGAGTTTGAGTTCAGCGATGGCCAATACCGACTATTCCTGGAGTTCTTTGCCGTGCGTGATTACTTATTTGTCGAGGAAAGACCTTGTTACTGATGCCTATTTCATAGAGTGGTAACATCATCCTTACGGATGCCGATTTGAACATCCTTGCCCTTGCGCGAACCGTTTCGGAAGGTGAGGGACAGGAACCTCAGCGAGTTGGGTTGCAATACTCCCTAGAGAACCGACAGAACTATGGCGGAATACCTCCGTTGACGAAAGAAAGAGTGCAAAATGCTCTCAAGACTGCCGTGGAAAAGGCAGCCGCCGCTATACCGTCATCGAAGAAGCATAAGGTCAAGCCTGGTGGTGATTTGAGGAAGAGCCTGGCCGTGTCAATCACAGAGTTACCTCCAGTACTCGTGGATCATTGGTTGCACTCAAACAACTTCGACACCACGGTCAAGCCAGACGAGATCCTGACAAACGAAGCTCTGTTAGACGACCTTGTTACGTATCTTCAGGAAGCCCGACAAATAGTTCAAGACCTTACCAGCTCGGAAATCTGCACGGGCTACATATTTGCGAAGCGAAAGGAAAAACACGAGAGTACCGAAGCCAACGAGGACGAAACAAAGACTAAGCGCGACCTCCTTCTATATGAAGACTTCCATCCTTTTGTCCCATATAAGCTCAAAAATGACCCCACAGTCGAGGTTCTTGAGTTCAAGGGCTACAATGAGACAGTCGACGAGTTCTTTTCGTCCCTGGAAGGCCAAAGGCTGGAGTCTCGCCTCAGCGAACGAGAAGCAGTGGCAAAACGTAAACTGGAGGCTGCGAAAAACGAACAGAATAGGCGAATCGAAGGGCTTCAAGAAGCCCAAACACTCAACTTCCGCAAAGCTGCCGCCATTGAAGCCAACGCCGAACGAGTCCAGGAAGCCATGGATGCTGTCAACGGACTACTGAACCAGGGAATGGATTGGGTAGATATTGGGAAACTGGTCGAACGTGAAAAGAAACGACACAACCCTGTTGCTGAAATTATCAAGCTGCCTTTGAATCTTGCCGAGAACCTCATCACACTTGAGCTGGCCGAGGAAGAGTTTGAGCCGGAGGAAGACGACCCATACGAGACCGACGATGACGATAGCGCAATTGGTGACGATGAAGGTTCATCCGTGGCAAAGGGAAAACAGATTAGCAAGGCGTTAAATGTGGAAATCAACCTTGGCCTCAGCCCCTGGAGCAATGCTCGAGAGTATTTCGACCAGCGAAAGTCGGCAGCTTCGAAGGAGGAGAAGACCCAGCAACAAGCCTCGAGAGCATTGAAGAATGCAGAGCAAAAGATTAACGAGGATCTCAAGAAGGGACTGAAACAAGAGAAGGCTCTGCTTCAACCTATCCGCAAGCAGATGTGGTTTGAGAAGTTCATTTGGTTCATCTCATCTGACGGTTATCTTGTTATCGGAGGTAAAGATGCCCAGCAGAATGAGATTGTCTACAAGAAATATCTCCGGAAAGGTGATATTTACTGCCATGCCGACCTGCATGGAGCATCCAGCGTCATCATCAAGAACAATCCTCAAACTCCAGATGCACCTATTCCCCCAGCGACATTGTCCCAGGCAGGGTCGCTCGCTGTGTGCTCCTCCAGTGCCTGGGATTCAAAAGCTGGCATGTCTGCATGGTGGGTTAGCGCTGATCAAGTTTCCAAATCTGCACCTACTGGAGAGTTTCTGCCAGCAGGAAGTTTCATGATCCGAGGAAAGAAGAATTTCTTGCCTCCAGCTCAACTTCTTCTGGGACTGGGTATCGCTTTTAAAATCAGCGAAGAGAGCAAAGCCAGGCATGTCAAGCATCGTCTGCATGGCGTTGACTCTGCCATTGGCGACGAAGCTTCTGGAACAGCCACACCCCAGTCAACTGAAAAGACAGGCGATGGTGGTGAGGTTGAAGCAGATGAGTCCGATGTTCCCTCCGAGACCGACTCTGAGGATGAACAGCCGGACGAGGAATCTCGCGACAACCCCCTCCAGGCGTTTGGCCGTGAATCCCATAACAATGAGGTCGAAGAGGCTGAAGAAGGGGTTTCTGAGCTCAAGATCTCAGATGATACCGCCGATGAGACTCATGGCCAAGACGAAGGTGAAGCTGATGAAAAGGAAGTTGACGAGGACGAAGAGGATGAATCTGCCGAGTCACACAATGATACCTCTAGTAAGCCCGTGGAAGCAAAGCCGAAAAACGACACCCCGAACTCGAAGAAGAAAGCACCACCCAAGCGAGGTCAGAAGGGCAAAGCAAAGAAGATTGCTGCCAAGTACAAGCATCAAGACGAAGATGACCGAGCTGCGGCCGAAGCCTTGATTGGAGCAACAATCGGACAAAAGAAAGCCGAAGCTGAGGTGAAGGCCAAAGAAGATCGTCAAGCCGAACTTGCTGCAGCTAAAGAGCGTCGTCGCGCACAGCACCAGCGACAGCAAAAGGAGACGGCCGAACATGAGGAGATTCGGCGTGTCATGATGGAGGAAGGTGTCGAAATGCTCGATGAGGATGAGGCCAGTCAGATGACAGTACTCGATGCCCTTGTTGGCATGCCTCTTCCCGGCGATGAGATCCTTGAGATCGTGCCCGTTTGTGCCCCTTGGAATGCACTTGGGCGCTACAAATACAAGGCTAAGCTGCAGCCCGGTGCAACAAAGAAGGGCAAGGCCGTCAAAGAGGTTCTTGATCGCTGGAAGGCAGCTCCTAATAAGAAGGGTGTTGTGGACGAGAGCGCTCGTGACTCGGAACGGATGTGGCCGCGTGAAGTTGAGCTGATCAAGGCACTCAAGCCTGAGGAGACTTTCAACGTTGTGCCAGTGAGCAAGGTGAGGGTTCTAATGGCGGGTGGAAATAGTGGCGGCGGCGGAGGCGGAGGCGGCGGCAAGAAGGGTGCAAAGGGGAAGGGCGGGAGAGGCAGAGGGTCAAAGAAATAATGATATCTTGATATATATTTAAGACAATGATACAAGAGAAATGCAAGTTGAATTATGTACCAAGTGCTATACTATGACTATATGAACACTAGATGATGCATCGCCATTGTCCAAATTGCATTCCATACATGGTCGATTTCAAGTACCAGTTAATCCTACATGTTGTCCATCCATTCATAAATCATAAATCCGCTCACCGCACACTGTAGCTGACTTTGTCAAACTTCCTCACATCATCAGGCATACGCGCAATGCACAATTCACCACAAAACTGTCCCCATTCACCGGATGTAGCGTCGCGAACGGCATCTCTCATGCCTCTGTTGTAGCGCTCACGGTAAGCTTGCTTGACGGCGCGCATGTGGTGGGGATCCCAATGGTATCGAACAAGACGCGAGATAAGCAGCTCACGACGGAGTCCGTCCTTACGAGATGCCGAGGTGGCGTGATGAATGAGAAGAGCATCGCGAACAGGGCGGTTGATAACGCCGTTGAGGATATGGGCCAATAGTTCACCCTGGGTCAAGGTTAGCGACGGGATAAGTTGTTGTAGAGCGGGTGATGTATGAAGACTTACCACAAGGTTGCCACTCTTCTTGAGAGCGTCTCGTGCAAAGTTAGCACGGTACTGACGCTCATACTCCTGAAGGATTGCGCGGAGATGAGAGTCACTGCGCTGTACAATGATGTTGATCATAGCTGTCTCGCCACCCTTTTCAGATTTAACAGATCGACGCAGTTCGGCGGCATCTTGGTCAACCAAAGCGTAGTCAATCGGCAACAAACGGCCATAATGATCATACTCCTCCATGCGTCGTTCTTCAAGTACCATGAGGACAGCTTTCTTGAACTTGTCCTCCTTGAGCTCCTCTTTCATACACTTGATAAGGCTGTTGTCATACTTTTTGTCCGTGAAAGAATCCTTAATGTAACGTATTTCGCTGTTGGTGCGGCCCATGAGAGACTCAATGAGAAGTTCTCGGCGAGTCTTGTCTCCCTGGTACCAGAAGTTGGCCCAGTATGCTTCGCTCTCCCACATGCCTAGAGCGACGGAGTAGCAAGCCTTCATCAGAAGCGGATCCTCATCTTTGAGACGAGCGCGGATATGCTTGGCGATGTTGACACCCTTGCGTTCAGAGCCCGTCTTGACGAGCGCCTTGTAATCGGCGCGCAGTTTCATCACTTGATCATGAGTCAAGCTTGGTAGGATCTCAATAAGTGGCTCGGTTTCAGGTCGGTGACTTCCCTTGAGGGCCTGGGCAAGCTGAGTTGTGATGTCTTCAGAGTCGTGGAAGCGGGCCCGTCGGCTCTTGCGCCTGCTATCTCCCTCATTGTCGGAACCTAATGGGGAGAGCGCTTCCATAGCCCTGTTGTCATCACCTGGGAACTTGGAGGCAAGCAGCAGAGGCGAGGGCATAGGAGACATATCCTGGTAAGTACCGTAATAGGACTCGAGCATGGGCGAAGGGGGAGCATTTGCCAGGGACGCGCCAGCAAGACCACCAGCAGCCAAGCCGCCGACTGTCAGTCCAGTGTTGATACTGAGGCCTGACATCCTCTCTGTCGGAGGGTGAGGGGATTTGTCCTTTCGGCTACGATGTCCATCCCTGGATCGTGATCTATGTCGGTGCTTTTCCACGCCTAGAGAATCTCGCGAGGGTGACTTGTCCCTCCGATGTGAGCGAGACCTATCTCGCGACTTTTCACGTTTTCGGCCGCTTGAGTCAACCGTGAGGCGGTCTGAGCTACCCCGAGGGCCAGATGACCTGTCTCTACGACGCTCGCGGTGTTTGTCATCATCACGACTCTTATGCTCATCGCGGCTTCTGGGCTCAACGGTCATAACATTGGGGCCTGAGCCATAAGTATCAGCGTAGCGCGAGTCGTCCTTTGTCTTGCTCGACCCGTAAGTGTCACTATAGCGCGGATCTTCTTTTGTCTTGCTTGAGCCATAAGTATCGGCATAGCGCGATTCGTCCTTGGTCTTGCGTGACCCATACTGATCAACAGAAGGGCTGGCAGGGTCGCGATGAGGATATCCGTAAGCAGGCGCTTGCTGAGCATAATACTGGTCGTCGGAGGCTGGGGTGGGGTTGTACGTTGTCATGACCTGGCTGGCCGTTGAAGGAACTCCCGCCGCCTTACCATAGGCTAAGTCATCTGCCGGACCCTTGGGTCGCAGAGGAATAGGTGGCTTTCCATAGGCTAGATCGTCGTCATGTTTGTCCTTGCGATTCCGGCTGTCCTTCTCCTTGTCGTCGCTTGGAGATCCAGTGAGCTTGCGCATGTACTTCTGGGGCAGAAAGCTGAATTTTTCCTTGTCCGGCTCCTCTTTGGCCTGTGGCGCTATAGTGTAGCCGTATGGGTTGCTGTTCTTCTCACGGCGGTTGTCGTCTGGGAACGCGCCTGGTAGGTTGCTATCAAACCTGTCATGTGAGGAACGGTATGGTGAATCAGCAGGCGGAGAGGCGGTTCGATAGGTGGGCGGTTGGGAGTCGTAGCTATAATGAGCTTGGTTTCCTGGAATCGAGGGATAGATGCCGGCTTCTTCGGGGTATGGAAGAGCGCCGCTTGCTTGAGGTGCACCTGGACGACTGGCATAGCGATCATTAAAGTCGTCCTCTGGGTAGATGTAGCTCGGTTCCCGGGTATCGCTGTAAGAGGGGCGCTCAGATGCGTCGCTCTTTGAACGGCGGTCGCGAGAGCGCGACCTAGAGCGATCCTTTCGGGACCGGTCGTCAGGCTTGAGAGACATAGTCCCTGGTTCGATTTAATTTGCTCTGTTTTTTGTTTGTTGGATGAAGCTAAGAGCTCAGCAGCTGGAATGAAGGCGAGGGGTAAGATATTTTTGTGTGGAGACGAGCTTGCAGGGTCGTCCCGTGTTGTAAAAGGTCGATGCTTCTTCAACTATCACTAGGAAGAAACAGAAATAGAAGGAGGAGGAATGTGAAGCTGGGAGAGAGTCGTGACTGTGAAGAGGTGGAAGAGGAGAAGGTTGAAAAATGATGCCTAATTGAGGTACAAAACTAGAGACTATCCGTACATTTAATGGTCACAAGCCGCGCAAGGCGTCGCGGGCGTACCGAGGGGCATTGTTGGGTTAGGTGCCTTCATCAAGGGGAGAGTGGACTCAGCAGAAGACACGAGAGGGGCTGAATCAATTGAAACCTGACCTGCATCGACCTAAAGCTCTTGGAATCATTCCTGAATGGTCTTTGTTGGGTCGTCATCGGACCTGGAGGACATGGGTTTACAGGGAACTGCAAGAAATGTCCGCAGGGCAGACCAGTTAAACAGGTTACAGCAGCTCTTGAGGGGCCTTGAGCCCTTGACAGACCGAAAATCGGGAAACCCCGAGCGCTAATAGTGTTCACCGGGCCGCTTGCTAGGGTGTAAATGGTGGGTGTTAGGTCGTTTAGAGGGGAACGGCAGAGGCTGAGAACAAGGTATAATGTATGTAAGTATGGACTGTTATTTGCGGGGCAGGACCGTGTATGATATGCGGGTGAGATTGAGGTCGAATCATGATATGACTGGACCAACGCCTGTTGACGAGAGAATCTGGAGGTATTAATAATTTTGATAATAAGTTTCAGGAGAACGATGCTGTAGCAAATTGTTCGTTTTCAACGTGGGTGTTGTTTTAATATCTAACATGGACCAGTAGGTAGACGATCATCCATTGTTTGCGTTGGGCCCATTTGCTGTTAGGCCTGGCTATCCCAAGTCGTTGGGCAACCACATTTCGCAGCTTGAAGAAGAAATACTTTAGCAAGTATCTTCGCAGACACCCAAATCAAACATTCTACGTTCTACTCTATCGATGACTTGTGTTTTTGTGTTCTATTGTTGCGGTACTCTTTCGCCGCGTTGAAAGACATACAACGCCTCATCCTTTCCAGGAAAAGAGGGCAATCCAATCTTGGCTATCAACGTCCAGTCTTGATGTTCCCGTTCCATAAACTCATCCATAGTCACGCCCTTGAAACCGGTATAGCCGTTTCGATTTTGCGTGCCCACAACCGCGATAGTGTCGCCTTCGAACGCAGCTACCAGGTTCCGAGTAAAACCTCCCTCAGTGCCACCGCCCACGCCCCCGCCAACCACGGGATACACGAGCAACAGAACCATATCCTTTCCACTGGCATTCTTGTGTAACCACTTGACGCCATCTGCTATGACGGTGTCATTGACCCAGTTGACTCGCCATTCACTCTGCATGTTATCCACCGCGTGTACCGTCAGGCCGTAACGGCGGAGCATGAATGCCCAGTACCCATTTCCCGACCCTATGTCCGCGATCGCGCGTCCATCGGCAAGGATTTTCAGCATGGCCAGACTTTCGTGAGTTGGGTTCGCGCAGCCAAAGTGGTGCATGAAAATGGGAAGCACATGGTGAGAAGCAATACGTTCCGACGCCGGGCATGGGCCGCACCACTCGAGGGAGTGACATGCCCACATCCAGAAATCGAGATAGGGATTTGTACTAGGCGGTTTCTTGCTTTTGGGTATGGTGAGTGTTGCTGCAAGCCCCGGGTGCAGATATCGCTTTCTCTCCAGGTTGGCTGCCACTTCACTCCTTATCGAGCCCTTTTTCGCGTTTGTTCCCAAGTTCTTGAGAAAAGCAGCAGTAGCGGTTGATGGCCTGTAGATGGAGACATATGCTTCAATGTCAGCCTGACTAGGTTGATCTCTCTATATCGAGGTCAGTCTCTCTTATTCTCGCTCTTCACGTGTCATCGATGAGAGAGCTCTCACAGGTGAGCCATCTTCGTTTCGGTACCAGGCATGTAGGCCATTGACGCCGCCGAGGTTGACAACATGCTGCACTTGGGCAAGTTTTACACTTGTCATAGCATGGTAAGTGTAAGTATCCGGATCAGGAAGTTGAAACAGTACTCGGCTGGCGTTGTAGAGGTCATTCTTCAGCAGAAAGTCCAAGGCTTGCTTCTGGCGATCGATATCTTCAATGAGTTCATTTGGCTGAAAAGCTGGGCTCCCAATGCAATGAACGAACTTTGAAGATGGAGGCATGTTGAGTGGTGGGCGGATGGTAACCCAGGTGGTGAATAATTGGCACAGATGGAAGCCTCGGCTGAGGTGAATTTGAATGACGTTATTCTTGAAGACCCTTTTCCAAAAGTGTGTTAAAAAGTGGATACATGGTTTTTTTGAAGTTTATACGGAGCATCTCCTCAACTACCTCCTATTGCTTGACCCTACCCTGTTGGTCGCGATCATAGAACTACCGCTCTTGGCCAAGCACCAGTGAGCCAAACAATACCTACTTGGGTAAGTTAAGTTTTTGGGTCCGTGGTTAGACTGGTGATAGTTCCTCAAGTAGGGCAGATATCTCAGGTCTCATGTAGTTATAGTGCGACTTGTGAATACGCCATGGAAAGATAAGCACAACAGCTCCACCACCAGAGATGCCCAGACACTGCAAAAAGAAAAGAAAGGCACCTGCGGCCCTTACTCCGTAGATGGTTGGAGTCTGCGCTTTCATATATCATTTATGAGTGGTCCACTCACGTTGTCACAATGCAATGTCTCAGAACGGGTTGGCTCGTATAGTCCACCAACAGTAGACTGGATGCTTGCTTTTAGTAAGGAATGGTTCACTTCAACGTGGTCAGGTCATGTAGGCTAAATCGAAAAAAATCGGAAATTCCAAGCCATGTCCTTTGTTTGTGAGGAATCAGAATACACCCATGTCTCCTGCAGTGTCAGAGTATCCAATACTTGGGCAGAGATGGCCAGGACTGATTGTTGTGCTACACTCAGGAGCCAAATGATAGGCGGAGTTACGTGCGGAATAGGCCCGGCTGGAGTAGTTTCTTTGCTTTGTAATACCTCCTGCACAAGTTTAAACCATTTGATTGACGCGGATTTAACCTGCCACTTCCTGGCACGATCTATCCGCACCTTCCTCGAGGCTTAAAGTACGGCCCTGTGCGGGTACGGAGCATACCACGGAAGCGAGTAACCGGGAAGGAACCAACACTCGCCCCACCTGCCACCAACCACTAACTTGCAGTTGTCAATTGTAAGTCTAGGTCCTTCCTTCTGTAGACTGTGCCTATCTCAGGCGCCTCTTCCATCTCAGGACATGAACTCTTTCTTTCTACATCCTGCAGTGGCTGTTGCATTTTGTCATCACCTCGAATTATCCACGCGCATCTTCTTGATGTGGCCTTGATGTCGACGAAACTTGAAGCAATTGTCTTATTCAACCCTAGACGACTGACGCCCCCTTGCATCAGATCAGCCTGCCTGCACGATCTTAACCGTTCCTGAATCATCCTTGCATCGTCATCAAGTCACGCCAACGATTTGACTTCAATACACGTTCCCAATTGCTACCCGCTTGGCAAGGTCTGAAGAAAAAGTCGTACGAGACTCTTATTCAAGTACATCCTCGCGCGCATCTCACTTTCATATCTACCTTGGAGGTTGTGCGTTTCGACATCGCGCCAACTTTGCAAATCTGTTATATCCGTCTTCCATCCGGCACTTACTTTCTTAAGTGCGATGGACAGGCATGACGAAACATCCGCCAGCGGCCAGTTCAGCTATGGTGCCGCCAGAATGAAACCCCAAGAACAGGCAATCGTGAAAGAAAACACGCCAATTTCATCGAAAACTGGTGCACCTGGGCAAAATCTTCACGACAACAACATTGACCCACCTGCACAAACAAGTAAACCTTTTGATGTGTTTAAGGATATCTACGGGGTAGATCGTGCGGCACGTTCCTCAACCTCAGATTCTCCCGGCCAGCATCGACGCAATGATTCCATCATCACTTCGCCTCTTACCCACCCGAATGGTATCTCTATGTTCCCGGGCCTGTCAGTCACGGAGCAAGAAGCCATGTCTCGACAAGCGGTTGCTCAAGCTGAAGAGAACATTGTTGCCGACAGCGACGAGTATAGCTCCATAGGCGATGCTGGGTCCGATGCTGGATACGGAAGCGACGGCATGAGCTCTGCAAGTACTTCCATTGGATCATCTGTCCGGGACTACATGTTCGAGAATGGCCGTCGTTACCATAGCTTCCGGGCCGGAGCCTACAACTTCCCCAACGACGACGTTGAACAGGAAAGAGAAGACATGAAGCATGCCATGGTGAGATTACTATCTGGCCAGAAGCTTCATTTTGCGCCCTTGGGCGACAGTACACAGACTGTGCTTGATATTGGGACCGGAACAGGAATATGGGCTATTGAGAGTAGGACCTCTTCTCACTTACAATCCTTTTCAGCAGCTAACAGCGCAACAGTGGGCGAGCAATTTCCGAGCGCCAACGTTCTCGGTATCGATCTTTCACCTATCCAACCCACCTGGCTACCACCTAATGTGCACTTCATGGTCGACGATGTAGAATCTACGTGGCTTTACCCCCAAGATCATTTTGACTATATCCACTCTCGCCATACAGTACAGGCGATCAGAGACTGGCCTCAGCTCTTTGGTAATGCGCTGCAGTGAGTATCAGCTCCCTTAACCTTATACCTAATCCATGCTCACGCAATACAAGGCATATAAAACCTGGAGGTTGGATGGAGCTCCAGGAAATCCATCACTACCCGCACAATGCAAGAACAGGCGTGGCTGTCCCACCGAGCGAGCATCCAGTCGCACAATACTGGGCATACATTGAAGAAGGACTCGCCGCACTCGGTGTTGACTTTCCTGCCGCAGCGGGAGGCAAATTGGCTGCCAAGATGCAAGCAGCTGGCTTCATCAATGTCACAGAGCGGATATTTCACGTCCCCCTTGGCACCTGGCCTAAAAACCAAGTTCTCAAGACGGTTGGGCTCTACTGGCGGACCATATTGACGGACGGATTGCAGGCAATTGCCTTGGGTCCCATGACAAGAGGCATGGGATGGAGCCGTGAGCAAATTGAGGTGTTCCTTATCAGTGTGCGAAGGGCGTACGCGGACAACAGAGCGCTTCTGTATATGCCTATGCACATTGTGTATGGGCAAAAGCCATACTAATATGCAAGAAGGGATAAGGAAACAAACAATACCGCAAGTCTATTGATGGCTTCAAACTGTTCCACAGCTAAGGACGTGCCGACCCGACCGGGGGGATCAGTCTAGGCTCCAGCCATCGTAATGTGGGGCCAGTGGAGGGGCGAAATGAAATGGAGGTGGACGCTATTATGTTATTTGCCCGATGCGAACCATTTACTATTACTTCGAACACATGTGGACAAGCACGCCCAGGAAATCCAAAGCGTCTGTCTGATCTGGTCGATGGCCTTGTGCCCCTCACACGCACACCATCACCCTGTACAACAACCCAGGGGCTGAAGTTAAACAGCCACACCAATTGCAGCTCGCTCAAATATACAAAAGTCTGATGAATAGTACAATGAAATACGTGTGGGCTGTCCTTGCCGTCAGGGTTTATGCTGAACCCTGTCCGCCCAGCCCATCGGAATTTCTCAGCTGACGACAGTAGTTTTTGCGTACGGGGTACCTAATATGGCATAAGACAGATGTCGCACTCTGTGAATATTGACTGATCAGGCGGTCTATTATGCACAAAGCGAGCATGGCTCAACAGCCGCCGAATGATATTCTGTTCTTTTGCGTACCAAAATTTTACTAATGCAGCCAAGTTTTGTAGAGCTTGTCGCTCTGTATCACCAGCGCCATTACCTACTAGCTCCCGGGCTAGTCTGCGGAGAGCTTGGAACAGAAAAACGCCTGTCTTCAGACTTTACCGAACCCGTCTTATCGTGACTGTGCCGTACTCCATACAGTTCCCAGTCATGCCACGCCTAGCTTTCAAGGATTAACGTTGCGAACTACGGGATACTTACGCCAATCATGGTGACTCTGAGACCAATGTGGGATTTGAGCTTTAACACACCCTTGCCACCTGTTCCACTGACGCTATCAAACATGAGGGTGGTGCGGCTGTGTGGATTTGTTTATGCCGTCCATGTCCTGAGCAGCTTGCGCATCCCTGTGTCCGCATTGGGGTTGATGGCAGTCTGAGATTTAGAGTTGATTTGGGGACATGATGGACATGAAATATCTATAAAATGACGCAGCCCAGGTCGCATCGCAACGCTCGCAGGGAACCGTGACTACACGCACTTGGCCAACATGACCGAACTACTCACCCCACCGGGTCCGCAAAGCCCACGAAGCCTGAATACAACTCTGATGATACAATTGGCGAGGAAGATCACTGAAGAGACGGAGAAGCTTGACCAATATTTCAGAAGTAGTGGCCTTCCCGACCTGGGGTTTGGTGTTGACAGCCCTGGAGATCTCCCCAAGTTGCCAGATGATATACAGAAAAGCCGCCTGGAGATCTCGTCCGCAACCAAAGAGTTGGAGCTTCTTGTCAGAGGGCCCAGAGAAACTGTTAGATGGAGTATCTGGAATGTACGTCTACTGACCCAGATCATGTTTCAACACTGACACATAAAAGTACTTGGATACTGTGAGCCTTCAAATCCTCAACAGCTATGGAATTCGTATGCCAATCTTTCTCAACTACATATGGACATCTAACGCCCTCTAGCTAATCTCGTGCCTTTGGACAAACCTATTGCCCTGACCGAGCTTCAAGCCAAAACTACGGCCCCCATCAGTCTTGTAAACCTCGCCCGCATTCTTCGCCATGCTATTACAAACAAGATCTTCCAAGAACCAATGCCAGGTTTTATAGCACACACTGCTGCCTCAAAAGTACTTGCTCAAGACTCCAACCTTCAAGCTTGGGTTGGCTTGAACGGAGAGGATTTCTTGCCTGCCGGAGCCCATACTCTGGAAGCTATCCGCGCCGACCCAGAGGCAACATCGCTCACCAGAACTGGCTTCAACCATGCTTGGGGGACAGTGGATAAAGAGCCCATGTTTGCAACATTTGGCAAGGATCCCTCCCGAGGAGAGAGATTTGCGGTGGCCATGGCGAGCTTGACTGGTGGCGAGGGTTACGAAGTTAGTTACCTGGTTGACAACTACGATTTTTCAGAGGTGAACGACAGACAAGGTACATTGGTGGATATCGGCGGTAGCCATGGGTTTGTGTGCGTCGATCTGGCCAGGAAATGGAGAAAAATGAAGTTTGTTGTACAAGATTTGCCCAAGACTATCAGCAGCGTGCCGGAACCAATATGCGCGGACGAGGCAGTAGCTCAGCGTATATCGCTCCAAGCCCATGATTTCTTCACTGAACAGCCTGTTAAGGATGCTGACGGTGAGCTACAACTGAGAATTTCGGTGAAGGACGCATACTGACAAGCGAGCAGTCTATTACTTCCGTTGGATCCTGCATAACCTCTCTAGTCCTTATGCCGTTAAGATTCTCAAGAATCTAGTACCAGCTCTCAAACCTGGTGCGAGAGTCATTATTAATGACCATTGTCTCCGTGAACCCGGCATCGAGAACCACTGGGATGAAAAGATCATGCGAAGCATGGATCTGCTCATGCTGACCTTATTAAATGCCCAGGAGCGGACAGAGAAGGAATTTGAACAGCTGTTCATGGCGGCTGATGAGCGTTTCATCTTCAAGGTAAGTCCAACATTTGAGCCCGTCATTTTTCATTGTCGGTGCTAATTAGTGTTTTTAAAGGGTGTGACAAGACCCGAGGGGTGCAGGATGAGTATTGTTGAGGCAGTCTGGCAGCCTTGATTGAGAAGAGAGCAAAGTGAAGGAACAGGCTGATTTGTGAGTATGGTAACTTGGTAAATATACGAGAAAATGTCAATAGGGAAGACGATTCTGTCTGAGAGATCAAATCTTTTCCTCATTTTCCCACTAAGTGAAGTCACGTTTAATAAGGTTGTTGAAATATAATCAATATATTGGCATACTTCGGAGCAGGTTGATCAAAACTGTCGTATCGTCAGGAGCGCATGATAGACTCTTCAACCCGGCTAGAAGCATCACCAGTGTCTTCTAATCGATGCTGTTACGCTACCTACCGCACCCTTCCTTGCTTCGAACTCACCCTTGGCCACAGGTGGTTAGTTGTCTAGGTGCTATCCTTGATTAAGATCATGATAATTAGAAAACTCAACAGCACCTTGTGATGTTCTGTGGATATAGGTAGGTTTGAGCAAGTGGTGTTGAGTATCTAGGTTAAGCTACAGCCCCAGAACCGATCGTTAAAACGAAGAAGGCAAGGAGTCGATTAATGTTCTTTTACACACAATTTATTATGATCTTTAAGATCGAAGCTAGGCTCCATTGAATATTTAACTCTTCACAGTAGGAATATCACAAAGTTTAAGAGAGAGGTACTTCCATTTAACCAAGGCGAGGCTCTAGTCTATCGCTAAAAACAACCAATGATTGCTTCAGGTTCTTTTCTGAGGTACCAAAACCTGTTTGTTTGTCTCGTTCCCAATCTCAAATCGCACACATTCTAGAACTTCCTGATTCATCATATACAGACTCATCTGTCCTATACTCAGCGTGCCACACTGTTCCCGCCCAGTGTACACTGTTGTTCAGTCATCGTGCGCTCCAAACCCGCCCTTCGTAGCAATGTCCATAGCAAGTTCAGCGACCGTCTTGTCACTCAAGACCTCGAAGACAGAGACCTCGACACCACAGTTGGTGACAACCCAGTTTCTGACTCCAACAGCTACCAGAGAGTCAACACCATAGACGTTGGGAGGCTTGCCGGTGTCAATTTCCTCCGGGAGCATGTTCATTGCTTTTGCAAGCATATGCGAGAGACCGGTGGTTATAATCTCGGCGGCTGCAGCTGTGTCAGAGCAGCATGAAAGAAGAGACTTCAAGTCAAAGTTGGTTGAGCCATCAACAACAGCCAAGTCAGGGAATGGCATGTCCACCAGGTTCAGGTAGCCATAGAGAGCAGTTCGAGACCAGTACGGATCGGCCGGTTGGTTCTGTCGAATGAGACCACCAGAGCCAATGCCCATGATGACGCGGCTGGGCATGGGAGCTTTGGGTGCAACCTCGGTAGTGATGGCGTGTGTGATCATGGTAAGAAAGTCTTGGTGACGGATACCATAGAATCCACTTGCTCTCAGGATGTCAAGAATCTCATCGCCCTCCGCGAGCATGCCCGCACTAAGGACAGGCCCGAGATCGATAGAAACAGCATGCTTGCCTTCAAGATGACGGCTCATGGCGAGGGCATCTTCGAAACAGTTGCCAGCGGCGTAGTTTGCCTGACCACGGTTACCAATGACTCCAGCAGAACTGGCAAGGAAAATGAAGAATGGATCCTCCGAGTTGGCCGAGACTACTTGCACAAGGTTTTCCGAACCAATGGTTTTTGGTCGGACTGCCTCTACCCAGTCCGAGTATGACATGTTCGCAAAGATGGAATCCTTGATGACTGCAGCGCATTGGAAAACACCCTTGATGGGTGGCATTTCTTTGCGGACCTGTCTCTTAACCACCTCAGTAAGAGCCTTTGCGTCGCAAATATCAGCCTTGTAGACTCGTGCATTGACTCCCTGCTTCTTGAGGCTGTCGACAAAGCGACGGGTAACATCAGATGAAGCGCCGGATCGTGATAGGAACGCAACATGCTTAGCACCGTTTTTGACCAGCAGTTCACATATGCTACGACCGAGACCACCTAGTCCACCGGCAAGAAGGTAGGTACCAGTCTTGGATATAGCTTGGTGTAGCGATTTGGTTCGCTTCATCGTTGCAATCTCGACTTGAGGTTTCTCACTAGGAGCACCAGTGATGGAAACCAACCCAAGGAAAGGGCTCTTTTCGATGGCGGCGAATGCCTTTTTGGTATCGGTAAGCTCGACAGACTTGGTCACGGATTCCAAAACAGAAAACCTGTCCGAGACAAAATCTTCGTACTGAACCATAGACTCGATGAGCACCGCCATGTAATCCGGTTCGTATTTGATTAAATTTGCAAGGTCAAAGTTGACAAGCGAAACAGAGGAGGATGCCACTTGCATCATCGAAGGGTTTGGCGATTTGTTGGCGAATTGGATGATTGTGCCGCCTACAAAGGATTAGAGACATTTACGTTGCGTGAAGAGGTTGAGAACTTGCCTGGACGAACACACTGAAAGTTGGTTGCTTTGTGGTTTTGGGTAGGGTTATAGACAAGGTCAACCCCCTTTCCTAGATGTTCGCAGATAACCGTAGCAAAGCTATCCGAGTCACCATTGACGATGTGAGCTTTCTTCACCCCAAGTCCCTCCAGAACTTCACGCTGCTTGCCAGAATCTGGACCGATGACGCTCGCAAACACCTCGACAGAAAGTTGAAATGCGACCGCAACAGCTGCGAGTCCAAAAGGGCTTGCCGCGGCGTGAATCAGTACCGAAGTCTTCCCTTGGCTAAGCCTTCCAATGTTGACGAAACAATGGTAAGCACTGAGGCAGTGGTTGAGAGGGAGGTCAAAGGACCACTTGGAGACGAGGCGACTGTCTACGTTGGCATTGCTTTGGATAGAACCACCAGTGACGAGGCCACTGACACGGTCACCTGTTATGAAACCAGAGACATTTCGGCCAATTCGACCGACACGGCCGCGTATCTCAGACCCGACATTTGAATCCACAGTCCTCCCCATAGCTGTTTCCAGGTCGACAAAGTTGAGAGGTGCACTTTCAAATATGATCTCAATCTCACCTGGCTTAGGAGCGAATGTGGTACCGGCAGTAAAGACCAAGCTGCCTTCAGTCAGACCAGGCTGAGATAACTCAAGCTTCAGGTGGCGTGGGTAGCCGTGGAATGCCACACTGGTGATCTCGTTGGAAACGCCATTCTCGACGATGTCGTTGAGTGGGCTGATAGGAACAAGTCGAGGAATAAATAGCACTCCATCCTTCTCTGCATACTCTAGCTCACGAGGACCAGAGCCCTGGGCTGATACGAATGTTTGGAGGAAGATCCTGTCCACATTCTTTACCACCGAAGGACAGTTGAGAGATGTGTCCATACCCAAGTCAAAGGTAGCGAACGTCTTGAGCGGATCTTCCGACATAAGTGTGCGCGCGAGGGCGATGATAGGAGCGCCCTTAGGATTCATTGGTTTCATGTTGGCACTGCGAGAAACCCAAAGGATTCCCTTTGCCTGCTGGTGAAGAGTATGGAAAGCTTTGAAATCAGCCTCGCTCCAGTTGTACACGGATGCACCTGCATTAGGTCCTTCTGAGAAGTCAAGAAGGGAGATGACAATCTTGCCCTTCAGTCGTTCCGGCTCACTCAAAACCTCATTGAGTTGCATTGTGCGTAACTGCAAAATGGAGTGACGTTCGATGATCAACTTTCCAGCGAGAGATTGCGTTCCCGAGGGAGGATTATCGGGCAAAAGAATGATGACACCAGGTACTGAATACCAATCCTGAGGAGGATGATGGTCATGGAGACGAAATTTTATCTCCGCATTCTTACCACTCTCTTCGGTGTACTTATGACAGAGAATCTCCTCGTGAGCTGGGTCATACTTGCCATACAAAAAGCCTTCTAATAGATAACCAGGCTGCTTCAGGTGAGTACGAAGCTTACCGATATCAACGCCATGTTGATTGCAAACAAGAATCAAATCATACTTCGGCAGGGGTTCCGAACCATCAATAGCTCTCTTCTCAACAAAGGGTTCAGCGGAAGTTCCCTTGACCAAAGCAGTGATGTCAATGGGCTTGTCATTACGGTTAGGCTGCGCCAAACTGTACCTTGAGAACCAAGGTCTTTGTTCTTTCAGAGAAGGCAGAGCTCTGAGCACACAAAGAGTAGTACCGGGAGTGCCCCCAACTTGGAGGATAGAGAGGCCTGGTAACTTGTGAGCTAGCGTCTTGATAAACCCCTCAAACTTTGCAGCCTTTACGCAAGTAATATCTTCCATCCAAGTGATCTCAGTACAGAGAGTGCGGTTGTTTGGAAGAAATTCCCCTACATCCTGAGACGTGTTGGAGATACTAGTGAAATGCAGACCGCTAATGACCACTGATGGCTGTTCCCAAGTTGACTGGATCATGGCAATATCTGCGCTTGCATCACGAATGCCAGTGCGAATGGCTGTAGAGTAACCGTTGAATTCTTTCGAGGAATCACGAGAAATGTTTGCCGAGACGAAGATGCTCTTGACAAAAGTTGGGACCATAGGATCATTTTCGATAGCAAAAGGTGTCTGGAACATGGAATCAAGAGTTGCAGGATGAATCAGATGATCATACTCAAACTTGGCAGGCATTTTAGATCGAGTGTCTGGAACGCGAACTTTAATGAGACAGGCACGATCGCCTTTGAGAATGTGGGTGATGTTCTGGAAAACAGGACCGTAATTCATACCCACAATATCGAGAAGTTCATAGAGCTGTCTAGGGACAACATCTTCTTTGCATGTGGCTTTGAGTGAGTCGTATCTCTTGCGATGCTGGTGAAATCCGACCTTCCATTGGCCACGCTTGTATCGTATCTGGATGTAGCCAGTGGCATTCTGCTCCCATGGTGACCCCAGTTGTTTCGAGTAGATGCAAAACTCAAAAGCCTTTCCTTGGTCTTTGTTGCCAGAGGTAGAAGGTACACACTTGAAGTTCATCGCCATCTCCAATCCATGAGACGTGCTTGGAACAATCATGGCCTTCTCGATTCGTAAGTTGGTTATCTCATATCCAAGAAGGTCATTTTTCTCCTTGGTCAGTTGGCAGGCACCTTGAAGGGCCATAGTGACCATACCAGCGGCCGGATAGATGATCGTCTTTTGCACCTGATGATCTTGAATCCAAGGGTTCTCGGACAGGCGAAGAAAACCGCGCCATCGAGGCTCAAAAGAAATAGCATCAGCGGTTGGAGCGCCAATGAGATCTTGTCGAGGAAACTCTCGAAATCGATTTGCCTCCCCAAGGTGAGATTCGTGCCAGTACGACCTGTTGTGGTTCCATGGATAAGGGGGGAGATCGGCCAAAGCCTTGAGGGGCACTTGGTAAGATCCTCGAGTGACAATTTTGTCTACGCTGCATTTATATCCATGCGTCCACGCCTCGCCAATCGTCTCTAAGATCGAGATTGCACCATGCAGCTTGCGATCAAGGGCCGCAAGATAGGTCGGTGGGTTTCTCATCTCAATACAGTCGGCGATATCAAGTACTGGCGAACGAAGTGTGGCGCTAGGGCTGAGCTCGATGATCATGTCGGGAACATCTTCAGCCGGAAGCTTCAACACAGCGCTAATAGCAGACATGAACATGACAGGTGAGACAAGGTTGTTTGACCAATATCCCTTGTCCAGTTGGGAGCCATCGATTGACTTGCCGGTAACGGATGAAAACATACTAACAGACTTCAAGTGTTCGCGTGGGATGACAAGACCTAATGCAGACTTGTACTCGTTCTTAACCAGCAGCATATCTGAAGAGTGGTAGGCCACCTTTACAGGCAGGATGCGACAGAAGATGCCCTTCTCAGAGAGCTCACTGAAGGCGTGTTCGATGTTTTCCTTTCTGCCAGAAAGTGTTACAGATCGAGGACTGTTGATGCAAGCGACTTGGCAGGGCCAAGTGTCCTCATCATAGCTACCCTCAATATCGATGATGGATAGGCCGACTACCATCATGGCACCCTCGATTTTAGGCGACTTCCTGATGAGAGATGAGGCAGCTACACCGCGGTAGTAGGCAACCTCCCAAGCTGCTTCTTTTGTAAGAGCACCAGACGCATATGCTGCAGCAATCTCTCCAGAAGAGTGTCCGATGACATAACTGGGAGTGATGTGAAATGAGTCGAACAGGTCTACCAAGGCTATCTGAAGAGCGGTAGTCGCAGGTTGTGATATTCTGGCGGAAGAAACGCAACTCAGATTTGAATCCTTCAGGATTTCTTCAAGAAGGTCAAAAGGACTCCCAAGGACGTTCTTCATGTAACGTGAACCAGCTTCTAGAGTATCCCGGAAAGCTTCGAAAGGTAGGAGATCTTTGCCCATTTGAGCAAACTGGGCGCCCTGGCCGCAAAAGAGGAAGCAGATTTTCGGTTGCTTGTTCTTAGACGTTCGTTTGCATCGGGAATCGTCGGCGTTTTGAAGCTTTTTGATAAGATCATCTCGAGACTTGGCAACCACCGCATACTTCCATTCCAGGTTTGATCGACGGCAACCAAGTGTGTAGGCGTAATTTTGAAGAAAAGCCGCATCGTTCGTCTCTGCCGACTTCAGGTAAGGGAGGTGAGACTCTACAATACGCTGGATACCGGATTTCTCGTGAGAAGAGAAGACAAAGAGTTGGGGCTCGAAGCCTGGTTCGCGATCAGTTTTCGATTGAACTGATCCAGAAGTCTCAACCGAGTTGTGATTTCCCTTGAGACCACGGGCTGACATGTATCGAGGAGCTTCATCCATGATGACATGAGCATTTGTACCGCCAAAGCCGAAGCAGTTGACGCTGACACGGCGCAAACCAGAAAGAGGCCAGTCCATCATTTCGGTTGGTACCTAAATTAAGGTGAGGATGCGACTAGTAGAAGAAAACATAGATACGTACCTTGACCTTCCAGTTCTTGAAATCAATATCGGGATTGGCCACTTCAAAGTTGATGTTGGGTGGGATCTTGGCATGCTCGAGAGTAAGAACGCCTTTGATCAAGCCGGCTACACCAGCAGCACCCTCAAGATGACCAATGTTGGGTTTGACTGAACCGACGACGATGGGATTATCGATAGTTCGAACAGAGCCGAGTGACTCAGAAATGGCCTTGAGCTCACGCCAATCTCCAGCTTTGGTTCCAGTACCATGGCACTCGACGTATGCCGTTTGATCAAAGTCGAGATCGGCAGACTTGTAAACGGATTTGATGTTGGCAACCTGAGCTTCCTTGCTCGGAAGAGTAATACCTATGGAGTTTAGTTGGTACTAATAGGGAGGGGGGTTATTTACTTACCTGTGGTATGGCCATCTTGATTAACATTGGTTGCTCGAATGACCGCACGGATGGTATCATTATCACGGATGGCATCTGAAAGACGCTTCATAACAACAACACCAATACCCTCGCCTCTGCCATAGCCATTGGCTCGGGAATCGAAAGTGAAGCATTTGCCATCAGGACTCAGGAAGTTGAGCGCTGTCATAGGCATCATGGTGTTAGGGGTAAGAATCATGCCCGCACCAGCAGCAATTGCCTAGAGATATGTTAGCATTTGATGGAATCAATGAGAAAGAGGGACCTACCAGTGATGATTCCTTTGTTCGAAGGCTTTGTGCAGCAAGGTGAACAGACACAAGACTGCCACTGCAGCCGGTATCGATGGTCATGCTAGGTCCGTGCAAGTTGAAGAAGTACGAGATGCGGTTCGCCATGATGGCGATGCCATTTCCAGTAGCAGCATACTGAGGCTGCCAATCTGGATCACGAAGGCATACTTGCTCGTAGTCTTGAGAGTGTCAGCAAGTTTTCCAGTCGAAATAGTTTATCGGCTTTGCTTACCCTTGACAAAAGAGCCGACATACACAGCAGCATCGCTACCATCGATATCCTCTTTTCGGATTCCAGCTGAAGGTTGAGAGTCAGTTTTGGTACTAGAACATAAACCGAGAGACTGACCATTTTCTAGTGCCTCGTATGAAGCTTCAAGCAGAATTCTCTGTTGCGGATCAATAGCTTTGGCGTCTTCCGCTGAGACACCAAAGAACTGGAAAGAGCATTATTAGATATGTCACCACGGCAGGAAGCTCCAAATGAACACGTACTGCAGCATCAAAAGCAGCAAAATTGCCCTTGATGAAATGGGCTCCACGGAAGGAAATCTGGTGGAGTGACATCTTGATTAGCGATGTCATCACGATATGAGATATCATCATCAACTTACGCTACCCTGACGATCACCACCAGGATGATAGTAGCCGTCGATATTGAGACGATCTTTAGGGAACTCAGACCACTGAGATTCGCCGCGTTCCAAAACTTTCCACAGTTCGTCTGGAGAAGACGCTTCGCCGGGGAAACGCAGGCCTATGCCTACAACGGCAATGTCGTCCTCCATGATGTCCAAAACACACCCAAGAAGATGAAGCGAGAGTTCTTTGGTATTTTGTTTCTCTCTGTGTGTGAAGTTTTGGAGGATGATCTGATGAAAAGCAAAGGTAGAAAGGTTGGGGGCCAAAGATGATAGAGAGGGGATGAGGAGGAGGAAGAAGAAGAAGAGAGAGAGAGAGAGAGGAATAACAGCAGCTCGGCTCGAGGGATTATGAGGCGCAGAATCATCAGGCTATTCACCCCTTCAAAAGTACCAGTGACAGAGTTGCTGGCAGTGCCTTTGCAGTGCCAAGAATCTGCAAGGTGTTAGAAGCGAGGAGAAGCAATAGTGGTGTTGGTTGGCAGTGGCAGACAGGTGCATGAGCCTTTGCATATGCCGTCGCCTCGGCAATAATGAAATACCTAAGGAAGATAAACTGCTTGTCAGTGCCAGGATAGCTGCACTATCAGATCATGATATGTCAAGGCAAATTCTCTCCATGTTCGTCAGATGAGAGAAAGGGGCCGGCATATCGTAGTTAAATCACACCATCTCTATCTTGCCCTCGACGGAGGAGGACTGGCTAGAGTTGCTTGACTTCATAACTCAAAGGAATAGCTTGTGAAGATGAAAAGGAATGCCGTCATAGATGCTTCACATCCTATGACACTATCAACAGCTGCACGTCCTGTGGTCGTCTTGATCCCTAGAGAGGGAACTACAAAGCTAGGGGTATAAGAAAGGTACCGAAAAGGAATGAACGCGAACAATGCCTTTTCTATTTCTTTTTCCTTTTCCTTTTTCTTGAAAAACCAGGTTCTCTACTCAGTATGCCTACATATGTGCCATGGAAATAGATGGGTGTGTATACCCTCATATCATCATGTAGGCAAAGGAGATGAACTAGTAGGCAATTGGCGCAGACGCAATAGCTTTTTCAAAGGTCTAGAATAGCGGTCAGTAAAAACAGTATTAAAAGTATCTTTTGGACGGCAGCATGCTTAACATGGCGTCTTTGACATCAGCGTCTAGAAGACACTGCACATATTCTTTGAAGAGGTCTAGAAGGTTTGCCGCCCCATCTATTAGTAAGACCAATGACTTTCCCAGCGATACATGACTTGCTCGATTGATTATATTACGATTATTGAGCCTTGATGCAGCACATGCAGGCTGTAGCAGAAGTGAATCTACAGGAGTAATAATAAGACAAAGACCAGGCTTTACATAATATACAAAGGCTTGCATATATGTTCCGCGACCACTAGCAAGTAACAAGGTAACAATCCATTAAGAATGAACAGGATGGATGCCCATAAGCTAGCAGTCTAGGAGGTATATAGGAACAGGCGCTTTGGTCACAAATGAAAATCAGACAAAGATAACCCAGAAACCAAAAACCATCTCTTTGTTCTCGCTCTATGGGTTACGAAAGACCGGCGAAGAAACTTTGGTCTACAGTATTGCTTGGTAACTAAGGGAGGCAAGGCAATATTGCTACGTCAGCTTATATGTCTCCAGTCAAATGATTGGACATAACAAGCCCTTTAAGATTGAGATACCTTAGGATACTATGCACACGGACAGCGACATTTCAGCCGAAATTGTCTCTACCAATTAATGCAACTGAGATATGTAGCTGCTACCAGCTAGGGCAAAAGCCACTCTGACCATGTCGGTTTTACTGTTGAAGGGCAATGAACCAAATACCTAGATGCTAAAAGAACGAGTCAGATGTGTTCTAAACATAGCTCCGTATCGAAACTGTGGACTATGCCATGTCTGTCACAAACCGCGTCAAGCCGCTGCAAGCTGATCTACACACATACAAAGAGCCAATGCATAACGGCCGGAAGCAGGCAGGATTGGTCAGCAGATCACGGCAATGCCAGTTCAGACGGGATGCGATGAAGCATACAATACGATGCATGAAGGACCAACGGGGAAATAGCCGTTGAAAGCCTCCCGAGCCAGGCGCCGCACAACGTCAGACGGCCCACGTCAAAGAGAACAAAAGCTGGTAGGCCGCTCACACCCTCGTATCTCACAATTGCCGATTACAGTTGCAGTTGCGGGAGGCTGTCAGACACTAAGTAAGCAATATATAGGGTCACGTGTGCTCGCTCGTCAACTTCAAGACGGGCTATCCGCCCAAGAATCATTAGCCGAACACAGTGTCTTGAATATATTCTCGCCATAAAAGCCATCGTGTTCCTGGATCATCCGATTATCTGGCAAGTGTGGCGGAACAAGGTGACACAAGGTAGCGCCAGGCGAGTGTCGTTTGGCTGTGCAGCTATCTAAAGACTCAACCTGTACAACGCAGTCACCCCCTTGCCAGGACGCTTTGACATACCTTTATGATGTTTACCTGGTTCATAGCTCTTGTCTGGTGCTCATGTTCGTTCGCAAGAAAAGTCTTGGCTGAGTGTTCTTGTGCAAGTGACAGAGTCAGCTGGGACCAAACACCCTACTCCTATGAACTATGAGCATTACAATGCTCGCACGTACGCAAGATGTACCATTGCTGACCAAACTTGAGCATTCAGTGTGAATTTGATCTTTATCAACCCATATTTGCCAGTCCCGAAAAGTCAAACGATGACGGCTCTTGATTGTTTAGTCAAAGCCCTGGCTCTGGCCTAACCACGAGAAGTGAACATGCCATGTGCTACCGCCACACAGGCGGGATCCCACATTGTTGCCGAGGCTTCTTCGCTTGAAGAAGAATGCGGCGGTTAACGAACACTTCTGGCGCTCAGAGTAATCCAAAGGTGCCCTTTGCTATGATCTGAATGTATTTCTTCCATAGGCCACTCCGTCAAGTCAAACGCCAATGATTACCTGATATCTTCCAGCTCAGACCCTATCTTTGTCATCATAGTCAGTCTCCCAAAAGCTTCTACCCACTTGTATCACCAACTAGTTAGTCATAGGCAACCGGGTATAACCTGAGAAGCAATGCCATGGGTAGCACAGCACCCGTCATAGCCACTGCTCCTAGACTTGTATCACTGTCAGAAAAGATCTCATCTAATCTGTGCTGAAGTCCTCTTGATTGAATCTCTGGGCCAGAAGCCCAAGGTTGGTGATGGGAACTGAGTGGGCTCTTCGCTTGCAGTCGTGTAACTATTGAGAACCATGTCTCAAATATTAATTCGATGCTTCGCCTTCTCCGGCAAGACAGTTACCAAGTGTTATGAGTGTTTCAAGAGTATCGTGTCAAAAGAAGAGCAGCGTTGTCTCTGCGACTACGGCCGTTACCATCGAAAACCTCGACTCGATATGAAAAGCAAGCATCCTTTCCGATCTGACTACACTGAAGATCTTTGAATTCCCTCGCAGACTCGACTCAAATATCCCTTCGATTGCACTTGCTCAGAAGAAAGATCCAATACAGGTCACCTGAACGCACCTGCCTCTGTCAACCTCCTTTGCCGACAGCGCCTCCCAGTTTGGGACTTGTTCATTGTCGCCCTACGGCCTTACCTGCCTCATTGGCCATATAACCTACTAACCTAGTCCACTCTACAGACAACATCGAATCTGATCCTATTCAACACCCCAGAACTCAAAGCTGGCCCGAACTGTGGTTGATACAGTTAAGATGAACAGGATGTCCAATGAATATCGCATGTCGCTTTCCTACCCAAACCCATCACTGGGTCAGATGGCAACGATGGAGAACGTCTCAGAGGAAGATTTACCCATAAACGCAAACGTTATCGGATTGCGCAAGCATTCTATTACTGGACCTAGACGGGCAGTCCTTGTCATATCGTAAGAAATTCACTACCGTTGTGGGAACTAGGTGCTAATCAAAAACTTCAGCTTGCTTACTGGACTGCTCTTTTCCAGTCTCGACACTTCGATCGTTTCCACTTCTCTCGTAACTATCTCGCACGACCTGAACGATTTTACAAACGCTCCATGGATCGTTCTAGCATACCTCTTGACTTATATGGGTATGTCATCCCAAACATCGTGGACCAAGCAAACAACCTTTAACATAATGTTACAGGGTTCGCCGTTTGTGTATCCAAACTGAGTGACATTTATGGACGACGAAACATGCTCGTGGTATCGTGGGTCATATTCGTCGGATTCTCACAGGGTTGTGGATCAGCTACAAGTATGACAGCTTTGTATGTGGTCTGTTCTGTACTCTGCTCTCAAGCTGACCCCTCTCAGAATCGTATGCCGGGCTTTCCAAGGTATGGGAGCATCCGGTCTGTACAGCTTGACACAAATTGGCCTTGTAGAAGTTGGACCTTCCCATCGTCCCAGTTTGATAGGAGCTATGATTGGGGCAACGTTAGCAGTCGCCTTTGTGCTAGGCCCTATAATTGGCGGTGCAGTTTCTCAGCTTTCAGATTGGAGATGGTTGTTCAACATGAAGTGAGTGGTTCAATCCTCTCAAAGTCAATACTGACAATTCTAGCATTCCATTTGGCTTAATTGCAATTCTAACGATCACGAACCTCTGGCCTCACGAAGAAGTGGCGCACTTCTTTTCCTGGAAAGCTTTTGTTAGCATTGATTTCATTGGCAGCGCAACTCTTCTAGCCAGCTCTGGTTTTCTGGTATTTGCTGTTCAGCAGGCCGGGTCAGAGACATTTGCCTGGGGAAGCCCAGAGATAATCTCAGCGTTGGCTATATCGGGCGTGAGCTGGTTTGTGTTTGTGTGGTGGGAAGTGTACCTGGAGACAAAGCCACTGCGCAACATTGAACCAATCTTTCCAATTCGGTTGATGCTAAGACGGGTTTACTCTGCTGGGTTACTGTAAGTTAGCAAGTAAGATTGTGGGAGATTCAGCAGCTGACATCAAAACAGGGTCACCTTGTTTACAGGCTTCCCTTACATTTCGCTTTCCATCATCATTCCCGAGAGATTCCAGATTGTCAGCCGCGAAGAGGTATTGATGGCTGGAGTACATATCCTTCCCATGCTTGGTGCTTGTGCTATTGGCTCATTTCTCGGAGGAGCGATATCCAGCCGGAGGAACAACACCTCCGTAACGCTTTTCGGGGCCTCATGCCTCCAGCTACTTGGTGTTGGTCTAATGTCGATGTTGACCGAACCTGATTCTCATACCAAAACTCAGTATGCGTTCCAAGCAATATTCGGACTCGGGGTCGGACTTTCTTTCTCCGCAGCAACTATCATGACCAGTATACTTGCTGCCGAACGGAGTGAACTCGCATCTGCACAAGGTGCGGTAGCACAGGCCCGTGTCTTGGGCGGTTGTATTGGTCTGGCTGTTTGCACCGTCATATTCAACTCTCACGTCAACGAGTACCTCAAAAACCATTTGACATCGACACAGATCGACAGCCTGCATCGATCGCCGTTGACCAGTCTGCAACTGCCGGTGAATCTCCAAGACCTAGTCAAGGATGTCTATGCTGGTGCTTTCGCACAGGAGATCAAAGTCATGATGCTCGTCTGTGGCGTTATGGTGGTAATATCTCTATTTTCACTTGAAAGAAGCCCTGCGCCACTGGAGAGGTTGACTGCCTTCCCTAAGGATGAGTTCTCCTCCAGACGAGGCAGTGAGTCTGCAACTGAGATGACCGACATATCGAGCATCCACCGTTCTGTATGAAGCATATTCACCCCGTGATGCTTACTTTGCTTTGTTTACTATGATCACCCAAGTTTGTAGCGTTTCTTATTTGCACAGGATTGGCGTTTTTGGGTGGCATTTTTGTGGTTAAGGTTCAGTATTCTTGGAGTGGTTTGCACAACATGTACAGGTGTTTAGATGCTGGGGCTGTTTAAGGAGTATGACATATGTAATGCTCTATCGGCATGAGGTTCCAGGCGATGATATTACCCAGATACGACTTTTCAACAACGTATTAGCTTACAGTAAGCCGTGGTCACAGTCCAGTTTATTTATTCAAGCTCTCTTTTACTTCACACCATCCGGGCCGAGTGAAGTTCAATATCTTGGAAAGCTAATGTCAACGCAAAAGTGTTTCTCAAGGGAAGTCTCGGCCACCCCTGATTGCCCAGAAACATATCGCTCACATGTATCACTCTAGGGCTCCAATCTTGCATGGCAGCACAATTTCCGATCTACTGGCGACAGAAGAGCGACTGCAGTCGCCACTGTACGACAAATCCTGTGTCGCTATTCGGTCAGTCGGTCATGCGCAAGGTCCGTGAGCGGGGTATCTTGAGGAATCTCGTGATGAGACCTTGGGTCTGGTTTGAGGCGGTTTGGTTCCGCAGACGGTATCTCTCCCAGGCCAAAGACATCTTCAAGATTCCAGAGATATAAAAGATATTATGTTTGTCAGAAACCAAGACTGTTTTTGTTTTGTCTTGGGGGCGTTGCACTCTTTGAGTTTCACCGCTTTTTGATCTACGCCACTTGATGGCATAGCAGACTGTGCGATGGGAGGGTCGAGATCGTCTGGTGGTTTGATGTTGGCATGTACGTTGTGCGACAGGCACGACTGTAGTCATAGCTAGGTCTTGAGATCTAGCAGGAATTGAATGCAAGATGTGTGCTAAGATGTATGTAAAGATTATTGGTCTTGCTAGGGGAGTGTTCAACACTCCCAGTGACAATATCCCAGCAGCACTTCAGAACGAATCGCTCGGGGCTACTGTTAGATTCGTGGCAAACAGACAAAAGCAGTTGCTCAATGAAATATCAGCCTAGGTTCGTAGGCTTTTGTGATGCTCTTCATTGCACTGGTTGAAGCACGACAACAGACGCTTGTACAGTAAACCCCCTGTCCCTGCATTGGCGTGACGGCTCTATCATTTCACTCTTACGACTAAACCACTATAGTCAATATATTGTATGCTAGCAGTTTTGTTCCTTTACGTTCGTTTCGATAGGTAATTCAACAAGAGATATCCCTTTGACAACATCAGATCTCATGATGCTCGATGAAAGCATTGACGTTGTTGTTCGGTACCCTCCCTGAGCCACTACGTAGTTCTATCATGTATAAACATGACCTTATATCCTTATTAGATAGCCATGATACAGGCACAGAGAAATGTGAAAACCAGTTCATGTTAACCTCCAGCACAACTCTTGACTTGCCATTCATCAACATCAAACATGCGTAAGCGCCGGTGGGATCGTATCGATGTGCATTACCGTGTCGTTGAGCCAACAAGACATCTAGAGAGTTCTATAGCTCGTCAGCAACAGGCTAGGCCATATCAATCAGATCAAGTAACTTCAGAAGGTAACAATTCTTCTGTACCAATCACTGGAAATTCCCAGCGGCTTAGTCCTGGAAGCCCCGCTGATTATCGCATCAGATATCTACGCACCAACCACTCTCTCTATGGTACCGCATCTCGACATTATCTCTTTATCGGTACTTCATTGTCGAGTCAGGCCCAAGAGCCCTTCATTTTCCTGACGCTTATTACTTGCGACGGCAAGGGGATACCGGCTCGGTTGGCATGGTTCCTCGATCCCTTGAGCTACAAATTGCAAAGGCCCTATCATAAGAACCGCAACACGTTTGTTACATGGACACAGGCTACTGCGGTGGCTTCAATCGGTAAAGAATATGTCGAAGGTGACATGCATGGGCATCAACTATCACCTAGGGAGTTGTGTAATCTCAGGAAGACCATGGACCATCAGCTCAACCACCATCTGAACCTCGTTGATTGCTTCAAAGACCTCCATCTTGCTGATACCAGGTTCGAATTTGAGTGGCAGAGGGAGAACACCTACCGAGACATTGACAGGGTCCTTGGCAATTCCGAGTCCTGTCTCGACCCTGAATGTCGTCTTCTCGAACTTCTAAAGAAATGATTTTTGGAGACGAAAAGAGACTCGAGTTATTATTTCCCTTCTCGCGTGGCAACAGACTGCCTCATAACGATGGGAAACTCCATCCGCCTATCAGTGATTGTGAAACTCAAACGGGCACGGTAATTCCCTTTGAGCCGTCTGTTCACTGGATGCGGAGTGTCTTCACACCCTGATTCATGCAGTATTCGCAAGTCTTTTAGGAAATGCACTTGTTAAGGTGAACCATTTAATTTATTTGGAGGATAATCTCTAAGAATGATCAACACCACCCATAGCCTGTGGCTTAAAGTAAACAGTCATAACCCCCTCAGGGCTAAGCGAGCTTTTAACAAAGTCCTTGAGTCCCTGATGAGCCTGGCAGCCCTCGTCGTAGTACTTCATGTCGTCGAGGTTGGCGAACTCAGTCTTGGAGACGAAAGTGTATCCCTGAGACCGGGCATCCTCATCAGCAGCACCGACAACCATAGATAGGATGTAAGGCTTGCCATCCTGGAACACACAACACAGTCAGTATATCATATCATGCCAGGATGGAGTAGATTGGAGAGGAGTCACCTTTTGTTGAGAAGCGCTGAGCTTGTTGTACTGGTCTAGCAGCTTGGCTTGGTCGTCCTTGCTGGGAAGCTTGAACATGGTGATTCGGTGCACGCGGTCAGCCATCTTGACGGGAATAATATGAGTGAATGATCTGAATACAGGGGAGCTTGAGAGGACACGGTTGGAAGAGAGATTGAGAGCTCGGTGGATAAGCCTGGAGTTCATATACGATCTTGCGATGGCTCGGAGAAAATCGACAGGGGCAGGGTAATACGATGATGATACGGTAATATACGGTATAAAAAAAAAATTTATTCATTAAAGAGAATCAGAATGGGAGTGAGAACGAGAATGAGGAGGAGGCGGAGGCGGTTGGATGCGGGTCAAACGCGGGGGACGACGGCTTTCGTGGGGCATGGGCTAACTGATAGGGCATCTAGGGCATCAGCATTCCCCGCCAACGCCGTTGGAGCTTGTTATAAGCAAACATGGATAAAACCAATCATCTTGCATTGTTCTTGGGGAGGGAAAGTAATTATTGCATAGGTAGGTACCTATCTTATCAGGTAGTTTTGTTTCCGCACTTGAACCCGCCTCTTGCCGTCATACATTATATTTCATACGTTATGCCGAGATGACGGAATTAAGTAGTTATTTTCCCGTAAACCATAGCTTATAAGATGTATCATCAATTACTTTAGTGATGTCTGTCCATAATCTCTCGGAGGATAGGTACTTATCTTCAAACACTGTTAATATCTACCAAGGTACTCACCGTCTACTCCGTACTTGATAGTCCCAAGAGCTACCTCTACCCCGCTCCTTAACCTGTCAAATCTCCAACTCCAACCTCTCTTCAAAACCCATATACATCCAACTACTACCACATTGGCGGAATCAATATTTTCCATCATCCCCATCCAATCGAGCTTGAAACAACGGCCCAGGATTACCCCAGATTCATCCATCAAATTGAGTGGCCAGCAACTTAACCTTATCGCCCGTTTATGCATGCAATGTCGTTCCTCCTTCCATCTCAGGCACGGAACTGTTCTAGATCGTCCCGAAATAGGGCGCTACAGGCGTCACACTACGGATACAAGCAAGGTTGTCGGTGAACCGACTTCAACAGCCGCCATTGTTTACCCTGTTGACCTGTCCGGATACTCGGCCCAAGGTGAAGAAGCAGACCGACAGCTCCTACAAGAAGCTAAACACCCGCTGAATCATTGCTCTATCTCGTCGTACAAGCTTCCCTGAACATGGTATACCGCCGATATCGCCTCGCCCTACCCTGCTTTTACTTAACCCCTACTAACTCCTTCGCTAACATGCTGCAAATAAATGACCAAATCACTTTTGTTGTTCCGTATATACCCAAACAAGCACTTAGCCTATTCTTGAAAGAACGACGCAATCTATAACTCGTCCATCGCCATCGCCATCGCAATCTGCCCGCCAAACCCGTTTTGTAGATCGCCGAGATGTCGACACAAACTCTCGACAAGAGGAGGCATTGCCTCGTTCGTAACTGGGTAATTCTGCCGATAAATCAACCGTGCCAGTGATAGAGTTGCCACGTGGTTCGATACCGGCTCCAGTTGATGGCGTAACCCTTCCGGAGACGCCAGCGACGGAGTCCCTTGACCAAGTTCAAGGAACATCGTCAACTCTCGCGTCTCTAGCCCATTGAGAGGAACAAAGTCTTGCCCCGACCCTTGGTGACCACCTGCCGAGCGGTGTGACATCAGACCGTATGCCCACAACGTTAGACTAGCAAAATACACCATCATGGCGTTGAATCCTCGCAAAGTCGTTGGTTTGCACTCCTCTGCATATCGAAGCGCTTGCCCAGCATGCCAAACGGCATACCGCGACTCTAGCACAGGCAGCCAGCTGCTCTCCAATAATTGGGCAGCTCTTCGAGACTCCTCTTCGCCCTTCCTGCCGGCAAGTCGCTGCACGTCGTCAAAAGGAACGTGTAGAATCATCATGAGAAATTCTGAAAGAAGTGATAGCTCAACACTAAATGTTTGTGCTTCCTGAAGCTGGGTTGAAAACTTGCGTAGGTTGCTGTAGAGCTCTTGATAGAGGCTCTGTGCCCAGAGGGGAACATCAGACATGGGCTGATCGGAAGACCCATTGTGACGGGAAGTGACAGCGTCACGGTAGGTCCAAACTTGTCCCCATAATCCGTGCAGAGAGGTATTGCAGCAAAGCTCAATATCCATCCAGGTGTTCTGTTCGGCTACAAGAGCCGCGCAGTCTCTCATGTCTGAAAGCCGCAGGGTATTTCTAGGTTGTGAGGTCCCCTTGACCAAGTGCGACTCCCACCATGTTTGTGGACTGCTAGCCTTCCAAAGATCACGAGCTGCCGGAGGAGCAAAGTTGAGCTCACTATACGCCAGCGTAGGGCCTTTCCATAGCAAAATCGATGACTGTACATCATGGAGAAACGCGCGGATGGCAAGCCTATAAACCAGTCAGTATGTCGAGACTCAATAGTAGCTGTATTATGAACCTTTTGCAGGACTCAACCACTGTAAAATTCCGCCATTTCGAGTCTAATAGCTCAGAAGAATCACCCGTGTTGGGAGTGTAGGCATTTATGTCCGGCGAAAAGCTCATCCTTCCACTCTTTCGAAGTAGCTACACAACATCAATGTTTTGAACAAGAATCGCCGTTTAGGAACAACCTACAGTTAGAAATTGTGGAGCAGAACCCTCAGCTGTTTCTGTTTGCTTGTTGAAGCCGCTCCATTGTGCGGTTTCAAGATGAATCATAAACGCTTGAAGAGTCATCATATCCCGCGAGGCCAGATTCGAGGACTCAATCTGCTTATAGTCAGCCAGCCATCTAGTCTGTGGCACAATGCCACTCGGTGCAATCCTGTTGGATTTCGGGCTCTAAGACTTACCCTTCTCCCAATTACCCCCGCGGTAAGCTCATCAAGGGCCAGACCAAACTGCCACATAACTGGGCTGGATATGTAAGTGGCTCCACTCGAAACAATAGCAGAGACAAGCTCCGGGCCGGTCGTTGTGGGGTTGAAAGATGCTCTATGGACAAACGGTTCACTTTTAGAATCTTCGCCCAAGAAGTATGTCTCAACCATATGGCTCAAAAGTTCCGCCGATGGAAATGTTGGTACTCGATGTGGCGTGGGGTTATTGGCGAGAACCATCGCAAACATGCTATCGCGAGTGTAAGATGACACTAAATACGAGTGAGGCATTAGGTTCCCTGCTTGATTGTTGGTCTCGGGTTCAGATACCCATGCTGAACCTCGAAGCAGTGCGTCTTCCGGGCCTGTATCTTTGCGGACCTGACGGGATGAACGTTTTGCTCCGGTACCAGCCTGAGGGCTTCGTCCATTCACATCCAAACCTGGAGCGTTGAAGACACCGAAGTCTACATCCCAAGAGAACCCAAAATCCGGAAGTAAGCTCTGCGTCCCTGTTAGGTACAGAGCGTCTTCTGGGGTGCTTTCAAGGCTGGGATCGCCGAGAAAGGAGGCACCATTATAGTCCACTGAAGTGTCAATTGCGTGCCCTTGGTGTGCGATGACAGATTGAGACAAGGCATAGGCAGCGTCACCAGCTGTGAACACCTGACTATCATTGCCGGTAGTCGAAGCGACCATTGAGCTATCCGAGGGTGACATGCCAGCCTGCGACTCCGATGTTCGGTATTGGTTCCCTCGTCTTACTGGCATCTGACAGGTCAAGCTCTTGCTGCGACAGCGACTGCATGGCTTCTGATCCTCGCACTTTGCCTTGGAAGCTGCGCAATTGAGACATGCTTCGGCAGCTCGGTCGCTCCGTCTGATGAAAGGGCGGTCCTTTGCAGCCCCATCTCGGTCGTGTGTGGTCTCATGCCGCGTCAATAGATCGGCGCGATTGAAGCGCTTAGGACAGCGGGTGCATTGGTAAGGTCGAGCATTTTCGTGTGACCTCAGATGTCTCGTCAGGTGGTCGGCTCGCTCGTAAACGCGACGACAGATGTGGCAGACGTGGGACGGCGATGAAGCGGACGCATCGGAGAGTTTTCGCTTTACGGGCAAAACCGAGGAGGCCCTCTGAGGGGTTTCTCCTTGCGGGTGTTGAAGGGCAGGGTCGAGCTGCTGCTGGAAATTTGGGTGTTTCGAGGGCGATACGGGCGGCAGCGAATGCTGCAATTCGTGCTGGTCCTGCTGGTCCTGCTGCAAGGGCGGCTGAACACGCTGATGCGAATCTGGCACGGGTGCTGCTAGGGAGAAGAGCGATGATAGCAGCATGTCGGAGCCGGCGGCATCGCAGAGAATGTCGATGCCATTCTGCTCAGTGGCCGCCATTGGATCCGAAGCCGTCGGCTGATGCGCACCTTGCCTCGCTCTCAGACAGAGCCAAACCAAAGTAAACCGGGCCGTGCCGTGTTATATTGCTTCTGCGCGCCGGCTGGATCAGCACGACCGGCCTCGGAGGACAGATGCGTAGCCTGAGGCCCTGAGCCAAGAGCCAGGAGCCAGGAGCTAAGAGCTGCAGGGATTGATATCTGGTCAGACAAGTTGAGGGGATCGAGACAAACACGACACAGTGCTGTTGTGGTTTCTCGGAAGAGAGGGGGCGGGGGCGGGAGATGGGCGGCAAGCGTTAGATGGCTTCTGGTGGGGTTGATCTTTTTTCGCGGTTATCTAGCGAGTCACGGCAATTCAATTTCATCCAGGGCGAGAACTTTGTCAGTGCGCCCCGTCCCACCTTCCGGAGCCGGGCCAATTCAGCGGCCGGCCATCTCGGAACTGACGAGGTAAAGCGGGCACTCGGAGCCCACTCGGAGTAGACACCGAGTCCCCGGACTTTCAAGTATCATGTCCATCTACATGTTCCGCTGAATGATGGAGACGCTGAGATGCCAAGGATATATCAACAGATAAGGAAACAGAAACTCTTACTGCCCCCACCATGCGCACGTTTAAGTTCACGATCAGGGTGTTTCCCCTTCTCTCCCTTGTGTGATACATACTCGGACTTCAAATTTAACAGGTTGGCTGACAGCCTCCGAGACTAATTACAAAACTGACAGCTCATTAGTTTATCAAACCAATCGTCTGAGCAAGTGAGCAAGTGCCGTATTTACTCAGGTAGGGTGATGACACGATTGCGTCACTCAAACTAGGTACTATCTGTCAACAACATTGAGCGGACGAAGAAGACTAAAGTATCAGCATGTCTCGGTCTGATCTTCTCATCGCCGCCAAGGCCGTAATACTCTCAAATGCGTAGTCAAAAAGATGATCAAACAATATCAGGTCATATTTCCCGCTGTCTTACAGCTGCATCGTGTTTACCAGCCAGCCACAGGCAGGGATCGCAAGAGTGAGCAGTCATATATGTTGATGTTTTTCGTTCTATCAGTAATTTTGACTTTTGTGAAAAGTTATTATGGTATGAAATTATCTAAATTATTATAGTTTTTGACTCCTTGATTTGAATATGCAGACAACAGCAATGATCCAGCATCCCCGTGTAACAGACAATGCAGTAGGGTATGGGATCCCTGCAGTAAATCCGATCGGCAGCTGTAACTCGATCATCTCATGCACCTCATGCGTTTTTCCCATGGGAATCCAGCAATACGGTACAGTGACATGGTGGCTGATGTGAATCAATCACCGATACATCCCTCAACATCCCGACAAGGCCGGCTTGAAACCCAGATGCGGCGGTGTTTTGTTTTCCGTTCATAAACTTTCCCCTGCTATCATATCTCAATTTTAACCATAATGCGAACACTCCCGTGATTAGATTCCGAATTGGTCAATCCTCGCGAATACGGATCCAAGACGCCCGTTGAATCTCATCAGGCATTGGCTGTTAGCCATACCATATATACCATACCATAAGAACCAGCCCCGTCTCACATCCCTGTCGGTTTGAGACATGTTCAATCGTAAAAGTCGACATAAGTACTGTTCTGCCAATCAGACTGTTCGGTGCCACCGACCTCGCTGACTGGAGCCTTGGTGAGTCGTTTCCCCTTTCCTGCTGCAGTTCATCCCACTTGTCAGGATAAGCTTTTGTGGTCGTGCGTGCCAAGCGAGCTCATGGGTTGCACTGCATCTTCCTTGGCTGATTCAGTGTATTCATGGTCATGTGATTCCTAGCTGGCGGTTGATGCGCAATAGAGTCCCATTTTGGGATTGTTGTGCGCTTGAGTTGATAATCACAACCAATACTAAACTGTCGCAGTTAGTCACAAGTTCAGACTACTAATAGGGATATGCTCACCTTGACCACCAGATGGATCTAATCGACACAGGGTGTTCCACAGTAGCCGCAACAACGGCCAGGGATAACCCAAACTTCTTTACCTGCCAATGCGCAGGTGGGACATCGAGTGCCAGGCACTTTATGGGATCTGATGCCATGAGACAAACCCGGTAGTGATTCTATGATCTGGCAACCAGAATTTGAGTCTTGGGGTTCGACTGTAAATAGAACCGAATCTTGATCGTGGTCGCCATGAAGTCTCACTGTAGGCGAGGGGAGAAGGAACGGCGATTGGGGCATGGCCATGGCGAAGTTTATAAATTACTCGATGTGACGTTATAATGCAAAAGTAAAGTAAGATGATTAGTCTGATAACCAGGTGATATAGGAATATGGGATAATTGAGTCAAGAACAGTTCATTAGAGAGCTTGAAATGGTCCAAGCATGTTCACGATGTGGGGGTTGGACAGCATTTATGGCTTCTGAGAACGAGCCAACTATCCCTACTAACATAGCAATAACTAGCGTGATGGATGATGATGGATCAAAATGGCCGGGAATGGTAAGATCAAGGGGTCAAAGAACAAGAATAAAGCACGGGTGTTCTCGAGGCACGACGAGACAAGACAAGACAGGTAACTTACGCTGCACCCTGGCACAAGGATGATGCTCCCCTCCCGTCTTCTAGACGATCGGTAAGGTGGGTGACCGCTCGTAGTCTCGGTGGGCGGGCACTGGGCACTGGACATGCTGGGTCACTACGGCGGTATCATCAGACCTGTCATATCGGCTTTCTACGATACTTTGAGCTGTCATTGCTTGCCAGGGAGCTGCGTGGCGCTCCCCTTGGGAAAGACTGTGCTGTGGGCCAACTCGATGGAGGCGGGGTCTTCTTTGCTTGTATCCGTATGTATCGTTTCTTTTTTCTCTTCTTTTTTTTTAAACCTCAAGTGAAGACAAAGTTGCTGGCCGCGTGGGTACCTACTAACTAGGGCATGTCGTCCTTGGTTCGGTCAGTAACCGAATAAAGTTGATGTTGAACAAGCCAAGGTCGCGCAGTGTTGAAATGCTTCGCAGCATCTATGGTATCATCCACAGCAGTGCAGTGCAGTTGTTGAAAGGTGGTATTTTATGTGCCGGATTTGAATACTGCCATTTACTGAACAACGCCAGTAATTGTCAACGCTATATTTAGCGTCGAGCAGATAAAGGCCGGCCCGGCGAATGAGGGCTTGATTGGTTCAGGTGTTCAGAGTAGGGGGGGTGTGTTCGGTTGATGTTGACACAAGGAAAAGCAATGATCTGACTGCTCGTCTTGGGTTGTGTCACAGCAACAAGGAACCCACGGCAGTGACTTGTAGATGACGGGAGTGAGTTATGATGGAGTTCAGGGGAATCGTTCGAGTGACTTGAGTTTTCAGGTAAGGTAAGGTTGGCGCACCCCGGGGCTCGGACATCCCTGGCAAGCCATGCTTCCATGCCATGCCATTCAATCCATACACAACCACTGCCAGGTTAGGCCAGTCTCACAACAAGAGAAGATTCGCACAGAGTCTGTGCGCGACCTAAACGCTCAGATTTACCAGCCCTGGTAAATCTGAAGATCCCTAGGGAAATTCCCCTAAAAACACGATCTAAACCCCCCTGGTCACCCGGCCGTCATCCAATACAATTTTCCAACCCCAGAACTTAGCGGGTTCCAGGGCTCCGGGGCTCTGGAATGATGGACCCTCATCGTTCAGGTCTCCAGCTCCTCTTGCAAGCCCACTTCAAGACATCCCCATCCATCCCATTAGATGCCGCGCCAGGGCCAGCTTAATGCCCCTCCTGCGTCACCTCTGCCCTCTGGCACCTCTCCCTTTGGAAGTCGAAGCGATCGTCGGTACGTCGGGGTATTGCATCTCACCGACCTGTTGGACCTGGCGCAAAGTAAGAAGGCCTGCAAGAGCGAGTGGAGTACAAATGCGTGGCGGGAACGAGTTGTGGATGCTGGCCTTGTTGCACTCTGCGAAAGAGCTCTTGTGAGCTATGTGGATAAATATATCCGTGTCGCAGGCCGAAAATTATCGGGTTTGAAGGTGCTGCTGATGCTAGAGAAAGAGAGGATGAAGGCATGAACAGGCTACATGAGGTTATCCAGATCGTGTTGGCAGAGAGGAGTTTGGTCTTGGCTGTGTAACATGCATGCTCTCTGTAATATGCATATGCTGGGTCTCAGAGCTTTGGTAACCTCGGTCGTGGACCCCTCCTCAAGGGCCAGCCAAACAGACTGCGAACCGTTGGCATATTGAGAGACCGGCGTGTGATGAACAGGTGGGTGATGGGGACAGTGGAGTTTGTATGCGTGTAAATGGTACGAGGTCGGGTCGCTTGGTGCCCTGAGGAGCAACGATAGGTGATGATTAAGGGTTCAGGAATCAGGATGTAATAGGACGCACCCTGGAAGCTTCCACTTGTCAGAGAAGTCGTCGTCGGCGTGATGGATGGTTTCTTCTTTGTCGTGTAGAAGGGTGAGGCTGCAGTCAGGATTGGCTGGTACTGTTGCGGATACCTTGCATTGCATTGCATTGCATCCATCTGATCGGCATTTCAGCCGCCAAGTGCCGCTGCGCCTGCCTATCAGCCTGCCAGCCTGCCACCTGGGTTTTGGGGCTTGGGACTTGGGGCTTGATGCAGCTGGCAGGGAGAGACGCTCCTTATCTCGGCTGCATGTTACTGTATAGTACTAGCTGAAGAAGTTCCTGCAGATACACGGGCAGTCAATCCATGGTATTGGGCTGTCATGTGGCCCGAGTGCTACCTACTGCTACACAAAGTCGTGTCATCAAGTTAGATCCTGCAGTTGCATGCATCACACCCGATCTGAGATCTTTTCGTGTTCTGGGAAAGTGATACCTAGTCGTCATTGTTCCCTTGAGTTCTGAGGCTTGATAGAGGCCATCACGAGTGTCGATGCTGTAATTAGGTACATAAATGGTCCAAGCACACGCTTAAGGTTAAGGCGGGCAGTGTCTAAAGAGGCTCTAGAACCCTTCAGTGACATGCCGCTATACTGTGGCCTTCCATTCCCCTCAGTGGGTGTGAGCGGGCAAGGCGGGCAGGGCGGGCCCCCACTAAATTAGTACCTACCGCAACAGTAGCATACCTAATTACCACCTAGGCACCTATTCTTTAGTCTCTGGAAGGTGTAGCTAGAGCTTAGAATGTCTGGGGCTACGACGTAGAGTGCAAGGTTGGTAGCTCCAGCTCCTGTATTAAACTCAAATATTATTGACATGAAGCACGTCTCGAAGCATTCTTCAACAACTCATGACTCACCAAATATGCCTTACCAAGAAGAGCAAAAAACACCGAGGCCTCCTATTTATTCTGTAACTTTTCAAAGAAGAAATTCAGTGATGGAAAGAAGGAACGTACCTGGCTCCGGCAAGGGTGACCTTGAAAATTACGCACTCAAGGACGCATATCCACAACATCCATCCCCCTGCGGACCTACCTACCTGTAACAACCCCTGCTCTCCAATCGTACAGATTGCCTGTTAAATCGATATTATCGATCTCATCTTGAACTCAATTTTAGTCTCAAGACTCTTTATAGACTTTTGTTGAAGGTCTCACTATGAGAATAATCAAGTGGCACAGCGCCAGTTCTAACGTTAGGTTCTGTATACGATAACTCGGGGGCATTGCTTTTTTGCAGACCGGGAGCCTCGGAGCTGACGCCATCACCTGTCAACCAACATCCGGTACATATTACTGTACTCCGTACATGCTGTGCAGTTCTTTCACCTAAATACCGATAGACCAACAACACCCCGGCGCTTGGTTGTGCCGGTACGTCTCATTGGCTCTGATTATCGTGCGTCCCTGCACAAGCCACGATCGGATCTCTCAGGGGGTGGGTATACAGATAGGTCATAGCGATGAAGTCCAGTTGTGTCTAGGATTTCTTCGCACCTTGAGTTTTCAGGGTGCTTGTCTTAATTTTGGCCCGACACTGTGCTGATGTTATTTCAGCAACGGTGTTCTTTCTATCAGCTTGTCGAACCTTCGAATTGTTCGGGCCGCCGCCCTTTGCTACGCTATGCCTCAATTCGAACCTAGCCAAGAGGATAGGGCAGCATACCAACAATCGCCCCGCCCTTGCCCTACTTGGTCGATATGTGTACTCAAGCCATTCACAGCTGCATAAGCCACTTCCGAAGGTCGATCGATCTAGCAGCCGATACCTGTCAATCATCATCTGTATTTGTTTCGGAACAACAATATATAAGATCAGTAATCAACAAACTGGTGAATTGACTCAGTGGTATGAAGAAAATCGTACCGTGCTTCGATCGCCGCAGTGCTGAACTATTCACATTTCGTCCTCTATTTTTCCGTGTGGACGGTTCTCCGAAACACTCACCGCAAGAAAGCCACCGACATATTAGTAGCCAATCTACGGAGACGGAGTACGACGGAGCTGAATGGGGAGACTAGGTACGGGGTATCAAGATCTCCCACCAGGTCAGGATTATTCGCGCAAATACCTAGTCGCCAAAGCTCTTTTGCAGACACCTTTCTTCTGTCAGATCCACCAGTGTTGTCGATTGGAGAGAATCACCCCATGTCCTTGGTACAAGCTGTCAATTGATATCCAAAATTTTGCTTTTTCTGCCCCCCCCCCCCCCTTGTGCCTAGTCAGTCCTACAACTCGGGGATTCGGGGGCCGTGCTCTGTGGTGCAGCGCAAGTCGCAAGAGCAGAACGACCTGTCCCTATTTGGATGCATATCCTCCCCTTCTACCCAGTTGTTGGTCTGTTCAGCCAGGTACTACGTAGTAGCTGCAGGCAGGCTGCGGTGAACTGTGGTAACACGATGTCCACCCGGAGCCCTTTCATCAATACGTATACTCGTATATACTCGTGTCGATGATATGCCGAGGCATTCTACAAGTGTCCTAGCTGACTAACACGTCTAAACCAGTCCATCGCCACAGGGTCGAAGACGACTATCCGAACAAGTTCGCCGGGTTGTGGAGTTGGGGTTGGAGTTTTGAAAACGCACCAGGGCTCTGGTCATTGGTCCACCTTGACGTCCTGGTCTTTAGAACGTACAGATAACAATTGCCGAGTATACTTACCCAGCGAAACTGGGCCATTCGTCATAATTTTGTCAACAGCTCAACGATGAGGCTTTTTAGCGCTGCTCCACAACAACCACAGACAGGCAATATCACGGGATCGTTGCCGCGCCACAGCCACATGTTCGTGCGTAAACTCCCTTTTGAGACATATCCGTTAGGACGCCCAGCGGTTTTAATAAGCTAACTTCAATTGAAAGCACAGCAATCGTCAAAATGTCTCAGTCGGTTCGCTTTTTATTCCCAGATATGACATAGGAAACTGTATCCGCGCTTCCTACTCTATGATACGCGCTGGAGATCAAAGCGCTTTTGTACCATGTAAGTCGATCGCGACATTGATGAAGACGATCTCTAGCAAACGAAGGTTCCACAGCAGCATGAAGCACTATACGGTCAATTATATTGCTGCTCAACGATGAGCCTAACGCCTTGCAGTCAGCATTGTGTCTTATGACGAAAAACTGACGCCATCCAAGAGCCGGTGTTAAAGTACAATCTTTAGCCCGGAGGGAGAAGGAGTTTCATGTTTCAAATCGAATCGGCCGACTCCTTGGCACAGCTGACTGTGGCACAACAAGATGCAATCATGCAAGATTCTTTGTGAGCATCCAGGCCAGTCACAGAAGAGAGAAATGTGTTTTACACCAGCCCCATCTGTCTCTGCCACATAAGCATCTCGCAGCGACTATCGATCTTATCCCCCTGTCCTGCATACACTATCTACTCGCCCTCTCCACCAACAAACAAAAATACTCTAGCTACGCTAAGCTGCCAGACTACAATTCTCAATTCATGGGGCCCTCCCAGGGGAGTCGATCGGGAAGTACACATACCGAACGCATCTGGGGTGAGATCCTCAAGGATCAGCTCCCATAGCTCGAACTTACAAAGAATGACCGGAGGTGTCTCCTTAGGCAGATCACAATGAGGATAAGTTAAGACTTGAACTCAGATGAACTCAGAGGGGACCACTCTTATGATGTCTAGCCATAGCTGTTGGTAAACACTTTCTAACAGTATCTCACACCCGCTTCAAGGAAAGTTAAAGTCAATCTCGTGCGCGCCACAGTATACTTTCCCACCGTCGCAGAGAAGAGAATAACTTACTTCTCCCCATTAGATTGGATGTTTTACATAGTACTTGCCTGGAAAAACTGCCATGCAGCACATGCAGGTCATCATTCGGCTCAGCGGGCGCGGCAGGGCTAAAACATACCTCACTCGGACGATCACACCAAAGGTCCCTCTCCCATGCCAAGACTGGCGGGAAGGGAGGGGCGCAGGGGTTGAGACCAGTGCCCGTTGAGAACCAGCCATGGCGTATATTATTGATCTGCTTTCAACCGTGCATAACCTTATACACACAACTTCATCATGGTAGGCATACGAGGTTTTGGTCAGAAATAAAGCCGATCTTCCTTCTTCTTGATGCTATACGGCTAATGTTCTAGCAGCATTGTCTGCCGAGGGGCGGTTAGCTTAAAATTGGTTGGCCTCGACCAGGGCATGTGCAAAGAAGCAATTCGTCGCTATGACACAGCAGTTGATCATTTCCCTCTCTCCGCTCCGTGCACTGTGGCTCTGCAGACGTGCTTTGGCTACCCCAATCTACTAGCGATAAACGGGGAGCTTCAGCGCCAGAAGTCCGCTTATTGAGCAAGATGGGCGTGCAGTGTTACCATGCTGCAAACACCAAGCTCTCAACGAAGCCTGCAGACAAAGTCACTCGAGTGTGCGGCGAGTCAGCAAGATTGAGATAGGTCACTTCATTTGTGTCAAAGCGTTGGTGTGGAGCTGAGTTAAAGTTTCTTCTCAACGGCCAGATGACTATCGAAAGTTCAGCTGCCACTACATCTCATGCAGTGAAAAGTGTGATGGTGGAAAATGCTCGTTGTTCCTGGGTATCCCAAAACGCCTGTCTAAATCTATCCAAAGTACTATTACCGTACCACGATTGACCAAGCACCATATTACAAAAACAAAATGAGTACAGTTTATCCATTCCTTTTCCAAGAAAGCCCATGCACATACACAACCTCGCACCATTGCTGGTCTTCACTGGTCGAGACTTTATGTCACTGAGGTCAACTCGGAAGATAACGGATGCACGGCAAACTACTAAACAGTCAAGCTAGCTGTGACCTAGCAGACGGCCAACAATGTTGTCTTGCCACGCAACATGGCTATGACAGGCGCATGCCAGGAACTTTGCTACAGCACACGAGTACTACGTAGTACTGTTATACGTCGAAGTCCAGCATAGGCACTCTGCTGTGCATCATACCAGCGTCTTCTGGATCTTGACCAAAAGCTTGCCGCCTGGTATGGCGCGGGGTTTGCAATCCATAAGTCGGATGAATCGATATCCAGGGCGGAGACGGTCTAGACGAATGCAAGCCCAGGCAAGAAGCGGCGAGCTACCGAGTTTGGAAGAATCGTCTTCAACCTTGAACCTAGAGGAAAGGCTGCGTTAGTGTCATGCGAACCAGCAAGCGTTTCGTGCCGCTCCGCCAGGGAGCGGACCTCCTGACAATCGAGCTCGGGTGATCGACACCCGTTACCACCTGGGGTCAAACACGACCGCACAGAGGGTTGACTGAGTTAGGGACCCAGGTTCACACCTTGCACAGAGGAACAGGAGGTCTGTGTGCTATCGCACGCATGTCTTGGGTGATACTTGATTCTAGCATGTGACGTTTGAGCAAAGCGGCATGCCGTTGTTACTGACATAGCTCACCGCTGTGATGAAAGGTCTTTAGCCGCATGACACCGACTACGGTGCTTCTACGGCACACCTGCGATTGACAGTGCACTGCAGGCGGTCCAATAGCAGGGCGTGAAAGAGTGTATCTTGATACATGACAGAATGGACGGTTGGTCAACTTACCTGATAAAACTGAGCTCCTCTACCACCTTGGGAATGTTGAGAAACTTGAGGGATGAGCCGTGAGGCCCGAAATCGGGATGGTCCGTCTTGCCGACATCCGTTTTGTCTTTGTACTTGTGTTCCTGCGTATATGCATCACGCTCCGTGTCGGTGGGCTTATCAACATGCAGTTCCGCCTTGATCAATGGACGCAAGGTACTAGCAGAGCGGCTGGCATCGCCTGCGTCGCCGGCTTGAATCGGAATGTGCTGACCGGCGAGAACAGTGATTGTCAGGTTCATAATATGGCCTGGCGTGGCTTCACATTGGGTCTCTGCAGACTTGTTGGAGCTCTGGTAGCCCTCAGGTTTCAGGACCCAACCTTTCTCGTCTGCAAACATACCCTCATTAAGCATCATGCCTTCGTCGAGATACTGCCAATTCATGGCCACCATCTGGACGCCGCCACGCCAAAAGAGACTCGGGTCTGGGTTCGAGCTATCGAACCTCCGGCCGGCGGGAAAGGCACGCATGAAATATCCCTTGTTATGGGTAAACATGTCGCGATGTTGCTTCTGGTGCAGTTCGAGGATGCGATTCTCACTGATAGAGAAGATGTGTGCGGGAATTTTTGCTTCCTTGGTTGCAAGGCCCTTGTAGTGTTGACTGCGTGTGTAGACAGCCAGCTTGCCGAGGTTCTCACATATGTTTACCTTGGAACTGGGTGCCTTTGGTTGTGACGAAAAGGTGCTGTTCGTGCCTGACAAAGACGGTCCCGTACATTGTGATGGACGCTCGTCCTCAGACCCAGATGCGTCCTCGTCGTTTGCGTATATAGCAGGCAGATCCATAGTGCTCGGTGGCACCACGATCTTCGCAGGAGCCTTCTTGACCTTGACAAGAATCCTTCTCCGCAGCTCGTCTAGCTTGGGTAACTGCAGTCTGGGACCAGTATCATCGAATGGTTTATCAACAAGCATTTCACCCCATTCTTCCTTCATGATTTTGACCATGACCTCTTGCTGGTCCTCGTCTGCATGTACCTCCAGGCTGACAATAATGGGAAGGTCATTATCAACAAATGCAGACTCGCCGACGGCTCTGCAAACCTCTCGGAAACCACATGGCGCGGTGAGTGTCCATCCATGGGTCACAATGGGCTCATCCTTGGGAAATGTTTGCCTAAGACGTGGGGCGGGAGGCTTCGCAACATCAAGACGATCGCCAGACTCTCGGGTTTCCAGTGGGATCTGATTTAGACTCGATCTCGGAGAAGAACTTCGGCTTCCAAAGCTAGTACTACGGGCACGATTGGCAGCCTTCTCACTAAGATAGTCTTCGACCTTCTCGATAACAGTTGTAGCGACATTGGGGAAAGATTCGCCTGACAGCCCACGCTTGTGGTCGATTTTGGCGGACCTCTCGCTTGTTGTGGGTATGATAGTATCGCCATTCCATACATCTATCTCGATACATCGGCATCCGCGAAGGAGAACCTATTGAGTAACTTAAGTCAGCCATACCCTTCTCCGAAGATATTGTGGGGGGGGGGGGCACTGTTGTAACATACGGTTCTGTATGCCTCGGGTGAACTTCTACTTAAAGAGGCAAGCTGGTTCCCAACCAAGTAAGTGTTGTGGCTACTGCTAATGAAGTAATTTGTGAGAGGTTTGGAAAGATCCTTTTCAGGCAATGGTCCCGTGGCATCCCATGAGAAATCGGTAACCCAAGTGTATTTGAAATCTCCCAGAGTATAATATTCTCTAGCCAGCTCACTGACGGCGCTCTCGCTCTCACCCTGGACAGTTCGCAAGAATTCGGCGAATTTGGCTCTGGAGAGTCTGGGCTCGGAGCCTCGCAGATCATCGTACGTACGGTCAAGGGCTTCGTGCATCTCGGTGGTGATATGAATGTCGGGTATATCGATATCAGGGGTTGGCGCGTGCTGAGCCGAGTTTTGGCTGGAGCATTCATCGGTCGGCGGAGCTTTCTGTGTCGTCGGCTTCTCCCAGCCGTGCATGGGAGCCGGAGAAGCGGCGGTTGTGAAGCGAACCATGCCTTTGAGGGCACTGATTGCTTGGATGTTGGTGTTGCCAAAGATGGACATGGTGTGCGCGCGCCGGGGCTTGTCGTCCTTTGCGCTGCGGCGCCGCTAGATTCGAATGTCAGTGTTGGCAATCAGAAGATTTCAAACGCGTATATCACTCACGATGAGGCCGCAGAAGAGCGACATGGTGACAAGCTATCGTTCCAGAAGCGAATTGAGGCTTGAAGCTGGCGATGTCGGCGATAATTAGACAGCGGGGACCATTGGAGGCGAGGCGATTGCCCCTTTGGTTCAGCCAAACATGAAAAGCCGGCCAACTTGAGCTCTATCGCATGAGAATATTAATCCCTAACAGTTGAAGCAATTCGAGAGATTACAGATTCCCATCTGGGATGTGACGAGGTGAGAATGAATTGAAAGGAGGGAAAGAAAGAGTAGGGACAAAATGAACGAGCTGGATGTCAGCACGCCCATTTGATAGGCGATATTGGGCGGGTATCCCCAGTACCAAAACCAGGCTAACGGGCGAGTCCAGGTCTTACTAGCGTGCTGCAGCATAGCCCTAGGAGAGGGTTCGGACAGGGGCGACTGGGGAGGGGAATGGACACAAAGGCTCAGGGCTGAGAAAAAGTTGCACCGTGGAGGCTTGGGGGCTAGGTTGTGATTGGAGAGGTAAGTGATTACCATCTGTTTGCTTGGAGACTGGAGGGTAGCATAATCACAAAATGGGGCATCATGGCGATGGCTCTTTTGCCCTTTCTGATCTAGGATGACTGCAAAAACAACGAGAGCAGCATCATGATGGATTCGAGGCTGTGCTGTGCTACATTATACCGCTCTGCGTTGTTGTGCATTACCATCAGCCCTGTTTTCCCCTCAAATAATAAGGCCTATTGAACAAATATATTAATCTTTATAAATATGACATGAATACGGAGTGTTGTCTATGCTCATGTTAGTCCAGGCACGACCTCCATTTTAACCATCAAGTCCAGTCCAAGCATCCAACGCCCAAACTAACGGGTCTGTCCCGGGCCGCTCTCACCTGGGTCGGGGCGAGTGGGGCCGGGCGGGGCGCAGTCGGCCGAAGCCATAAATCAAAGGATGTGAGGTCATAGCTTGGCCACGTTCAATGTCAGCGTCACTATCATGTCCTTCTGAGATATATGAACACCCTAGACACCATAGTCAAGGACAATTCTGCAAAGACATACAAACATACAGTACATCACGATATCTAACATCAACATATCCAAAATTACCAGTCAGAGTACGGAGTAAGTAGCATCACTCTTCGTAAATATTGCTGGACCTTTTTATTAACACGAACCCATCAGAGACCAAAGCAGCGATAGCAGCATCATGAGCTTCAGAAATGAATACGAAGAACAGGTCCGAGCATGGGGTTTCGGGCGTGTTGTCACCTGGAGTGACTCCCCGTATGTCATTTTATCCCATTCACTGCCACGCCCTTCATGAAATGAGGCTCTCCTTGCACAGCCTCGTTAAAAAGATCCATGTTGTTCCTAACCTGCTGCAGAAACACTCACTATCCACCACACTCGCATGCTGCTCTCACAACCCACTTAATTATCGAGGGCTCGATAACTTTGTGGTATCCTCAAGAAGATGACAATCAGAAGCAGGTCTACGGTGTTGGGTCACGTATTGACGTCGATGCTGGACGAGTCCATGAGGTCATGATAGGAGGAAGCGGATGCACTATGGTGATAGGGGAGTAGATAGTCTCCTCCAGCTTCAATTTACAATAACAATCCGACCATTAATAACAAAAAAACAAAAAATTGTTCAGATTAACAGAATACGACATCTACTTCATTCATAATATCAAAGCCCATCCAAAGTTTATACCACTTTGAATGGCAACTTCCATGGCATCGCTTTTGCCTACCCTGAAGCCAGCCAATTTGAGAGTTAGCAGCTCGAAGAGCAAAGATAAACGACAAAAAAGATGTGGAAATGGTGGAATTTAACCACCTACATTGGACGAACAGGGAATCGAACCCTGGACCACTCCCAATTGGGGCAGAACAAATCATGCTAAGGGAGTATTATACCACTAAACCATTCGCCCGAATTTGTTGAGTGGCGGTGACCAAGCATGGCATATTCGCGCCTCGGGAATGGAATCTGCCACGTCGCAGCCGGAAGAACATTTGGCACCAATGCCAGACAGATGCAGACAGGAAGGGCCGTGTTAATGGTTGTGGATACTTAGGCTGGGTACTCTGTAGACTGTAAAGCAGAGGCGAGAGGATGAAGCGGCCGTGAGAGAATAGTGAAGAGGTTGGTAATTCATGTGAAAACGAGTCGGGAGTTTGCTGTGTCGTGGAGTCATGAGCATCTGCAAATGGCGACCAATGGCATGTAGTAGACGGTCTGTGGATGAACGATTGCATGTCGATCCCGGAGAATTTGATGGTGCGACTTATGAATTTCCATGTGCTATCATTCCGTGTTTTGCTGCACTATGATGCGACGATATGATGTGACAACTACAGATACACTCGGTTTGTTGCTAATCTGTCAGCATACCATTGAGTTTGGTTCAGTCTTAGGAACAGAATCGGGAGGAGAGGGGCGTCTTCTTAGAGCAGCTCTGGTAGGGTCGCCAAGATTATGAGTTAGAAACAAAAGCCCATGCCATGAGACAGGCCTGCTTGACCAATTCGGATATTTGAGAGATGACCCCATGTCGGATGGGATGGGATCCTATCTTCGGCCGCCATCCGGTGAATGGAACAACATTGGGTCCATAACCCTTCCCCACACCAAACGTCTCATTTCGTGTAACGTCATCCGGAGTACGGAGGTACGGATATATAACTGTATATGTAGCGAAGAGGTTGGGCCAATTCGCTCTTATGAGGAAACGCAAGGGGAGTCTAGCCAGGCCAGCCCTCATGAGCCGAGCTGCCAATAAAGGAAAGGTAAAACCGATGCTATGTTATGCTATGATTTACCTTTAATAGCGGGCAATCATCTTTGTATGGTTGATCGCGATAAGCATCGTTTTGAGTATTGAGATCGTACGCGTGTTGAATCAGGATGTTTGCGGGGGTTGGAGAGATGCTGCGTCATGCAACACGCTTTTAGCATTTGGAGGTTCAATTATTGATGGTATCTGCCGGTTTTCGAAGTTTATCTGCTTTTGAGCTTGACAGAAGTACCCAATCGTTGGCAAAAGCGAGTTTACTACTCCGTACTTCGTAGCGCACTCAACAAGAGGTGATGGATGCTCAAAGATTGATTATGCTTAGATAATTGGTCAGCAAGGCGCCGTGGAGTCTAAACATGGCGAGCGCGCGTGTGGCTGGACGCGCGGATAAACAAATCAAAGTTCAATGATTGTAACCGTGGCCAAGTTTTGGAAAAGTATCATACAATCTCCAAAAGCCTTGATTTGAGTTGTATAATGATTCCTTGTATAGTAGATATCGTACCTGGGTATCTATAGTAAGCGGAGAATGGTGGTCTCACTTAGTCAAGGACTAGGTACAGGCTACAACGGGCTCTGGACCGGAGCTGCTGTTCTCCTCGTGGGTCGTACGTTGGGAACATTTGAAACGCTCCGGTAAAAGTGTGGATCGTGGATTGAATGAGGCGTTGAGTTGAAGCGGGCTGCTTTTGGTTTTTTTGGTTTGGGTGGAGCTTTTGCTTTTGTTGTTCAACATGACAAGGTGACGGCATGGAGAAATCATGCTGCAGCCATATATGCAGTATCGTATCGTATCGCATCGCATCGTGTATACTTTATGTACGTATGTGCGTATGCATGTATTGCATCAAGCAGAGTGTCTTGTCTGTCGGTGTTGGTGGCCGTCGGTCTGGCTACACTGCTACAGCATGTCGATTCCGATGATACAGCATCAGCATCGTATCCACGACGGAAACGCTCGGACGGCTTGCGCGTCTCGTCGTGGTTTTATTTTCTTGTTTACCTTGAAGTGACAACTGCAGTGACAATGGCAGGCAGTCAAATCAAGTTCTGTAATGCTGCAGCTCAGCCCTCCGTTGGACAGCGTCATGTCAGCTCTGGGATGATGAACAAGACGAGACAAAGGAAATGGCACAAAACACGAAACGAGGCTTCCGAGAAAGAGACCGGCCGGGGTTATCTCCGCTAATAGTAATACTGTAATGGATGAGAAAGAGCGGTGGTGGGAGTGCTATAGTTGGTCAGTGCCATGCTATAACCGTTGGCGTCTGAACTCTGAAATGATGATTTTCACCAGCATAATTTCGCTAACAGCCATTTCGTGAAAATCCAAGACCTGATCGGTTTGGATCTACGGTATACCTGCCATTCCACATCACAAGCATCGATCCATGCTCATGGGCTTGATGCGTAGGCTTGGGCGTGGGCTGGCTGGCTGAGGCTCTAGGTAAGTACCTTGGTAGGTTGCAGGCTTGTAACTCAATTCTCGTAAAATAGGTTGACTGCGTCACGTCACTGCATATAAGCATATAGTCAGATACATAGATAGGTTAGTTGGTCAGAGACGAAAAAGTTAAAGACTCCATCCCGTGTGGAAGAAACCTAATCAGAGGTAACCTAGTAGGTAGTAACCTCAGACCATGCTTACAGTGAAAATCATCAAGGCAAGGTTGGTTAATTGGGTTTCCTTCCCAAGCCTCTCAAGTAAGCCTCCCGATGCGTGAATGGTGAGATGAGTTGTTATTACGGGTATCCGTATTGTCTTGTGAGATGCATTGAAACCTTGGCTTGGCAGACAGGCTGGCAGACAGGCTGGCAGACAGGCAGACAGGCAGACAGGCAGACAGGCAGACAGGCAGACAGGCAGACAGGCAGACAGGCAGACAGGCAGACAGGCAGACAGGCAGACAGGCAAAGAGGCAAACAGGTAGTGAATTGAACATTTCCCCCAAAGTCAATCGCATGCATCTTGGAGTTGTGATTGATTGATTGGTTCTTGGGCGGTTGACGAAACGTGCAATCCAGTTGCAAGTCCACGTCCAATCAATCGTATTAGGATGGATCGGAAGTATCGATTAAGGGCCTTGGCTAGTGCTGCCCGCCTTAGTTTAGTAGCCTCTAGGGCCATGGAAGGTAGCCCGCTAACCCTGCTAGTCTCCGACTCTCCGTAGGTGAGTTAGGCAGGCCCTAGGGGCTGTTATCTTCTGATTACTACTCCGTATAGTGGAGAGTAATGCAGCTAGCATCTGAGGTGTTCAACTCATCTCCACTCCACGGGCTCTCTCCCGTCATATCATTCATGGTTTCATTCGCGACCCCCCAAGTCCAAGCTTTGGAGAAACTCAGAGTTTCGTCTCTTCCGGATCAAAGACACAAGCTTCGATCCATCTCCTCTTTTCCCTGCCTGATATCTCCGTTGCTGTATTCGTCTCGTCACATCAGCGCTACTCCGCAATACTCTCCGTTCTAATCCTGTTTGGCTGTCGCAGTGGCTGCTTCATTCTTGGCTTTGTTGATGCTCGCGTCTCGTCTCGTCTTGTCTCGACTCGACATGATCCATCCCCTGCTCAACTTGGTAACTTTGGTTTGGTCTCACCCCTCACGGACATGGATTGCACCTTAACAGCCAGGTTCTCCTTGTCCGGGAGTTCCCCTCATGCGATTTACGCGATTTACTACTAACTGCTTCTCAACTCCGCCAAAACTGTCATGGATCTTTAAACCTAGCTTCCCGCCCATCCAACCTCTTTTTCTCACTCTTTTACTCTTCTCATCTCTTATATTCTCAGCCTTCTTTTACTTTCATATCTTCGTGCCCAGAACAACTAGACTAAACAATCAACCAAGTTTACTTCCAATTGCTCTTTTATACACTTTCGTCACCCTCATCTTTCCTCGCGACTGTACGCTAGACGGGGTCGGTTCGTGTTTGACGGCATGGAGGCGTCTATGTACCAGTGAACGGTCAATTTATGCTCATCGAGGAGCCTTAGAAGTGTTCTTCCGAGAACCCAGCCTCTCCTGCTTCCGATAGCATCTCACGACCTCAGGATTTAAAGCATCGGTCCAATGGGCAATGAACAATCCGCCGAAACCCCTCGCGGGCCTCGGAAACTATCCAAGCCACCTCACTGCAGCCAAACATCAGCAACTGGTTTGCCATACGATGCTACTGCTGTGACACCCCATCGCGAGCACTTCTCCAACTCGTATATTGTTGGCTCGCTGCCCCCTCCTCCCAATAAGGCCTCCTCCACGAGGAGAGTGGCGCCAGGGCTCGGTATAGCCGTCCAAGCCGGTGAACCTGCCAATCCTATGCCATCTCCTACATGTAGAGACTCCCGGCTCGATCCTATCCCACGGACCCGCTCTGTCCAGTCAGAGCAGTCCCCTAGACTGCCAAACTTCATCAACAGCTCTAGGACCAGCTCTATCGCTCAGGATAGCGGTTACCGTGCGCTCACGCGTGCTGATAGGTTCGTGCAACACTGTCTGTTCGTGTTGATAAATAGAGCTGACTTCCTTGAAATAGCATGCCCGTTGCAGTGCGTCGTGGCTCCACCAGCTGGGATACGAGAGCTGCTGATACTAAACAGCTTCTCAATGCCAAAGAGAAGCTCCCAAGCGAGCCCATCATCTCCAAGTCCACGCTCTATTCTGATAAGGCTTGCCATGATGTGACGGATGACCCCAGCAACGCCAATCAATCTGCGGGCTCGTCCATTAGCAGAACAAACTCAGACGTGTCTATTTACATGCCAATGCGCCGGCGCTCTGTTGTTCAGACACCAGGAATAGCGACCAGAGCTCACCATTCCAAGCCCCCAGTCTCAGTCAAGTCGAACTTCCGCAAGAGTCTCCCACCGACTCCCAGCCAGTCCAGGCGCAATTCGATCGAGTCTGGTCTGCCAAGGCGTATGTCAATGCCCACAACGATCCCATCTCAAGTGCAGTCTTCGGACCGAGCCGTTACTCCAGTCGAAGCCGACTACAAGCAGTTAGGTGGTATGAAGTTTGGATCTTTACGCATCACAAACGGGGCTCCAGGGACTTCTCCAGTGCCCGAAAATGACGTCAAATGTCAAGGGGTCTCTGAGTCGTCATTGGTTATCCCTCGTGAGGATTACTTTGATGAGCACGCCAGCAATTCTCTGAGCCTGATTTTGGTCAGCGGAGTGTCGAACACGGCAGAGGCTAGAGAACCTATGACAGCCGGAAGACCAGTCGCTACTCAAATTCCAAGCTTCGTTGCTGAGCATTCAAACGTTGGGGACAAATCTAGAACAGGCGATTGCCAAATGTCTGAGAACGGGAATGCTGTCTCATTTCCGGTTGCTGAGGTTCTTCACATAAGGGAAGACCCAAATGCAAAGCCCGATCCCAGGAAAATGGTACTGGGACTTGAAAACAAAACTCTCAAAGGTTTATCAAGATCTGAAAGTGGCTTCATCCCGAGCCCTTCGCCTGACAACACTCAACGGACCGCATCCCGAGTTGACAGCGGTTACGGTTCCAATGTCTCCCTCCGCTCACTACCTAGCCTGAGATCCGGCGTCGCCGACAAGAACACAATGGCATCCGAAAAGCTTGACATCGACATGTCGGGCATGTGCTCGCCCTCGGATTCGAATTCGACTCGCACCTCTTCCCTAGTCCCCTCCCAAACACGTCACCGACTGCCCATTCACCTCGAGGTCCCTTTGTCGTCCACAGATGACGATACATCAACCTGCCCAACAAGCCCGTCAAGTCCTACTAGCCGGCCCTTTTCTCCGTTTGCCCGTGGTGGCCGCATGCGCCTATCTTTGAAATCCACCAGAAGTTTCGAGCCACGAGTGTCAAGCAGTACGACACCACCTATCGTTTCCAGTGGAGATGTTGGGGAAGAGCTGTCTGTTGAACCTCCAGACACCAATCGCGGTGGGAGCAAAATCTACCGGTTCTTAAATAGCTCCCGCAAGAAAGGGTCTATAAAGAGAGGAGGGGTACACACGGTCGAGCAGGATGTGCCTGTCAATTCCCTGGGACTCAGAGGTGACTCGCCGCCTGAGTCTCGCCGAGCCTCATTCCGAAACAAGCCTAGCAAGGACACTCTGCACACTATCTTGAGTGTTGAGAGCCAAGATGTGGTTGGGAATGCAAGACTGGGGAAGGAAGAATGGAAGCGAAACGTTGAGGCCACGACCAAGAAAGTGTCTCGGCGTTTGTCATGGCGTCAATCTATTGCTCAGATGTTCGGCTCTCGAAGCGCAGACGCCAGTCCTTCCCTGAGCTCTATCCCAGAGCCCGACCAGAGGCGTCCATCAACCGCTCTGGAGCTTTCGTCGGCTCCTTTCAACGGAGCCCCCAGTTCCAGAGTTGTGAGTTCATGGTCATCACGGCCGGTGCCAAGAAAGGCCGCTAGTAGCTCTGGCAGTTTGGCCTCGCCTACCCAGAAAGCCGTGGCCAACAAGCCCAGTCCGGGAGAGAAGCGTGACAAACCCGAACTGGCCCATCTACGCACCAATGTTTCGGCACCCAACCTGGCAGCAAGCCGTAGATTGCCGCTTAGTCCATCCCAACCTGAGATGGATCACGCGTTACGAACAAAAACCTCCCCTCCGGTGAGCATGCAGACTCGAAGCGCCAAGCCAAATCGTGGGAAACCGCAAGGACACAACCGATCCATAACGCCTTCTTTCCCTATCAACTCTCGACCAAACACCGGTCGACGACTTTCTTTGCCACAAAATTATGGTCGAGTGACGCCTCAAAGTCGACAGGTCTCGCATGGCCGCACCGAGTCTCGCAGCTCGAACCGAGGTATGGCTATGAGTCCTGCTCCTGGTATGGGGCACCAGCAAGCATACAATACTCAGCAGGCTAGGGTCATGACCTACTCGAGCAATGGTATGCAGCAAAATGTCCCGGCTGCTGCCCCAGTGAGGCACCACCGTCGAGTGTCTGCGCCAGCACAGCCACTTCAAAACCACAACATGCCGCGTTCAAGAAGCAGCACTACTTTGATACAGCTACAGCAACAATACGTTAACCAACAACAACATCAGCAGCAGCAGCAGTTTCTTCAGCAACAGCACCGACCCCAGTCGTCGCTTCAACCATTGGCACCAATAGACATGTACAACCTCAGTCACCAATTGCAGCAGAACTACATAATGCAGAACCAAGCGCTGGTCTATGGGACGCCAAACATGATTCAGCAGTATCCCAACATTTATGTCACCGGACCGATCTCTAATCAAACTACACACATGAGACGAAGTTCCCAGGGTGGAATGGTGGTGCAAGATGTTCCTTTTCGAGTTCTTCACAGCTACAACTCACCAGCATACCGAAACGCCCCCATTTGGAGTCAATAGCTAAGAGCCTTTGAAGCTGGCTCACCTGTGTTTCTCTGCGTTCGTTGCGATACCAAATATGAGTGAAAGAATTTGTTATTTTATCGATTTTGTTCCTGTATGGCGTTTTTAGGTATAGGCAGCCTTTCCTTGCGATTACTGGAACTGGCCCACAGCGTCCACACGCATTCATTCACGCATTGTCTTTCATTTCAATAAATTGCATATGCATCTTACAATAAGGGAAAATGTTATCAGACTTGACAGCATAGGTTTCAGATGCTGAAACTTGTGTTATCTTGGTGGTTGGTTTATTGTCGAAAAGCATAGTCTTCTTAGGCGATGTTGGATTTCAGGCTAATGGGCTTACTATTTCATATCTCACAGCGTATGATGCTCTCATGGGGACTGAGGTGTCGATCAGATGAGTTGGTCTGATAATATAATCAACTTAATAAATATGATCTTGTCGTCTCGATGTTCTAGTCCTTTGGCAGTGCGGCATGTGATTTGGGCAGCCACGCGGATTAACTTGGCCAAATGTGTTCAAAACTTCAATCATCACGCTAATAAAGCAGAGCGAATCCGATTGCTAACCCTTTGTATAGACGAACAAGATAGCAGAACAATGCTCATGATTAGGTTTATTTCAAGTTGATTTACCAACTGCCGAGCTGAACTGCCAAGATACTTACGGGATGAGAGGATAATGGGTCAGATTAAGCATTAAGCAACCCCATGATTTTGAACAGCCTCAAAGGGATCGACAAAAGATCCAGCAAAGGTGACGTGACATGGGAGACACGTTACCGCCCGATCCCCAGCAAATCCCATAACAATAACAAGACGACAAGAGAGAATATGACTGGATAGCAGTGCTTATTTGTATGAAGCGAGGTTGGCGACTTGCTGTCAGAAAAGCAGCGTGACTCTGAGTCCTCACACCACTAACACACGATTCGTTGAAAGCCGAAGCATAAGCAAGCCTGAGGCCAAGCCAAATGCAAGACAAGTCACGCACCCACTTTGGACCCTGAAGGCCGCAGTGACAGATTACCTATGGAATTTGGAAGCGAATTTCTGTTACAATTGTTGTTTTAGCACGCGGGGGGAGATGAGGCAGAGGACGATCTGGTAGTACAGTTATGATGCATTCAAAAATAAGCAAGAAAGTAGAAACCTTGATTTCTGACGTAAAGGGTGGTGGATTCTCCGGGCTATAAGATCTTCTTGGGGATAATAGCATGACGACGATGGATTCGGACGACAAGACCAAAAATGAAAAGAGATCATGGGGTGGAATCCGGTGGGACGGAGAGTTTCTGGCATGGTGTTCGGGGATCTGACTTAGTGGCTGCTATTTTTAATTTAGGGGACACATCCATTATCCGGGCGGGCATTCCTCCAAATGGATCTTTAATCCCCCAGGGGCCCTGTACACTTTTGACAGACGAGAGCGGAGAGAAATCACTTGATTTAGATAATGATTTCGGTAAAGGGCAACCCTGGCGATGATGTCGTAGCAGTAGCAACGGATTCAAATGTATGGAGCAGGAGGCCTGCGCATTTTATCGACATGTTTCAAGCTTCTAAGGAGTATGTACGAAAGCATGTAAACATGTGCAAAATATCAATTACTTTTGTTGACTATGATGACGACGACTCACCCAGAACTTTGACAGGGGTATTGATCCACCACATGTTGGAGGTCAAGATGGGGATGGGTTGCGAAGCGCTGAAAGCTTTACCAGCTGAGTTCCATGGCAAGGCTGGACATCTATACCTATCTACAAGAAGAAAGTATTAGCACGCGTGACACATATTACAAGACTTTGCATGGATGATGATGTTGGTTAGCAGATCTCAACTTAAAAGTCCACACTGGTGAAATTAATAAGAAAGGAGCAGCGTGGATAATCTCATGCTGTCAGCAAAAAGCCAAGCATCATGACAGGCACTTATGCGGGTGAGTATGTAGGTCCCTTTAGACTCCTGTCAGGGACCGCCCGTGCAGAAGCAGAAAATAGATCCCCAAAACTCACAGCAGAATGTGCTCGTGGGCGAATCGCTTAACTAGAACTACCGTATAGCGAAACAGACGGACGGTATGTGGCTTTGCTACGGAACTAGGAACGGGGAACCTTATTTTTTTGGGTATGCATTTTTTCTTCTTCGTCCTTTATTAAAGCTTTACCAAGCTCGGTCTATCAACGGTCTGGAATCTACCTACGGATAGGTACGTCAAGGTCTCAGGCGTCCAGCCCCGAACAAACGGGCTGTTTCGGGCTGGCTTTATTAGGCGGCACCCGCTAAAAAAATATTTAAAAAAAAACCTCTACTCTCCAAACAGGTCGTGTGCTGCCAGACCCCGGGCGACTGCCAGCTACCGTCGCTAGTGACCCAATCCGGAAAGATAAGCACAGCCTCCCCAGTACCACCTCGACGGGATCCATGACCAAATACGAGGAAACTCAAGCACTTCCTGACCCATATTTTCTTTTCCATTCCATGCGTGCTTGCTTTCCTTTGTTTGCCCACCTTGATTCAGCCCTTGTCTCTTTATAAGCCTCCTCCCGTCACCCGCTCCTCCATCTTTGACTCTTCATAGTTAAACTTAACTAACCCCAATATTTATTTATTACTCACTCTCGCTTTTTTTGTCTTTGTTCTTCTGATTCTTTTTCTTCTATCGTTTAAAGCCAGTATAGATAGCGTATCTCATTCCGGCCTTTATTTGTCGATCTCACTCTCGCTCGCGCAAATCACATCACTACCATACGACGCCCGACGACTCTTGAACGACAACATACAACAGACTACACAGCATTGTCTTTCTTGTCTCGAGCCCGTTGGTTCAGATACTCACCGACGACAACCGGATTCGATCTTCATCACGGACAGTCGACCTCTTAACTGAGCTGTGTACCGAGTTTACTTCACAAAGCACTTGAAAGAACTATTACGCGTTTCGCTCGTGAGCCGGAAGGACGATCATCTTTCAACATCGCGACTGGCATATCACATCTAATCGCCCTCCTCCCTACAGTCACAGGCATTATGTACACCACACGGCTTATCAAGCTACTTCTGGTAGCCCTTGCTGTGGTCTGCGTCGCACAGGCATCATGGATCGATATAAACAAAATACCCAGCGTGGAGCGCCGGCTTGCACGAAGAGCAAGCCCTAGCCAGGCGGCGGATGATTCCGCAGCAAGTGCCACTGCACCCGCCGATGCTGAAGCTACTCAGGCGAAACCTGACACCAAGACTGAGGCTGCTGCTTCTACCAATGTCGAAGCTGATCCCACATCCGCTGCCGAAGCCTCCGAAACTCCTGCTGAGCCCACTAATAAGGATACCAAGGAGGTAACGAAGCCATCTGCTACTCAAGCCGAACCTACTGCCAACGAATCTCCAGCGACAACCGCTGCTGATGCTGCCTCTACAGAGGATGCTCCTACTTCCAAGGCTGCTGAGAAGTCTACTGCTGTTAACTCCAAGCCCGCCGAGACCGCAGCTACTACGCAGCCTGAGGCCACTCAAGAGACTGAATCTGCTGCTGCTTCCGCTACCGATGATAGCACCTCTGCTCAGGCGACAAAGGAAGCCCCGGCACCTACCAGCAGCTCTAGCAGCGATAGTAAGAGCCAGAACAACGACGACTCCAGCAGCACTGCCAGCGAGAGCGAAGATGAGGCCACCAGCGCTACAAATGATAAGGAGACCCGAACTACCGCTAAGCCCGTTACTTCTACCCATATTGCAGTCGTTACGCGAACCAACAGCGATGGCGATCTTGAGACTATGACCACTACGAGTGTGTCCACAACAACTCCTGGACTGAGCTCCAACGACGACGATGACAGCTCTTCGGGCATGTCGGCCAAGACCCGTAACACCGTTATTGGCGTTGTTGTCGGCATTGGCGGTGCCATTGTCGTCGGTGCTCTCGGCCTCATGGCCTGGAGAATCTGGGGACGTAAGAAGCAAAGTGAGGAGGCTGACGGTCTCATGGATTTCAACGAGTCCAGCAGCCGGCCCAGCAGCAACGGTCCTTATCACAGCGTTGAGAAGACCGAATACGGCAGCGTTGGTAGCTCGGGCCCCCAACGTAGTCCATTCCAATCTACGCTGGATACCTATCACCAACCAACGCCCGTCAACGCATCATCCAACTTCTAAACATCAGAAGACATACTCCCATATTTTCCTTTTCCGTCTTTGATAAACAAAAAGCATTTACTGTTATTGCCATTACTTCGCGCCCATCCATTTGGAACGGATGTCATCAAGGTTATGGAGGCGTTTCGGGTATGGATCTTTTTCAAGGGGTTTTCCATATAGAAAGTGTTGTACGAATTCGATAACGAAAGTCACGGCTGCGATTGACTGAAGCAGCGTATATCCACAGGTCACAAGACTGTGAGACCTTCTGGGGCAAACAAACATTGCATCACATTGCGTAACTCGGGTTTACCGTTCCAGTTTTGAATTATCTGGATGTAGCCATGATCGCATATTTCGCTTTTCTTTTTGGAAGTTCTCGGCACCGGACCACTCGTCCGTTGTGCAACGAGATAATATGTATCTAGAAACTACACTAATAATATCATCTCAAACTTCACTTGTGCAGTGTGTTTTGTTGTGCTGTCGATTTTTAAACTGATCGTGTAGGAAGCGAGCAAGGCGGTAAGGAGTTCGTTCATTGTCATCAATATTTTTGGCACAGTGTAGAAATATGATATCATTGTGTAGGTAATTAGCCTTACGGTTTAAATCAGCACGATGTACGGATATCTCCAGAATGTTTCTGTTTTGTCTGGGTTCTACTAAGTTTTGTCCACAGGTCAGTTGCCCTAGGGTAGGCTAACTGGCCCTTCCAACGATTGTGTTAAATGCAGTGCATCACAATGAGGGAAACTCGAATTCAATAGATGGGTATTGTTGAAGGGTATTCAGCTCAGGAGCTACACTGGATGGAGCAGTGTTTCTGATAAAATAAAAATTGGCTTGAGAGCTACGCCAGGAACATATCTCTGAAGAACACTGACTATAACCACTGGATATCCGTCACTCACCACTGAGCTTCTTGCTCGAGTTACAAACAGCATGTCGTATATCTAGTTGAGACTATAGCCGGGATGGTAGGGACTGGCTAGAAATGGATATCGTCACAAAATGAGGTGAAGCTTGTGTTATAACACTAGCCATCGATGGGTGTTGTAACGGAGTCCGAATATCACATTTAAGACTCCCCCCGAACTCATGTACTATACATGTCACTGATACTCAGTACCCAGGACGCAGGGACAAGAGATACATAGCTTCACTACTTGATAGTATTGGATGTTATGGATATTTTGTCCGTATAAAAACGTACAGTGAGGAGCAACGATACAGGGTAAGCAAATTGTAGTCTGAAGCCATCGCCTTACTTTGAGCCTAGCATGAACCTAGAACCATCCCTCGACCTCCACCGAAACTGCAGCCCTCGGACGGGAAGCCGGGTGCCCTGGGCAGGCATTCCAAGCACAAGTTAGCTCAAGGTACGGGCGGGTGCGGCCCCGACCTTTTTAAGGGTCTCGGTGGAGGCTTGAGAATAAATAAAGGGGTGGAGGGGTTGAGAGATTCTGGGCTTTGGTCACAGCTAGGCACTCAACGGGAAGAATTGGGAGATACTGGAGTGGAAGAAATGCCCATCAAATAACGCATTCCGCATTGTGATGATGGGCAGCGTTACAATTGGATGACGATGTGGTGAGTTGTCAAACCAGAACCATAGGTTGTACCTAAACTCCGGGGAAATACCTAAGCCAGCACGAGAAGAGAAAGCCAATGCGCCCATTGGTCTATGCCGGGGCATGGCATGGCAAGGGTTTCTGCAGGCATGTGTCTCTCCCTCCGGTGGAAGAAATGTAGGAAGAAGAAGAAGACGAAGAATTCTCTGGCCTGATGATACAATGGCCAAAGCGACTGTTCCACCTGAGCCTGAGAATGGAGGGCCTTGCAGTTAGTATAAAACGATAGATTGAGGCTGCAAAGCAAAGGACACGCAGAAACAAACAAGAAAGGTAATCAAACCAAACAAATTTGGATGTCAATGCCAGCGAAGCAGAAAGCACTTGGTCACTTGCGGGTTGTAGCGTGCTGAATGATGTGCGGGTCTCAAGGGTCAATGATCTAGAAACATGGAAGTGATAGAGAATACCTCACCAAGACACGATTTGCAGCACTGATCAAAGTAACCCCTATCCTTTGATCAGTTCATAGCTTCGAATTTCTTCGAGGGCCGGGCCCCCTTGACGAGATTACGTTGTGGCCAATGCAGGTCGCTTGGAGAGCGGGTCTCATTACAGGGTACCTAGGTAAGTATCCATAGAGCTCTATCCTCTACAGATGTTCACCATTCTCCCGTGAGTGAGGCTACGTAGTAGGTACTAAAGACTCGAGGCTCGAGGCTCAAGCAAGTTCCGGTTCCCAATGGACAGTCAAGGTTGATTGAACGAGAAGATTTACTACCAATCCATCTACAGCGTCACAAGGAGAAAAAAAAGTTGGGGACAACGCATAGTGGACGCTCAGACTTGGAAGTGGCTGCCGACTAGCACTAAGATGCCCAACTGGTAGGTACGGAGTAGGTAGTACCTGGAGCCTAATAGAGGCAGTTACAACTGTACCTAGGTGCAGCCTCAACCACTCGTTGCCAACCGAGAGCTCGCATCTCATCTCCTCTCATCCTACGAATGAAACCGACGTCTTCATTTCATTCTACTCTCCCTCTCCATCTTTCTTTCCGTGCAACTTGTTCCTTTCCTCTTCCTTATCAAATGGCCTGACTTGCCAACAGACAAGATTGTAACCCTTCGATGTGTCCGGCCGTATTGTCTTTCTCATCCCCTTACCTTCTGCTCATTCTTTTTCTTTCATGAAGCCGTTTCCTTAGGTTCTTGATAGACACTTTTTTTTCTCATTCGACTATTTCGCGCGACCCCCCCTGGAGCTCCGTTTCCACACCCCGGAAATTTCCCACCCAAGTTACTCGGCGCTCAGAGGCAAACCGTCATTCCGTTCGCCCCCTTAATACCTTGTAAAGTCGAGCAGCGCGTCGCGTTTCCAAATATTTTTCGACTGCTAGGAAAGAAACATCGGCCACGATTTCGGTTTCGCAAAACTGTGTCCCCTCCCTCAGGCCTTCGATTTCGAGATCGGCTTTTTCACTAAGCGACCGACCTTGAAAGAAAGGACTGGCTCTATTTGAGACTCAGCTGCAGACATATCTTTCGTCTGCACTGATCTCCCTGGGTGAGTAACTGAACCACATTTCCTCCTTTTATGGTCTTGGATATGTATGAGCTGGCAGAGCACACATTCATCTCTAGACGCCACTGCATAACTGACAGCTGCTAACCGGGACCGCCACAACAAACAGGCCGCTGTAAAGACGTCTTCTACAACGTCGTCACCTGCTCCTCCTGGTGCGTTTGCACAGGACGGTAACGGAGCTTATCCCTCTCGATCCCGCCCTGCTTCACCGGCATCTCCCACCTTGTCGAACACTTCAACCGTCGACGGAGAAGAGGAGATTGAATCTTCCCCCGTCCTTCCTTCGCTTCAAGCTCCTCGACTCCCGGAAAGAGCGTTACAATTCCTGAGGACGCCGCCTCCAGAGGACACTGAATTTGGCACCGCTAGCTGGGGCTCTCCTTACCCCCAGTCAGACCGCAACCTCCGCCGTGAGAGCTCGGGCAGTGAAGCCTCAGACGAGTCTCTAATTCATCATCTGGACATTGCGACCCCGTTTCTACGTCCAATTCCTGATCTACTCCGATCACAATCCGACCCGCAAGGCTCCTCACTGAGTGCCGCCGCTGCCGTTCTTGCAAATCGTGCCCGCAGGCCGACTCGTGGACTTACCGAGGATTGGATTCGCACTCATACCACTGACGATCCTAACGAAGAGAGTCGGCATTGGTTCAGTGACGGAAGTGAAGGCGAGCACTCTTCATTGAGCGGCTCCGAACCTGGTTGGTTGGAAGACGGCGAACCTCGCACTCCCCGACCTGCACAGAGAACAATAAACGTTTCCGCGTCTCGAGACGGATCTAGGCACCATCCACGGGCCAGATCTAGCATCGAGACTCTCAGACCAGGGGATTCCCTCAGCCCCAAAACGGGACAAAACAGCAGTATGGCGACCTCCGAAGCCGCGCCAGCAACTCATGACGCGGCAAGCGACAGGTCTCAGGCCGCCTCCACCCCGGAAGTACCTGTCGCAGAAAGCCCCAAGAAGCGTATCCCCAGTATCACTAAGAATGGGGAGCCTACGCTGCCCTCAACACCGAGGAAGGGCACCGAAAAGCCTCTACCCAAAGAGCCAGCACCAACACCTCGGTTAAAGAAGAAGGTGCCATGGAGAGGCAAGAATATCATGGTTCTCATCCCGCGAGACATGGAACGAGGTCAGCCAGGAAATGCGCCTATGCCACTCCGTCAGCATGAGATACAGAGGATGTTTTCATCGTGGGAAGAGCTTGGATATGATATTTCAGGCTTTGATCTGGAAGTTGAGGGTTATCAAGTCGAGGGCACAGCGGATTCTCAAACTCGAGATGCTTGGCCTGATTTTGATGAGGTAGCCAAAGAGAGAGAGGAACACAGTTTCAAAGTTACACTTCCCGATTTAAATGCTTGGAACAACTATATGAATGAGCTTCAAGAGGCGAAGTTGCGAGCGCTTGGAGTATCTTTTGGCGATGACGAGCCCGATCAACCCTCGCCTGCGGCAACAGATCTTAGTCGCCAACCCTCCGCTCAGTATCCTCCTCTCCCTTTCTCCCCTCCTCTCCCAACCTCATCAGCTTCCAGTGGCCATGCTCTGCCTGGATTTCAACCAGGGCATTTTGCACGAGCGTCAACGCATAGTCCTGGACTCTCCCACAGGGCCTCGCCACTTTCTTTTTCTGGCTTGCCTGGCAAGTTCAACTCGCGACAGTCAGTATCCTTCCCTGCAAACAGCTCGCCTTTTGGCTACCAACAGCCCCCGCAGGGTTGGCCTGGTGTTAATCGCCACGATTCGCCTTCGATCGTAGGCATGATGTCTCCTCACTCTCCATTCGGACCAGAGAGCCCTGGCATTAACCTCCACCAGCGCCACCAGTCCTTGCAGTATCCTATGATGCCCCATCAACAATTCTCATACTTGCAGCCCGCTCGAAACTCTCCTCGCCTACAAGAAGTCCTTGAAGACGAGGAAGAGGCGCCGGTCAAGAGCCCAGCGAAGACACCTGAGCCTCCTCAACAACAAAACACAGACACTCTGCAAGCCGAGATTGACGATGCCGAGTATCACCTCGAAGAGCAGCTCCGCAATGAGTTGGAACATGAGGACTACAATCCGCAGCCTCAAAACGAGCAGCCCGCAAGTCTTCCAGATCCATTTGTTCCTGCCCCCGCTCGTCAGGCATCCGGCCAATTCCCAGTTCAGGAACGATTTGCCAATGAGCAGTCCAAACCTCTGGTCCTGCATCACCCTCGACCCCACAGTCGTGGCCACTCACTATCTCAGGGGTACTTCCGTGACCATAATGAGAACAGCGTTACAGCTGATGAAAGCAACCTTACCAAATTTAGCAGCCTCAACGAAATTGCCGAGTCTCACAAACCAGAGGAGGCTTATGAGATTGAGACCAACCCTAGTAATCTTGGTACACCTGCCCAGGAGTTTGATTTCCCTGGATTTGGTCACCAGAAGAACTTTTCAACAGCTAGCAACCCCTGGAATGATGCAAGTTCTGTTGACAGCAGCCGCAAGATGGACAGGCGCTCGAGCCATGTTAGCAAACCCTCGTTGTCTAAACTTAATGTGAAGGCACCTGAGTTCAAGTTCAACCCAGCGAGTTCTTTCACTCCAGGCCAGTTCGATTTCGGCAGCAAGAGCAACACCTTTCAACCTGGTGCTAGCGCCTTCGAACCCACTGCTAATAGCTTTGAGCCCACTGCCAGTGCCTTCAAGCCTGGTGTCGGAACCTTTCAACCCGGTGCCAGCAGCTTCCAACCTGGCGCAGGTACCTTCAGACCTGGTGCTAGCAGCTTCCAGCCAACTGCGAGTACCTTTGAGCCTATGGCCGCTACCTTCCGGCCTACTATCAGCACCTTTGACCCAAACAATTTCCAGGCTGCTAGCTTTGAGCCTCCTGGTTTCCAACCTGCAGTCTACCAGGCCAATACCAGCTTCCCTGATACGAACAGGCTCAGCTCCCCTCCTGTGAAGCAGCCTTCATTTGTGACACCGGCGAAGATTAACGCTGCTGCGCCGTCTTTCTCCCCAGGTGATAGTACTTTCAGCTTCTCAACCTCAGGTCCCAAATTCAACGTTGCCGCACCTGAATTTACACCTCATTCCGATTCATTTGTTAGTCCAGTCAGTCAGGGCCAACGCGGTAGCATCTTTGGAAGCATTGATGTTAGCTCGGACGACATGCTGTCAAACAAGAAGTCAAAGGCTGTCCCGATTGTCAGACCATCCAGTCAATCGTCTGCCAAATCCGAAGAGCCCGAGCAGCAGTATGATTCTGAGGGTCGTGCTTTGGCTGATGAGAATAGAGTCAAGCGTGCACGTAGCTCTGCACCTGGTGGTGATGATGTACCATTGTTTGCAGAGCAGCCTGCTCAAGACGATGTTTCAGCACAAGAAACTCAGCAGACTACACAAGACGAGCACCTGCCTGCTGATACCTCAATGTCATCCATCGTCACTTCAGATCAGGTAGATACCAAGGCCACTACCGCTGCTCCCTCTGCAGCGCCTTCTGTTACCTCACCGAACGAGAACAACAACTGGAAGCCTTTCGAGTTTGAATCTAACCAGGACATTCAAAGCTTCAACGACGCCCGACCGTTTGGAGAAGATGACTTCAAACATGGCCACAAGAAGAGCCTGTCTGCCACTGCTGAGCCCTTCCAGCCTGGAGCGAGCTCTTTGGGCGAGGCTACCCCTCCCACTGAACAAGAGGAGGAATCCGACCCATCTCCTGTGGCCAGCCCGGTACCTGCTCGTCCTGCATCTGGCCTGGGTGCTTCTCGATTTAGCACCAATCAGCCTCAACCAAGGACGGTTTCCAAGGGGCTGGGTGCCTCTCGGTTTGCTGATCTTCCCAAATCTGTTAAGGGTTTGGCGGCATCTCGCTTCGCCAAGAGTCCTACTCCCGAAGAGAAGCCCCTTCCCGCCCTTCCTCTGGAGGATGGTGTTGTTGAGTCAGTCGAGTCTGACTTTGCGCCCGAACTCTCAGCTACTGTGACGCACCCTGCTGGTCGTGGTATTAACGAGCCTACTTTCGAGGAGATTGATGCCGTTATGGACCAATTCTTTGACGATCCTACAATGGGCGTTAACAAAACACTGGAGGCTTCCCAGTGGCAACAGAACAGCCCCATTCGCAATTTATCGACTATTGCCAACTCTTCCCCCTACAAGCTAGACCCTGCGTCCGACCATCACGCCCGTGACGAGGCCAGTTTGACCCCTCGGGATTACCACCAGCTTCCTCGGACCTCTGTTCAGCCTATGCCTAGTACGGAACTCGAGGATCCTTTCATCGACCCGCCCGAGATACTCAACGCTGCCGATGGTGCTGTTGATGGCGAAAGTCTACCAGCTAGTGACTGGGAGGCTGCCTTTACTGAGGATGAACATGACAAGTTGGAAAACCGAGCACAATTCTTTGATGGGCGTGTCAATGAAGTTGTGGGCACTTTGCTGGCATCTCGTCTCGAACCGTTGGAGAAGACCTTGTTTTCTATCCAGCAGGTTCTTGCGACCCGCGCTCGACGCACACCTTCCTCCCGGCGCGATATGCGTAGCGTTTCTGCCGAACTTCAACAGAGCGATGCTGACGACGAGGATGAGGAGCCTATTTTCCGTCGTTCTATCAGTCCCCGACGAGACCGACGTCTGGATCAGATCCGAATCGCAGTCATGGAGGGTCTTCAGGCTCAGCAGCGTAACAAAATTGAAGCGTCACCCACTCCTGGCCCAGCTTCGTCAGAAAGCCCTTCCGCAGCTATTCTTGAGGCCCTTGAGGGACTGAAGCAGCAGTTTAGCAGCAATGCTAATCGTGATGATGGTTTGAAGCAGATGATCCAGCAAGTTGTCGATGCTCGTGTGCACACTGGCCCCAAGACCGATGAAGCGGAGAATCCCAAGCTCGCCGAGCTTCAGCAGAAGGTTACTGATCTTGAGCAGCGCCTCTACTTTGAGCAGACTAAGGTCGAGAACGAGGTTTCTGAGCGACGCGCGGCTGAAGACTTGGCTGCTGAGCTGAACCGCAAGCTTCAGACGGCTGAGACACGCATTGAAGTCGAAATCATCAACCGCAGCGTTTTCGATCAGCGTGTGGTCGACCTTGAGGAGAGACTTAGGACAGCCGAAGAGGTCAGCGAAGAAGCTGTCAATGCCCGTCGTGCTGCTGAAGACAAACTTACCGAAGCTCGTGTCCACCGTGAGACTGCTGCCGAAGAGCTGGTCCGTCTCCGTGAACTTGTTGAGCATAGAGACCATAAGCTTCGGTCTTTGGAGCAGGCCAACAGCAAGAGCGCTATGCGCATTGCCCTTCTAGAGGCTGCCCAGAACAATGCCACTCAGGCTCAGCACGAGGCTATTGCCAAGTGCAAGGGCATGGAAGTCGAACTTAAGGATGTTCGTCAAGACAACCATCACTGGCGTGCGGAGGCTGAGCGATATGACGAATCTTCGCGACAAAAGGGTGCTTCGCTGACTCGCGCTCTTGAAGACAACCAGCATATGCATAAGTCTCTCACTACTCTCGCTACCCAGCTTGAGGAGAACGAACGTGTTCGCGAAATGTGGCGCAGCAAGTTTATATCTCTTCAGGAGGATATGGGCAGAGCAGCACGCGAGATTGCTGAAGATAACGCTCGCCGTATCCAAAAGGACCAGGCTATGCTTGCTCGACATGAAGTCCTGGACGCTCGTCTACAGGCTGAGGCTAAGACCCGCGAGCGCCTTGAGATCGAGATGGAACGTCTGCAATCCAATGAGCGAGCCGGCATGCGCGCAACTAATGAATGCGCCCGCCTTGAGGGCGTCATTGGCGAGCTAAAAACTGAGAACCTCAAGCTCGAGCAGAAAGCAATGCGGCATCAACGCGAATTCGAGGAGGCCCGTGAGTCTGGTCTCAGTGAAGTCAAGAGAACTCGCATGGCATTGCAGACCGAGATCGATGCCGCCAATAACCAAGTCAACTACATCCGTGAGGAGCTTGAAGAGCACAACTCCAAGCTTCGTGCCGAGCTTGACAATGTTAGACTTGAGGTTGATACCGCCAAGGCCCAGAACGAGATGTTTCTTGAGGAGGCTGAGAATAGTAAGATGGCTGAGGTTGGGGAGCTTACTCGCAAGCACCAGAATGAGATCGAAGATCTTCAGACACGATATGAGCGACGAGTCCACAACGCTCAGGAGGACGCTCACAAAACTGAGCAACATCTCTTGGAGCGCCTCAGCTTATCTGCTTCCAAGACCGAGCATCTTCAGGATCGTATACTTCATCTCGAAGACAAGCTTGAAATCGCCAAACAGGCGGCCCAGGCTGCCGCTCAGGCTGCCAAATCTGCAGGAGCCGACATCAACGTTCCTATTGCTCAGCCAAGACAGCCTTCGCGAGACCTTGAACCCCCTGGAAGAATTTCTCCCCAGGCTCTTCGCGAATCCATTATGGTTCTCCAGGAGCAACTACAAGCTCGCGAACAACGCATCGAGGAGTTGGAACAGTCGCTGTCCAGTACCGATCCTGACGCCTCCACGAAGATCACTAAGCGCGATGACGAAATTACTTGGCTGCGCGAGCTTCTTGCTGTCAGGCACGAGAACCTACAGGACATTATCGTCGCCCTTCAAAGTGATCGTTTCGATCGCGACGCGGTGAAGGATGCCGCGATCAGACTGAAGGCAAACCTCCAGATGGAAGAACAAGAGCGAGAGAGGGCTATGAATGGCGGCTCTGCCATCAACCTACCTAACATTGCTCAGACAATTCAGAACGCTTCACCTCGCGTGGCACAAACAATCGGCCCACTGGCAGCTGCTTGGGGTAACTGGCGAAAGGGCAACCGCAGCCAGCCCTCACTCGGCAGCCTCTCTGGGGTCCTCAACTCCCCAGCGCCTCGACGAAACGCTACCCCATCACGTAGCAACTCGACTTCCCAGAATAACCCTCTGGGTGGTCTCATGACACCTCCTGCTTCTGGGTTGCGTCAAACACCACCAGTAGACAGCAAGCCCCAACCCACCGCCTTTGCCAGTACTGGACGTCGCTTTCCATCGCAAAGCCACGTCCCTAGTCGAGCACGTGGAGCTTCCAATACCTCGCACCGAGCGGAGCAAGCTGTCATCACGCCGCCGCCTGTAGAGTCCGAGGATGAGCCTATGACTCCTCCAATGATGCGAACGAGCGGTTACGACTCGGATGCACAGCCCGGAGATTTCGATGATAACGACTTCTTCGAGGATTAAGCGGATGCCAAAATTACGAAAAGAAGAAAAAAAGATTAACCATGAGGGTTATCCATTTATCATTATTTCATTTGTCAAACTTATCGAAAAACGGCTGGAGCATACATATGCGCTGCACATTATTACACTAGTTTCACTAAGGCAGCGGACCTAGAAAGATACCCCCCTTTTGGATTGATGTTTATGCCACACAGATTGGGATTTGCTCATTTGCATTTGATTTTTGTTGAGTCTTTTCTTTGTTTCTCATTGTTCTACTTCACGATGAAGCTTGTGTTTCGGAGGAAACCTGGGTAATGAAGAATGCCATCAAAGTTCTACAAAACAAAGCACCAAAAAAGCACCAAAAAAAGGATGATTGCGGACCAACAAGTTTTGATATTTTACTCCCTCACTGTCATTTGCATAGCGGTGTGGTAGACGCCATTTCAGCGTGACAAGGCATTCAGAACGATTGCTTGTTGTACATAATCATAATTTACTCTCAAAGAACCATTGAAATGATAAATAAGTTTAGAGATGACGCTCTTGAGAACTAGGATGTGCATGATTCTTAAGGTCAACGAAGTATCACACGCTGTGTACTCACAGAATGTGATCATGTTTGAATCCCTTCTCTTGCTTCATTAATGATATCTATAGCTGACGAAAACCGTGAATAACCCCCCATGGTGTCCAAGGTAGATACATGTATACATAATATTTAGTTACTGCTGAGAAGTTTCTCTACGGCCCATTTTACAGAGAAGTTGCGCAGATCTGAATAGTGCTGACCAACACCAACAAAAAGCACAGGAACGTTGGTTGCGTGAACAAGACTGACAAGAGTACCGACCATGTCGCCAACGGTGTCGCACTTGGAAATGATGAAGCCATCGAGTGTGCGGACAGCGCCGAAGGCTGCGTTGAAGTTGCGAGCTTGAGCGACCGAGTCAGTGCCTACAAGAGCCTGGAGTTACTTTGTCAGTGGATGGACAGTGAAAAATCCGCAAGATGGCAACGTACCTCTCCAACCATGAGAATCTTGTCAGGCTGGGCGAACTTGGCAAACTTTTCGAGAGAAGACATTAGACGCTGGTCGTTGTGTCTTCTACCAGCTGTGTCGATAAGAACAACGTCATAGCCCTCCTGCGCGGCATGGGTGACTGCATCCTTTGCGACAGTGGCAGCATCCTTGCCATAGCCCTTTTGGTAGAGCTCGACACGACCACCCTCACGAGCAGTCAACTCTTTAAGGTTACGGACGTGAACCGCAAGTTGTTCGACAGCGCCTGAACGGAAAGTGTCGCCAGCGGCGATGAGGACCTTGTACTTGTTCTGGAGGAGGAAGAAACAGATCTTGGACAGGTTGGTAGACTTGCCAACGCCGTTGACACCGACAATGGACATGACGTAAGGACGAGCCTTGCGGAGAGATGTCACTGGAGGAGCAGTAATAGCGTCGATGTCGCGGAGCAGGTCGAGAGATGATGTAGGGGTGAGCATCTTTGTTAGTGAAGCCTCCATAGCGGCTTGAATTCTGGCGTTGATACCTGGGAAACTCGTTAGAATGAGGGTATCGGGACGGACGGTTGGATAGGGAACGCACTTTCGAAACTGCCGGTCTTTACACCGAGCAATTCCTTCTCGACACCTTCGCATAGTCGAACGGCAGCCTCTCGGGCGACGTTCTTCTGTAGCAAATGCTCCTCCATGCCCTTCATGGCCTTGTCAAGATCCTCCTTGGTCAAGGTCTTGCCTCCAACAACATTTCGGAAGAGACCGCTAATAGCGCTCACGCCAGATCCCAAGAGGCCAGATTTGGATTGTGTCTTTGCTTCCGCCGCCTTCTCTGCCTCTGACGCTAGAATTTCGTGCACTTCGTCACCCAGATCCTTCAGCACGAACTTGCCCTTTGATGTTGAGCCCCATGTGTTGGAATCGATCTCGTCCACGGCTGTTGATCGCCCAGTTGCTTCGGCCTCGGAGTCACTGGTGGCATGCTTCGCAGAGTAATCGAGCTGCACATCATCCTCCTCATCCGCAAAACCATCGGCGTCCCACTTGCGCCCCTTTTTCACGACTGTCTTCTTCTTTCGGGGTGCTTCGTCTCCGGATGAGGCGGGGGCTGATGTCTGGTTCTTCACTTTACGTGCGCGCCGAGAGATCTTTGCGATAGGGCCACCCTTTGCGACAAGCAGATGGTTGCTTGGTGTACCTGGTCGTGATCCGTTCGGTGTCAGTGCAGGGGTAGACTCATCAGCCGAGAGTATTTCTTGGGGCCCATTGAGATGGCGCCCTCGGTAGGTAAGACCTGGCGCAGCAGGAGGGCCGTCGCCGATGTTCTCTGAGATGCTTTCTTCTTCTAGCGGGATTGCGCCGGCTGTGATGGTGGTTGAGGGACCCTTGTTACTGGTCTGGTCAAGCTCCTCGAGCTGCACGTCGAAGTATTCATCAAAGGTATGGCATTCGATGAGGGTGGTATGCGGCTTGGTTAATTGTTCACCGTAGAGCTTGACAAAGATAGTCTTGATATTATCGACGAGCTTGTCAACCCATGACAGATGGAGGAGGGATCTGTAGACAGCCTAAGGAGGGGAGTGGGGACGTCAGCGCCGAGGACCGGGGGAAGAAGCCATCATGACAAGTAAGGATCAAGGACTCACGACAAAAATTACGCCCAATTCCTTGACCAAAGTCCACTTGAGAGTGTGTTGGTCGCTCTTGTATGCAGGGTTAACGGCGGCTGATTTGGAGTCGCCGAGGGCGATAGCGCCACTCTTCTCCTCGATAAAGGTATCTGCGATGAAGTTGTTGATGATGGAAGGATTTATGGCGGAGTATGTGCGCGACCAGACGACGACACCCGATGTGGTTAATATCTCGAAAGAATCCAGCATTTTGTGAGTATCTCTTTGGTGTTTGAGATTGTGATGATGATGTTGGTGGGAGAATTAAGGTCGAGGCCAACGGGGAGGCGAAAGATTATGTTGGTTAATTACCTTAGTTGGGTAGGTAGATGTGGCTACTCCAACTGTAGAGGAGTGCAGTAATAACCAAGATAAGATAAAACCGCTGAGGGACTTGACCTTGACCCGGACACGCCGCTTGGGCCTAGGCCGGGCTTATTAGTTGACCTTCCCCGAGATCCAACCCTAACAAAGGAAGTGAAGGATACTTGAGCATGTAATAATTACTGATACTGGACAAGTAGGACAAGTTATTGAACTGCAGAATAGACAGACATAATAGTAACAGCCTATCAGTTGGATCTATGAATCACACTTCTTGAATATACTCAGGCATCGAAAACCGATTTGCCCTTCACGTACCCGTAGAGCAACTAACGTCAAGCCCCAAAAAGCAATCACGTGTGTCCCCTGTAGAATCAAAACAGGGGCAGATGTTCCCTTAAGCTGAGCTAGGTAGGTAGGCTGGAGCTCTCCATGATGCTAGCGCCCAATCAGAGGAATTGAACAGATAAACCAAACACCAGCTTGACCTTTACCTCATCATCATCAACGCAACCCGACGACCCCAAAACTACGCAAAGCACCACCCACGAACAACGAACACCAAACACCACACTCATATTCGCCATGCAGCGAGCGTCATACGCGCAGTCGCCCCCTCTTCATCACCCAGTTCCTCAGCATGTCTCGACCGTCCCCCAACTAAGATCACCGCCGCCTCCTCCAGGCTCTGCGCAGTCGCAGCAGGGCTACGCTGCCAATGCCGGAGGAAACCCATACCAGCAGCAGGGCGGCCCTAGCGGCAATGTTTTTGGCGCATACGGCAACTTCATGAACGATCCTACGGCGCAGGTGGCGGCGCAATTCGGCCAGACAGCCTTTAAGCATGGACAAGAGTATGTGGAGCAGAACGTGAGTCGCAACAAGGAATACCGGGATATACTCTGGTGCTGACTGGGGATATATAGTTTGGTCGATACGTGAACGTTTCCGCCCTTAAGCACTACTTCAACGTCTCCAACTCTTATGTCGTCAACAAGCTATTCCTCGTCCTTTTCCCCTGGAGGCACAAGCCTTGGTCGCGCAAGCAAGCCGTTGGACAAAATGGACAAGAAGGCTGGTATCTCCCCCCGCGAGACGACGTTAACAGTCCCGATATGTACATTCCAGGTAGGCGATGCAATGCTGGGATCTTCGAACATTGGGCAGGTTAGCTAATCGTGATACAGTCATGGCACTGGTGACATATATCCTTCTCTCGACCTTGATCGCTGGTCTCAACCACCAGTTCCAACCAGAACTTCTCGGAAAGACAGCTACAATCAGTCTCATCGTTGTCATAGTCGAGATCTTCTTCCTCAAGCTGGGATGTTATCTATTGAGCATCTCTAGCCAGTCTCAGCTACTGGACTTGATTGCCTATTCCGGATACAAGTTTGTCGGAATTATCGTCACCATTGTCGTTGCTGAGATCCTCAACGGTGGCAAGGGCACGGGCGGTTGGGTTGGTTGGTTGATCTTTTTCTACACCTACCTGGCTAACTCACTCTTCTTGGTAAGTTGCACGATTTCTCTGGCGATGCACAGCCATACTAATCCTTTTCTTAGATGCGATCCCTTAAATACGTACTTCTCCCTGAAACATCACCTGGCTCCAGCGGACCGATGCAGACAGATTCACGAGCGAAACGCAGCCAACGCACAAAGTTTCTCTTTATCTACTCATACTTTGTGCAGCTCTTCTTTATGTGGCTTCTCACCCGGGCGTAATGGGTGATCTTAAGCTGGCGGATTGGTGGCTGTGTCAAGGATTGTCTATAAAGATACGAATACTCAAAGGGGTTCATGTCCTGCGCTGCCTAGAAGATATAAAAGTTGGTCAATAGCGGGATGGAGATGGTAATGAGGGACGACTGGGGATGTATGATAACAGACTTGATCTGAATGACGTAGCATTAAAGAAACGTCAATGATTTGTCCGACTACCTACTATAAGAATGCCTTGCTGCCTAAGGTAGATCCTGTGAGTGGCCACCTACCTACTAACTTACAGAGTACATGAAATGTGGTTGACCTCGTCCAATCAAACAGGACACGCAACCAAACTACGCCTCTCAACCGACGATAGAGACTCCTATGGCGGGATTTACTCCACGTCACAATCCCTCTGTTTCATTATACTTGCAACTCTCCAATAACTATTTTGATAGACCAACTGCTCAGCGTTATGCGTGGTCTCCTGCTCATTCGTAGTTGTTAACTAAGAACACATCAGTAGTTTCAGGTATCACTAGAAATCCTGGCTCGCCTATCTTAGCGTCGATCTCTCATTAACGTTAACTCAACTGAGCACAACTAAACACGTTTCTATCTTCTCTTACTCATTCAAACCGTCTTCTCTGTTCTCCTAATAGCCCCCAATCCATTCCCACATACAGGAAAATAGCAAAATGGGTCTTGAATATCCTCCCGTGGTCATGGCCACCATCCAAAGTGCTGCACTTGGTGGAATTGCCAATATCTTGGCTCAAGTTATCACCGCGTACAGAGCTGGGGTAAGTCTCAAAGATAGACATTGACTTCCATGCCAGACAATGCTTGCTTCTGGACTATTCACTAACCAAAACGGCTTCCAGACTGATGTTGTTATAGACTGGGTCCCTGTCTTCCAGTTCTTACTCTTCAACGTTATCTGCACTCCGCCCAACTTCTACTGGTAAGCCTCACTCTCACTCCATACTGTAAACCTCAATCTCATATCCCGTCAGGCAAGATTTCCTCGAGTCGGCTTTCCCCGCCCATCCCGCTGAGTCCCCTAAAACAGAGGAGGTTAAGGGCGCCAAAAAGACACAGCCCAAGCTCTCTGTCCGCAACACGCTCATCAAGTTCACTCTAGACCAGACCGTTGGTGCCGCAGTGAACACTCTTCTCTTCAGCACATACGTCCACGCTCTGCGCACAGCTATCCATCCTGTCCCCGTCATAACCAGCCTCCCGAAGGCTATTACCTACTGGACGGCGCCCGGTACTCTGAACTTTGACCGCGTCAACTGGGCTACTGTCTGGGAGGCTGCCAAGGCTGACTTCGCGCCTCTTGTCTATGCTGGGTGGAAGCTCTGGCCTGCAGTAAGCATCGTCAACTTTGCAGCCATTAAGACTGTTGAAGGACGCAACCTTATGGGTGCATTAGCTGGCGTTGTCTGGGGAATCTACATGAGCCTGGTTGCCGCTCAGTAGATCTGTAGGCACTCGTTCAACAATGGACTCGGGAAAGTCAAAGGCCAGATAGCTCAAGGGTACCTTACACATGCGGTGTCTTGTCACCATAGGAGCGTAGTATTACTTGGTTAATAGTAAGATGCGAATAAACTCCTGCGACTACTCATCTAATCGCTGTCCCTAACGCTCGTGGAAGAACAAAGATAAATTAACAGTCCAACAATACTCCACTAACATGCTCCAAGTAATCGACGCAAGCAATATCAGCAAGTTCAATCACCATGTATGCTTATAAGTGATAAGTCTCGTTTTGCTCACCATATAGAGGAGCACGTCGAACAATCGCTGATGGACTCAAATAAATCTTCCTTATCGACTTCAACTCGAGGCACAAAATCTTTCGCACCCGGGTTGAATTGGAAAGTTCGCATCTTGACACCGCTGCTGCTTTCCCTGCTTGAGAGGCTCCTGTCAAGCTGTCTTGGTGGAATGGAAATTCGCCTCCTGGAAGTAGGGCCTATCATAGTGGGCTGGCTATCCTCGGTATCATTGCTGAGATCCCTATTTGTGCCTTGATGCCTCCGGGGCCGAAATATCACCCCTCCTGGTGTAGGGTCGAACATAGTTTGCCCAGCCTCGGCCATTTCAGACGGACGGCTACATCAGGCGACGATTCCCCGGGACACAGGTATGGTTTCTGGGTAGATATCGACATCATCTTCATCTGAATCTGCCACGAGAGCGGATAGAGGCAATGGATGACCGACCGCTGAGCTAGGACTTTGGTGGTGCTTAGACACTGAGTGATGGGATTGATCCAGTGGCCCTGGGGAGTGTTTCTGTTCCTCAAAAGGTCGCATGAACCAATCTGGATCCGGTGAAGTTGCAAAAATCTCGTACTTTTTGAAGAGGGCGTCTGCGACTTCGTACCAATGCATGAGCCAGGGCCTCAGTCCCCAGATGATGTCTACTTCGAGGTGAGGGCGCAACATAACGCATGCAAAGTTGTAAACAATGGCAAGAACCTATCTGACATCTTTGGGTAGCCCATCACGGGCTTGTATGATGCATGCCCACTCGCGAGCTGCTTTGAAAATGGGATCAGTGTCGCCTTCAATAGCACGCAACGGGCTGAAGACGTTAAGAAGGTCGATGTCTTTAGAGCATGGTTGGTAAGCCGTACAGCCATCGAATGTGATAAACCTCAGGAGAGATAGGCCGCGTATGTAAGGGTGAGAAATAAGGTGGCTCGATAGCCTCTGATATGTGACATCTTCGACAGGCAGTGCATTGTGATCGGGCATGTCTATGAATATCTCAGGATCCCCTAGATCTTCAACTCCAACAACACAGCCCAGAGCCGCAGATACCTCGGTGCGAAGTTCTTCCAAATCCGTTTGGGCGTCATTGGCGATCAACGATGATCCTAATACAAGCCCTTCCACATCTCGTCGGTAATTCCATAGAGTAGAAGGATGGTGGTGAAAATGAACAACCGCGCATTCTCCACACAAGGGTTGAAGAGTTGGTTCGGATGCGAGGATGGCATGAAAGCATTGATGAACAGGACAGACGTACTACGTGATCCCGGGGATCGAGAGACCTTCGTGACTGACGAGATTGTGAACATAGCCACCATACACGGTGAAGCAGCAGCACATTGTGGCCAGATATAAATGAATGTTGATGATAATAGAACGAATGATTGGAGAGGTTCCTCAAGAACTAGTGATAAAGATTGCGATTGTCTAGCGAGCTGTGCTTAAACATGCGTGATACTGGAAGAAGAAGCTGGTTGATAAGAGGAGAGAAGCGAGAAGCGTCGAGATACAAAACTCCATGGTAGGTTAGTACCTAGATGCCTGCCTGCCTTAAGGTAAGTCGTGCAGGCGTGTCCATCAGGCAAAAGCTCACTCACATCGGGAAAGTACGACCCAAGAGCCAGGTTATCGGGCCAGGCACTTGCCTGAAGACGCCACGGAAGCCATCGTGGAGTTTTGTTTGTTGCTCTAACCTCCAAATACTAACAACCCTACCAGCCACGAAAATGTTAGTGGCTCGGCCCTCCAGAAATTCGAGCAAGGTTTTGATCAAATGTTTCAAAATTATATCAGACCATCACGACATTCCTGGATGTTTCTTGTCATTGAATTTGTCAAGAGCTTTCGAGACGGTTACCACTCCCACCAGCAAGCTAAACCCTCTAAGCAGCCAGACCGCCGAATAACGGGTAGAGAACATAGGGATATTTCAACAACTAAGCAATGCTAATATTTACTACACAGTTAGTATCTTTACCCCTGGTGGCCGCATATGCTGGGCTCCTCCCTTTCAGGGGAATTAGCATTTTTCAGTGGCGGCCAACTAAAGGTACTGACTACGTACCTAGATATCGTAGGAACTGGGGTTGGAGTTTATTAGCACCCGATAGCTTGGTCCAACTCGGGAGATGCGCAAGCCCCCGAATCACCCAAACTCAAAATGGCAGACTAGTCAAGATGAGTGTGACAGTGACAGTGACAGCTGGCACTTCATGGCTGTATTAGTGTGTTGATTAGGCGAAGATAATTCCAAGATCAGTGAGCGTAGGCATGCAGAGGCGTTATCCATCTGTAGCAAACCCGTCTCTCTTTCTCATACTACCTGATGTGAGCATGTTATCTCGCAATAGAGTCATGAACCGCACATGCCGTGATGAAATTTTAGCGCAGCTTCAATGATGGTTGCACATTAGCTGAGTCGCCTGCATAAGCCCCATTCTATAGGTGGTGTTGCGTTGCAAGTAACAGTAGCCTACTGTCTACCCATGTTGTTTTTGTTGGAAAGAAATGCCTAGTGCCTCTCCTGCTGATGCGAGGAGGCGAATCAAGCATTGCAGTTGGCGAATAATTATAGTCCCGTCATTTGGTTGTGAGTTGCCATTGAATGCCGTATGCGTATGTATTTGATATGTTTGCCATGATAGAAATTTTGGTCTCGTTCCTGGGATAACACTATGAAACAGGCACTGGGATTCAAAATTACAATGTTGTCCCAAAACCGCTCAGTTGAAACGCCTTTGAAGTCATGGCGCTTTCAGCTCGGCGTCATGCCATGTGCTTTGGAGTACGGAGTAGACGTTGTCATGACGGCAAAACGGCTTCTTACAAATCGCGCCGACGGGCGCTACTTCACAGTTAAAAGTAATATATTCTCTATCTCCTTCTCTTTTCGCTCGAAGCGTTTCTTTCACCAACACTACAAAATTCAAGCCGCCGAAGCAAATGCTGGCTAGTCTCCCACTCCCCCCGGTCCCATCTCTGTACTCGACTTTACTAGTGCCGCAGCGTGTCTTAGCGTACATAGATTGTAAGGGGGACTTCAGGCGAGTCTAGATACTCGATCGGTGACGAACTCGAAGTCTATGGATAGAGAAATCGAGATGTGTTGCGGTTGAAGGAAAGCTTCACTACCTAGGTACGGAGAGTGCCGCGCATAAAGCGGCTCTTGTCCAAACGCAACAAGGGTAAGACGAACAAGTCGAAGCAGAAGCTTGGAAGTAAGAAATTCACCGCTGGCCAACAGACGGCACTACAGTGGGGCCGATGACTACCTGAATGACCGTTCCTCCTGCTGAAAAAGCCACTAAAAATTGTCATTCATTGCTCACTGACAACTTGCCCATCCACTCAGGCTTCTTTCGTAACAAGGAGCAAGGCATAAGACGCTCCACTTACGTACATTACATCCAGTGCCTGCCATTTATTTACCAGATCCCCCGATCCCAGCAGCATCTGCACCTGCACATGCATGCACCTGGATTGGATATACTTATACTTGGTAGTTAGCCTACAAGGCCAACCAAACGCAAAACACCACCCACCCATATCCGTTCAAATTTCTTACTACCACAACAGAGCAAGACGATGGCTTCACCCTCGTATTTGGGCTGAACTGTACTTGGGCTTTGTTTTGGTTCCTACTTTACACGTCACTGATCGCACGCGACTTCGACGACACCGAGCATCAAAGTTCGACTCGGTCCTGAGGCCCCTCCTCCAGTTTGCGACTGCAATGACGACACAGAGCCAAAACACAATCAATACCTCGCCTCGCTCTCGATATTACCTAAGTTGTCCACTCTTCGACAGCTGCCAGGTTCCCTTTTAACTCCGCCGGCTCTTCCACTTCCCATTCTCAAGGCTTGGCACGACTATCCTGCTCAATGCCGCCTCCAGCTCTTCAACACCTCGGTCTTATCGACCTCGTGGCTTCTGACCCTCGACCTACATTTGTTGTTGCGTTGCCCGAGCAAGCAGCTTTTAATGCGCCCTCCGCCAACGCTTCATCCTCCGCCGATATACTTTACCGAAACCCTGTCCTGCAAAACTCACATACCCTCGACCAGGCCATTGCCTCTATCCCTCAAGATGTTTCTCACTCACCCTTCTGGAATTGGGTCACGAGCCCACCACCCGAGATGCCAAAACCTCGAGCAGACGGTGCAGGCCCTACGCCAACAAATACGCAACATTCCCTACCATATCTCGGCGTCTACTGGACACGAAGCATTGTGTTAGGCCAATGGGTGGTGATGAGCGGCAACGAAACGCCTCCCTCTTCAGAACCCCCGCGTAAAGTACGAATTGAAGGAAAGGAAGGCGAGACGACAAGGAAATACCCGCAAAAGTCTCCATTGGACAATGCGCGTTTGCCGTCCCGAAAAAAGTCGGAGAGCAAGACTCCATTGCATTATCGCGACGAATCCAACCCAGGACTTATGGTGCCCATTTCCGACTCTGAGGCAGAGCCATTCCTTGATGTAGTCCAAAGCGTGGACTGGGAGTCGACAGCGTTGGGTCCCATGGCAGACTGGCCAGCTCAGCTCCAGCATACGTTCAATCAACTTGTTTCCGACTCTCGGCCCGTTGCGCTCTACTGGGGTTCTGAATATATTACCATTTACAATGAGGCCTTCTCCAAGTACTGCGGTTCCCAGCATCCTGGACTCTTGGGTCGCCCTGCAACCGAAGCTTGGGGTCACTTGAAGACTCGGCTTGACGAAATGACGGCTTCGCCTTTGAAAAATTACTCGAATGCCGAAGACGAGTCCAAATTCTTCATTCCTCAAACTGACGGCACTCTTGAAGAGACGTATGTCAAATCTTCCATGGTTCCTATCGCCTATGACAAGAAGTGTCTTGGCATTCAACACTCATTACTCGAAATCACCTCGCGGCGGCTTTGGGAGCGAAGAATGAAGATGCTCCTCGATCTGGGCGAGGCCTTGGTTTCGACAAAAGACGTCAAATCTTACTGGTCCAGGACCATTGAGGAGTTGGATCGCTGTAATCCAAACTACGACGTTCCGCTAGCTTTCATATACTCAGTGGAAGACGACGATGATGACTCAACATCGTCAAAATATGATTGTTCCAAGATCTGCCATCTAGAGGGCTCCCTGGGCGTACCAGAAGGGCACGCGATTGCGCCCTCAGTCCTCCACCTCAAAGAGACAGAGGAAGGCATGGCATCTGTTTTTCGAAAGTCACTGAATGGGCGCCAGCCTATACTTCTGCAGTCGAAGAACGGCACTCTACCGAATGATTTATTTCGTGGAGTGGCCTGGCGTGGCTTTGGTGATCCCTGCCAAGCTGCAATAGTCTTGCCCATCCGCCCCACAAAGGAAGAGAACGTAATGGGTATACTGTTCCTAGGTCTGAATCCTCGACGCCCATACGATAACGACTATCGGCAGTTCATATCTTTGTTGAACCAAAAACTCACGAGTTCTCTTGCTTCCACTGTCCTTTTTGAAGAGGAGGCACGGCGGCGGCGCAACATTACCGAACAAGCCGCCTATGACAATGCCATGCTCAAGCAGAGGCTAGAATACCAAACCGAGCAGACCGAGAGGTCCATGCAGATGTTCACTGCTGTGGCAGACTTTATTCCTGTGGGAATGTGTTTTGTCGACGTTGAAGGCAACATCACATTCGCCAACGATGCTTGGCATCGCATCACTGGTTATCCAAAAGGCCCAATCGTGCAGGGCGCATTACTTGAGTCCATACTTGAAGAAGACAAAGAAAAGGTCGTCCAAGCATACAAGGATGTCCATGAGCTCGATACAGTTACTTTCGAATACCGCATTGCAAGGATCGAAGGTACAACAGTAACAGACTCGACCGATTTCAAATCTTCAACTGGTTCTTTCTCCACCAATAACGAACGGGTTTCGCGCCACATTTTGGCTTCTACAAAAGCGGAGAGAGCTTCAGATGGAAGTGTTATTAGGATCCTGACTTGCTTGACTGACGTGACAATACAAAAAGACACCGCTGAAGAAGCCGTACGTCGAGCCCAAGAAGCAGAGAACCTGAAACGCCTCGCTGAGTTTGCTACGGTTGGAATGTATGATGTCAGCATGGACGGAAGACTCCTGAGCGCGAACAACCTCTTCTGGGAATTGACGGACTTGAAGAAAGTCGATCTCACCAAGGTTGATGTACGACCGTGGCCAGAATGTGTTGTCGAGGAGGATCTGCACATTTTGGAGGACAGCCTTGATAAACTGGCAAAATCTGGACGTACCGAAACAGCTGAGTTCCGCCTTCGCAATGGCTGGATTACTGAAGACAACGCCGGAAACACATCTGTTGCACCTCGATGGGTTCTTGCCACCTTCATGCCAGTCAAGAGCTCTGATGGCGTAATTCAGTCGTTTACTGGGTGTTTGAGTGATGTTTCCATACAGAAATGGCAATTCGAGCAGGAGAAACTACGCAAAGAAGAGGCTATCGAGTCTAAAAGGCAGCAGGAAAACTTCATCGACATGACCTCACACGAGATGCGGAACCCGTTGAGTGCTATTCTTCACTGCACTGACGCCATTATCGCTTCTCTGGCAAGGGTGCAAGATATCAGTGATAGTTCCGCCCCTCTTACACCAACACGAAACGGCTCTAATGGCGAAGGAAGCAGTGCTGGTGAAAGATCAGCCGAAGAAAGAAAGCTTATGGAGGACAGTATCGAAAATGCCGAGACTATTGTTACATGCGCTCAACATCAGAAGCGCATTGTTGACGACATCCTTACCATGTCTAAACTTGACTCAAAATTGCTGGCCGTAACCCCTTGCACGGTAGATCCGATTCAAATTGTCAATGGGGCGCTTAAGATGTTCGAAGTGGAGGCTCGTCGTGTGGATATCGAGCTCACCTCATATGTCGATAAGTCGTACAAGGACCTTCCATATGACTTTCTTGATCTAGACCCAAGCAGAGTTCAGCAAGTTCTGATCAATCTTCTTACAAACGCCTTGAAGTTCACCAAGTCTGGCACTACCCGGACCGTCACCGTTGGCGTCAAAGGATCATTGGAACCGCCAGGTGAAGACATGACTGTTGTGCAGTTCATCCCACGATTCTGCGATGTGTCTGAAGAATACGAACAGCCCGCGCTCAAAGAACGAACTCGCCCAGTATATTTGTTATTCGAGGTTAAGGATACAGGCCAGGGTCTGACGGTGGAAGAGATGGGGAGCCTTTTCAACAAATTCGTCCAAGCGAGCGCCAAGACTCATACCAAATACGGAGGCTCCGGCCTTGGACTATTCATCTCACGGCGTTTGACGGAACTCCAGAACGGCGCAATTGGTGTCGCCAGTCAACCCGGTGTGGGTTCGACATTTGCATTCTACATCGAGGCATATGTTCCAAGCGATGCTTCCAGGAACGAAGCCCTGGCAGCAGCTGCGGCGGCCAGGCTGGTTGCTGGTACCGATAGTGCGGGTGCGATTGATGGCAAACGACCTTGCCGCGACAGCCGTTTGCAGAAACACCAAAACTCAGGAAGTCTCGATCGACTTGATGGAATCCTGGTTGTTGAAGACAATCTTATCAATCAACAGATTACTAGACGCGGATTAACAGATCGGGGTTACATGGTCGATGTTGCCAATCATGGAATCGAGGCCCTCGAAAAACTGAAACGCCGACAAGGTGCCACGCCAGGAAGTGGCCTGAAATTGGGCATCGGTCGCACGGGACGGAGCAACATCAATCCTTTACCCATCTCCATCAATCTAGTTCTCATGGATATTGAGATGCCGATCCAGGATGGGTTGACCTGTACCCGAATAATTCGCGAGCTAGAAGCAGAAGGAGAGATCTTCTGTGCGTCTGGAGGTCGCATTCCCATCATTGCCGTAACAGCCAACGCACGACCGGAGCAGGTTATGGAGGCCAAGCAAGCTGGGTGTGACGATGTGATGGTGAAGCCATACAGAATTCCGGAGCTTATCGAGAAAATGCAGGTGGTGGTGCGACGTATAGGAGGACTTAGCCCGAACTCCCCGGTCAGATGATGGTTATCACGCGAGAAGGCTGGAAAACAGCAACAGCCTCCGGTGAAGGCTAGGTTATGTTTAGGAGGCAGGCGTTGGTGAGAGTCAAAAGCGAAAGCATGGTACAGTCGATCTCAAACTGTCTGGAACAGGGCGAACCCGACGGAAATATCAAGTCAAATATGGGAGGTATATAAAATGCGGCCGCATAAGAAGGAGTTTTGGCATTGCCACGCATAGGCATTTGGAGTTCTGGGTTTTGACCTTTTGACATTTTGGGTTAATAATACCAGGACAGCATTGGATTGGCTACAAGCACCCTATAGGCAAATGGGCATTATCGATGAAGCCTCATGATGAAAGGTTGCATTGCTTGATGGCTTAAGGACAGAAATTTCGACTAAGCGTTTGATTTGTTGAATAACAATTGAATATTTGAGATAGACATCATATTTTGTCATGGACCAAAACTAGAAGGTGCTGTTGGGATGCTCGTGAAGTTTCGTACGGAAGTTGCTGTTCCCGACTCATCTTATTCATGACATCATCATTGGTTATTGAAGCTCCTGCCCCTCCTCCCCACAGTGCATTATAACTTAGAGAGCCCCATCCTACCCTGCTTGTTCCGTCGTTGTCTTGTCGATACAGCAAACCGATCAAGAATCTTCCTTTCCCATCTTCTCTGATCAAATTTGTAAGTGATCGTCTTTTCCCCGGTCCAATGACCTCAAATCGTCCGAAGACTTCTTCTATCTTACCAAGATCGAAGCATTAACTAACACATAACACACAGCTCAACAGCGAACGCGAACTACCCCGCCAACAAAGACCAACCAAACCGCCCATCATGTCGACTATGCCCGCGTCCCACGGCCACAGCGAGGCCTGCTGCAACATTCCTCCGGTCGTTTCCAAGGGGTATGAGGCCAAGGGAACATATAAGGATATCGGAGGCTACAAGACTTGTACGAATGTCATCGCCCGTCGCTAGAAGAAACCACTAACATGGATAGATGTCACTGGCCCCGTAGACGCCAAGAAGGCCATTGTCGTGATCTACGACATCTTTGGCTACTTCGATCAGACTCTCCAGGGCGCCGATATTCTTGCCTTTAGCGACGCTCACCAGAAGTACAAGGTTTTCATTCCTGACTGGTTCAAGGGCAGCCCATGCCCCATTGAGATGTAAGAGAGCGCAATTCTGTATCCTACTGTGGCTCTGTAGTTTCACACTAAACATCGATCCGCTACCAGTTACCCTCCGGACAATGACGACAAGAAGAAGCAGCTTGGAGACTTTTTCGGCGAGTACCCTCCTCCCAAGGTTGCGGGTCAAGTTCCAGACTACGTCAAGGCCATCAAGGAGCAGGACTCGTCCATTGAGAAGTTCGGAATTCTTGGTGTAAGTATGATTCAATAGCTATGGGGTCTCACGACTGACATAAACTGAATAGTACTGCTGGGGCGGCAAGGTCGTTGCCTTAAGCGTCAAGGCCGATTCCAATCCCTTCTCTATCGCTGCCCAGATTCACCCTGCCATGGTCGACGCCTCGGACGCCGAGGGTCTCTCAGTCCCTACCATGCTGCTTGCTTCCAAGGAGGAGCCTGAGGAGGAGGTTAAGAAGTTTGAGAACAACCTCAAGGTGGCCAAACACGTCGAGGTCTTCAAGGACCAAATCCACGGCTGGATGGCTGCTCGTGCTGATCTCAACGATAGCCGTGTCAAGGAAGAATATGAGAGGGGTTACAAGACTGTCGTTGAATTTTTTGGTAGCAACTTCTAGAGACACAGATTCGCAGGGCTTGTCTATTGAAAGAAGCAATGTATCTATGCTATGAGATATGATGAAATAAATAAGACATAATATGATATAACAATTGCGCTTATGCTTGGTCATTATTCATGTCATGCCTGTGAGAATCATGATCAGGACGCCTTTTCCCCGAATGCCAACACTTCATCTATGTCAAGGTTTTGGAACTCTCTCATCTCGACGGTTTCTCCATTGTGAGCATTTCTCACTGCAGTTGAGACCATGTATTCTTCCAGTAAGGGTACTAGCCTCACGTCCACACCCTCTACCTTTGCTCCTCTGAGCCAAACTTGCTGAGGTTCTCGCATATCCTCAGGCGGGGCAAAGCCTCGCATCTCGAGATCCTTCAACCAACTCGCCAGGAGTGCATCGCCCGTCATCTTGACATAGGCTTCTCGGAGACACCAAAGCGCATAGAAGTAGCGCAATGCCCGATCCCGCTCGTGAGTAACAGTGCCAGGTTTCATGTTCTTAAGCGCCGAGACTTCGCCAATGCCAAAGACATCGGCATGTATATCGACAAAATTTGGCCATCCCTCATCTGCCAAACTACTTAGATCTCGATTCCTACGTTCCGATGGGCACACGACATCCACTCCTACAGCAAGACCTTCTGGTGGCTCATGCACGGCGAGGAGAACTGCGAGACCAGCCTGATGCGAAACATTGAAGATTAGAGGCTCATCACCGCTTGGCAACAGAAACACGGGCTTGGTGCGGGAGTCGCGAGTGATGTTGGCCTGAGACCAGGGGACTCGGCAGAAGCGAGAGATTACATAGCGCTTAAGAAGGACTGAAGCGAGAGCGAGCTTGGCGTCGCGAACGTGGTAGTATCTCAAGACAGACGATCGCTCATCGGATGTGAGAAGGGAGAGCGCGCGCGAGGCCTAGAGGTTTGAGGTGAGTATCAAGTTGTGGCGTCCAAGTCAAACACTTACACTGCTGGTAAGGTCTTGGGTTTTGACAGCAGAGGGCCAAAGAGGACGGGTGTCGATAACCCATTGGATGACTGTGGGTGAAGATTGGGTCTGACTCATTTTTCGTTACAGGTGATACTATACGCTATGCGACTTGTCCTGTAACGGGTGAAAAAGAACGAGTGTTTGAAGTCCCGTATGAGAAGAGAGTTTGTGAAGTGAAGTGATAGTCGCGATGAGATATATGAAACTCGGAAGCCGAGAGAGATGAAACCGGGCCAGTCGGAGGTGGGGCCCAGATGACGACGGCCCGGCCGAAACACGGGCCGGAGCTATATAGCATTTACTATGAATGATTAACAATTAACAATTCAACCAATATCGAGTATAAATATATGGGGAATAACCAGTATTTGAAATTTCTGCTTTCCTCAAGCAGGTTCTTGCCATCGCCAGACTCCTGGGAACCAATCCTACAGTCGAGTCTTGCACAAGAATTCTGCCATTCTTCTCTCCTTGACAACAACAATAACCATGGTCGGCCATTGAACTATCGTGGCATTCCGTGTCCAACAGGAGATTTCTTATTTAATTTTATCTTATTTACTTTACTTTACTTTATGTTGCTTCATATTTATCCCTTTCCTGCTCTACCTCAAACCTTAGCCAAGTTGGCTTTTTGAGAGCCGCAGCATATTCTACTTTACCTTTTTCTGGCTTCAGCCAAACGAGCCGTGTTGCGTCAAGCGAATGTTTTCTGTCAGGCACCACTCGGTATTCATATTAGCAGTAAACCGAGTGTTCTTCGATACTGCCAACCAAGAAATCAAGAGACACGCTTCTTACACATGCAACACTCTCGCTTTTATACTATTCATCCCGCCCATCTTAACGCCGACTGTTGGGCACAACAAACACCAAAGGAAGCTCAATTTCAGAAATATGTACACACAAAGCATGTTTCTGTTACCGGGCCGATGGTGTCTACCCCTGCGAAGAGTCTGAACCTTTACGTGGTGCAGGGGATTAAGGACGTTGGTGGTGGCCGATGTCTACTAATACAGACTCGATAAGTTTACGAAACGAACGAAGGAGATACGGGGATGGTATATGGATACGGAGACGATTGAAATTAATGATTAATATTCCTGAAGCAGTCCAGATATAATATTAATGTTAATGATAATGACAAAACGCTGTTTCCAACCGTAGAATTCGTTGATAAAACGCTGCAGTGTCAACCCTACAATTCTTTGACTTGGACGAAAGATGGGACATAGAGAGCTCCAGAAGAATCGCAGCCTAGAGTCTTACTCTTCTAGTGCATTATAATCTTTTTGTTTCGAAAAAAGATTATGCATATCCTCAAACTCTTCGGCGTAATCCGGTTCTGTTCTGCGATTTCTATCTTCAAAGAAGGATAACAGACGCGCGGCTTCATGACTCTCGTCAAGATCAAACTGTCCAGAACACTGAAAACAGGTAACGGGCTTACTTTGCGAGTCCCAATCCACGTAGTCAATGATTCTGTCGTGATTGCCAGAATGGTTGGCGGAACCGTGCTCCAAGGAGAAGTTAAACTGGGGGGTTCCTGGGATGGTGGTTGGATCTGTCGAGTCGTGGTGGAAGCGGCTGGTGTTAACGATAGGACCATTAGATGTGCCTTGATGTGCAGTATCTTCGTTGAATTGGAAGCTCGCTTCAGATGGTTCCGGCTCAAGGAGTCCCACGAATGTGCAGGAAACATCATCTACGGTATCGTCATCTGTCGAGTCGATAACTGATGCTGATGCAGACCCCCTGCATGGAATAGAACCGTTGTTCTCGCCGTCTGCCAAGCCGATACTTTTTCCTTGAACGTCTTTTCCGTCGTCCTTAGAGACAGGAGTCAACTCTTCACGAGTTGTAGAATTATTCTCCGGGACATCGTCTGACCCCGAAGAGATATACACAACATCTTGTATCTCTTCTTTGTCATCCTCTGATACGCGTGCGGAGGAACTGATACCGATAGGATTGTGTCGTCTATCACGACGTCGTACATCGCGAATAGGTGGAGTTGCGAGCCCGTTGTGTAACCGGACAGTCATCTTGTCTATAAGGAAACACTTTTGTAATACCTAAAAGGGTGATACAAGATGATCTTATACCAATGCTGGGTCAGGTTAGTGATATATGTTGATATCAGGGTGTAGCAGTTCCAGAGTTGATGGAATATGACGAAAGATATCAGTTGAGTCGCTGATGTCTTGACTTGTGTAGCAAAGGTAAAGGGGGAAGGAGGAAGGTTGGCATGACTGTGGGAAGGAGGGCTGGACTTGTTTAAATACTTGAATTATATTAAGTTTGACAGATTTCAGCACTGTTAGAAAAACCATGTCCTTACAACAAGCCTTGTGAGGGAATCATCTTTCTCGTTACCCTCTTCCCTCGAAAGTATGATAATGATACATGCTATTGTATCCATAGATTACACCTCAGGTGGGCAGTCGGCGTCCAACTTACGGCACAATAATACTCTAATGTCATGGTCCATATAAGCCTTGGATGTTGACATGTGCGCAGATTGTAAGCTGATCTGTTGTATTTATCTATGCTGGTATCGTCTGCTCTATTTTGCTTGTACCGCCCCTGCACCTCGCTATCTACCAAAGCATTGTTGCTTAGATCATACCAACTAATCACTCTCCGCCTCAGTATCAATCGAGAGCATGAATACGCGGTGCTGATCCTTGCTGTCGCCCTTCTTCTCGTCCTTTTTCTTCTCATCCTCCTTGATCTCCTTATCCTTTTTGTCGTCCTTTTCGTCCTTCTTAGTCGTATCGACAACACCATCCTCAAGCTTTCCGATTGTCTTGATTGGATTACCCTCGCCGTCTAGATCAACAACTACGTCGACAATGTCTAGGCTTCCGTCCTCGGTGTACTTCCACATCTGCTTGATCTCCCCACGAACCAGGCCTGTGAGCCAGAGGGAACCCAATACGCCAGGAACAAGGTACAGCAACGCGGGCTGGCCCCGCTTGAATACTAAAAGCATGGCCAAAGTGACCCACATGCCGAGGAGATAACCGGTAATTGAGGCGTAGAAGTAGGTCTTGCTGAAGCGAGTAGCAGCCAAGTCTGGAGGCAGTTGCCCAGATCCCGAGAGGAAGAACGCTCCTCGAGTCCAGAGGTTGTCCCCCCAGTTACCCTTGACGTTGACGTACTTGGCTTTGACCTCCTTGTGCTTGACTTCGCTTTTCGTTACAAGAGCTCCTGACGCCGGATCCTTCTCAATAAGCTTCAAGTCTGTGCTTTCGTACTTAATCTTGCGCTCGTAATGGAGCCAAAGATCAAACCGAAGGGCTAGAGCCATGACCATGCCTGGGATGACAATATCACCAAGTCCAAGAATACTCTTGTGCGACCCGGTCTCAAAGGTAAGCTTGATGGGTACATCCAACTTAGTGGCGACTGTGACCATATAGGGGCTAAAAACTGTTAGCATCGAGGATGAGTACAAGAGTCAATGCTATTAACTTACGTGTAAAAGACCATGACTATATCGTAGAAGAACAAGCCGATAAGAAGCAGAGTGCTGGTCAGAAAGTCCGTGGGAGAAATCAGGAGAAGCGAGCCATAGCACATTGCGTAGCCAAGTGTGTTGGCCAACAAAGGCGAGGTAGTATACGAGTAGACAAGTGCAGTGACCAAGGCCATAAGCAACGACACTACATGCGCAAACTTGATTCTGCCCTCCTCTTTACCCATGCCATGCATGAAGAACTTGATGGCCCAGTGTCGGGTGAGTAAACTGCGTAGCTCCCATCCTGACTTGCGAAGCTTTTCGGTGAATGCCAAACCGGCGAAAGGTCCAGGGAACGGGTTGCCTGTCTCCAAAATTTCTGCGGTTGGATTGCCTGCATCGTCGCAAACCGCAACAGACCTGGTCTTCTGCTTTACTGCCCTTAAACGTCCGTCCCGTCCGCGCCAGTACCGGGGAAACACGAGACTCGTAACGACCTCAATACCGTGGGAATAAATAGACACCAAGCTGGCAACTGACATGGTGGACATGTACCAGCGCAGAATCTTGTTGAGAATATTGGGGTCTTGAAGATACTGGATCAGGTAGTACAGACTAATGAGGACAACGCCGGCCATGAGTGGAAACATGATGGCATCAGAAGGCTCCAACCCCTGGGCGAAGCGCTCTTCGTCATCTTTCTTCTCACCTGGTTTCTTCTTCTTTGCCGGAGCGGCGGAAGGAGGTCGACGAAGAGCAGCGTGGGCACCGAGATAGATGATGCCGATAGAGCTGAGAACGAGTCTGATCTCAAGCAGGAGAAAGCCTCGGTTTTGAAGATACGAAAGGCAAGAGACCCAGTTGCTTCCGTCTTGAACAGTCGAGTTCAACGCGTCGAAAGAGCCCTCGACAGTGGTGATATTTGTCGTGTTTTCCGCCATGGCTTGGCTTGTAGATGGCGCTGCTGGTGATGCTGTAAGAGAGCAACGTGTTCTAAGCCTAAGCGGGTTGTGAAAATGTTTGGCTAAGGCTGTATCATCTCAGTAAGAAATATCAAGCGGCGAATATGTTAATTTGATGTCCTGGGTAGAGATCTGCCGTAAGGTTTACAGATCTGCTGTCAGACTTTCTGACGATAAACTTGTACGGAGGCGAACGACGAAATAGAGTGTTTTGAGTTGCATGTAGTGTCTCTGTTCAAATGACGTCTGCTGGAAATGCTTGAACAAGCATAAACCTGAGGCTGAAGGGAGCCTGGAGGCGCGCTGTACAGTTCGGTGCAGAAAGTCCGGTCTAAGAGTAACCCAGCTAGCGATATATAAAATAGTAAAAATATATTAAATACATAGTAATTGGAGAATCTTACACCATATTATAGAATAAATCTATATAAGACTGTATAAAATAATAAGTATTTAGTATTCTTTATAAAATTAATACGAGATTGTCAGAATTTTGAGACGTCCACTGTAGCTCAGGGATCTTCAGCCCCTGCAGAGCCTCTTTCTCCAGCGACCCAATCGCTTAACTCCAGTCGCTAGAACCACCAGGAACAGCATCAGAAAATGCGCCAGCCTTGTCATGCCCCTCCATCATAAACAAAACACGATACAAGCGCAATCATGACCACAAACATTGTGCTCGAGACCACAATGGTACATCTCTCTGCTTCTAAGCCGACGAACCTTCACTAACTAGCGACAGGGCTCGCTCACTCTTGAGCTCTACACCACCCACGCTCCCAAAACATGCAACAACTTCACCACTCTCGTCCGTCGCGGCTACTACGATAACACCATCTTCCACCGCATTATCCCCAACTTCATGGTCCAGGGCGGCGATCCTACAGGGACCGGCCGCGGCGGAAGTTCTATCTTTGGCGAAAAGTTCGAGGACGAGATTGACCCGGGTCTGAAGCACACAGGCGCTGGTATCCTGAGCATGGCCAACGCAGGCCCCAACACGAACGGATCGCAGTTTTTTGTCACACTTGCGCCTACGCCGTGGCTCGATGGGAAGCATACTATCTTTGGCAGGGTCAAGTCTGGCATGGGCACTGTGAAGAGGATGGGTATGGTCAAGACTGCATCGGAGGATAGGCCTGTCGAGGATGTCAAGATTGTCAAGGCCCGCGTCGCAGAGGAGGAAGAGCAGATCTAAGCAGGAACAAGTTATAAGAAGTCTCGGGTTGGATGCATTTGCATTGATGCCTGGCGTTCAGGAGCATAAGCAGGTTACATACATGTCACGGTCATACAATCACATATCGCCTCAAGATCATATTTGAAAGTATCCATTGTTATACTTAATACGTACGCCCAAAAACGCCCCGGTCCCTTTTCCGTGGATGCTGTGAATACCCGGTCCCGGTAAAAACCTAACCAACCAACCGCCTGCCGTTCAATGCAATGATGTTGAGAATAATACAGGTAGAATAAAGGATCTTGATAAGCAAATGGTCTCTTTGGTCGCGTAATGTCCTCAATCGTATCCAACCATGTCTTGTTGATCAGGGCACACCTGCAAAGATATACCACCAAAAGTAAGATGCATCGTTTGAGATACTGACATCTGAGCAAGTCTTGTCCCCGTGAACAATAGTCTATTGAGGGGATGAGAGAGTATCGGAAGATTCCGACTCTCCCGTGGCCTCACGTATGAGATTAGACTTGGGCTTGGGCGATCCTAGCTGAGGTTTGTTCATCTTAAGCTTCTTAACAGGACTGATGCCCTTAGACACAACCTTCTTAGGAGCCACCTCCACTGAATCGCCATTGGTGTAGTCAGCCTTCTGCTCCTGGCTCAAAGACGACAGGCCCTTGGTCTTATCCTTCTTGAGGTTTGGCTTAGTCTTAAGAATCACCTTCTTGGTGACGGAGGAAGTATGCTTGAGCTTCTTCTTCTTGTGACTGTTTTCAGAATCTTCGTCCTCCTCGCTGGCATCCCGCTTCTTGGGACTAGCGGCACGAGATCCAGGCGCAGGTGTCGCTTTCTGTGATGAAGGTGGTGTAGGGTCGTTCTGAGATCCGCCGTTGCTCAACTTCTGCGCCGCAGCTCTGCTGGCATTGCGACCGCTGTTTCCAATGCAAGAACCCATGTGGTTATTGAGGCGAGTGACGAGAATGCAGCGCTTGCACTTGCTGCAGGTAGCAGATGGAAAAGAGAGCACGTTGGGAGGTCGCTGTTCAGGCATAGGAGAGTCGCTATTGTTCTTTTCCATGTCCTTCTTCTTCTTGCCTCGACCAGGCCCGGGCCCAACCCAACTCTGTCCATAGATGTCGCATCCGGGTTTATCAATATAGGGGTGCTTTTTACAGTATATGATACCAGGATCGGGATTTTGAGCGCCTTTTCCATCGGTGGGATAGAGGAGTCGGGGTAGATGACATCGGGGGCAAAGAATTTCAGCCGTGGTCTTGAGAGGGTTGCCCTTGAGCAACACTTTTCCATCCTCGTATATAGCTGCATCTGTCTCAATTCGCACGTCTGGTTTTGAGTCAGGTGTTGAACTGTCGGACGCGTCGGACGCCAGTTTCTCGATTCGAATGGCAGCAGTAGTGGCTCTAGCCGTCTTCTCTTCGCGGTGCGTTTTCATCAATAGATCGCTCAAAACATTGAAAAGTACATCGTCTAGTACAGCATGCGCCTACATAGTGTTTGTATTAGCGATCCATCAGATATAATATTGCCGGTAGATGATGAGCGAGAAGCTCAATGCGAAGACACCGCGATAGGGGGCGCAGAGATGAGCCGTCGCCGCAGAGGCCATGATGGCGCTCGCTCGCGGCGTTGGCTGAGGAGCATCGCAGGGATGGACATGCACATCAGTAAAGAGTCGATACTTACCAGCTTGTCCATAGATGAAGCATCATCTTGGGCGCTTATCACGCCCGCCCTGCCCGTACCAGCATTCATGATGTCGCCGGATATTCTAAATCCGAGCCAGGGCCGACGAATTTGTAAAGCGGAGGGTGTGTAACTGAAATCGTGTGATGATGCCGAGGAGCGAAACGGCAGCTACCGGGCGGAGGGGGGGTGTGGACGGAATTGCAGCCGGGGTACAGTAGTGTTGCTGCTGGTTATTGCGATAAGAGAGAGAGAAAAAAAACTTGGGGGAAGATTGGACTTGTAAGGAGATGAAGGCTCGGAAAGAAGTGAGAGAATTAACTGTAAGGAAGAATTGATTAAGAACAAGTACGAGTAAGAATCGCAAGAATGTCCGTTTGCTTGTATAAAAAGTGAATAGCAAGAAGAGCCAAACAATGGGGAAGAGTAAGATTAACAATAACGTTAATAATTGAGGCTCTATCCTCCAGCCTCCAAATGTAGGTAGGCACTGGCGCTGCACTGTAGTTTGCGGTGCAGTGTTTGCGTCTGCGAGTTTGGTGACGCGGAGAGAGAGCTGGAGACGTGCTTTCTAATTAAGTAAGAGAAGGGCATTTAAAAGAAGAGGCAGAAGCTTGCTCCCAAAAACACAGCGATGGAGTTTCGATGCGCCAGTATCAAACCAAAGATGACGGATGGGATTTAAAGTGAAGGGGGAAATTTGAAGCCTGTGTAAAGGTAAAAGCAAAAATCTCAAGGCAACAAAAAGCCACTCGAGCCGGAGCTTCAGAGCGCGCCAGTGCACCCCAGGGCCCAATGTCAATTGTCAGCCACCAATACAGTAAGAGCAGGTTTCGGAACGTCCAGGTTAAAGGGAATATCCGTTACGGATTTACGTACGGAGTAGCTTATGGTAAACCCGTTTATTACCTCTATATATTTAATGATATGAATCATGAGCTATAAAGTACAGGAGAACTATCATTGTACTAGATTTTCTCAAGTTACCTTAGCCTAAAATATCTTGATGTATTACATTATGTTTGGAAGACTTTATATACAATCCTTAAGTAAGAGTATATAAAAGTGTGTAAAATATAAGATTTTATTATAATCTATTTCATATTATAAGAATAAATAAAGTTTTTTATTATTTATATAATACTAGATATAATCTAGAACGGAGGAAATTATTAGAACTTTTACACACCTACTATATTCCACCATATATAGCAGTTAATATTGATAATGGGATTCTGCTCTAACTACCTAGCTAATCATAGGATGTCGAATTAGCAACTGTTTCCCAATGTTTAGATGGCATCGTTACAGATTCGTCAGTGCCATAGTAGTCCAATTGACCCCCTTCTGAAGTTTATACCACAACTATGCGAGGGACGATCAATTTTAACTTTGACAGCCACGGACGCATCTGATAACTCAATAAATTTGTGACTAGTTGAACAGTAAAGTACGGAATGACTGAGGAATTCGATATATAGGAAGTGTTGGTATTAACTGAGTGATGTTTACGGATACAGCTCCCGAATTCTCACATATTCATCTACTTACTCACATCAATCCCTGAACCCCTTAAACCTTCAACTCGATAAAGTCCACCTGTGAAATCGACTTTCAGGGGGGGGCGGGCACCTCACCAAATAACTGGTAACGATATGCTGCTAATTACAGAAACTGGTGGGATTCGTCTCTGCGAATGGCAATCGACTTCAGCCAAGATTTCTCACATGGGATTGGCTGCCCCTCGCCTCACTTAGGTAGGCACTCAGTGGGCGATCTGCGCTAGTCTACAGTACTTGCAGCCCAGACTAGTCTAAAGAGCCTCCTGTTCCAGGTCCCATCCTCCCTTGAGATTTCGTTTTGACTCCTTTGAATACCTCCCACGAAAGCATAAACAAACCCCTTTGCTCCGGATCTACTTATCTTCCAGGCTCACAAAGTCCTTGCATTAAGGTTTAGGTTGGGCTGTTGTCTCGCTTACCCCAGCCTTTCTGTTTCTTTCTCGCTGTCACTATATCAAAGTGGTATATCTACTACACTTTTCCGTCGTAAACGAGCAAACGAGACTGTCTTCATACTTGACAAATATACACGACCAATATGTCACTCCCAATCACGAAACCCGCCCAGACTTCCATCCGATCCTTCTTCTCAGCCAAGGCTCCCAAATATGCGCCTCCACCTTCTCAATCCGGCCCTGTTGAACTCTCGAGTCCTCCCCCGCCGCCAGCAGCAGCTGTCCCTCCACCGACCACAAGCTCGTCAGACTTGACGACTCCTTCGACATCCTCGCTCGACATCCCACCTCTCCCGACCTCTCTCCCTCAAGAAGCTACAATCCGACTCGTCTCGGGCGAAGATGTGAACGCTCTACGTCGTATCAACGCCCTGTTGCTTCCCGTTAGCTATCCCGACAACTTTTACCAGCGCGCCTCGGACCCTACAGCCTCTGGTCGCTTCTCCCGGGTCATCACTTGGTCACACGATGGTGCCGAGCCCAAGGTCGTTGGTGGGGTTGTTTGTCGCGTTGAGCCTACGCTCGATCCCAACAGTCAAGGCACGGTACCTCAGAACCTCTACATCCAGTCCCTTTGTCTGCTCTCGCCATACCGATCGCTGGGACTCATTAACGCCGCCGTTGACAACATTGTTGCGACTGCTGTGTCCGATCCCAATTTGAACGTAACAACTGTCACAGCACATGTATGGACTGAGAACGAGGAGGGGTTGAAGTGGTATGAAGGCCGAGGGTTCAAGCGCGAGAACCAACCCATTCAGGGCTATTATCTCAAACTGCGTCCGAACTCGGCCTGGCTGGTCAGCCGGCCCACTGGCGCTTCTGTCCGAAGCTTGATTCCTTCATCCTCCTCTGCGCCTCAACATTCTCTGCCTGAGAGCGCAACGGCCCCAGTCGCCAATTTGTCTGGATCGTCGGGGCCTCCTATGAACGGCACTTCACGACCCAACATGCCCCCCTCTGGAAAGTCCTACCAGAACCAACGACCCGAAACCGAGTGGAACGATCTGCCCGAGGACATGGCGAGCAGTCGACTTGCACCACCACCCCGTGGAGCGGCTGGGGGTACTGGGTCTAATACAAGCTCTAGGAGTAGCTCTGCAGCTCGTAAGAAGAGAGATCGCTCTTATCCCGCGGCGGCCTTTGGTAGCTAAAGCATAGGTTTAAAAAATTAGACAGGTACAAGTGGGTAAAGAGAATTGGGAACGTTTCACGAAGGCATATGATTTCAATGGCAGGATAATGGCAGGGTGGGATAGATACGCTTAAAAAGAAGAAGGCTAGGTAGACTTTGTCACAGTAATAGATCACACGACATAAAAAGCATAGTGAAGTTGGAAATGCTTTAAACACATCATGAAATTAACTCGTCATAAAACCAGTTGCCTCATGCCTATACAGCTTTTGAATGCGACAAGAACGCAAAAAGTAAAGATATTGAAGACAGAAGACGCCGAAAGTCCCAACGAACATAACACATCCCATCAGATGCACGTATATACATAAATCTTGCTACAAGTTAATAAAACAAAGAAACTCCAAAAAGGTATTTCAGCCCAAGCAATAGTATTCGTTGCTCATCGCCGTTTGCTGTACCAGATCGCTGCTAGCGCAAGAACACCAACGACACCACCGATTAGTAGTGCCTGGTTAGAGAGTGGTGCTGAGTCGACTGTTCAAAAAGTTAGCAGAGGTCGCTTAGCTAGAAGCCGAAGCCTGAATAGCTTGGGATGAAGGGTAGAACATACGGATCGCATCAGAAGACTTGCGAGCGCGGTTGGACTCAGATCTCAAGTTAGTCAAGTAGTCTTCGGGCTTCTCCCTGCCAGCAGCCACAAGGGCAATGAGAGCGGCACCAACACCGCTACCGTCCTTAGCGATACCGATTCGGATCTTCTCAGCGCCCTTGGGGCCGATGCCGTCAATGGCTCGGAGGGCCTCGTAGATCATATCCCGGAAGAAGGGATAATGCTCGACAAGACTGCCGTCCACACCAATATCGATAACGTCTTCGCTGATATCATCGAGCTTGCCAGTGTTGATAGCAATGGCGCCAATGGCGACAGCGGCCAGTCGAGCAGCACGACGGCCAACAGCGTTGGAAACAGCCTTGAAGGCCTGGGCGTCCTCAAGCGAGGGGGTGTAGACATTGAGCAGGTTTTCGAGCTCCTGGCGAAGAGTGGACAACTCGGGGGTGTTGTCAGCAGCCGCCACAGACATGATGGAGCTATCAAGTCCCCAGGGCTTGAGGAAGCCAGATGTGGGGGCGATGGTGGTAGTGGTACCCCAGTCGTTCGTGCTCGAGTTGAGATCCTTGAATAGTGCAGAGTTCTCGTTGTTGATCATGTCGGCCACAGCCAGTCGGACGATCTCACCCAAGAACATACCAGACACACGCTTCTCGAACATCTGATCGCCAGGGTTCACACTTCCGGCGTCAAGAGCCTTGTCCCATGGTGTGGAGGGCAGAACATTGAGCTGGTTATCGAACGAACCCCACTCTGTGTTAACAACCATCTCACCTGTTGACTCGTCATATTTGCCTGAAATGGGTTTCTTGATATTATCGAGTTTCTCCATGTAGGCTCCATTGGTACCGGTACCGAAGATAGCACCCAGGACAGATCGGCCCTTGCTTGTTGAAGTGTAGGATCGGGCCATGAGGGTACCGACGGTGTCGTTGACGAGAGCGGCAACTTTGACGGGGAGGTGGAGGTTGTCGATCTCGGTCTGAAGAAGGGCACATACATCCTTGCCCACGGCGTCAGGAATATCAAAGCCCTTGGTCCATCGAATCAGCAGGCCCTTGTTAATGGCAAGCTGCTTGACAGGAAAGCTGAATGTGAAACCCAGGCGGAAGATGTGCTCATCGCGGTAGCCGGAAGGAGCGCTGGCAGTGTTGCGGCGGCGCAGGTGAGAGTTGAAGTGGTCGGCGTGGTGTTCCTTGAGGAAGATCTCGATCTGCTTGGCGAGGAAAGAGAAGAGCTCTGAGGAGGTCTTTGCGACCATAAGCTCCTTGGGGATGGCAACCTTGTTGTATGTGAGGTTAAATGTGGTATCGCCATTGAGCATGATGGAGCAAACTCGGAAGTTTGTGCCTCCCAGGTCAACGGCTAGGTAGAGGCCCTGGTGGAGAGCAATTAGTCTGAGTAGCTGTGTGGGCTGGTTGTCAACATAATCTCACCTTTTCTGTGCCATTGGGAACTCCAGTGACGTAGGTAGGAATCTGTTGTAGGCTGGTGCCTTCCTTTTGAAGGCCCTCATCTAACAGATCATCAGTATTGGTTTTGCTGGGGGTTTAAAGTCAAGCTGTGTGAAATCGCGACAAGCATCATGATGGCGGGATGCAGCAGCGCAGTGGCGCAGATCCTACGCAGAGACAGGACAGCAACATACCCATTTGCTTCAAGAATTCCTTGACATGATTGTTGAGGGTCTCGTCAGAGAAGCCGAATTGCTCGACAACGCGGTTGGAGTCATCAGCGAGAGACATTGTGAAGAGTGGTGAGGTGGGCGGCGCGGTCGTGAAGGGAGAGGGAATATAGCAGACAGCTTCGGATGCTGTTGGGATTGGTGGGGGAGAGGAAGGATAGAGATGAGGAAGGAGGAGATGGAGAGGTGGATGAGAGAATAATTGGAGGAGAGTGAAAAGAGGAACCAAAGTTTTGGATTTGATTTTGGTGGACGACAACGAGGTCAAAAGGTTTCCGTTTCTATGCAGCAACAGTGGGAATTTGAGCTTTGGCTGTTGCTGGAGCTTGGCGTCACCGTCACTGAGGACAAGGACAAGCTGGGGGAGCTGCTGACGGAACCTGTGTCAGTGGCTGATTCACTACCAATGACGATAGAGTATGGGGGGGTTCGGGGTGGTTTGGGGCTTGGGGATCATGGATGGAGCGTTAGGTAATTAAGTCTAAGTTACGTGACCGAGTGCAGGGACGGGGTATTCAGCGCCGAATGAGCCCGAAATTCAGTGGATATTCCAATCCCACGAGCCTCACTCCAGATGTTTTGTTCTCCTGATTAAGGCGCGCTCCCCATGGTTCTGAAGCAGCCAGTCCAATTGAAGTGCCGCCGGGCGGCCGTGGAGAGGCCGTCCGAGTGGGGAGATGGTGGAGGTGTGGTCGGTGGTGTTCGGGGTGCGGGGGAGAAACCTCAGAGGGGCTCCGCTAATACGCCGAACCTCGCCGTGTCTTTGCACTCAACGGCTTGTTTTTCTTAGGTGTCGTCTCTAAATAACTGTCGCTTGAGGCTCATGGCCCGCGTCCATATCCACTGGTATGCCGTCATATGCCAACTTTGGACCCAGAAAATTTTCAAAGAAAAAGTAACCAGATGGTATATGATGCTATCGTGAAATCTCCCCAGTCCCCAGTTGCATCCTCACTAGCAAGGTTTTGGTCAGGCCATGGGCATGCATCATGTTGCTGAGCCCAGTCGGCCCAAGCCAGACCAAACTTACAGTACGGAGTACGTATGGAGAAGCACAGGTGATTGATTTCTGGCTGCAGACCTAAAGACGGGGGAGCCACGGGGAGACAAATTGATGGTGTGGGTGAAAGGCGGGATGACGGGGATTGGCAAAAATGATATAATACCCCAGTAATGAATGGAACTCTGTAGTTGAAATATCGACTTACTATTAAAATCAGCATGATTGACATGCAAAAGACAATGAACCGAGGCCAAGGACGTTTCTTCGTCTTGGGAACATGGCCACGCACATGCCCAGCCGCATGCTGTGCCTCCATTCTCCTGAGTTATTAACACCACCTTCAAGTCAGGATCCTTGGTGTCTTGGTACGTGCTGGTAGTAACTGTCAAGATGAGGTGCTCTGGTTTTTTCTGGTCTCGTGCCTATCCTAGAACCAACTGCTTGCAAATTCTTTCGAGTCCAGTGATCTGTTGTAACTAACACTGCCAAAAAAATGAGGTGACTGAACAGTCAACGAGTGACCACCAAAGTCTAGATCACCGTCGTCGCCGGCGTAGCTAAATCGAGGTTTTTGGCAAACGGGCCGTCTTCTCCGTATTGTGCGCACCCGACCCGGAAGCAGATACCGCTCACGAAACACCCCGAGTTTGTCAGGCGAGATTCACTGGAGAGACTTCGGCGGTTGATGCTGAGAGTCGCGTGTTGTTGAACTGGATTGGTGTAATGTAAGTGGTGGGCTTTGAACCCAGCAAAGCGTTTTCGTGGTTTGAGCCTCAGGGACCCGAGATACACAACATTAGGGACAATGCAGCCTCCCCCCGTTCCATCCGTGCCGTGGTATGTCTTGGAAATGCCGCAGTCGTTCGAGATGATTTCACGATCTGGGTCGATACGGACCGATTGTGTAGCGAGTTAATTAGAGTAAAGTGGCGGGGACAAAATACGTCAATTCTAAGCCTCGGCTCTGGGGCTGGCTGGGGTTGAACAATCGCGATGCACCTCTGTTCCTTGTTTTTAAGATGAGGCCTTTCAGTGGGAAAATAAATAGAAGTGTCCACGCTGAAGAAAAAGAGACTGCTACGCAACTATAAAGACTGCAGATGTAATCAAGCCTCCATTCTCTATTCATGACACCAATGGCTCTTTTCCTATAAACTACGGAATACAAGGCTCAAATGCAGAAGGCTTTGGAATGCCAATTCAATTGAGGATTTTGATACCTAACTTACTTCTAGGTAGTACATTGGCTTGCACCAACAACATGGCGTTGCGAGATATGTAACCTTTGGTGAGGCATGAAGACAGAAAAGCCTCAAAACTTGACTGCAAACTTTTTGCTGCTGACCAGGTGATCTATCAACAAGCACAACCCCATCCGATCCCCGCGTTCTTTACCGAGTAGACTCGCTTGGGTAGTTGAGGTTGGGGCCCCCAGCAACAGTATTGCAACAAGGTCTGGGAATCCTTCCTTCACCAAGAGGTCGCTTCTTCACCGTGGTCAAGCACCAATCAGAGGCGTCCCAAGCGTTTGGGAAGACCACTTCACAGGTCCAAAACCAGCGTTCAAGTTCCAAATGGCTACCTACCTACCTAGTTATTACCATTTCGTGGCCTTCGCAACTGAAAAGGTTCTGAGTGTTAGTACTGTGATTCTTGAATGGACATACAGTTTATCCTTACAATTAAATGGAATAGCCATAACCGCATTAACACTGTGCAATTAACTTTCTTATGATGAGCACTCAGATCAACTTCACACCCATTGCCGCGAATGGACTTGTCACATACAACTGAGCAACCAGATAAAAGTTTCACAATGGTTTTACACCACCTTCTTTAATACAATAAAACTAGTAAAACATTTGACACGGCTTCCTCAAAACGCTGCCATGAACCCTACCTGCCCAACTGCCTTGCCTGTTCTTGTCCTCCCATGGCTTGCCTGCCTGCCTTCCTTCTGTATAAATCGACCTAGACGCCAGATAAACACGCATAATAGGGGCATTAGACAACAGCATAAAAGTATTCAGATAGTGCCGAGCGGTAGGCTCTTGATTTCTTTCCGTCCGGCCTCCTTGGTATTAAAACGGTGGCCAGCACATCTTCCCAGAGTGGTGAATTTTTGTTTGATTTCTTTCGTCGTCGTCGTCGGAGATTAGATTGTATATGAGAAAGCTCGCTGGTGTGTCCTCCAGCGGGCTTTGAGAGGAACGTTGACTCGTTAAATCATCCCTTACATGATAATGGCGGGGATGTCGACGTTAGCCTTGATGGACTTGTGGGGGAGAACGCTGCCACCGTTGACGTAGATCTCGTCCCCAATAGTGACATCGTCTCCGAGAACTGTTACGTTCTCAAGGCGGGCCCATCGGCCGACAGTGCTGTTCCAGCCAACGATGGTGGACTTGACCCAAGCATGGTCCTTGACCTTGGAGCCACGGAGCAACACACATCGCTGCAGACGAACACCATCTCCAATAACGACATCAGGTCCAATGGTAACGTTGGGACCGATTCTGCAGTTCTTGCCAATCTTGGCTGAGGGGTGGATCAAGACGTTTCCGCCGTGGACGTAAGACTCCGAGGCGGGAGTGAGATCCTTGCTGCCCGTCTTGGTGAGATGAGAGAGGTACAGGCAGGTTCCACTGAGGAAATCCTTGGGCTGACCAACGTCCATCCAGAAACCCTCCAGGTCGAATGAGTGGAGCTGGTTGTCCTTGACCATAGCGGGGAAGGTCTCCTTCTCGATCGAAGTCGGGCGGAGCTCGATACGGTCGAGGATAGAGGTGTTGAAGATGTACATGCCGGCGTTGATACGGTTACCGACGAACTCGACGGGCTTCTCAACGAATCGGTCGATCAGGGAACGGTGGCCAGGCTGGTGGACAACGACACCATACTTGGAAGGCTCCTCGACCTTGGTGACGACAATGGTACCCTCGTTGCCGTGGTTCTTGTGGAAAGCCAGGAGGTCTTGGAAGGGGTAGTCGCAGATGACATCGGAGTTGAGGACGAAGAAAGGAGAGTCGTCCTTAGCGAGAATGCTCTCAGCAAGCTTCAGGGGGCCAGCAGTGTCGAGGGGCTCAGTCTCGACGGAGAACTCGATGTTGATGTTGTACTTCTCCTCGTACTGCAGCGAATGTTAGAACTTGGTCCAAAATGATATAGAGTTCGCAGTTATTCTTACCTCGGCCAGGAACTTCTCCATGATCTCAGGTCGGTAGTTGACAGCGAGAACGATATCGGTAACACCAGCTGCGACCAGCGCCTCAATTTGATGCACAATCATGGGCTTGTTACCGAACTCGACAAGGGGCTTGGGGAGAGTCAAAGTCTGAGAAGCAGCCCATATTGTTAGTTACACAGAGCAATCGAAATATTAAAGGTATGCGTAGGCGGGTTCGCGAGGGGTACGTACGAGAGGGCGAAGGCGAGTGCCGAAGCCGCCGACAAGAATAAGTCCTGAATACTAATTAGCTACGGGAGAAGCAGAAGGAATATCGGGTTGAGGCATACCCTTCATGATTGCGGTATTGAGTAGCTGTTAGGTTCGTGAATGTGCCTGAAGCAAAGGGGGTAACAGCGAATGTAAGAGCAGAGAGCGACAGCAGCGAGGTCCTGAAAAGAAGGAAGAAACCTCGACAGGATTAGATTATAAAAAGGTTTGGTAAAAGGGATATCAGGTATCTCGAGAGACTTGAGTCTGGATATAGAGTCAAAGTGAAAGTCAGAGAAGGAAGAGGGAAAGAAGAGGAGAAGAAGAGTAGAAGAAGCCCGACTTTGAACTCAGGAGAGAGAGCAAGCAAGGGAAGTGGGGATTGATCTAAAAAGGCCAACGTGGGAAGATGCAGCCAGTCTGGGACGTCCAGGCTGAGAATGAGATGGGAGGAGAGTGGGGAACGGTACCTAGCGCCCTCCTGTAGCCCAGGGGAGCGCGCGGGCTGCCAGTGGTTGCCAGGGTCCATCTTCTTCTCTTTTTTTTACGCCTGCGTTAGGTACCTCTTTTAGCACCTCCAGCTAGGTACTGTACAGCCTCGATGAAGATCTCTGTGCACCGTTTCAAAATATCTCTAACCCAACTCGGGACCTAATAATTGTCTGAATAGGGTAGTCTTTGTTTTAGTTGAGGTCTTGTTAAAGCTGGAACCGACATATGCTTTCGTTTACTGTTGTCTCTCAAAGGTCTAAATCCGACTATTGTTACCCATATCTCTCACTACCTCGTTGGGATATCACATCTCTCAGTTCTTGTTAGACTCTCCGTTCAATAGTCTAGTCCATGCCTTCAATACGGACCTGGGCCACACAGACAAACGATCCACGACACGAGGTCCCCTAATAGAAAGGGGGCCAGACTACTGACTCCAATTGGGTTAAATCACTCTGGCGGGGTCAATTGTGGCTCGACACCATTTCCCGTTCCCTGGAGAAATTATATTATTATATTAAACCCCCTGTCCAGAGGCCGTTTCCGTCTTGATATTCTCGAGTTAATCAATATCTTACAAGGTTGCTTCTGCAGTGTTTTCTGAATAAGTCATCTGCTTCAGGACAGTGGTGAGATTTCTTCTCTGCTGGAGGATTCACCCATTGACAGATTCCTTGAAGATTGATATTGCATTATCCGCCTCCTGGCATCCCCATGGCTTCACACAAAAAGTAACTCCCTCTGTATTAACTCCAAAGCTTCATTCCCTCTTCAATCACATCTTGACTCTTTCTCCTTACATTCTCCATACATTGAACAGAAGTCTCAGCTTGGTCAGATCGTTAAACTAAACATTAAACCGAAGCTAGTGGCGCCATTTCCTCTTCCCCGATTCTCTCCTTGTCCTCGGGAACAACCACTCACAGGCTGACGTTCCTTTATACAGCCCCTGTCAAGAACCCTGCAGCTCATTTACGAGAGTCGCTCGTGTTAACGGGCATTCCTACATTGGTTCTTTCAACTGCACTGACGTTCCAAGTATAACAGACTCATGACCTTGAACAGCCTCCTTTTCACGTCAGCAAAGGTTTCGTATCGTGCCTCCGTAGTATCTATCATTCAAACCCTCTCGTGAAGCACAGAAAAGACGTTCCACAACTCACCCCATACATGACTTCATTATTGAGGCGCTCCATCTCTCAGCCTCTCCCGTGTCTCCGTCTCCATCTGACACGTCTGCTAGTGCGAGCCCCCTTTGCTCTGTCAGTCAGCACCTCCCTCGTGACCATCACAAGTACGGTAACCAACTCTCCTCAAACCTTGTCGACCTCCCTCTCGAGTTGTACCTTCAATCGCCTGTCCAGTTGTCTAGAGACAGTTCCCAGGTGGAAACACAGGATCATGATTGGTAGATAATGAAGTACTACTCCGTCGTCCCCCATTGTCACACGACTGTATGTATTATGGCTGCTCCAACGTCATCCCATAATTAAGTGAAATTCTTACTTCTTAGGTGGGTAGTAAGCCGGACTGATAGCCTGGGCCTGGACCGGCGATCATCACGTAAGGTTTAAAGGAGCCAACGTTAAGGTTCGTGGTTCGTGGTTCGTGGTGTTGTGTCCCACCACTTTGGACACCTAATAGTTGTTGGTACTACTCAAATCAGACGGGATCGTTTCGATCTTTGTCTCTATTGATGGCCAGATTTGAGTTGGATCTTCGGCCTCATGCGAGGGTACCTTGACTTTTCTGGCCTGGGGGTTTATGCCATTAATCTCGACGACGATCCTTCGTGTTAATTTGAGATAATATACAACTAACTGATATGTTCATGACACTCTGGGTTTTATATAAAAAAAAATCTATATCATCAAGACTTGAACCTTGCGTATTAGAATAATCTGACTTGTGGAACCAATGTAGAAGATCCTTCCCAGCTTTCAAGGTATCTCTCATCCTCGAGTATTCTACGTTAGTAGACAGCCTAGAACTCATATTGTATAAAGAAGTTGCCAAAAGTCACGGAGCCATTGCCAACCACTGTTGATGAAACCTAGCTCCTGGTATCAGAGTTACTCGCCCTGGATGACCCTTCATATTGGCCATACAGATGAACTCGAGTTTTATTGGTGAAGGATAACGGGTGTTGGGGAAACGTTGTGCGATCGGTACGAAGCACATCTGGGTTACTCGAGTTGCAATTCTGACACTCATTACATACAAGTACATCAAACAAGGAATGCAATGTGAGACCAAAAGGTTTACTGTCAGTGGCGCATGAGAAAAAGAAATATCATAATCATTATTGTCGTTAAGTGTCTTATCATCAAGTTCCTTCTCAATACATGCTTCATCCTCATCAGTCGTTCCAGTCTCATGATCCTCCATTTGTGCTCATATCGTAAAAGTCAACGCTAGCTCCTACCATGCTCAGACTTTTCCTCCATCAAAGCAAGATTCCAAAACTTCTCAACAGAATCCCTCATAAGAGGGATCGGGTAAGAGAAACACCCTTCGCTAACAGTGCTATATACCCAAGAAAACTGAAGCAAACTTTTTTCTCTTTTTATCATGGTTCATCAAATTGTCGTCCGTCATGTGCCAGAACCATTATTGCGTGGTTCTTCGTAAGGCAAATACCTGCTCTGAATACTACCGCCATCATATTGAACTTCTGCTCAAGCACAGCCGCTCCGCTCTGTCCAGTCTCTTCCTTCACTCTGTGGCCCTCAGTCCTCGCCCTGAGCGCTCTTCCAGTATCGAGTAGTGTTAACTATACGATATCGTCCTTTCGGGTCAACTGTCGTACGGTCGATTCGTTCGTACCCGGACAAACGTCCAGAATATCATCGACAAGGGCCAAGGAAATATGAAATGGCCATGCAAGTGAACCAAATGCCGCAGAACAAGGCGTTCCAGGTTTTCGCAGGAAAAATAGAGGCTTCGAATGATGGAATGTTAATAACAAAAATGCCGACCGTTGAAATGTGACCTCGCGTCTAAGGTTTTATCGTATCGTCGTGAGTCGTCGCAGATAGCTAAGATATATCAAAATATATATCGCCATGTCCCAGTTCAAGTAAAAGAAATTGAACTTCGTGATGAAATATAAATAGAAAAAAGAAAAAGTGAAAAAGCAGCAAAAAGACTGATGGACCTTCCCCAGTCTCGTGAGAGAGGTTGCCAAGGGAGGTTGGTTCGGGTATATCCCTTAGGACTGCTGTGAAGCATTTCAACCGCTTGTAAGTCATCTTGTGTGTGTGTGGGTTTCTCCCATGCTTCCCCGACATCCTTTCACATTGAGCTGACTTGAAAACTGATCTCAGCCCATCTGTATGCTGTCATATTGGACTTGCATAACTGTCGAAGGGTATGTCGTAACATCCTTTAGTCGAATGAGGCAGTTGAGCTGCTGCTTGAGTGATGTCCTGATCGCCTGCTGTGGCGGTCGCTGTCTCGGGATGAAGTGTGGCGGCTCTTGCGGCGATGCGAAGTTTCCTGAGCGGGAAGACCTTGAACAATGCCGTTACGGGCTAGCATGCCTCCATTGACAGAGAAGTTACGGCACACCATGAAAGCACGCATGGCGGCGTTTTCCTGAGCCAAGACATCAGATTCGTATGTGAGATCCGTCTGATATTCTCGGCCATTGACAAGGACAAGGCAAGTGTAGCCGTTGTTGTGGTCCCGGTAGCACTCGTACATGGGGTCTGTCCATCCTCGACGACGGCAAAGGCCTGTTGAAAGACTTGTTAGCACAAAGCTCTTGCCTCGAATTTCCAGTTAAGTGAACGTCTTGTGCATATATTGGTTCTGGTAAAACAATATGCATGGAGGAAGTCTGCATAGCAGTCGAGCAGTGGCTAGAAGTGTTCTGAGATACGATGTCTCGTCCACATCATGCCATTTGCCACCGATGATACCAAAGATATAAGTATACCGTTCAACCTGGTTTGGCACAACGATGGTGGAACAAAAGTTGCCCATTACCCCATGCGGGGGAACTCAGGGTTACCATGTACATCATGTATTCTTCTCGTGCCCCTCAAACAACATGTTCTCAAGCAATTGCCGGCGTCGTGGACACAATTACTTGACAATAATGAAATATATATGTGATGATTGACTTACTCTCGAGATATTGCATGTAGAAGCCGCCCATTGTGATGTCGGTGTTGGTGACGGTCACCTGATGGTTTGAGTCGGCGGATCGAAGAGGATTGAAAGACAGTTGCCGTTGAACGAAAGGTGGAAAGCGAAGTCTCTTAAAACTTCCTCGGCGGCAAAGACAGTGGAGATGAGGAAGAGCCTGGGAGGGGAAGTTCTTATAGAGGAGGAATATCAATGGAGGAAACGCGAACAAAATAAACGCTTGTCTAGATCCAAAATAGACGACTGATGCCGAAGACAGGGTTTAGCTCCGAGGACGAACTCCAGGATCGAGCGTTGCAGCGGGTAGAGGATGTGGAGGTCCAGAAGGATGCCAGGAACCGAATTGAAACTGAGACAGGGCCTTGGGAGTTTTGAGCAAAAGCAGTGGGGGAGAGCTTCTTCCAGTTTGGTCAATCGGTATTGCGTCTGGAGCCAAGGCACACTCCAAATGCTTGGGTGAATTGGAAGATTTTGGATGGGATGGAGGAACAAGATGAGTTTTGAAGCAGAAATAAACAGGGTTCAAAAAGAAGAGGACCGAGAGAGAAAATAACTTAGGATAGCCTTAGCTTTGACAAAATCTCCGTCTTGAGCAATACTCGGTACTGACAGCATGTACATCCATCCATCTGCTGCTGCAGACGTTGAGCCGATGGAACGGCGAGACGTGTGTGCCTTTATTCCAGACAGCTCGTTAGCGTGGGGACCGGGGGTGTCTGGAGACAAAGGAAGACGCGCGAATGGAGGCAGATGCAAGCAACGATGCGGCTCTCAAAGAGTGTGACCCATCTTGCTGTGCTGGCCTACCTGGTTGCCAGTTGATAAAAACCGCCGGCGACTAGACCACTCCACCGCGACACATGGAGGATGCAGCAAGCAGGCGATCTCTCTCATAGAATAAGTCTCAAAGTTAACGCCTTCGTCCACTGGCGTACCACCAAGGAACCTAGTACATACGTTCCATTTTTCCTCTCAGTCATTGCTCTGCAGTTGGATCCTCTCTTGCGGGTATTGCTTTCTCTTTTGGTATTTTCTTTCTGTTTTGAATGTTCTCTGAATGGCAACGCTTGTCTTTGGCGGTCTTGCTTGGGTCTTCTAGCTTGAACTTTGTCTTGTATTGTTGACAAGTTCAATTGTCCACCTCTCCCAACAGCGTTTATCTCGAGGTCGAATTTGCTCTGGGCAGGGATTTTGTATTCGGCCGAGTACATAAGGGCAGGCCTGGAATGGGGGGCGACAAGGCCATTAATGGCCCGGTTGGTGAAACTCATGCAGACGTGCGACTGAAGATGCATTGCTACGGCAGTAATTTCAACTTGCTTCATTAGCTTCAACTCAAGTGGCGAAGAGAGATCACTGCAGTGGTCCAGGGCGGGTAATACGTTCTTGATGGCAATCCGGATGTCTGAGAACCCCGACAGATTGTTGTAAGCTGGTTCTGCAGATTGTTTTTGCCCCTCAAAATGAGCATCCAAGATAGCAGACCATATGTTAGCATGTCCCTGCTCACCACGATATCTCGAAGTCTGAGATCTCTGTTTCGGTGCTACTAATGCACAGCAATTAGAACTTGAAAGTACAGTACTATCCGGTGCAGTGTTGTATACACAGTTCCGTCCCGAGGCTGGATAGTGAGGTGCAGCAGACCACCTTCAACCCCTCCTCTCCAGCGCCGAAATCCCTGGTGGCCGGAGCCCGGTGCTGTAGGGCCTGCCATTCAAGTAGTCATTCACTTCGTAGGTACTGCAACTAGCTGGAAGCGAAAATTCTCAGGGTCGGGATTGGCATACTAGGATCATATTTCAGTCCTCGCCAGTCGCGCGCGAAATGGGCGGCCGTGTTCTGCGGCCTAGTCTAAAGACTAGAGCGTCGTATCGGGACCAGGCGGCGACGACTCAGTGCTCACTGCTCAGTGAAAGCGGGCCACGTCTACAACTTCTTGTGGCGGTTAAGATCATTGACGATTTGTAGCTGAAATGAAGTGCCCTGGATTCAAGAAGCGCGCGGGTTTCCAGATGTGCTGGATGCCAAAGACTCAAGAAGCTTGTACAAGCCTGAGATGAGAGCTTGGGACACCGAGGACGAATTGAGAATAAATCCCCAGTTTCGGATCTGAGTAGCATCACCAACGTAGCTGTTGCGCCGACAAGGCGCATATCAAAAGTCAATGGTGTTGAACTTTCTGATAAACTCCACTATCACGTTACCTGACGCCTATTGTCAACAGCCAAAATAGATCGACGACCTACAGTGAGCCGTGATCGCAAGTAGGCATGTGGTATCGCATAGCTCAACACAGAGTCAACAATGATAACAGCCGTCCATGTCACAAATCGACGACTTTCCACTCTGTTTTTTTTCCGTCCCACTCCCCAGGCCCAGAGAAAAGGGTCGGTGAGGCAGCACGATACTGCATGAACAGGACAGTCAGTGGCTGGCTTATTCAAAAATACCGTACCGTACTGTTCTTCCACCCCTGCCCACCATGCCCTGCGCCATGCATCCACAGGCGTGGGTGTGGGCGCCGTTAGGGCTGTTCCCAGCAACCGCAGAAGCAGATGAGGTCTTATATCCATGGCTCAACATTGACAAGAACGGTGAAAGCAACACGGCTGATTGGAGGATGCACAGCAACCTCTGTTTTGATGTCTCAGAGGTAGAGATGGGGCTAGAAGTTGCAGATCCAGTAAAAGGTGGGCATAACGAAAGATTTGGCAGGTTCCGACTTTGCGAACGCACGACACCTTAAGAATCATGGAGAACTGGATGGCAAGATATCAATTGATTTTTGGTGTTTGCGTAAGCCAACTTTGAACTTGTCTAGTACAGTCAAGGTACCTGCTCGAAAAAGCTCGTGCGGAAGGAAGTGTGTAAACGTGTCGAAGAGGGGAAAGCAGCATCCTGACGTCTGAACGCCGCACTTGCCTTGTTAGACACACCATGAGGGGTATTGAATGAATGGATGGCAGGAAGAACCCCAATAGAATGAAGCTTGATGCAACGACTAAGGCAAGGTAAGGCAGGTGCAGACAAGTTTGAGGTCAGCCCCTACTAACCTCATGCAAAGATGTGTTGGCAATGCTTTGAACAAAACAAAAAGAAAACATCAACAATAACATCGCTGGAACCTCGAGACAGCTTCTAATAGCGGGACCTGCTTTGTTCAAGCTAGTCAACACCGAGTACCGTCTGTACCTTCCCTGGTTTTCTTTTCTTTTCTTTTCGCATTAACTACTTCCATGTCGAACATCTCACCTTAATCAAGAGGTGGCCACCTCCCACTCCATCTGCGTTGTTCAAATAAATTACATCAGCAGCTTCACAGGTTCAAGCAAGCCATTGGCAGGGGTCAGGTCTAACATGGGCATCTCAAGCCTCACGGGACAATCTTCTCTGCTGTTGTTTTCCTAGGTTTGCCGCTTGACTTGCTGGGTCTAAACTAATGCTTCAAGGCACGTCCAAACGAACGACTTGCCAAGCTTCTGCAAGACTGATATTGAGCTGCAAGACGCGACAGGGGTATTGCCAGACCCATGCCCCCAAAGATTGTGGGCTCTTGTGAGCTTTGTGGAGAGACCAGGGGACCCCAACTCAAGCAATGACGAGCTTGAGCTTTTCAACGGCGGACAACGATTCGACAATTCGAACTCTTCCAGAATTCTCCCTAGGATGCCACTAGTCTCCTCTGACATGATAGTACCAGGCAGCTCCATGACACATGCCGCCCACCTGATTCGAACATGATGGATAAGAGTTTTTGTGTTTTGGGCTTGGATCCAAATTTGTTGTTTAAAACGAGTAGGAGCGGAAACTCTGAAAACTAACCGCCAGACCAAAAAGGAATCTATCAATCAACTCACTTTTGCGGCGTCTTAGCTCCGAGCGTATCGCCTATTGCGATGCACGCGGCAGCAAGGTAGGGAGTCGCGTTGTCCGAGACTGGCGGCTATATCCAGGAGCAACATCAACAGCAAGCCCAAAAAACGGTCTTTGAAAGCGTGCCGGGTTCACCAGCGTCCGATTATGGTTCTTCAGCTCCAGCCATAATTTTTTGAATGTTGACAATTGTACCATTGTGAGGTTCTCACAACGAAAGAGCTAAGGGCTGTTGGCCCCAGCCTGTGGCTACACCTGAAGAGTTTCCATGTCCCCAGTGGTTCTCTTTTTTTTGTCACCCTACATGGAATAGCTTCCTCCAATCGTGATAGCGGGGTGAGGGGCACAGGACATACATACCAAAATGCCGATGGACGATGACGACAAGAGACAGACATCAAGGCTAGTTCAAATAAGCCACTATGGTTTTGCATATGCTTCTCTAGGTGATGTCGACCTCGGGTTGATGGACCAACCGCACTGAACGCATCGAGAGAGCCTGCGATGTCGGATCGAGTACTCTCCACCTACTTGCGGCTCATTCTCCATCAGCGGCATGCGAGGGTTAGGTGTTCCGTGTTTGTTTCCCAGGTCAAGTTTACGGTCTACCTGCAAGGAATGCCGAAGGATCAACCAGGCTATTGTTGATTTCGAGCACTTGTTCTGCTAGGTTATGATCTGCGGAAACAGCCGCCGCGGAATGCACCGCTTGCTTTGGACGGCAAAGATCGATGTTGACAACAAGGACATGTGGTTATCTGGTGCATCGGTTCATGTTCCATTACCAAGCTCTCATGGCTCTGGTCCGGCAGTAAATATGTATCCGTATCCGTAGTGTCAAGTATTATTTCGAGGTTCGAGCAGGGTCCATCTCGCTTGTACCCTGTCGGCTGATCCATGTATGTACCTGGGACCTTGATCTGATACCAGTTAACAATGTCAGGTCCGCTTCAGATCATAAGGGCAAAGGCTACATATTGTTGTAAGCTGTATGATTCCAGGTTGTTTAGAACTAAGTTAAATAGTCAGATATCACAGTGGCCCAAGGTTGAACTAAAACAAGCCGCTCCTATGATCAACAAGACAATAATACACATTGATATGACTGCGGGGGGGACCTTAAGATGCCTGCTC